GGACATTGTGGTTTCAGCAGAATATTACATGGACGTCTGCATTACATTCTCGCCTATCTGGAGAATTATGGATATGCAGATACCATGCTACCCAATGTCATTCCAGGATAGCACCCAGGAGGGCCAGTCCAATAAGGTACTAATGCAATAGATGGGTGAGATAGCTAATGCCAAAGGCTACATGGCCAGAGAGCTATACACAGCATTTATGAGATGCCATGATGACAGGCTCAAGGAAGAGATACAAACAAAGCAACCAAAACCCATTGTAAAGTGGCAGCTGCAAACCAGACCCCAATTTAAGAATACATCTCAGAAGTAGACAGCAACAGCAGCTAGGAAGGTAGAAACAATAAAACCAGCAGGGTATCAGGCCAGGCCAATAGATGTATTATGATCACATATGGACTAAAGCAGGCTCTTGGTGATCACATTAGTGATCTCACCAACATAGAAGATAAATAGTGGCAGGCGCACAATTCCTTACATGACCTCAATGTTACAAAGGAAATAGAAGACATGGAGGATAACAAGGTCAGCTTATTTGACGAGATAGATATCAAGGAATCAAAATGCAACACCCACTCAAGCCCCCAGACTACAATGCCAGGAAAACAATACTAGAAATGTATCCAACCATCGTGAGATGCCCCATCATGGGTGGCAGATTACTCACTCCACCAGCCTGCCAACAAACAACACCAGCATATACACAGTGTGTTGCCCACCATATAGCAGCTTTGTCAATAAATCCCAACGATTTATCAGTAACAAACATTAATCACATAGTACCACCACTAGTTGTGCCATTATGCCAGGCTACCAAGGTAAATACCAACCAAGAAATACTCAACCTTAGGCCCACATGGGTGTCTCTACAATCAACATCATGAGTAGGTGGCAACGCAGCTGCTAGGCCAGACTGGGCAGACACTATATCTGGATAAGCTATAAGCGCAGCTACATTATGCATGAAAGCCAAGAATAAGGCAGTAAAGCCATTAGTTAAAAGACCCATCTCAATGATCAGCAAGGAAGCACACAAGCAAAAATTGTACAAATTGAAAAGGCATATCAGGAAGGCAATCATCTATCAATAGGACTTTCATGAGGAAGTTTGCACATACCAAGGAACATGTTGACAACATTTTTAGGCCACAACTAGTATGCCCAGACCCAGTGAAGACGTTTGCAGATGAGTACCAACCTGAGGGCAAGCCAAGTGCTTAGAAATAATGGCCAAAATAACAGAACAGGATTTAGCCACAGCACTAAAAAACAGCCCAAGGAGGTGTTGGAATTCTGTTCTTGGTGGAATTCTGTCTTGCATACTGTAAGATAATTGCACGACCAGATGTTTCTAAAGTATCCTTCTCTTTTATTTACCTTTCTTATCTTTACTCACTGTCTCCTATATAAAAGACAGCTTTCCTCAATCTCTTCACTTCCTTTCTTTAGCTTAGAACTTTATCTTTTTTCTTTTAAATATAACTTACAAAGCTTCTCTTTGCTAAGCTTTGCTTGTTTCTCACACTAACATCCTCCTCTCCTCTCTTTGTTGAGAGATTGTGTCCATATTCTTGGAAATTTTGACTACTGAGCGGAAAATATCTGGTGAGCATGCACCACTGTTATCAGAATCTGAGATTTTACTGTCGCTGATATGGTGCATCATATGCTCTGTCATGATTGGTTTTGGGCATGGTTTTGGAGCATCTTGTAGCACCAAAAACTGTTCCACAAGCAGATCCCCTAGTGTTGACATAGTGGGTAATGATGTAGTAAAAAGTACTGGCAGTGCTGGCACTGTAAATGGTGGTAGTGGTGGCACTGGTATAGGGTTCACTGAAATAGCAGGCTCTGTGCGAATGTGAGCAGATGTTATTTTGCAGTGAGGAGCCTTCTCGACTGATGTTTTGGGCAATGCACTTTTTGATTAAAGTCTACTTTATGATGGGCTGTCTGTAAACAGCATGTCCTTATGTATGATGTGTGGCATCTGCTTCAATTCTTCTTGGTAGTTCACTTCTTTTATTGAAAGCTTCTCATGTGGTGGCTGTGACAGTGCATTTGCCACAGTGTTGAACTTTCCCTTCCAGCAAGTAATTGTAAATTCGAACTCAGCAATGATTGTCAGGAACCTAACAAACTGAGGGTTGATATGTGCCTGGCTTTTCAAATGCTTCAATGTGTGCTGATCTATCAATACTTCAAACTTTGTCCCTAATAGATAGTGGCACCAGTCCAACAGTGTTGCAATAATGGCCAGCAGTTCTTTGCCATAGATTGCATGCTTGCTTTTTGCTGACATCAGTCTGCATGACAGAAATGTAACTGGGTGCCAGCTGTTGTCACATTTCTGGTGTAACACAGCTCCAATGGCATAATCCAATGCATCTGTCTCCACACATTTGGGAAGTTGGGGGTCTAACGGCTGCAACACAGGTTGGAAACACAGTGCTTTCTTGGGCATATCAAATGCCTTCTGCACCTCAGCAGTCCACTCAAACTGATCGACCTTCAAAAGGTCAGTGAGTGGCTGTGCAATTTCGGCAAAATCACAGAACAGTGCATGTCAGTAACATCTTTGAGTGGCTTTCACTCATTAATAGTGGCAACCTTTTACAGGTCCATGCAGATCTTGTTGTGGGACACAACATTTCCTAAAAATTCAACTGTGTTTAAGCAGTTCACATTTGGTGGCTTTGCAATACAGCCGCTCATTACATAGTGTCTTGAGCACAGACTAGACATGCTGAATGCATTTCTTGGATGTGGCCGAGAAAATAAGGATGTCATCAAGGTAGGCGACACAGTATTTGTTAATCTGCTCTTTTAGTGTATCCTGGATTACTCGCTGGAATGTTGCTGGTGCATTGCACAGGTCAAATGGCAGCACATGGTACTATCTCTCTTCTTCACAAAGAGTACAGGTGCATCCCACAGTGATACAGACAATTCGATGTGTGAAAAACGAGCAAAGATGAGCAAAGAGAAGCTTTGCAAGTTATATTTAAAAGAAAATGATAAAGTTCTAAGCTGAAGAAAGAAAGTGAAGAGATTGAGGAAAGATGTCTTTTATATAGGAGACAGTGAGTGAAGATAAGAAACGTAAATAAAAGAGAAGGATACTTTAGAAACATCTGGTCGTGCAATTATCTTACAGTATGCAAGACGGAATTCCGTCATGACGGAGTTCCACCATGATGTAGCCCAGCTCAATCATCTCATAGAACTGTTTCCCCAGTTTATCATTCTCAAAATGCGACAGGCAGTATGGTTACTGCAAGTGCAGGCGTGTGCCTGGAAGCAAATCAATGACATGGTCTACTATGCATGTTGGTGGCAGTCCTTTTGGTGGTATTCTAATGGCGTCAGAAAACTCTTGTTGAATAATGGAAGTATGTTTCTGGTGTGTGAAATTTGTGGGAATGATGATGCTGGCTGTGCCTTCCTCACTCTGCATGACAGCAACAAACATGTTGTCGATTTAGGCGACCTCATTCTCATTCCACAACATTGTAAGCAGGTGATTGACTGAAATTGTAATGAGATTCGGACTAGCTATAATATATATTAATGAAAATGAGACTACAGAAAGAGCGCAAGAGCTCACTATTCAGAATTCGCTGTACGCGTAAAATATCATAAACATATTTTACACGTCTGCACTGTCACGTGACTTGGCCCCATTTCTGATGTCACAGAAATGGCACTGTGACTGGCCTGCTTCTTTCCATTGTAGCTGTAATTTGTGCATTGCAATCCGGAAATATATAGCTGACTGTCATCCTTGCCATTGTACTCAAGGCCATGCCGTTTACCACAGAATACAGTGCTATCATGTGGTATCAACCATGACATGCCAATGAGAAGTTCATCCCCAATCGGCACAATACAGCAGTTTATTGTAGTCATGCAGCCCTTTATGCCAATGTCCAGCGTCAGCTTCACATACTCATTGGTCCTGTATAATTCCTTGCCATCTGTGAGGTGGATGATAGTAGTAATCGCAGTCCTGCTGACTGGCAGCCTGAGGGTGTTGACGGCCTGCAGTGAGATGCAGCACCTTTGTGCCCTTAAGTCAACCAAGGCAGTGAGTGTTTTGTTATTTTTGAGCTTGCAGGGCATCAATACATGTGAGTGTGCAAGATTTTTAGTAGAGTTGGCGTTTATTTGAATAAATGTAAAGCCTGTACTACTGACAACAGAGTGAGAGACATTTGCATCATCACCACTTAAAAGGCGTTTCCCTGGTCAGAGTAATTGTCCTCTGGCTTGGCAATGCCAACCACACAGACATTAATTGGGCGACCATTTCCTCGGCTGTTGTCATTGCTTTGTTTTGCTTTCCTGCCTGACAACCACACGAAAAATGTTCGTCTGAGCCACAATTAACACACTGTCTGTTTTCGATCTGCTGTTCAAATTCACGTTGAGTGCATTTGTGCCATTTTGGTTATACTTCGGCCATTGCCTCAGTGTGACATCAATTATTGCATGTCACGTGACAATTGCATTGGAATTGCGATTGTTTGAATTGTGATTGTTTACGATCGCGATTTCTATTTCACGGCGATAGTTTCGAATAGATAGCGGAGCTCTTTAAGCTCCCTTATAGTGGATTTTTAATAAAAATTAGTTAATACGAATAAGTTTTATTACACTCGGCCCCTTTTTCCTGAGCTGCCGTGGATATTGATAGCATTGACTTCCATTGCCATGGAGTCATGAGTGGTTGCAGCCTTAGGAGTGGATTTTGTTGAGGGTTTTTCAACCCCCTCCTCCCCCAGCATCTTGTGGGTGTTCTAAGCCCGCTGAACTGTGGCTTTAGCAGCAGTGAGACTGTCAATATTCTTGGAGAAAATGTCCTTATTAAACTCCTTTGGCAGGCAAAAACAATACCAGTCGAGGGCATTCTGTGGATTATCCATCTTTGCACAGTGTATGAGGTGGTCAAACTCCTGGTGGAAAGCCAGGAGGTCAGCATCAGCCATGAATCACAGTTGGTTGAGATTTTGCAGGCTATGGAAGCTGCTGCTGATGGTCTCAAGTGTGATCTCCAAATGAGACCTGAGATCGTCAAAAGTGGCAGGGCCAGATGCATCCAGACTATCAAGATAATTTTCCCAATCAGCAGCAACTGTCTATGGAGACACATTCATGCAAATCTACCTTGTGTCTGGTGGGTCACACCTAACTGTGCAAATCTCCTCTCCACACTCTTTACCCATATGCTGAGTGTATATGCCTCCATTTGCCATCAAAACGGGGGATTGCTCTGCAAGCTTGGCAAATCCAGAGTACACTGAAGGCATGAGTTGAGCTAATGCAGTTGCAGCAGGTAGGGGGCCAGTAGCAACTGGGAGTACAGAGGCTGACATAGTGCAGAGACAGAATAAATATAAGAAATGAAGAATAGAGTAAAATAAAATAACTGCCAAAGTAGGCTGAGGTTACTTGCAAAGAAAAAAACGCAGCAAGTAGAAAATTAGCAAAAAGTATGCCAAAAAATGTATGTGGAGGTGCTACCAAGTGTTATTTAAATATATATATATTGGGCAAAAATGAACTAAAAGAAAGCTAAGGGATGAAAGCCTCTACTGTTCATATTCATTAGTATTTAATGTGTGCATATGAATTCCTGCATATCCAAGTAGGGAATTAACTAGCGATTGATTCATTAATCAATCGCCGGGACAAGCTTCAATTCCTTGTATCACACTATCCTTGGTTTCATAGATGTGTTGAGTGAGGCAGCAGTGGGGGTAGACTCAGGGGAGAAAAGCAATGGTAAGTCATGTTGGAATTCCGTTCTTGGTGGAACTCCGTCTTGCATACTGTAAGATGATTGCAACACCAGAAGTTTCTAAAGTATCCTTCTCTTTTATTTACCTTTCTTATCTTCACTCGCTGTCTCCTATATAAGAGACAGCTTTCCTCAGTCTCTTCACTTTCTTTCTTCAGCTTAGAACTTTATCTTTTTCTTTTAAATATAACTTGCAAAGCTTCTCTTTGCTCAGCTTTGCTCGTTTTTCACAAGTCATGCTTTATTCTGGTAGCCTCTCTACTGGCCACAAGGTGATCATTATTCTATCCCCTTGTATTTTCCATGCCTGCTCCATGTGCATGGCCTTTGTCAGTGTAATGAGGAATTTTGCTGGTTATAATAAATATTAATCTGAATGAGACTACGAGAAGAGTTAAAGAGCTCACTATCCAGAATTCGCTGGACGCGTGAAATATCATAAATATATTTCACGCGTCTGTGCTGTCACGTGACTCAGCCCCCATTTTGATGTCACAGTCAGGGTCAGCCAGGTCTCAGCAATTCTCCAAATATCAGCCTGAAGTGCTTCAAAAATAGTATGTGGCCCCCATTGTGCCTCAAGTGAGGTAATTGAGTAAGCATTCATGAATCCTGCGATAAAAGTAAATGGTAATAAATATATTTAACTGTAATCCACTACAAGGGAGTTAAATATGCTCGCCATATCAATCGAAACCTCAAAGTAGTATAATATAATCGCAATTATCACGTGCCACGACCCCAATTGATGTCACAAATCCAATAGTCCAACACAGGGCTTCCATAGTCAACTCTTGCTGTTTATACTGGGTTGGGGATAGTGCCATGTTGGAGCTGCCATGAGGTTGACTGAAACCATGGTATCCTGTTCCTGGTGTGGTGGCCTGACAACTGTCATGTCTGGGGCATGAGTTTCCATATGAGTGGAGGACTATATTTGGGCATTCTGTCCCCATGCCAAGAGTCGATTGTGCCATTTAATTGGAGATTCTAGGTGGTGGGAGGTGGTCACTAGCTGCCTATGGCCGTCCATGTGCTTCTTCTGAGGTCTACTATAGACCCCACAATGCTCTGTCCCACAGTCTCCTGGTTGAGTGTGTCGACTCAGCAATGGTCCTCTTGTTTATTCTGGTCTCCTCCTGGGGGAGGGGGAGCACTCATCTTCCAATGAGGTAGCATCCCTGGTGGATTTGTCATGATCTGCTGTTGGCTTCTTCCTTGATCCAAGTTTGGTTGCCTGTGCAAGGCTTGAGAACTTGCTGCTCTTAGAACAGTGACTCTGCCCAGTGCTGGCTGTTGGTGAAATGATGTAATAACAATAATCTGTCTATTAAAATATAATTAATACAAAGCCACTACAAGGGAACTAAGGGGGCTATCCTTATCAATTGAGAACAGCAAGCAGTAAAATATAACTGATTAATAGTAATTGCAATTGTCATGTGGCATTATATTGATTTCACAAGTGTGATCTCTCAGTGGGAGTGTCTGGTTCTCTCCATCCATATCCATATCCTACTCCTTCTCTAGCCGTCTTTTTCTCCTTATACCCAACCCACTCTGTGGGTGTTTCATTGGGGTCAGTGGGGACAGACTCCTCAACCACTGACAGTCTCCCTCCCTTCCTCTGCACTGGCTGTATCATTTATCTCCATGTTAATGTCCTTCTCATCCACTATCATTACCACTGGGTTGGCTATGGGTTGGGTAGTTGGTGGGTTAACCTTAGTGGGTGGCTATTCCAGTCTCCCTGTTAGTAGGTTATTGACCATTGCCTTGAGTTGGATGGCCTGGTTGGCTGTAGTGCCTGAGGCTTTGCGGCTATGGCCCCACTCCCCAATCCCACTGCATCATGTTGTTGGGCAATAAGTGCCAGTGGCACACTTGCCTTGCTGGGCGTAGCTGGGTTCTTGCCTTTGTTCATTGTTGTGTCCATGGGTGCAGGAGCACTAGTGTATGCAGCATCTCCCATCTGAATAGTGGGTGGTATTGCTGAGGTTTGGGCCACAACTGATTGGGTATAGGCCAGCTGGGTGCGTTTTACTATGGCCAGGTCTGTGTATCTGCCACAGATAACATGAGTGTGGTCATTGTTTACCTACGTGACTGCAATGGTGCCTCTAAGAAGCATTGTCAGTATAAACATTGTATCTGAAGGCTCGGCCATCACTGTGAAGCCCAGCATCTCCCTACCCTTCCAGTCTAGTTGGTGGCACACTGGAATTGCAATTCTGCCAACCTGATTAAAAGCGTTGATGAGCTGTGTGGCGTCCCAGCTCGAGTCTGTTGCCCAAAACAGCGGCCGATGTGCAATATGCCCTGCAGCTATGTGGAAAATACATTTTTATATTTATATTAACACCTTAAACACCCAAGTGTTCACTGACCCATGTGGGTTGTAAATTTTAGTTAAAATATTTACCAATTGAATAATATTCAGCTTATTATCATTAGAACTGGCACTTGCACTCGTTAATTTGCACATAAAAACTATCAGCTACTATGCAGCGTGGGTTCATAATGTCCTCCCACGGCAGTAAATTAGTGATATAATATGAATTCATTCCTTACATTTAATGTGGCGTGATACGCCTTGCACAACTTATATCCATGTGCCTGATTATGGATATTATAATTGTAAATTGTAATGGAATTGCTCAATAGTGTGCGCTTGATACAAAAATATTACAAGCACCTGCTTAACAATGCATTTATGACCAATGGCTCACTCTTTTTATGGCTTAAGAAACCAATTGTATCTTATCTTTATTGCACCAAATAGGAAATGAATTGGATATTTCCACCACTTATTGTCTTGTACTGGCTGCCTCGCAATTTTCACATTAATGTTACTGTTGCCAAGCCACTATCCCCGCTCCTGCCAAGTATATATTGCCTGGTGCATGAGTGCATACAAATCCATTTTGACTTTAGAAAACATCCTACTTTCTTTTAAATACGCTTTTATTTATAAATTTTTTTGGTGATTCATATTGCATAGTACGAGCACCACCTCTTGTTGTTGCAAAAGACGAGCACAAGCACACATCGCAAGCTATTATTTAGAACTGTAAACAGACTGTCATATTTGATTAGCATTTTTTTCTAAAGTTACAGCTACATCAGAATTATCCTGCAATCTAGTATATTGGCAGCAGTGCTGGCACAGCTAATCAATGTCGCTAGCCCGAATGTTGTTGATTATATGTCCTTTGTGGTGTCAGTTAAATGGGGCGTGTACATACTGTTTGTGGCGGCTATATTCGTGGTTTACAGGCTGGTTGTGGCCAAGTGGGTGTCACCTCTGCGACATATCCCAGGGCCTTTGTTGGCGCGAATGACTGGCAAGCGCCTGGAGGTGTACACTGTTATTGGTAAAATGGCATGTATTGGGCGAAAGGACTATGAGGCGTATGGCGACATTTATGTGTGCGCTCCCAATGCTGTCAGCATAACTAATCCAGCTGATATTCGCATGCTGCTGAACAACCCGCTTGTGCCCAAGGCGCCCTACTACCGTATACTTCGTTTCACAGGAATCGATAACACTGTCAGCACGCAAGACATGGAGCTTGCAAACTCGCGTCGCCGGCAGATGGGCCCGTACTTTAACCCAACTTACTTGGCCAAGATGGAGCAGACAATTATGCAGCGCGGCATTTTGTCTATTAAACATAAATGGGACCAGTTGATTGAACGCAGCATGGATGGTGCGGCGGAGGTTAATTACAGCCACGACTTTTTATTTGCGAGCTTTGACACGATCGGTACTTTGATATTTGGCAGGCAGATCAAAGAGCTCAGGACCAACGATGTCGCCACAGCGCATTGGATTGACACAACAGTGACTTACATTGGAGTGCGCTCTATGCTTCAGCTGTTCCCACAAATTAAAATCCCACTGTTTGAGTTTCCATGGGAGCGCCGGTACACGACCCTTAGCACGTACATAGACGTGTCAATTGACCAGCGCAGACAGCATCTGGCAGAGCTGGCCAGCACTGGCCGCGAAGACAAAAGACCAACTGATTTGCTGCAGGCATTCATCGATGCAGAGGACCCAGAGTCCAAGGTGCAAATGACGCACGCCCAGATACATGGCGAGTGCATGTTGATGATGCTGGCTGGCGCAGATACAGTCGCACACACAATTTCATGGGCGGTGCACTTCCTTACATTGCATCCCAAGTTCTACGCGCGCGCTGTTAGTGAGGTTCGCTCGGCGTTTGATTCAGGGCATACCATTTCTTACAGCGAATGCCGAGCCAAGCTGCCGTTTGTTGAGGCATGCCTGTACGAGTCGCTGCGTCTAGCGCCAGTGACAGGCGGGATGTTGCCTCGAGTGTCGCCCGCAGGCGGACTGATGATACAGGGTCATTTTGTTCCTGAGGGGACATTCGTTTTTGTCAACTTTGCATCGTCCAACCATCATAAGAAGACTTGGTGCAGGCCATATGAGTTCGACCCGACGCGGTTCCTGGATGACAGTGAGGCGCGGCATAATGTGTTTACATTCAGTAGCGGCAAGCGCATCTGTCCAGGCAGGCATTTGGCGTGGTGGGAAATGTTGACGGTGTTTGCTAATATCCTGAAGGACTACGACTGGAGGCTACCGGCAGATTTTACCCATCTGGGACCGAATATCCTTGATGAGCACGGGTATCCAAAGCAGATGGAGTCGCAGCAATTTATAGTCGTCAAGCCTGCCAACGCGGAGCGCGACTGTCGCCTGATTATCACTAAACGTCAGTGACACGTGGCCCACCTGTAGTCAAGTTTGGCGGCCTTTTATTTTATAATTACAAGTGTCTTCTTTTTTATCAGTATATAACGAATAACACGTTGCTTGTTCATGTTCAATCGATCGCATTGCAGTGAGCGCAGGGCTGGAGGTCAATCAAAACCGGGATCGAAGTCTACATCCAAATCGATATCGACATTAATAACGGTAAACATAGGCAAAGGTGTGGTGCTCAAAAACATCAAAGGCTTTATTGGCTTCATTCTCTAGTAAACTAAAAGAAATAAAAGTTAGACTGGACGGCAGCACGCCATGGAAAAAAAGATCGCAGAGCTCACATTTTCATCCCCGTTGCGCGTTGTCGCTGTTCTTGACTAGCGCCTAGTTTGCTTAGTTGTCAGCAATGGTGACCTCAACCTCGACTCCGGGCTCAATGGCAATGGAGGTGATCTGCTTGACGATCTCCGAGGGCGAGTACAGGTCAACAAGACGCTTGTGGATCTTCATCTCAAAGCGGTCCCAGGTCTTGGAACCCTCACCGTTAGGGGTCTTACGGGTGGTGATGTTAAGGCGCTTGGTGGGCATGCGGACGGGGCCCTTAACCTTAAGCTGCTTGTCCTTGGCACGAAGAACAAGGTCGGAGCAGACCTTCTCGAGGTTCTTCACGTTGCGGGAGGTGAGGGTGATGCGGATGCGGTGGATCTGAGCCTCGGTGGTCTCCTGGTAACCGGCCTTCTTAGCGACTTGAGACATTTTAGGTATATTAAAGGTTGAGAAAAAAAGGTAGTTTGGTGTTAGGCAAATGAGCTAAACGAAATGTCCCAGAGGTGACCAAGATTGGAGTTTTGAGTTTAATTCACTGAAAGTGTAAAAAAGAAATTGCAAATTCGAAAAAAGAAAAGAAGAGGAAGAGGAGCAAGGGTGGGCGAAGCCCAGCGGCACGCACAATTAGGCAGCAGGCAAACACACAGGCGGCTGGCAAAGGCGCAGAGGCGCAACCCAGCAGGCAGGCCGGTTTTTACACCTTTTGCTTAGCCCTGTAGTGCCAGGATTGTGTGAGCAAAAATATTTTTATGATCTGGTTGGCAGCACAAGACAGAGAGAAAGAGGAAGAAGGGAAGGGAGGGGGTGATGAGCAAGGGCACGGCCACCATGATTGGATCAATAAAGCGGCGCATACAAACCCTAAAGCAAAGCACGTGATTACCCTGACGCGGTTTTTGAGATGATGTATTATTGTAGTCTCCTCGCAGCAGCAGCTCGAGCTGCCAGCTGCGGGCGGATCGCAGGAGCGCGGGTCACAAAAGCGGCGGTTACAAAAAGTGGCTGCAGATAGACGCGGGAGAAAAAAGGTATACATATATTGGAGCACGAGAGATGGTGGATGGACGAATGAAAAAAGTTATTGAATTTGGTCAGCCGTGAAGGAGCGTGTGCGCTTTGCTAGCGGTGAACTCAGTTTACAGGGCTACGACGATTCCGGATGTGGCGGTGGGTGCATGCGGAGGACCATCGCTGTGACGTTGTCCATGCTCTCGTTGTGCAGCGCGTAGTCCAAAAGTATCTGGCTTGCGTGTGTCGGGTTGGCGCAGTGTAGATGATGTCGACAGCCTCCTGATCCGAGCATACGTCCCACAGGCCATCGCAAGCAAGAATGAGAATGTCGTCGTCATCATTGAGAATTGTCTCTGTGGTGAACGGATTTCCGATGACAAACTGCTTGAGGCCCGGGTCGCCCAGCGAGCGAGTGACTGCAAGGATGCCTACCAAGAAAAGAGAGGTAGAAGATATTAAGAGCAAGACATCACACATAAAATATATCGATGTTGGGAAGTTGTTTTTCAAAGCTCACTCAGTTTTCCCTGGCACGCATGCTACAGGTTATTTGCAAAACCTACCATTTACTCTTCCGTTAAAGACGTAGCCGCCCGACTCAGAGATGCGCTCAATCTCGTGGACATCGTCGCCCTTGTGGTCGTAGGTCAGTCTGGCAGCGTTTCCGCCGCGGCTGAGCACGGCGCGCGCATCGCCGGCATTCGCACAGTAGAGCGTTCGCTGCTGGCGCGTTGCTGGGCTTTTGGAAGGGGCATCGTCGGAATCATCGGTGGCAGATACGCTGTTACTGTCCACCGGAATGTCACGGATTTCCAAGTAGGCAACGACAGCAGTGCAGCCAGAGTTGGTTTTGACATCTGTGGCAAGCCTCCGGTCAGCCTCGACAAATGTCTCGTTGAGAAGCTCGGGTACTGGGAGCTCGGGCCGCTCGCGCTTCAGCTGCAAAAACACCTAGCGCAGCATGGGAAACAAATGCGCACATACACCCGCCGGTAGGTGAGAAGACAAGATATTAGCAAAAAAGGATTCACATACGCGGTCCAATCCTCAAAAATAATTGTTATATTCTTACCTCCGAAAAGTTATCTCCGCACCACTGGGCAGCCTGGCGGCCAGCGTGACCGTCGAATATAGCCATAAAGCACTGGCCCCTGATGCCATCAAAGTCGTACTTGTGGTAGTGTGCGTCCTCCATGGTCCTCCGGTAGCGGCGGTTTTTTGAAAACGACACGCCAATGTGCTCGCATTGGGCGGGGTCGGGGCCGCCAGAAATTCCAGTGGCAGCGGTAGCATTGGCTGTATCGACCGCATTTGGGGGAGCCAACTTCTCGGCAGCGGTGATTCTTTCGGAAGCATCAAACACCAACTCTGGAACAGCTATCGCTGGCTGATCCGTGGCCAACGAAGATGACGACAGGGTCGACAGCAGCCTCGAGCGGAGGGTGTTATCGGCGTCCTTGCTAGCATTCTCAGTATCGATTGGTGGTGGAATTGAGGTCCGCTGCAGCCTCGCGGGCGGCTGAATGGTGCTGGCGGCCGGAAATGTCGATGTGTTTGAAATGACAGGGTTGTCACCTTCAACGTTTACAACAGCAGGACTCCCAATGTCATTGTCACTGCCATCGTTGGGGCTTTTGGTAATTTCGGTGTCCATCGTGGCAGGAGCAGGGTTAGTCAAAACAGTAGGGCGGTCTATGGAGTCGGAGGCAATTATGACAGGAGCAGCATGAATGGGGTGCTGGTGGTTCTGTTCGGTTTGCTTAATTTCAGCCATTCAGTTGTTGGTGTTTGCAAAAAAAGAGAATAAGATTGAGAAGGATTTATGAAAAAAAAGTATAAACTGGTGCAAGCAATTGAAAAAAGAAGCAATATTAAAAGTTCTATTTGAAGCAAAGGAAAAAGTCAAAAGAGGGAAGATGCAAAAAAATAGTACGCAGCTGTGCCCGTAGCAACCAGCCAAGCGTAACAAATAAGCAAAATCAAGCGCATATACATAAGCATATTCCGAAAATAGGTGGTGAAAGTGATGGCGATAATGATGACGACACAAAATATTGGCAGCAGCAGCAGCAGCAGCAGCAGAGACAAAGTACCAGCGCAGCAGCTAGTTGGCTGCCAGATCGCACAGGTCGCCCAGGCTGGAGATGTAGTAGGTGGCCTGGGGCGCGACCGGATCGAGGACAGCAGCCTCGTCAGCAACGCCGGTCAGCACGCACAAGGTGCTGAGGCCGCCTTTGATTCCAAAGAGAATGTCAGTGTCGAGGCGGTCACCGACCATGCAGGAGCGGTGGGGTCGAGCTGGTACTTTTGCATGACACAGTCAAGCATGGGGGTGTTGGGCTTGCCCATGACGAGTGGCGAGCGCTGCGTCGAGTGGATGAGCGTGCTGAGCATGGCGCCGGTGCCAGGGTAGACTGCTTGCCGCCGGGTAGTGTGCGATCGTCGTTGGTGGCAATAAAAAGGCAGCCGGGGTTGAGAGTAAGATTGAGGTGGGCGTTGGCCAGCTTGCGATAGGTGATATCATAGTCAATGCCAAAAACCACGGCTGCGACGTCGGGGTTGGGCTCGACCTCGGCGAGAGTTGCCAGGTTGACAGGCCGGTGTCATCCTCGCCGATGGTTGTAATGCCCACGTCGTGCAGCTCGTTACGAATGCCGATCCACCAATGACATATGCCTTCTTATTGGATGGGAAGCGGGCAACCTCGCTGAGGTACACGGCGGTGGCTAGGCAGAGCTGAATATCTCCTCGACAGAGGCCTGGATGCCGAGCTTGGCAAACTTTGTGACATAGTCCTTACGCGATGTGCCGCTGTTGTTTGTGACGAATATCAGGCGCTTACCGCGGTTGCGGAGCATGCTGAGTGTGGCCTGGACGTTGACAATAGCAGTGGAGCCGCGCCAGATGACGCCGTCACAGTCGAACAGGAAGGTGTCATACTTGTCGACGAGCGTCTGGTAGTCGGTGAGGGTGGAGAGCTTCTGTGGTGCCATGGTAAAGAAAAAGTAACGGCGTGAATATGGTTGAAAGAAGAAAAAAAAGCTGAGAGAACGAGCGAGAGGAGATAGAGAGAGAAAGCAGAATTCACCGCAGCCGGATCGATTGGACTATTTTTAAGCAAAAGCACCACACAATATAGTGCTACCAAACAATTCAGATTCCACATCTGTGGTGGGCGGCTTCACAATAGGATTGATGACTGTGATTCGGCTTTGATTACCAGGCCGGCCAGATCAAGACCGGGATTAAAAAGTCAAAGCGCTGGTCTCGACTGTGGGCAGTGATTGGTTTGGCTGGCGCCCTTGCTTTTTTCACATTTAAAGCAGGCAGGCAGAAAATACAGCAGGCTTGAGGGGGGCTGCACGGCTACTACCACCACAACCATCGGCGGACATGCACCCACTTTGGGCGTGTGGTGTCTGTTGGCAGTTGCGATTGCGCAATCGAGGATTGCACCACGGCCAAGGCGGCGATTGGGCAGAGCGCCAGTTACATGATCTTCAATATGGCGGCCACTTCCGTCTTTGCATACAATCACGAATATAGTTTAAATTTTGCTTGCTGAGCAAAGTATAGTCGTAGTGGGCAAGTTGCTTGGTGGGAGGACTTGGCTGTGCAATAATCACACTCACAGCAGCCACATTCGCACAGCTGCTAGCTGGCCGTGTTTCCATTTTGTTCAGAATCCATCCATCCACCCATCTGTACATTCGTCAACAAAGCGCGCCGTATATAAAGCGAAGGGCGCGCGGCAGGCAGGCCGATCCAAACAACAAAGATAAGGGCAGAACGCGGTAGGATCCATTCGACGACTTATAATATACAATTTTTATCTACTGCATTCACACATTATTTATTCTTCCTCTCTACCACTGATAAGCAAACCACCGCACACCACTGACACAAGGCACCCAAGAAAATGGCTGCATCCGACTTGAAGGGTATGCTGGGCCCACGCCATCGTTGATCGTGGGTCTGCGACTGGGCGGCAAGAAGGCCGCAGTGTTTGGTGAGGGCGCCAGGCAGTTACGCGCGCCATATTTGCCCTGGACGCAGGGGCCAGGTCGTGCTGTACACGGCGGGCAGCATGCCTGCGGCGCTGGGTAAGTGGGCTGAGGCCGGTCGCATCACCCTAGTTGCAGCAGGCAAATACGCTGCGGCTGATCTGGCTGAGTTCAGGTAGCATTCGTGGCCGATGCTGACGCTGCAACGGCAGCAGCGGTTGCGCAGGATGCACACTCAGCCGGCGTGCCGGTTAACGTGGCAGGCAGCGCAACGCTGAGCGACTTTGCCTTGCTGCCGACGTACCGCGGTGCGGCAGGCCTGCAGGTGGCAGTGACAACAAACGGAGTTGCGCCGCGTGTTGCGCAGAGGCTGCTCAAGGAGATCGTCGGGCATCTGCCGGCAGACCTTGAGCCGCAGCTCGGCGAGGTGGTGCGGCTCAGCGCAGCGGCGCCGAGGCTGAACGTGAGCGACAGGCGGCAGTGGCCAAGCTGGAGGCCAGTGGTGCTGAGGGCATTAGCGTCGAGGCGACGGCTGCAAACACACCCGCGCCCGAGTCTGTGGGCTCGGCGGCGGACCACGATGAGCCGCTGGTGGACCTCGGCGCGTTGCGCAGCGGCAGCTCGACCGAGGCCGACGTGCAGAGCGTGGCCGCGTACGCTGCGCACGCGCTGAGCGACCTGTGCTTTGTGTATGCGGCGCGCGAGCAGACGCTGGGTGCAGCGGCACTGGCTTGGTCGCGGCGCGCAGAGAAGAACGCGTTCGGCGGATGGGTGTCGGCGCTGCGCATGCAGACACGCGCCGGCGCTGGCCACGCGCTGTGGGGTGCGCTCGCGTCGGGTGCTCGCGTGGCTGCAATTGCCTCGGCCGAGTCGCTGCCGCTGATGGCACCGGTGCTGGCCGAGCTTGCGGCTCTGCGCCAGCCGCTGGTGTCCATGCGGTCGCAGAGTCCCTGGACGCTGCTGGCGAAGCACACGCCGATTACGCCGACGCACTGGCTGCTCTGCAGACCGGCGCTTTGGTGCTGGCGTCGGCCACGCCGCAGGAGGCCCACGACGTTGGCGTCGTTGCGCACGCCGTTGCTGCCGCTGCTGCAGTGCCGGTTGTGCATGTTGCCAGCGCCGGCAATAGAGTTGAGTCGGTGCGCGCCATTGGCCATGCTCAGCTTGCGCAGTTTGTCGCGGCTGTCGCAGCCGAGTGCAGCGGGCTTGCTGTGGCTGACGCCGTCGACGCTGCCTTTGCGCGCTTCCGGAGCGACTTTGGCCGCACGTACGCGCGCTTTGAGTACAGCGGCAGCGCCAACGCTGAGACGGTCTTTGTTGCTCTGGGGAAGCCGGCCGCCGCTGCCGTTCTGGCGCTGCCATCTCTGCTGCGCGATGCTGCCGCAACAGGTGTCCTGAGCGTGCGCGCGCTGCGCCCGTGGGCCGCCGAGGACCTGGTTGCCAGGATCCCGGCGACTGCGCGCCGCATTGTCGTGCTGGGATGTGCGCGCGACGCAACTGCTGACGCGCTGCGTGCCGACGTGGCGCTGGCTGTGCTTGTCGGGCGCCCTGCCGCGGCAGTCCGCGTGGGCGGCGCCGATGTCTTTGGTGCCAGCAGCACTGGTATTGCTGCCGCGATGCGCGAGACGCTGGGGTTGGCGGCAGTTGAAATTGAGGCCGAGGGCAGGCCGAGAGACGATCGAGGAGACGCTTGAGGATGCGCCCAAAGACGCGCCCGAGCTCAACACCGTTGCCGACCCGCTTGACATTGTGCGCCGCTTGGCGTTCCCCGAGGCGTTCGACACGCAGCTGAGCGCGCGGCCCGGAGAGCGCACATTCAGTGCGGGTGTCGTCAAAGTACCGCATGACGCCGGACTCGTACGACCGCAACATCTTCCACATTGAGTTCGACACGCGCGGCACCGACCTGCGCTACGAGATTGGCGACGCGCTGGGCGTCTTCGGCTGCAACGACGTCGAGTCTGTCGACGCGTTCTGCACGGCCTACAGGCTTGACGCTGACGCTGTTGTCACGGCTGCGCGTGACGGCGAGCAGCGCCACACGCGCTCGGTGCGCGGCTGGCTGACGAATGCGCTGGATCTGTTTGGACGGCCCAGCAAGGGCTTCTACACCGCGCTGGCCGACTTTGCCGTCGATGCCGCAGAGGCTGAGAAGCTGCGCTGGCTGACGACAGCCGACGGTGCCATTGAGTTCCGCGACCGCGTGGCTGACACCGTCACGTACGCCGACTTGCTCCTGGAGTTTGCGTCGGCACGGCCCAGCTTCCTGCGTCTGGTCGACCTGATCGCGCCCATCAAGCCGCGCCACTACTCGATTGCGTCGTCGGCCAAGATGCACCCCGGCAGCGTGCACCTGTGCGTCGTCGCTGTCGAGTGGCGCGACTCGCGTGGCCATGCCCGCACCGGCCAGTGCACGCGCTTCCTCAACACGCTGCGTGTTGGCGACGCGGTCGTCGTCTCTGTCAAGCCGTCGTCATGAAGCTGCCACCTCTTGACTCGCAGCCCGTCATCATGGCTGGTCTCGGAACCGGCATGGCGCCCTTCCGCGCGTTTATCGAGGAGCGTGCCGTGCGCAAGATGCAGGGCGCCGACGTCGGCTCCATGACGTTGTACTTTGGCTCGCGCCACCGCGCCATGGAGTATCTGTATGGCGAGGAGTTCGAGGCCTACCATGCCGACGGGCTTCTGACCAACCTGCGCCTGGCCTTCTCGCGTGACCAGAAGGAGAAGGTCTATATCCAGCACCACATGCGCCAGGACACTGAGATTCTGGCCTCGCAGATGCTGGTTGAGGATGGCTCCTTCTACCTGTGCGGCCCCACCTGGCCCACTGGCGACGTCAAGGACGCCATGGTCAACGCCTTCACTACTATGGGCGGCGTCAAGCCCGGCGACGCAAACAAGGTCATTGAGGAGTTGAAGGAGAGTGAGCGGTACATCCTGGAGGTGTACTGATTGACTTTGACAGGGACGAGGACTGTCATTGAACCGTCTTTTCTCTCGAGTCTGGGGCCACTTGTGCACGTGCGTCATCCCAATATGCCAATACAGGCCACTATAGTTTTTATTTTAACTGTGTAAAACTTTTTAAATACAATAACGCAACTTAGCCAAACTCGCCCACCATACACACATACAAGCATACAAGCACACGCCATCACATCACATCACATCACATTAGATTTACACCAGACCATGTCGTATGACAATGCTCCTATGAACTCACGGGCCCCCTCATACCAGTACCAGTACCAGGGCCAGGGCCAGGGACAAAGCCAGAGTCAGAATCAGCACATGTTTGGTCTCCCGCCACCGCCGCCACCTCCCACATTTCCATGGCCATGAGGCCGCCGTACCCGCTTCCAGCTTCCCGGCCCAAGATCCGGCACCCGAACCGGCCGCCATGCCTCACGCCGTCGAAGACAGTGTACATTCGCAACCTGAACGAAAAGACAAAGCCGGTGGTTCTGGCCGCCGCGCTCAGGGCGCTCTTCGAGACATACGGGCCCGTCCTGACGTGCGCGTCCGCCACAGCCTGCGCATGCGTGGCCAGGCCTTTATCGTCTTCAAGGACACCGAGCATGCTGTCCGTGCCCACTCGGAAGTGCAGGGCTTCATGCTTTTTGACAAGCCCATGTTCATCGAGTTTCGCGCCAGCCTTCCGATGCCACATTGCCGACCAGGGCGGTGACACCGATGCCTTCAAGACCCACCGATCCAGGAGCGAGACGCGCGCGAGCGAGACGCCCAGGCGCGTGTTTTGGCACAGCCTCAGGCGGAGGCCGCATTGGCGTCTGCGGCTATCACTGCAATTTCGGCGCTGCCGCCTGGCGTTGAGATCCCAAACTCCATCTTGTTCCTGCAGGGCCTGCCCGCCGACATTGCTGTCGCGGAGATAGAGGCCGCCTTTGCGCTTTCGACGGCCTCGTTGAGGTCCGCTGGGTCTCTGTCAAGCCCGATGTAGCTTTTGTCGAGTTCCGTTCTGAGATCCAAGCTGCATTTGCAAAGTCATCCCTCGCCTCGCAGTTGTCCCTGCGCGAAGGCGCCTCGCCCGTATCCGTCTCCTTCGCCAACCGCTGAGACCTTGAGTGGATATTTCGAATCCACCTCAGAGATTTTGACCAGATATTATCCAACCACACCAACCATTTAAGCAGAGTATGCATGGAATATTTTGTTGGTTGCATTATCCAAGCTGTGCTCCTAGCCCGCTAAAATAATATCTTGTGTCGATCTTTGGAGGCGGTAATCATTTGAGTCGCCTTATTTCAACCTGTAAACTGCAGCAACTTGCCGTCCACTATTTGTGCTTTTTTCGTTTTTCAGAATTTGGTGTTGAAAAAACGGTACGCTCATTTATTAAAAATATAAAATATAAAATAAAAAAATATATTCACAACGAACACCAGCCAGTCCACCCACTTAGCTTGGTGTTAATTCCAATATAAATACAAGCCAAAAAAAATATTAATATAAAAAAGCAAATTTATATGTGTAAATTTACTTACCTGGTGTGCATGTTGGCGGTCGATTAAAATTATATTTAAAAATGTATTATCTAAAAAGAAAAGAGAAGAGGAAGAAAAAACATTTATTTTATGTTTCAGCCGTCTTAATTTTTTCGATGATCAGTAACCAGCCAAAATATAATGCCAAAATTAAAATACATCACGCGATATTGCTGGCCAAAAACTATTTTTCCAGATTTTTTTGAAAATGCGGGGAAATATTAAAGGGGAAAAAATTGTATTATTTTTATACTTTTGTATAATGCAATTATCACGAATAATACAAAGAGGGAAAATGATAAAAATGTTTATTTTATTTTTATCTTTTGCGGCATCATATATTTATTTTGCGGCATCTTTGACCAACACAGACGACGATGATAACAAAAATGTACAATTACGAGATACACAGCACAGTACTACCAGCTACCATTTCCGGCTATCGTCACAACAGTGACAATATCAGAAACAAAAACAGCAGCAATAGTGTTTGTGCACACACTGTACGAGAAGCAGGGCTACACCAATTTTATTTAATGCTACTTGCCACTCCTGGGCATTATCATGAGCGAGCAGTTTTTTGCAGGCATCATCTGCCACCTTGCCGACTTCAGTCAGGTGGTCTTCATCCCATGTGAAGTTGTAAAGGATACGAATGATTGTTGCCAAGTGGTCAGTAATTGGCAAAAGATTTTATTTTTATCTGATATGTAAATAAATAAACAGAGCATATTTATATTTACCATTATTATATCTTGGCACTAGAGCGAAAAGGGCTACTTTTTTATCCGCAGCTTTGTGCTTTATTCTTCCTGGCATTATAAATTTAGAAAGGGTGTTGAAGCGTACAAAAATTAACTTTGGATTTTCTTTGTAAACCAAGTTTTTTTATAAATTTTTATAAATATGATGCCAAAAGAGCAGGATATAAGCTCGTCTAAGCCGAGAGGCTACGAGCTACTGTATTAATGCTGGATGGGCATTTATACAGTAGCATTTAAGGAGTTTACATTGCCTATAAAAGGCAATTAGGGAAGTCTCAATAGAGGCTTCCCTAGTGAATTTTAGAAAATAGTTTGAATATAGAATTCTATGATACAAAAAATAGTTTTTGAAAAACTATTTTGTGTATAATAGATGCTTTTACGTGAAATATCCTTTGCAACTCAAAAAGCTTGGTTTCACGCGTAAAGTGCGTAAATACATTAACACGGCTTTATAAATAATAGTGTTACGCAGCCCGAGGATATGGAGGTAGACGCTGAGGGGAAAGCCATGAGACAGATTCTCGTCAGCTCACAGATGGTCTGATATGGGGCAAATCACAGGGGTTCAAATTAGGCGCCACAATTGACATCCGGACATACTGCCTGTCCCGAAATGAATATGCTGGGCGCAAGAATACAGCATGCCATATGCCATATCAAAGACCCAGGTTACTTTCATAAGGACAAGTTCTCGCGAACAGAGCACACAACTGCCAGTGAGTGCCACAAAACAAGGAATATATATAAGGCAAGATCGGCAATAATAGCACTTTAGAAACACTAGTAATAAAAACCTTTATAATTTCACACCCATTCTTTAACATTATTACAGTAGTCCTCCCCACCCCTGTAATAAAACTTATTCGTACTAACTAATTTTAAAAATCCACTATAAGGGAGCTTAAAGAGCTCCGCTTATCTATTCGAAACTATCGCCCGTTAAAAATAGAAATCGCGATCGTAAACAATCATAATTTCAAACAATGGCAATTTCACAATTGCAATCATCACGTGACAACACAATAATTGATATCACAACCCCCCTCTTACATAGAAATAGAATAAACCATTTTTACTGTCTTATATAAAGCAAATGTATCCTTTTTTAAAAAACAAAGCCTAAAAGCCAAATAGGTTTTTTTTTAAAAATAACGTATGTAAAAATAAAGTATATACACAATAATTTGTTTTACAAATAAAATACATATACATAAGAATGTAGTAGCATTAAATGTAATTACATCGTATTAGACGAATTTTACATTTTCACATTTTCACATTTTCACATTTTCATTCTATTTCAATTATTTTTATTTTTATTATGCCCATTAGCATTGCGGCGCTCCTCAACCTCTATAAAATGCATTATCCCTATTTCCTGCGCTATGCATGAGCATGTCGTTACCGTTCACCGGGTTACTTCAGCCTTATACGAGCTCGCGCAGTATATATTTTTACAGGGGATGGACAACGAGGGGTTTAATATGGTCAACTATTTGAATCAAGGGGTTTTCAAGGGATACTTTGTCGCCCTTTGCCTCACCTCTGGAAACAAACCATGTAGAAGCAATTTAAACAATGCCAATAAAAATGGTTAACACAGGCACACATTCATCAAGGAGACCAGGTTTGAGTGTCTGCAGCCCATTAAGGCGGCCAAGGTTCAGATTATGAGGGAACGGCTATTCTGCAGCATACACATTGCATGTATCACAGTGCTTCAACCGGCAGTTAAAACATTTGGTCGACATCACGCTTGACGTAAAAAAAGGACAGAAGATCAATACAATGAACTTGAGAACGAGGGCAGGCTTACTGAGAGGAAATCCGGCAGCTGATTAGCAAGGATATTAGGATTTCGGCGGGCACAATGAAGAGTGATTTTCTCTCTGCTATGACCAGCAGAGCCGGCAAACAGATCGACACGAAATGGATCCCAACCCTGTGCTTCGCGATGGGATAGAGCGCCTGATAGAGAGAATCTTTGGGACCTACCCCGAGGACTATAGTTTCAGCGACAAGGGACTAAAGTACGACTCTTCAGCTAATACAGTTAAACACATTGTGACTTTTGTTGAGGTCTTCCGGCTGTTAAATGTCAAGGGTATGCGGAAGATTTCCCTTTTCCCAACGATAACTTCAGTGTATCGGGGCTTACTACTATCGACAAGACCATCCTTATTCAGATCATTTTTCTGTTGCAAAGAGCCAGCTCAAAGTGGTACACAAGGATAAGCTTTGCCTGTATATTGATATATCCAAAACTCCATCTAACAGAGCTCAATGACAAGTCGCCCGGGGAGGGTTGGTCCCGATTTTATGATATCTCTTGCTGGTCGTCCACACTCGATACTAGAAGGGCACCCAAACCGTACACATTCGGAGAGCTTATTCGTATGGATAGCATTGTAATTATCGTATTGCTCGACTCAACCGCAAACACAAAGGCCAAGAATGCCAAGGCCAAGAAGGATTCACAGTCTCAGAAGTGTTCTGACGATACAGATAACAGCAACAGCAATGGCGGCAACAAAAACAGCAATGTTGTAACCTGCAGTAAGAAGGCTTCCCCTCCCGATTACATTGATGCTTTGCTTTGCCTAAACCTATCATTCATGGTATTGTTGATAAAGCAGTTATTTGTGATCCAGGCCGTAGGGATATGTTATATTGTCTGGGATATAAAAGTAGCTACAAAAAGGGTGAGATACTTATACTTGTATTTTGCTATACCAAGAATTCTGAGGCTAATAAACGACGTGAACGCGTGTTTTGGGAGAGCATTATCACAACATGGAGACCCTCGGCAAGAGCCAGAAATATGACGGCAATAGCTCAACTGACCCCTTGTATCGCAAGCTCCGCTATCTTTCTTTTGTCAACAAAAACGCGCTGACGTCAAACTCGCAAAATCTGGATCAGATTCAGTCCTAATTATTAGTAATTTGACCCAGGCATAACCCGTTTCCATGAGCCAATTCGTGGGAAGGGGTTGCGGGAAATGCTTATCAGCCAGGGATTCATCGTTTATTGATCGACAAGTATTGTACTTCAACATTTTGCCCACATGGAGAGTAGGATGGAGGAATTTCACAAAATTGATGATCCTTGTTTGAAGAATTTCAAGCACATGTACCACGCTGCAATGAAAGCAGCACATCAGCATCCAATCTCGTCACAGCCGCAACAAACACCGCTGGTAATTCCGTCGCAGCAGCAGCAGCCACCGTTTCTATCGCAGCAGCATCATCATCATCTAATTGCGTTGCAGTTGCAACCACTTCAGCCGCTGCGTCTGTCGCAGCAGCAGCCACCGCCGTTTATGTTGCAATTAAAACTGCTGCCGCTGCTGCATCAACTATTAACAGCGAGCAGCAGAGTCGCGACTGGTGGGTGCCCATTCGCCCACAGTCTACCGATATCATCCGGTGGATAGGGGAGGAAAAGGGCTGGTCTGAGACAAATTGACAGCAAAATTAAGCAGCAGGTGCAGGATGAGAAGGCTGAGCAAAATCGGGAGCAGTACAGCAATGTCCAGCCTGCCGATAATCTCAAGCATATTGTCAGGCTGAGCGGCTGGTCGTAGGGCAAGGTCAAGCGCAAAATCAGACAGAGGATACGCGATGAGTTGGCTGTGCAGAAGCAGCAGGTAACTGCAACTGGCGTTAATACAATTCCGGCGGTAGAAAAACCTCGCCAAATTTTATGCCACGGCTTGCTTCAGTGTACAGTGGAGGACTGCTTGCAAACCTTTAGGGCCGACGGAACCAAGATCAAGGATGGCGAAAAAGTGCCATCAGGCAGACGGAAGTGGAATCGTGACACGGCTGCAGTGCTAAACTTTCGCATCATTCTTAATACCCTGCTTACAGGCGAGCGGCCTCTCCGTTTTTCATGTAAATAGGCGCCGTTCGAGTTGGCTGAAGCCGAGTCTACAGCGATACCCGAGACTTTGTCCAAGCCAAAGCCCAAGATCAAGCGTGTGCGCAAGAGTCCATCTTCCCCTGCTTCTTCTCTTCAAAAGAAGCAGCGAACTGATTAATATCGTCAACCATAGTGGTCTATTGCCACTAGTTTCTAAACATGATAGGTTGCTAGTCAATCTATTTAAGGGAAGGATGTCGGTTTATAGTATATTTGTAGCCTCATTCTTTTCCTATAGTGTCAGGAATCATAGATCCATTTTTGTTTGATCGCGGCGCGTTCAAGAAAAGTCTTTTTCCCCTTTTTTTCTGTGGTCTGCAGATAAAATTCCTTTTAATTATTTTTCTTTCTCATTTCCCATCGTCACTGCTGTACTAATTAGCAATTAACTAAAATCGCACTCAGTGAATGGAGATCGTCTCGGAAATTTTGCCATTGCCTGGCCTGGCGCCTGGCGAGGCTGTTGCCGGAGGAATCGCTGGCGGAATCACCACAGGTCAGTGGTCCTTGCCCCATGCACCCGCTATGCCACTGCTCTACCGATTCACCTCGCGTCTGCTTGAAGTCCGCAACCTTGCAACAGCAGCTCTCGACATGCCCGAAGCCCTGGCCACCCTCAGTACGGCCCAGCTCCAAGCGGGTATTTCCGAGGAGCTGGAAATATCGATGGTCACTCCTGTTCATCTCAACCAGACCACCCATTTTTGATTATTCTGCGCGAGCCCGTCGCCAAAGCCATGAGGCTCTGCGTGTTCAACCCATTCACCCTTCTCATACATCCCATTTCCACGCCCGTGTACCACAGAATTCGCTCGATTAGCGTTCGGCACCACTCAGCGCTGGAAGCGGTACCTCGACCGAGTGGGAGTATCTGTTGTGTGCTTTGGCTTATCGGCGGTCGCAGCCTGATTGGGAACCTCACTATTGGCCCCGATGGCTCGCAGCTAACCGCCTTGGAAAAGCTGGTCATTGCTGGACATAAAAGCGACGTGTCGTGCTCGTTCTCCCGCGAGGCTCCTGGTACTAACGGTCGCTCACTCGTGTTTTTGGGCCTAGAATCCGGAAACGTCGCCGTGGTCGAATACTGCCCGTACGGCCTGAATCGGACGCGCATCATTGGAATCGTCCCCGTGGGAAAGCCCCAGTTGGGTTCGGTCGCGCGCATATCCGCCGCCATTGTCGGAAGCGGTCGCTTCGTACTGGCTGTCGGCCACAGCGCGAGCGTTCACAGCAAGGTCCACAGTGACAGAAAAAGTTCTTTGGCAGCCGTGTCTGTGCATTCTATTGCCTTTGGTGGCGACAAGATATCCCAAGCGCATGTCGATATCACTCAAATTGGAACGGTTTTCTTGCAGCTGTTGACTTACGACGAGTACGACCAAAATCGGATCCCACAAAGCACCAATTACCAACGCGGATATCGTGGACTTGGCGGTTGTTGATATTGGCAACAGCACTCAGACGGGGGCGCAGACGCGCCGCGTTCCATAGTTGTTGCAGTGCTTGCCAGCACTTCCGTTGATGACACCATCAGCGGGCCTTACTCCCGCAGTGGGCCTGCACCCGGTTCACGCAACAGGCTTCTGCACACGCTGTTTAACGCGTGGGCTTTCAATGAACAGACGCTGGAGCTTGTCACGATTTCCAGCCAAAATTCCACGGTCTCCGACGCCGTGCTGGGTATGCAAATATCGGGCTCTGCAGCACAAATTGACATTGTCACCGGAAGAAAAGTACTAATTGGAGACGCGCTCTCCGACAGCCTCAGTCTAATTAGCGTTGGTGCCGCTGTCACTGTCGGCGCGGGAGCAGCAGGTGCGGTTACTTATGCCGCAGGGGCAGCATTTGCCAATCACGGCATTGGGAAGCCTCTTGACATCAGCGAATATATTGAAGTTGAGCATGATTTTGCATACTCATCTCCGTGTGCAGCGCATTGTCAGAGCAGCGGCGTCGCATGGATGGCGAGCTTTTCATAGACATGCTGCTTAGCATGGCTGACGTCACCGGGGGCGATGCCGCTAGCACTTATCCACCTAGGTCCTTCACAGAGATGCGCGCCTTTGTGGAGCGCATCGGGGCCAGCGACCTGGACGACCTCAAGCAGCACTGTATTGCGTACTACTTGCTTTTGGATATGTCGGCAGTTGTACTGTTATCTAGCCACGACGTGTATGTCGAGTCCGATATTGATCCGACATCACTTAACAAAGCGGCAGCCAAGTACGCCGCCGACAAATTTATACCTTGCCACTTTGAGTATCTGATGCGTGGGTACTGGCTGATGGACCACTCGCAGACTGTTGCCGGCGTGTCGTACCTCGCCGATCCCTGCGTCATTGCTGACTGGGCGCCAAAGGTCTTGCGCACAACCGTTGCCGCCGGGTATCATCTCGACGCCGCCCGGTTTTTAAACAGCGCCACGGCGCTCATGCAGCCGCGGCTCGAGGAGCTGCCATCCGAGGCACCGGTAGTCATGGACGTGTTTTTGCACTGCGACTTTGATAGGGCATTTTCGTTCCAACGCCACATATCTTCTTTCTTGGAGCTGCGTCAGGCGCTTCTTACGCAGCTGTTTGCCTTTGCACTCTCACCACACGCTCATCGCAGCACTGTCGACCGATTGGCCATGCTGCCGTTTGACGACACTGAAGAGGCGGCGCTTGAGACGTACTGCCTGCTGCCCGAGACTGCAGCTCATGCAAGGGACTTTCTGGCGCTGCACTATGTCAACCGCGGTCGTTATGCCGAGGCAATTCGTCTGTTCCGCGCGACTGCCAAGACTGATGCTGGCCAGCATCTCACTGCCGTCCAGAAGAGGAAGCGCGATGAGCGCTTGGCGATGGCACAGAATCTGATACTGCTGCTGCCGGCTGCCCAGAGGTGGGTGATTGAGGAACTCGAATCGATCAACGGCGAAACCGCTACGACGGCGGGCTCGGAGGGCTCAGCCCATGGTTCTAGCAGTGCACTGGCTTTGCGGCGGGGTCTGTCTTTTGTTCCGCTAAGTGCGTCAAAAACGGCCCGCCAGCTGCGGCCAGTGGTTAGCGCACATGGTGCAGCGCAGAGCGCATCGCACCCGCTGCTTCGTGTTTTGATCAAGCAAATGACAGTGGTCAAGCCAGTCGCTTCTGACATAGAGTTGGCTCCCTCTTCTCCTTGCGAAGCTGTGGATTCTGATTTGCCATCTGCCGATCTACAGACATCGGACGACGACGACAACGATGACAGTTCGATGTCTGTGTCCGAGACTCAGCCAGAGACACCCAAGGCCAAGCGCGATTCGGCTTCATCGACGACGGCAAAAAGCACGTGGTCAACGCCAATGACCTCATTCCCTGATCGCACGCTGCGCTCACCGGCATCTCGCAGTGGCGCTGCGTTTAGCCCTAGAGCAAACACCGCCAATGCGCGCTCGGTGACACCATTGCACTCTGCCAGTACTCCGCGATCAGGCGTGCAGCGAGTGCCGTTTTCCGGACCACCGACAACGCCTCGCACGGACAATGTGTTGGACATGTTCGCGGATATGACACCCACGGTGTCTGGAAATTGGGCTGCTGCCAACCAGAACGCTGGGAACAACATTCTGGCCAAGGCTTCTGCCGCTGTTGAGTCGCTGTCACCCTCGCCCTCGCATTCGCTAGCCAGGCGTACTTCTGGTGGATTTGTTTCTGCCTCTGCCTCTGCCTCTGCCATATCTACCAGCCGTTCGCCATTCGCTAAGGCAAGGCTGATGTCGATTAACAGCAACAGCAGCAGCGATAACAATAACAACGGCAACTTGAGCCACCGGTATAGCCCAATCGAAGAGCAGCTGAGGGATGAGGGTGATACCATCATCAGCACTACTGCTGCCCACAGCGTGAGCTTGGGGTTGACAGACCCCAACAGCGACGCCAAAGACAGCTCAGGTGACGCGCCTGCAAAGGTAACCGCAAAAAGCGCGGGTCCAAGTCTCGCACCAAGCGGCCCAAGCCGGTCTCGTTGTACCCAGCCGCTGATGACACCGTTGCAGTTGGCGATTCCGAGTCAATTACGGCGAGCAGCAAGGCGAGCGCGCGCAATTACGAGAGGTCGGTGTGCCAGTCTGCAGAGCCGGAGGCAGTTGCGCCAAAGCAGTCGTCCAGGGTTCGCAAGCGCACAGTGGAGTGAAGCTAAGGCCTTTGTTTGTTCGATTCATATTTGTAAGTGATATGTGGCTTCTTTCGTAACAATATAGCATACCAAATTTATTATTTACTGGTAACAAGTTATCATTACCCACGTGTTGATTGCTCAGACAGCTAATCAAGTGAACCGAACAGGAATCCCCAATCCCTCGCTGAAGCAGTTGAAGCAGTTGAGGGTGATGCGCATTTTTAGGCTTGCCGTAATATCTATGTTCCAAAAGCGCTGTCTGATTTCAGTCACTATTTCTTTAGGTGGGGAAATTGCGTCATCCACAAGAGCCACGCCAGTTGCAACTTGTGCTGTGCCATCAATAATGGAGGTAGCAATGCTTGCAACTGAGTTTTGGCCATCCAAAAGAGGGTCAGCGTTAATAAATATAACAAGAATAATTTTTTTTTTGGAGAATGCTACAATAATAATTTGAAAATATATATTACCAAGTCATCATACCCACCACTGTCTCTCACTTGCTGATAACAGACAGCAAGTCGACTTGCTTGCCGCCAAGATTTGTCAGTCCCAGGTAGCCAGCACACTCACGCTGGATCTCGAGCACAAAGAGAATCAACACGATGAAAAGATTGTTACGGCCGGCCGTGACGTCGTAGAATGACCCTTGACAAACAGGCAAAAGTGGGGCCTCTTGCGCACGACCTGGATAATCTGTGCCGGGAGGTTGTGGTCTGGCTTGCGGTCGGGCTGGAGCACAAAACGATCGGTAAACGGGTAGCGTGTGTTTTGCACGGGCGGCATTGTCTGGTCCATGAAGGTACAGAACAGATGAAAGAGCAGCTGTGCATCAGTGGGGTGCTGGGCCTGGTTCCATGGCTGCTCGCGGGTGCCTGGGTATCGCCCGCAGGGGCTGGGCCGACAGTTGTAGTGGCGGCATTAACGCTGGTTACATAGTTGCCTCCTCCGTCAAACTTGTATGCCGGGAGGGCGCCGCTCTGCGAAAGGGTGTGCACGCGCTGAACAATGTACTCTCTGCAGTTGAAGCCAGGGATGAGCAGGTACTTTTCCAATGCCATGCGCTCCTTGGTCTGGGGCAGATCAGCATACTTTACCGACAGTTCAACCAAATTCTGAGGAATAGTTTGCTGCGCGGGCTGGTTCGTGGTCGAGTAGTTGGTGGCACCGAAGCTGCCTCCGAAACCGCCACCAAGTGCCGATGTGCCAAGGCCTGATCCAAACTGGCCAAGTCCGGTCGGCACCGCGCTGGCCTTGGCCTGTTCGAGGGCCTGAGTGTCGAGCACCGCACGCCTGCACGACAGATGGCCCAGCCGTTCTGCTCAAACAGGTGGTCAAGCTCGCCAATCTGCTTGCAAAGCGGACGAAGCAGGTGGCGCACAAACCACGAGTGCATGTTTTCGACCCAGTCAAAGATATCGCGCTCCACGCCGTACTTCTCCAGCACCTCGTGCGGCTCCTGGTAGTCAACCTCACCAGCTGCGCGTTCCTTGTTTGTGCCCTTCATACCCTCGCCGCCAGTCCTGCGGCTGACCGGGGTGGCTGTCTGGTACAGACCAATGGTCAGCTGGGGGCGCAAGTGCTGCTGCGGAGTAATAGGCATAATATCGTTGAATGCGTACCGGCCCACCGGAAGGCGGGGCGTAGCCAGGTTCGACCCAGCCAAGCCGCTTGACATGAGGGGGTTGGCCAAAGAAATACTGGCGCTAGGGCGCGTCTGGGAGGGCGTGCCCTGAGCATTTTCTGCGGCAGCGGTGGCAGCGTTGATGCCAGGAACCTTTTTCAAAACCTGGGTAAGCGTGAGAAAGTCGCTGGCGGTCGAGTAGTCGGCGTGCACTGAATTCACTGACAGCGAGAGCGGCGAGCGCAGGGCGTGCGGGGTTGCCATTAAAGCGACTGTTCCCCTGCTGGGGGTGTTGCGGCGAATCTCAATGTCGGTTACCCGGGCCGGGGTATGGGTTTTAGTGGAGACCTTGGAGGGCGTCATGCAGGGAGCAGCAATCGGGGGCCTCTTTGCCGTGGACACTGCGCGCGAATCGAGCCCCATACGCAACCTCTGGCTTGGGGTCATGGCAAGGCTCGTGTACTGTTTTTTCGGCTGGAGCAGGCACCACACAGCATCGCCAATGTTATATACCAGGAGACCCAAGCTGGTCCACTCGACAAAAAACCACACAAAGGCAGGGGTAATGCCTGTCGCCTGACCGTAGCTTTTCACGTGGTGATATATGCCTGTGTGCGAGATCCAAGCAGCCACAACGAGGATGGCCACGTTCCACCGCAGACGGAGCGTGCTCTGGTGCTCGCTTTGATGCGACACTTGCTCATTAAGCAGCCGCTGTGCCTCTGGATTGAACCACTTCCCTCGGGGCGTGGCCGCGCTTCCCTGTGCTGCTGCTGGCTGGTAAGTGGCGGAGACGATGGCGATAGCGCAGACGGAGGCTGCTGGTATCTGGCTGGGGTTCTGAATGGCGTCGACATGTGTGCGGTGGTAGGTGGGGCCAAGCCAGCAGGCGCTCTGTGGACGGGCGTCTTAAAGCTGTCCATGCGCAGCGTGGATAAGTGGAATGTGAAAGCGACGATTAATCTGAAAGCAAAAGCAAAAGTGAATCTACAGTGATAAAAGTCAAATCAGAGAGGTTTTTAAAAAGTTACAAGGTGGGAGAGAGAGAGAATTGGAACCAGGCGAACAGGTAAGTAGCAGTGTTAAAAAAAAAGATTTGAAAAAGAAAAGATTTAAAAATGCGAATCGCGAAAGGGAAAGAAGGAAAAAAGGCAGAAAATTTTTATTGCCTGTTTGTTTTCTGGCACGCAAAATCGGATCACAAGAAAAAGTGTGCTTTGTACCATACATGCGCCAAAATGGGCTGGGCGCGCGCATTGGGCGTTAAAATATAAAAAGAAGGTGTGGCTGGGTGCGCAATCTCACTGAGCAGAGCGTATATTTTTATTTTTATTTTTTTATATCTTGTCATATTACACACACACCACATTTTTTGTAAGCGAAAATCCAAGTATCGATCGACTCAAGGCCAGGCAATGAGCGGGGTGAATGCATACGGCGGACAGAAAAAGACAGATAGCTTCCGGCGCAACTGGGACAGCGAGTTGTATGATAAGAAGGCGCGCGACCGGGAGCAGCAGAGCAAACTCGATGAGGAGGACGCGGAGCGGCGGCGCAAGGGGCTGAAGCCACGCTCACAGCAGACGCGCGGCAACGGCAATGGCAGCGACGAAGCAGCCGCGGGAGCTGCTGCAGGCACGCAAGCAGGCGGTAAATCTGGAGGGCATGATGGGCAGGGTGCAGGTGGTGCAGGCGTCGGCAACGGCGGCTGGGCAGCCGGGTTCTATTGCAAAGTGTGCGACGTGACGGTCAAGGACAGCCTGACGTACCTGGACCACATCAACGGAAAGAACCACCAGCGCATGCTCAACCGCAGCATGAGCGTGGCGCGCGAGACGGTCGACGACGTGCTGGCCAAGCTACAGGCGCTGCGTGATGCCCGCGGCGCCAGCAGGAGCAGAGCACCAGCGAGTACAGCTTCCATGACCAGGTCAGGCGGCAACAGCAGCTGGACGCTGACAGGAGGCAGCGGCGCAAGGACGCGCAGCGGCGGCGGCGCCAGGAGAGGGCCGGCAGCGGCGATGACAATAATATAATGACAGCGACAACGGGGTTGGGTCGATGATGGGGTTTGCGGCGTTTGGGTCGAGCAAAAAGAGGTAGCGTCTGGTGTTTTATTAATGCGAATTGAGTTTTCAGATGTACGTCACGTGCGTGCCCATTTTGAATGTGCTCCACAGGCGGCGGGCGACGGCGTTGAGCAGCGGCGGCAGCCGGAAGCGCTGCGCGACCAGGCGCAGCACGGCGGCGACCACAGCCAGCGTGAGCACCGTCAGCCCCCAGCGCGACATGAGCGGCGGACGATCCGCCATGCGGCAGCGGCAGCGCTCTGCGGCGGCGGCCTGCGGGCCAGGGGCATGCGTGTCGCAGCGGGCCTCGTCGGCATCAAAGCGGCCCTTGTGGGGCGGCGGCCGAGACGCATGTGCGAAGACCGACTGCGTCTGAAGAAGGATCTATTTTCTTTCTGCTGGCCGTCTGGGGGCCGTGCGGTCTTCGCCGGCTTGGGCGGCCGCGTCTTCTGGCGCCTCCTGGGCGGCGCGCGCAGCGAGTCCAGGCGGCGCGCGCACTCGTCCTTGGCGGCAGCCGGCACGATGGCCGACGCGGCCAGGAAGGCGTGTGCGGCCGCAAAGTCGCCCAGCTGCGGCAGCACGTGCAGCGTGTACAGCTCGCACACGCGCATGTACGATGCCAGCGGCATGGCGTGCTCGGGCCGGGCGCCAGCAGCAGCGCCTGTGCGTCGGGCGGCAGCGTCGCCAGCCACGCCTCGACGAACTCGCGCGCGGCCGGAGCGTCGCGCAGCTTGAGGCAGAGCAGCACGGTGGGCACCAGCACCTCGCTGTCCACACAGCCGGGCGCCCGCCAAAGGCCTGCACGATGCGCGCCCACACGATGCGCACCGACGCTGGGAAGGCGGCCAGCGCCATGTTGTGTTTGGGCTGCAGGCTGCCGTCCTGGGCCGCCGGCTCGGCCAGGCTGCTCAGCACGCAGATGTACAGGATCCACATGCGGCAGCACAGCTGGCGCGCCTGGTGCTCGCCGTAGTCGCCGGCCAGCTGCGCGATGCTGCAGTGGTGCACCGCGTCGCAGCAGTGCGCCCACGCCACCGCGCCCTGCCCCAGAATCAGCGCGCGCGACGCGCGCTGGTGCAGCGCCTTCAGCCGGGCGTTGAGCGGGTCGTCTGGATGCGCCTTGCGGTGGGCGCGGGGCGGCGGCAATGTATGGGCGTGTGCAGTCAGAGCGGCAGGCATGCGGATGCGGGGTGTGGATGTGGATGTGGATGTGGATGTGGATGGAATGGAAATGGAATGGAATGGAATTCCAACTAAATGGAGCGAATGCGGAGGATAAAAGTACAGAAATTGTCGAATCGAATCAATGCGAGGAGAAGGCCGGGCAACGCACAGGGAAAAAAACGGGCGAAAGAAAAATGCACGCATGCATGCGCCTCCCTCGGCTTTCAGCTGAAAGGGCAATTAGCCGTGGGCGGGGTCATCATGCGCACAATTGCTGCCCGGGATCGGGTGGGAGGGACAGCCGCGCCGAGAGAAAGCAGCGGCTGGGTTGCAAGGGCTGAAAGCCCGCTGCGCTGCGCCGCGCTGCGCGCCTGGCTCACTGCTGGTCCGCCAGCGCCGTAATCTCCACCGCGTGCTGCGAGTAAAAGTACAGCACAAAGGCCGCGTCCGCACCGTGGCCCCAGGCGGCCGGCACGACCAGGTAGTCGGCGCCGCCGATGCGCGTCGGCTGCGTGGCGACGCCCTGCGGCGAGTTGGCAAAGCTGCCCGACGACGCGCACGGCTCGGCGGCGCCGGCCTCGAAGATGGCGACGCTGACCAGCGGCAGCGGATCGGCGCGCGGCGTCTGCAGCCGCACAAGCACACTGCACCCGGCCGGCGGCTGCACCAGGAAGCGCGGCGGCGGCGCGCCCGGCGTCCAGCGGCCGTGCAGCTCGCGCAGCCGCATGCCGGCGCCCTCGCGCGCAATCGGCGCCAGCGCGAACGGCGCGTCCAGCCCGACGGTCAGCGTGAAGCGCGAGAACAGAAACGGCTCGAACGTCGACGCCACCAGCGTGTAGCTGCCAGGCTCCAGCGCGTCCAGCGCGCACGTGCAGAAGCGCGCGCGGTACTTGCCGGAGGACGCGACCGTGTTGGCCTCCAGCACGCGCGTCACCAGGAAGCCGGTGCGGAACACGCGCACGTTGACCGCGTGGGCCTGCGCGGCGCGCAGCGCCACCACGCCGCTCGCGCGCGCCGCCACCGTCAGCCGGTACTGCGGGTTGTCGAGGTAGCGCGGCGCCGCCGAGTTGCCGCCGGCCGACGCGCTGCCCCACTGGCCCTGCACGGCCTCGCTGAACGCCGGCTGCGGCGCGCGGCTCAGCTGCAGCGCCGCGTCGCCAAACAGCCGCAGCGTGAAGAACAGCGACGCGGTCTTGTCGCGCTGCGCGACCACCAGCGTGTAGCGCGCCCCGGCCGCCGCCGAGAGCCGCACCAGCACGTGCGGCGCGTTGGTATACTCGCCAATCAGCAGCGCGCCGCGCGGCTCGTAGACGCGCTGCCCGTCGGCATACACGTGCAGCGCGATGAAGTCGCCGTTGGGCGCGGTCTTGAGCAGGTGCTTTGAGAGCAGCGCCCAGACCGTGGCTGGCTTGGCGTTGGCGTTGGCGTGGCGTTGGCGTTGGCGTGCGTTGGCGGCTTGGCGTTGGCTTTGGCTTGGTGCCGCCGCCGCCGCCGCCGCCGCCCACCACCACTGTGAACTGCGGGTTGCCGCTAAAGTCGTACAGCGCCTGCTGCGGCCCGGCGCCCGCCGCCCACTCAAAGTGCGTGGCCGCGCTGTGCGCAAAGGCGCGCGGGTCCCAGTTGAGGTGGATGGCGTCGAAGTGCTGGCACGCCGACGCGTAGTCGATCCAGAACAGCCCGCAGTCCTCGCGCTCGGCCGCCGGGTCGTACCCCAGCGCGCGCATCAGCGCCGGCGTCCAGCGCGCCGCGTCGTCGGGGCTGAAGCGCCCGGTCCACCGCAGCGCGCTCCACGGGTTCTTGAGCTTGAGCAGCCGCTCGCCGCACACCTCGCGCACGTCCAGCACCGCGTACGCGTGCGCCGGAACCAGCCCTAGCGCGCCAGCCGCCGTCGCGCCGATCTCGCCGGTTGCGATCGTCGCCAGCACCGTGCCGTGCCGCGCGCCGTCGGCCAGCCGCGCCCACGTGGCGCCGGCGTCAAAGCCCGCGTCGTGCACAAACACGTGCTCGGGCACCCAGCCGGTCAGCACGTGCAGGTCTGTGCTGGAGTTGGACCCGGGGAAGTCGTAGCCGCCCATGACCTTGAGGAACGCCTTCTCCAGCAGGCTGGGCCCGATGTCGCCGCGCGTCGAGTACGTGCACAGCAGCCGCCCGCCGGCGCCGGCCGGCAGCCGGTCGTCAATCACCACGCGGCGCCACAGCCCGTTGACGAACAGCTTGACCAGGTACTTGCCGCTGCCGCTGACTGCCGCCTGCCCGCGCCGCCGCGGGTACACGTGCCGCGTCACCACCTGCCGCGAAAACTGCCGCTCGTGCTCGACGCTGGCGCACAGCGCCGCCACGAACGAGCAGTCGGTGACCATCTCCTGCACGATGTGCTCGCACCCGGCCTGCGCGAACATCGTGCAGCCAGCCGCCAGCCCAGCGCGCCGCCACCGCACCAGCCGCCGCTGCTGCTTGGCCGACAGCGCCGGCAGGCCGTCCTTGTCGCTGAACACCGCGCCGCCGAACGCCTCGCCGCTATCGCCTCGCACCCACGGCAGAAACGTCAGCCCATTGACTAGTGACGTGCGCCGGACAACGCTGCCTCTTCGCGCGTCAGCAGCTGAGCATCGGCGTTGGCGTCAGAGTCGGAGTCGGAGTCACTGTCGGAGTCGGGGCCACCGTCAGAGGCGGAGCCACCGGCCAGCGCCATTCCATTGCCGCCTTTACGCTCTCCGCCTCGCTCAGGCACAAATTCGCGAACCGCCGCAGCTCGCGCACCCAGTCGCCGCCCGCGGCCCTCTCCTGCTGCAGGACCTTCTGGTAGCTGCCGATCCCATCGATGTACAGGCCCAGCGCTGCATCCGTCTGCCCCCGCCGCTGCGCCAGCCGCGCGCCCCTCAGCGCCGACTGCGCGTGCTCCAAGTCGCCGCCGTGCGATGGCTTGTTTGCCAGCTGTCGCAGAAGCTGGCTTGCCCGATCAGCGTACTCGCCAAACTTTGCCCCCAGTGCCACCGGCTGCCGGCCCTCCACCGCGCCCTTCCCCGCTGCCCGCAGCATTGCTTTTAGCGCATCGTTGTAGCTGCACAGCGCCGAGCTGTACCTGCCGCCTGCATCTGCCGACACCGCCTTGGTGGCGTGCTCTGTTATTTTGCCCAACAACTCGCCCGGACTTGGGCTTGTGCTTGTGCTTGTGCTTGCGCCTGCGCCTGACATTGTATCCACCTCACTTTAAATATCGTCTCGCCTCGTCTCGTCTCGTCACTGTTCCTACTGGCTTCTGCGTACTGCGCGCTGAGCCAGGCTTTTTTATTCCGAGTTGTAACAAAATATGAAAAGCAAAAATATTTTTTCTTCTTTTTTCCCCTGAATGCCCCAAATGCGCTCAAATTCCGTGTCGGTCTAAAGTCTTTTATATATGTATATATTCCTGCAAAGAAAAAACGAATGTACAGTAAAAAAAAACACCCTGAATGGCGAATTCAAAACCTCAACCTAAAAATAAAAGCAAAAGCAAAGTTTGGCTAAATAAATAAGTTTTAATTTTTAAATTGTATCCCCGATTTGATGATGCTCACAAAGCGACAGCATCAGAAAAAAATCAATTCATATTCAGTAATTAATTTCCCATATACGAATCTCTACCGCCCAAACACTCATCCTTATCCCTATCGGAGCCGGCGGTACTGAGGGGCAAAGTGCCAGATTGAGCTCAAGACAGCAGATCGCCATCAGACAATCAACACAGCACAGCACAGCAAAATACATGCCGTTTTGCTTTGCTGGGATGACACCTAGATCCCACCAATGCCCAACCCAATCCTTGATCCAGATCCAGCTCCAGACCACCCGCATTGTTCGATTCGCCATCATCTGCCCCATACATCTCGGTGTCGCTGCCGCCGTCGCCGCCGTAGGATAACCCGTCAGCATTTTCGAGGCCGGTCAATGAGTCCTGCCTGTAAACCCCAGCTCTGCTGCTTTGCACTTGGGATGCTGGATACCCGCGGCCTCCTCAGTTTCGACCCGGCTGAATCCGTCAGCATCACCGATGTTTGTGCTTCCGAGACTGTCTCTATCGATGTCAATTGCCAGGTGCTCTTCGCGGTACCGCTTAGAATACATATGAATACCGCCGTCGTAGGACGGCGGCCCGACGCTGAGGGCAGAACACGAGTCTCCAGAATCGTGCTCAGCCTGGCTAGCGTCCAAAAGAACACAGTCCGAGGCATGCTGGTACATTGGCGGCGGCAGCCGTATTCCCTCGGGCGGTGCAAGGCCCCATAGCGCATGTTCGCGTGCGACAAAACAAACGCGCGCACTCCGACATTGACATTGACGCTGCATGGACCGTCGGCCGACACAATCGGGTACAGCCGCTTCTGGACCCACGGCGTTCTGATATGGCAGACAATGGCGCCGTTGATTGCAAAAAACATCTTGCCCGAGTACGGCCTCCACCCGACCCCACAGTGTCGCTCGTGCGGGCGCGGATGCACTTGCGGCAAGCGTCCAGCGGATGGGAGTAGTACGCCGCGCCGTCGATGGTGTGGTAAGCGACCGAGTTGTTGGCCCACCCGGCCATGCGCAGCGGCGGGTAGCTTTTCATTGCCACGCCGATCGCCACGTTCGTGCCCTCTGGCAGACTGTCCAGCCGCACCTCAAAGTAGTACACGCGCTGTTCATTAGGAAACTGCAAGTTGGCCATTAGAGACTGCTCCCCCCCTGTGAACTCAATTTCGTTGCCATTTTGCACGGTGACGCCAGTGTTTTCGACTGCCGGCACAAACTCCCAGGCACTGGCCCCGTTCTCGATCACGTACTCGAGCTCGCTGCCGACAATGGTTCCCTCGCTATTGTCAATCGGATGCGTTTTTGCGTACTCGCATGCATAGACATAGTTGTGCTTCGCGCGGCTATTCTTAAGCTTTTCCAAAACCTCTTCAGTGCCCAGCCGGTGGATTTCCTCGCGCCTTCTGTCTCGAGCCATGCGCCGCTCATGGCGAATGCTTGTGGACCTGATCTGTGTAGCTATTCTGGAATCCAGACGCACATTCGCACAATGGGAACTGAAAGCCGCGCGCACGGCCGAAGCGCAGATAAAACCAACGAGAGCTACGAGGATGCATACGCACACAGCGGTGACAACGGCGATAGCTGCGGGCTCATCATGATGTTAAATGGGCCGACGTGTTCTGGTTACTTAGTAATGCGAGATATCAACTTGAGAGAAATAATAGTTAAGTATATTGCCGCCGTTTTATAATTGTAACAGAAATTAGAATGGCTTCTTTGGCTTTACACAGGGAATAAGCCAGAAATAAGTTGCAGAAATTGACATGTTTAATGGTAGTGTAGTATCTGGGCGATGTTGTGAGAGAACGGAGAAAGATAAGTGTCGGTCCAATTGCGCCATTTGTTTGTCTGCACCTTGCGTTATGCACACACACACAAATAATAATGTTTTGGACCCTGTGCGACAACTTTATTTGCATCAGAGAATCAAGGACCGCTTTGCTCTTGATTAAATCGATCGAACGGACGTCATCAACGCCAAGTACATGTGGTGTGTTTGGCAAGGCGCCAATAGCCACGCAGTTCCTATTTGCACCAATTTTTCATACGTGTAAAAGTTCCCCAGATCATTGGAATCGCATCCGGCCGAATGTGCGCAACCTTGCTCACTTATTTATTCGATTTTCCTGTTGACGGACGAGCGTGGGAAATACAAGATTTGGCTTCATTTCCCTCCTCCCACTTTACGCTGCGCTGCGCCCCATGTTTAAAAGGGTGTGAGTGCGTGGGAAAAAAACAATAAGAAAGACAAATGGTTTATAAGCACACCCCCCCTGCAGTTGAACCTCCTTTGCGTTTGCTTTGTCTGTCAACATTGACATATATTTCATATTTCATCACTAGAATTCTCCTGTATTTTATTTTATTACTTAGCAAAGCGCATCGCCTCTCGCCAACATCCCGCACCAATGAACCCGTCAGCACTCCCGCGCATACTTCCCGGTCTGAGGGGCTCGCGAGCACTGCGCTGGACCCACACCCGCTTGGGCCAGCTGCAGCGCACGTTTGACAAAGCTCTGCCGCAAGCGCACTGCCCCTTGACCGCTGGATTTTCCACATCCTCCTGTGTCCCGCGCAAAAAGGTCATGTTCCCAGGCGCACTGGACTCCGAATATACACACGAGCTCCGATTTGCTTCGAATGTGGAGTCAATCCCGACATACCAAGTCATGGACACTGACGGCAAGGTTTTAGACGCCGCGAATGACCCCCAAGTAACCGAGGAGGAGGCAAGGAAGATTTACAAGAATATGCACGTTCTTAATGTCATGGATCAGATCATGTACGAGGCGCAGCGCCAGGCCGCATCAGCTTTTACATGACAAACTTTGGCGAAGAGGCCCTAATCGGCAGCGCAGCCGCGCTCGATCCCAGGGACCAAGTGTTTGGACAGTACCGCGAGGCCGGTGTGCTGCTGCAGCGCGGCTTCACAATCCAGCAGTTTATGGACCAGTGCTACTCAACGAAAAGGACTTGGGAAAAGGCCGCCAGATGCCGATTCACTACGGGACCAAGGAGCTTCACTTCCAAACAATCTCGTCGCCTCTGGCAACTCAGATCCCCCAGGCCGCTGGTGCAGCCTACGCCATGCGCCGTGAGGGCAAAAAGCTGTGCGCGATGTGCTACTTTGGAGAGGGCGCGGCCAGCGAGGGCGACTTTCACGCAGGACTCAATATGGCGGCCACCATTGGCTGCCCGTGATATTTTTTTGCCGCAATAACGGCTATTCCATTTCCACACCGTCGATTGAGCAGTACCGCGGCGACGGCATAGCCAGTCGTGGAATCGGGTATGGCATCGACACCATCCGTGTGGATGGCAACGACATCTGGGCTATATACGCAGCAACCAAGGCAGCGCGCAAGATTGCCGTCGAGCAGAATAAGCCCATTCTCATCGAGGCAATGACATACCGCATCAGCCACCACAGTACGTCAGACGACTCTTCAGCGTACCGCTCAAAGAAGGAGGTTGAAGACTGGAGCAAGCGCGATAACCCAGTGTCTCGCATGCGTGCCTGGATGGAGAGCAAGGGCTGGTGGGCCAAGGGCGATGATGCTGAAATCACAAAGTCGGCCAAGGCGAGGTGCTCAAGGCCTTCACCGTCTCCGAGCAGCTGAAAAAGCCCTCTATCCAGCACTTGTTTGAAGATGTTTACGACGAGCTCCCGCTTGAGCTTCAAAGAGAGAAGGCCGAGGTCGAAGCGCTCATCAAGAAGTACCCTGACTACTACCAGGTCAACGAGTTTTCAAAGTAAATACATGCATACTGCTCAAAAAGAGCCAGTGCCATTGCACCGCGATTCGCATTCCGTTTGTTTTGCTTTTGCTTTAGTATAAATTGGTTCAATATATATGAGAGGAAACACATCCTGCATAAAAAGGGAAATAAATGTACGCCGTTCGGCAATGTCAATTAAAATTAGAGACCCTGCCTCTGCTCGACGAGTCGTTGTACTTATAAAGGTGCCATCGTACCGAGTGTATCCTGTGAAAAGTCGACATTGAGGCCGTCAAAGATGCTTCGCGGTGACCTATTCTCGTAGCAGATCTGGTATATGTTTGTGAACAGCGGGAAATGGTCCGTGACGCCACAGCCATCAATGTACGAAAACACCTCGCCAGCAGTCAGGTAGCCCTGCAGCTTCTGGCCATTGAGCATCTCCTGCTCGAGCTGGTGCATGGGCTTTCCAGTCTTGACAAAGGCCTCTGCCAAAAGGCGGTTGCGGCCGCCGTAGCAGGTCGTGATGACATCGCGATGCCGCAGCTCTCGTTGAACGTCGACTCTTGGATTTGAGCACCAGATATGTGCATTGCCAGGCGGCGCATCTCGAGGAAGCCGATACGGATGATCGCGGCCTTTGTGTTGTTGCCCAGGCCCAATCCGTCGATAAATCCGGCGCCAACTGCGACAATATTCTTCAATGCGCCGCAGAATTCGACGCCAATGACGTCGCTGACGCAGTTGACCTGAAAGTAGGGCTTGTTGAACAGAGACCGCCATATGATAGCCTCGTCGGGTCGGAGCAGCCAATTGTAGTCTCGCAGTACTTCTCCTCGGCGATTTCATTAGCAATGTTTGCGCCGCTCAAGCACGAAACGGGGATGGCCAGCGTGCGGTGGATGATCTGGGTCATTGTGGTCATCCCCTGATTGCTGATCCCATGCCCTTGATCAACGATATGGCGCGCGCGTTGGGCAGCGTGTGGCCGTGAATGGTGTTGAGCAGGTTCTGTATAAACTGGTGCGGGATGACGACAATGATGTGCGTGGCGCCCTTCACTGCTTCAGCGGCATCGGCACAGCGATGACGTTTTGGGCAGCTTGTGGCCGGGCAAGTACCTATCAAAAGTTGCGAGTAGAGTTTTCGGTGTCGAAAGATGCGCGGGTGTGTCAGTAAAGTATTTGCTCTGCCCGCTGCTAGGGATGATGGTCCCAAAAGAACTGAAAACATTAAACATTTTTTACAGGTACTTACTTGACGTTCTCGTGCTGGGTGTTGATAATGTCGGTGAGCTTCTTGCCGTCAACCATCTCCTCGTAGACCCAGATCTTGACGTCGTTGTCAAAGGCAGGCAACTTGGTGACGTTGCTGCCGACGATTCTGGCGGCGGTGGAACCCCTACGTTATTGTGGCAAATCAGAAATAAAATGTGAGCGCAGACCGATTATTAGCCGGAGTTAGAGTGCCAAAATATTGCTTGAAGACAGACAAAAAATACGAAAAATCTCAATGTTGACAAGAAACAGCCAGCCAGCCGGGTGGTGGTGGTTATGTTGGTGGTTGATCACACGTACCAGTTGCCGGATCCAAGGATGCAGACCTTGTTTTTTGGAGTAGAAGAGGCCATGACAGTGTTGTGTGTTGAATAAAAAGATGCAAGCAAAGGGGAAGGATGAGGAGAAAAGCGACCGATGGTCCTATTTCTTGTGGTGCTGCTGCTAAAGATAAAGCGGCTGTGAGCGGGGAGTGCAGATTTGCTATATGGCTACAAATATTGCCACGTATTTGGACGCTCGCGAAATTAACGGCACGGGCAAATGCAGATAAAACCATCATCACTCGTGCACTTTTTTTAATGTTTTTTGCTGGATTCGGGGAGTGGGGAGCGAAAGGGAGTGAAGGCATGAGTTGATAAGCAAAAGGGCAAGCTTGGGGCCAGAGCCCTTTGTTAACGCAAGGCAGCTTTCATCGATCAAAACTTTTTATTTCATTGGGACATCGTTTGTGGCTGGCTTGTTTGTCTGTCTGCTCATTTGATTATTTACTTGCAGCCCCAATCCCACAGCTCGCTTTGCTAATTGCGCGAGGACGTGTGCATCTCGCTGCCTGGCTATGTGCGGCGCTTTTGTTTGTTCAAAAAATTGAGATAAAAATATATGTATATGTATGTATCGAAAGGCATTACAGAGGAACCGCTCGCCAGGGCAGACCTAGAGATTCAATATGACAGCGAGTTGCTCGCGAGCTCCGTTGTGGTATTGGTGCCAAGCATGGCGGAGACCACCTTGAACTTCTTCTGCACTTGCTTGAGCCGATCGGCAAAGTTGGCACCCTCAATGTTGGTCATGGGCACCTCATCGAGGATGGCCTGGATCTCTAGCAGTTTCTTCTGCACCCGCGCAGGCACAATTTCGGGGTGTGTGTCAGCCGCCTTGAGCCACTGCTGCGTCCATCCCTGATAGAACCCCAGGTCTTTGCCAAGATCAAATCCATTCTCGCAGCCCATCACCCGGCCATCAATGTGCCAATGGACTTGCCCGCCTCCAGGCCCATGATATACCCAGAGTCCTCGAACCTACGCAAGTCATAGCGTGATAGAGACCGAGATACTAATGCTGTTAGTTTGTGTTACAATGCGTGTGCAAATATTTGTTCAGGGCGGCCGAAAAGCGACCAACGAATGCGAGAAACAAGCGATGCTTACTCGTCTTCAATGTTGATCACACTGTCAAAGGGATCATCGCTCATGATCGTTGTCGTTATGTGATAATAAGAGGAGCTGTATAGAAGGGGTGAAGAGTATGCAATATATACGTAAGCTGAACAGAGGCCAGGGAAGGAAAGGAGCCTTTATTTTTTAAAAAATAAAAAAGCAATTTTAGAATTTACGTGGTTAATTTCAAAGCACTGATTCTTGCTGCATTATGCGTCGAGTCACGTATTAGCAGAGCTGGTTTTTTTTATTTTTACTTTTGGCCTTCAGGCAACTGCAAAAAAAAATAAAGAACAGCTGGCCAGGCCTGCTAGCTTTTAAAGCACACGAACATCTGCCACAGAAAAAGTGAGTGAGCGGTCACACAAGTTGATTTTTTTATTCATCCCTTTTTTGCGTCAAATATGGCGCCAAGGAAAAGAGAAAAAAAACACTGCTTTTATTTTGCTGTAAATTCCACTTTTATATATTTTTACTTTCCTTCCTTTATTTCTCCCCTTTTCGCCTTTTCCCTTTTATTTCCTCTTCATTCTCACATTAATTAACGCTCCATTTCCACAGCCGGAGAATTGTATTGCTCTGTTGTTTGACGCAGCATTTTCACGTTATTTTTTAGTTACGCTACAGCCAAAGAGCCTTTTAAAAAGGGACACGCCAGAAACATTTGTCCTATCATTATTGGCCAGAGCATACTTGCACACAAAGTATAACGTTAGCATTTGAAATTCAGACACTGAAATGGCGAGCACCAAATGGTGCTAGCCGTAGCTACTGCTGCCACGTCACTGGGGGCCTGGGCGTTGCAGGGTGCGATCGCCGCCCGACCACAAATCACAACTTTGACGCCTGGGGGTATTACACAACTCCACTGGCCAACGTGCGCCTCACAGTCGCAGAGGGCGAGGGCGGCGGCGAAGACGACGAGTTGGTGACGATTCTTATACTGTAGTGGCGCTTTTCGGAGCTCTGTTTGGGGTGGGCGCGCTGTTCTTGCTGTTCTATGTGTGCTCGCTTGTCGTGCGGCAAGTGCGTGGCGCTGTGTTTGGCATGGGTGAGGATGGTGTGTCTGAGCGCTTGCGCAGGCAGCTTCTGACAGACGATGACTCGCGGCAGAGCTATGAAATGGGACGCGCATTTGAACAACAGTATCCGTACGGCAGCATAAACACGCGCTTACAGATGAGCAGCAGGCCGAGATTCGCGAAAAGGGCGTCGATGCGTGGGAGTTTGTTGTGGACCTGGACGTCAACGCCATGCTGCAGAGCAAGACTGAGGTTTTATTCATGGGCGGCGAGAACTGTGTGCAAACCAACCTGCCCTTGCCAAAGATCAACTCTGTTACTACTTTGAAGTCAAAATAGTCGAGAAGCCGGTGGACGTCAACATGTGGATTGGCCTGGCCACCAAGCCGTACCTGCGTGGAGGATGACCGGCTGGAACAAGTACTCAGTAGGTTTTTGCGCTAACAACGGCAGCGTGCACCAGAACAGCCCTTTCAAGGGCACGCGCATTGGCGAGCAGCTGTTTGTGGGTGATATCCTGGAATTGGCTTCCAGCCGCGCAGCGGGGTGGTGTGGTTTACGCGCAACGGCCGCCGCTACAAGGCCATATCCTCGGGCATGCTATACGATGTGTTTCCGACGATTTCAGCTGACGGCCCGTGTTCGTTCAGCGCCAACTTTGGCCAGCGTGGATTCGTCTTTATCGAGGCCAATGTCAAGCGATGGGGATTCGGGCCCATTGAGGGTGCCATGCTGCCTCCACCGATCTATGGCGCCAACCAGAACACGATTTTGCTCGAAACAGCGGTGGCCTCTTCTGAGAGCGAGGACGATGACGGCGGCTCGGACGAATCAGAGAGCATTTCTGTCAGCACACCCGAATTGACAGCCGTTCTTGAAGACAGCGTTGCCATTGACATTTCCAGCACTGCTGCCTCGGTGGAAGCTCTCGTCCCGCATCCGAGCTCGTCTCGGCGGCAGCGCAGGCGGCAGCCAGGTAAGAATCGGCCGCCGCACTACGAGGAGGAGGACCCGATCGCAGCGCAGCTTCTCGAGGCGGGGGGACTTCGCTCGAGCCAGTGGTGACGTATCGCAACAAGCAACCCGATATTTTGCACTCGCAAGATAGTGAAAGCATGGGCTTTGACGCTGCTGGCCAATTTGCTTGAATCCTGTGGATCTTCATCACAGTTGTCACAGCCATGACCGAACAAGCTTCTCACTGTATCATCGACTGCACCACACTCTCTAATCGACCACGCCTTACATTCTGGCTTGCCAGCTCCCCATGCATCAGCGTGGCTTTCTTTAGTCTGCCTCATCCCTGCCCTCCAACTCTCAAATTGTATTTCTTCTCTTTTTTCATTGTTTTCTGGAAAATAAACATTTACTGTTTTATCCACAATAAACCTGCAAACAAAGCAATGGCGTCGGTCACCGGGAAAACTCGAACGTTGCCTACACATCGCGGCGCTCAGCTGTCTATGGCACTCGGTACATGGTTGCCTCGACGCAGCCGCTGGCAACCAACGCGGGTGTACAATTCTAGAGCAAGGGGGCAATGCGGCTGACGCGGCAATAGCCGTGGCGCGGCGCTGGGCGTGACGGAGCCCTTTTCAACCGGGCTGGGCGGCGACTGCTTCTGTCTTTTTTACAGCGCCAAAGAGAAAAAAGTGCATGGGCTCAATGGATCAGGCCGTGCGCCGGCAGCGCTGACTATCGACAGACTACGGCGCGAGTTTGGAGTCGCTGGGGATGAGATACCAGCACACAGCGCGCACGCGGCCACTGTGCCGGGTGCGGCGGCCGGGTGGGTCGATACGCTGCAGCTATTTGGTTCGGGCCGCATGTCCTGGCTGACGTGCTGCAGCCGGCAATTTGTTGGCGATAGTGGATTCCCAGTTGGAGAGCTGACCTCTCCATTCTGGCGTGACGGAGCAAAACTGCTGACCACGGCATCGCCAAACGGCAGCGAACTTTTAATTAACGGCGCGGGTCCGCTGCCAGGGCAGGTTTTCCGAAATACAGCGCTGGCATCAACAATGCGGCTGCTGGCACAGGATGGGGCTCGCGGGTTCTATGAGGGGCCCGTTGCCAGTGCAATTATTGATTGTTTGAAAGAAAGCGGCTGTGTCATGACGCTCGACGATCTGTGCGCGCACCACAGCTCGACAGAGGAGCCCATTTCATATGAATACCGCGGGCATCGGCTGCATGAGTGCGCACCCAATTGCAGCGGCCTGGCTGCGCTTCTTGCCCTGGATAGTCGATGCGCTGGAAAATTCTCGGACTGTGCCGCCTGTCCGGGATATGGCCCACAACAGCGCCGAGCACCTGCATATGGTCATTGAAGCCCTGCGCCTGGCATTTGCTGACGCGCGTCGCTACGTGTGTGATCCTGATTTTTCCTCTATTCCTGTATTGCAGCTGCTTTCGCCTGCGTACCTGGCTGCGCGTGCTGCGTGCTTTGACCCCGGAAGCGCCGCTGCTAGCGTCACGCATGGCACACCACTGGGTGGCTCGGACACAGTTACTTTAGCGTGGTCGACGCCGAGGGGAATGCGTGCAGCTTTGTCAACTCGACATTCCACCCCTTTGGTACTGGCATTGTGCCGCGCGGATGTGGTTTTGCACTGCAGGATCGTGGCTGCCTGTTCAGCCTGGACCCAGCCCATCCAAACTGCCTCGAACCAAGGAAAAGACCATACCACACAATCATACCAGCAATAGTCACGACCGACGGTGACCTGTTCATGTCTTATGGCATCATGGGCGGGTTCAACCAGCCGCAGGCCCACTTGCAGGTCTTGCTAAATATTGTCTGCTTCGGAATGAACCCCAGCAGGCACTCGATGCCCCGCGCATCTGCATCCAAGTCAGGACGGCCGCGTGGCAATTGAGGACGGCATCTCTCAACATACCATAGACCAGCTGCAACGCATGGGCCACAGCGTCTACATTGTGACTGGGCTGCAGCGCTCATTGTTCGGCCGCGGCCAGGTCATCAGGCAGTACACAGACCAGCTATTGGGGTCCGCGTGCTTGTGGCTGGCTCTGATCCACGGTCGGACGGCCAGGCCACGGGCTGCTAATGGTCTAGCGGCTGATAAATTATTTTTTAAACTGCGCTTTTTTCACCGATCCTAGTCAGGCCTTTCCCCCTGTACTGATCTCGAGTATATTTTTGACGTTACAAATCGCAGTAACTGCTTCACCAATAACAAACATACAAACGCGGAATAATAAAAACGGGTTCATCAACTGGCAGACAATGAATTATCTGGCGAAATAGCATACCGCCTGCTTTAAATCAAGTTTGAAGTTGAAAAACGACCACACGTGTGTGAGAATTTTTCTGTTCATGCCAGTTGCATGTTTTTTTTGGGCTGCTAATTTTTCCGTCGTATTTTTCTGATAAACACTGCATGCAGAGTCGGATTCATATGTGTCGATCTCTTTCTGCGCCAAACATGTCTGTTGTTGCACGCGGATTGTGGTTGTGACCGATGCCACCTTGAAATGCAAAGCTGCCGAGAAAGAGAAGCCCGACCTTTGGGGTGATTTATTTTTATTTTTATTTGTGGCCCGGCTCAAAACAGGCTCCAAAGACGAAAACGGAAAGCAAAGTCAAAGAAAGACTTTGGCCCTTTTTGCAGCTACTATAGTATTTACCTATTTATTGTGATAGCAAGCTTGTTTTTATTCCATCTTTTCTTTTTCACTTTTCACCTTTCATCTTTCATTATTAGCTTTTCATTAGCTTTGGCTTTTTTCTTTTATCATTCTAGCACTTTTATCATCAATAGGCGACAATTCATCTGGGGACTCTGCCTTTTAAAGATGATTATTGATACTGCTGACCCGAACAATGTTGTCAGCGCATTTGGCTTTGTATGGCCAGAGGCCCTGCGTATCCACGGCTCTGTCATCCGCCTCGCATTCCCGTCAGTGCTGTTCATGACTGGATACGGCGTTGGCATTGCATTCCTCATCAGAGAATACCCTGGCCTTGCCATCAACATCTCGGCACTGTCGCTGGTCTCACTGGTACTGTCCCTCCTGCTGGTCTTCCGCACAAACTCAGCCTACGATCGCTACTGGGAGGGCAGAAAGACCTGGCAGGATCTCAAGGTCAACTCGCGCAACCTCATCCGCTCGTACTGGGTCTGCGTCATGGAAAAATCCATTGAGGACAGCGTGGTGAAGCGCCAGGCCATGAAGAATGTCGCCGCATTCATCATCTCCATCAAGCACTACTTACGCGGCGAGGACGGCCTCGAGCATGCCGACTACGACGGCCTGCTGTCGCCCGATTTCCGCTTGCACTTTTCTACACGCAGCGCCGCATACAACTACGGAGCCATCCCAGCCTCTGGTAGCAACAGCCCTGAGATGGTCGTTGGCCACGGCCAGCTTTACCACACCCAGGAGACTACCGAGGGCTGGCAGCGGACCAGCGACATTCCGCTTCCCTCGCAGATTCTTTACGAGCTGCAAAAGTTTACCGAGCACATCCAGGACAACCATCTTGTACATTTGCAGTTTTACGCCAATCTTCTTGGTGGTCTCAACACGCTCGGTAATATGCTCGGCAACTGCGAGCGCATTGTCTCGACCCCCATTCCATTGGCATATCGCATCCACCTGCACCACGCTCTGTACCTGTACCTGCTCATTCTGCCGTGGGCTCTGGGCTCCATGGGCTTGGCAAAGACCATTATCCTTCAGTTTGTTATCTCATTCATGATGATTGGCATCGACTGCATCTCGCGCGAGATTCAGAACCCATTCGGCTACGACGCTAATGATCTGCCTCTCGACGCCTACTGCGAAGCCGTACTGGTTGAGCTCAGCTACGCCCTCCACCACCGCGCTCCGAAGGCCCTCGCGACGACTGAGGACACCATTGCCAGCACGGTTGCAAACGCCAAGGACGCTGGTGACTCTGGCGATACCGTGTAGGCGCTCAGCCCAGGCTGAAATTGGTCTGATGGCAAAAAGCGGTTGCCAATCAATAGCCAACCAAAAACAACCCAACAATTATCCATTTTTCATATTTAAAGCAACCATTTTTAGTACATATAAATCAGTCCGAAAATTGTCCAAATTTTCGCACAAACGAAGAGAAAGAAAAGTTTGGTTGGTCGAATTGACGGGTATTAATCTTGGCCCATTTGTGTTGGGCTGGCAACGCATTTGCGCTTTGGCATTTGAGACGAAGGAGTGCTGCTGGTTACTCGATGGTGCATGACCCCCCAAATGCCCTCCCTTCCCCTGATTCCTAACTCTTTTTTCTATATAATATGGACGACCTTACTCATATTCAAGATATTGGGGCATGTATTATTTTAAATTTTTCGTTGAATAGTTGCCGACACACATGTAAAAAATTCAGCTTTGTTGTTTTGTTTTCCCTTTTCTGTTTCCTTTGTGAGCAGAATTTTTCTCGACAGCTGCTATTGGTTTTTTTTTGGCGCAAATAAAGCATCATTTTTATTATTCCTTTTTTTGTTAGCACCTTGAAGTTTTCTCTCCTAAAATACCTCTTTCTTCAAAACATTCGACACACAAGTAAAACCCAATATCTCCAACATTTGTGCCGCTCTACACACAGATATATTTTACAACTCTTTAACTGCCTTTTACCGCCTCAAAGCATAGCATTCGAAGGTTTACTTGTACAGGGTATCGCTGTGATGTCTAATGGCATCAGCTCCAGACTGCAGCAGTTCCAGCACTACACAGATAATGGGCACCAAGATGATTTGGCGCAATTGGCGCTAGGACATCCAGCAGCAGGATTTGGCCGACAAGCAAGCTATGCGCGCATCCCGGCCAGGAAGGGGCTTGCTGCCGACCTGATAAATAAGTTTAACCGGCTCTCCAAAACAACACCAGAGAAACAGCAGCACTGGTCAAGGGCTTCTTTTCGCCGCAGCCGTCGGTGGAAGAAACGCTGGATACTTTGAGTTTAATGTTAACTCGGGTGCAGTGAAAATGGCACAACAACTCGGCCATAGCCCAAGACAGATCCAAGAACAAAAACAAAAACAAGCCCAGACCAGAACCAGAACCAGAACCAGATGCAGCAGCAGCATAATGAGCATTATTAGCACTCGGCAATAACTTGCATATGAAGCCAAAGCCAAACCCAGAGCCGGACCAGAGCCAGTACCAGAGACAGATGTGGGGGCTATGGACATTCAGACTGATGGCATGCTTCCGCCGGAAGACAGCTCTGGCAGTGGTTTGCATTCGCGCACCGAACCGCCTCTCGGATCGCACATCGGGATTGCGCGGGAGTCGCTGTTTCTGAGCGACAGCCAGTTGGACCGCGCGCTGTTTGAGATCCACGAGTTTAGCCGAAACATGAACATCCTGCTCGACAGCGACGATATGTGAAGGCCAAAGGAAAATACACAAGGCGCAGCGGCAGCTAATTGCTGCGTTCAACGCTTGCTTTTTTGTAAATCCGATCAGCACACATTCATTTCTCCATCGCCGGCGGATCGAGCCAATTTGGCGCATCTGTGCTCACGTGCACTTGGTCAGTTGCGCCATCTGTACTTCAAAGAAATTCCGTGGCAGCAAGCATGATGCTGCGCATCATCACACGCACCAAACCGGGTATGAAAAGGATGACCGCCCTCTTCGCGCCGCATTTTCACTTTCGATTTTTCACTTTATATTTCTTACCAATTACCATTACACGCATTCGCCCGTTCATTCGCCTGTCTTCATTTTATTTAATATCTCTAATTACGTCGTTTCCAAACTCTTCACGTGCACGCATATTCCGCTCTGTTCTGCTACGCCAGCCCCGCCAGCCGCATTGGGAAACCGATGCAGTTCTTTTTGAAACAGCCACTCATTCGCTGAAATGGAAAATTACAGAAACCAGCCGGATTCCGAAGAGAATGCCTGGTCAACCGTCTTGACCGCGCTTCCGACCTCGGGCGCAAACATGAATTCGGAAGAGGAGCAAGAGTATGAGAACGAGAACGAGAATGAGGAGCCTGCGCCAGCCACATTGCCGGTGGCGACAGCGCGGAGCATGTCTTCGAACAACAGCCGGACACCGCAACTAAAGGCTGCCGCGCACAGCCGCGGTCTAACAAGCACGCTCAGCGGACGCAGGCAAAGGCAGGAGCTGCTATCACATGACATACATCAGCAACACCGCTCGCCATCAGCCGCGAGCACAGCACCAGACATGTTTGACTCACAGACGCCGATCGACGCGCCGCCGGCTTTTGCCACCCGTCGAAACAGCAGTCGCGCTGCGCAGGACTCCCTCGGCAAAACCAACAACAACTGGCGCCCAAAGGGCAGAGCGCGTGGAGTGACAGCTCGCGTCGCACCTCTGGCTACAAAAACACAAGCATTGGGCCAGAGCCGATACAGTCTTTGGAAATGCCGATGAGGATGACGACGATGAAGATGCGCCGCCGCCAGAGTCGCTTTTGGTTGAAGTCTCGCCACAGAAGCACAGCGAGCCCCCCGCCGCGCCTGTGCGCCGGTACACATTCTCGCGGGAGCAGGGGATCAACTGGGCCAACGCGCAGCCTCAGAGGCCGGCTCCCGAACCAAGCAGCAGCGGGGTGGTGGCACCACAGGCTTTGTCAGGCGCGCAGCACACGCGGTCCACAGCCGCATCCAGGACATCAGCAGCCATGCGGCCGACGCCCCGCGCCTGGGCGTGCCAATGCCGCCGCCACGGCGTCGCTCTCGCGAGCCTTACGGCGACGGGCGAGTGTTTTCGGTTGCTGACAGCGCATCGATTGCTTGGCCACGGAGAGACGCTCGCCAGCAGCGCTTGAGAGCTTCAAGCGCCCCCCTGAGCTACCGCGAGCGCGCCTTGCGGTCGTGGCGAGATTCAAAGTACCAAGACGAGTTTTTCTGCCGCGTCTACGCCTACTACGCAGGCAAGGGCGCGCTGACCATTGTTCTTTCGCGCGTTCTCCAGCTGGTGACTCTGGCGTTTGTCGTGGTGCTGAGCACCTTTGTGCTTGGCTGTATCGACCACGCCAAGGTCCGCAAGCAGCGATCGCTGTCTGAGGTCGTTGTCCCGCAGTGCACGAGGCACTTTTCGTGGGCTGTGACTCTGGCTCTAAGCTCGTTTTTGCTCTTCTGGCTTGCGCAGATGGTCCGGACTCTTATGGAGCTCCCGCCGCTGCTGGAGATCCGTGCGTTTTACACAGAGGTGCTGGGAATTCAGCCTGCTGACATCAGCACGTTAGCGTGGCACGAAGTCGTCAGCCGCATGGTCAAGCTGCGTGACGTTGAAATCCGCGAGTACCGTGGCTTGACCAAAAGCCGCGTCCTGGGGCACCGTCTGACTGCTGATGGCATTGTCAACCGCATCATGCGCCGCGAGAACTACATGATTGCGCTGTTCAACAAGGGTCTGCTCAATATTACCATTCCGGGGTTGGGCAAGGAGCAGGTCCTGACCAAGGCCCTTGAGTGGAACCTGTCGTTCTGCCTAATGAGCTACTTGTTTGACGAGCGTGGCCAAGTGCGCCACCGCTTCCTCAGGGAATCCAACCGCGACATCCTGAGCAAGGGGCTGCGGCGCCGCTTCCAATTTATGGCCGCCATCAACATGATTTTTGCGCCATTTATCGTGGTATTCTTGGTACTATACGGCTTCCTGCGCTACTTTGACCAGCTGTACCACGAGCCCGGCACTCTCACATCGCGCGCTTTTACCCCGTACGCCAAGTACAAGTTCCGCAACTTTAACGAGGTGCCGCACTCGTTCCGCCGTCGCCTCACCTCGGCGCACCCCAAGGCCACCCTTTACCTGGGCCAGTTCCGCAACGACGCGCTGATCACAGTCGTGCGCTTTGTCTCTTTTGTGGCCGGCTCCTTCACGGCGCTGCTGCTTGTACTCACCGTGCTGGACAACGAGCTCAGCCTGGAGTTTGAAATCACGCCCCACCGCACGGTCCTGTTTTACATTGGAATGTTCAGTGCCATTCTGGCTGCTGCGCGCGGCATGATACCAGCCGACGAGCAGGAGTATTTGCATCCAGCGTGGATTATTCGCGACGCGCTCGAGGATCTGCAGTACATGGAGCCTGACTGGCGCGGAAAGCTGGACACGACGCAAGTTCGCCGCGAATTCGAAGCACTGTTCGGCTACAAGCTGCTTATATTCGCGCACGAGCTGCTTGGCGTGATAACTGCGCCCTTTGTCATGCTGGTCTCGCTGCCCGGGTGCGCCGAGAGCGTGGTTGATTTCTTCCGCGAGTTCACTGTGCACGAGAGCGGCCTGGGCTACGTGTGCAGCTTTGCTGTGTTTGACTTTGAGCGCCACGGCAACGTCAAGTTTGCTGCGCCCACGCGCGCCGCTGGCGAGCATCTTGCGTCAAAGCATGGCAAGATGGAGCAGTCTTTTTTGGCGTTCAAGGCCGACTACCCCGAGTGGCAGCCGCGCGACCAGGCCGCGTCGATCTACTTGCAGCGCGCGCAGAATGCCCAGCAGGACCTGTGGCGCATGGGGAGCGTCGTATCGGGCGCGGGGGCAGGAGTGGGTACAGGTGCAGGATGGCAGGGTCGGCTCCTCCAGCAGCAGCGCATGGCCGGATCCATATTCCCCACGGGAGCTAGCCTGTACAGGCCAAACCAGAACAGCAATAACACCAACAGCAATCAAAATGCAACGCCGGAGGAACCGCCGCAGTGCCTCGACCGCCGCCACTGCCGATAGCGCGTTGAACAAGCCCGCTCGCAATTTGTATTCCAGCCCCCTGGGTTCAACAGCCCGGCTACTGCCCAGCTCTACCCACAGCAGAGCCTCGCATCGCAGGCCATGCTGCCATTTGACCCGACACTTGGAGGGCTTAATATCGCAGTGAACAGAGGCAAGGGCAAGGCAGGGACAGGGACATGCCGCCTACTGAGCACGGCAATGCCCCGCCGACTGACCGGCTGGCGCTGTCGTCGCTGCCGCTCGTAGCGTCGACTGAAATGGACAATTCGATGGACATGTCCATGAATGCCGGCCGCATGGCGCCCCAAACCGGTGTATTCTCAATCGTCAACCAGCTTACGAGCAGCATCTTCCATAGCTCTGGATGCCTTCGCCCACCAGCTTTGAACTTTGTTGTACAAGGACCAGCTGCAAGTGCCAATATATAGAATTATTATTATTTATCATTGAATTTACTGTTGCTATTGTTGTTAATCAGGCATACCATTCAGAGCCGCATTGGTAATTAGTCGCTCAACCATCCATCTATCTGTGCAGGGCGGCGTTGACCTCCTTTTCGCGCTGTTCCGCCTCGGCTTCAGCGATTGCCTTCTTTGCCTTGCGTGCCTGACGCTCAATGTATACATGACGGTTGGCAATGATGCGCTCGATAATCGTGGTAGTGGTCAGGTTCAGGCACGGGTGGTCGACCTCCTTGTAGATGCCCAGCTTCTTGGGGAGCTCGTAAGGATCTCTGCCGTCAATATCAAGGGGCTGGTCGCTGGCACCGTGCACAACAACATCGACGTGGTAGACATCCTCGAGCACGTCCTTGGTGACGCTGAAGGGAGCGCCGATGATCACCTCATCGACGTACCGACACTGCAGGACGCCCAGAACGCGCTCCTGGAGGTTCATGACCGGGAAATTTCCGCCCTTGACTGAGTTGACAGTCTGGTCATCGTGGATGCCAACGAGAAGATAGTCGCCCTGCTCGCGCGCGCGCTTGAAAAACTCGATGTGCCGGTGTGGAACAAGTCGAAGGCGCCGTCCACATAGACCACTCTGTCCCCAGCCTTGGGCTCGTTGCCCGAAGAGAACTGGATAATCTTCTTGGAGGTAGAGAGGTAGTGCGCAATGCCCGTCAGCGCGCCGGCCGGCAAAGAACCCTGCGTGAAGTTGGTCATCACGGTCTCGTCAACGCCCTGGGTGGGTGATTTGATGCTCCGGCTGCCGCGGATGTGGTGGTCGCGCGTAAGAAGAAGCATTCGACCAACGAGCTCGGTGGTCGATACGCCAACAGTGCGCTTGCACTCCTTGTACCGCCCGGCATCCTTAACAATCTGGTAACAGTCGGTTCCATCAGCCGCAGTGGTGATGTCGTCGCCGTGGACAACAAAATCAATGTTGTATTTGTCCAGCACCTCTAGCGAGGTGACGTAGGGCGCGTCTTCGACACCTCGTCCACCCACTTGCAGGCGGCAACGGCAGCGTACCGCTCGTCCTCCCTCATGACGCACGGGCCCTTGTTCTTTTCGATTTCGACGTCCGAGTGCACACCGACAACGAGATAGTCGCACATTGCCCTTGCCTATACGCGCGCACGGGATTGACGGTTTAGTAACATTTAAAAATGAAAAATGATAGTTACCGGCCGCATATCCGGGCGCCAGATTTTATCTTGCAGTTGTGCTTTTTAGCCGCCTGCAATTGGCTAGCCAACAAAACAAAACAGGAAAATCGCTCAAACCATTGGAACCCAACACCCAGCAGCATCCCACGATACTTGAACAAGTTCCGAAAATATGGAAATTGTGGCTTGGAGATAAAGATACGATTTATAGGTAACCGCCACAAGCAAAACTTACCTGGCGCAAAGCGTTTGCGTGGCCGAAATGCATCATGTCAAAGCACCCATCGACCCAGACCCTACAGAGATAATTCGATAACAAAACGACAGTCAGTGATGCGGTCAACGGCTGAAAAGCTCGGTAACTCTGTACACACACGCGTGTGTACTCAGTCTGACGAATAAGCTCAGCTGAGCTCAAGCGAGCATATTCACTGACCGAGTGAAAAAAAGTGTGCAGTTCATATAAAGGGGCCTTACCGAATTGGTTTGCCGCCAGCGCTGGTGGCGTTCGAATTGCGCTCTGCCATTATTGAATTATATTGTTATTAACAGTAATAGAATAGGGTGTAAATAAAAAGGGTGGGTATTTGGCAAAGTACCAGCAAAAGCAAAAGACAGCTGGAAAAGTTGGTAAAAAGTTAAAAGTGGGACGAAGCGAGAGAGAAAAGGTGAACGCGCCTTGTTCTTTTTATTTTTCACAAGCAGACCCGGGGCCAGGAATTAATCAATACCATATTTTTCAAGCGACACAGCCAAATATATTTGACGTGGACCTTTTTTAGGCGCAATCACATCATCCATTGCCAATCCCCTGAGCACGATCCCACCTTTTGTTATTGTTTTCTTACTCACGAACACTCAAACAGCCTGAATCCATATTCACAAGTATAAACATGGCTTTGGGGGCTTTGAAAAATGACCAGGCAAAGCCATCGCTTGCCAGATCAATACCGATAGCTTCTCTTGACGACACGCAAACTGGAAGCCACAAGGCATTCATGAGTGACAAGAGCACCACTGTTCTTTGGACGCTCAATGGGAGCTTTGTGCGCAGCTTCTTGCTCAATGAAAGCAGCGGCAGAAGCAGCGGAAGTGACAACAGCGGCGCTGCAGATCTCGCAGAAGGCACGCCAACAACACGGTAGTCGAGCACATAGTGTTCGCCAGGTTTTATGCGGGAGACAGCTCCTCTGACGACCTGCGTGATGTGGCACTGTGCATATTTAGGACCGACAGCCTGAACATACACTACTACACGGGCGAGGCGTTCACCATGGCGCTGCCGTTTGGCGTGCGCAGCGTGCACCCGCTCCACACGGGGCTGCTCGTCCAGCGCTGGTGCACTGCATCGGCAGAATCCAACCTGTTTGCGCCCAGCTTGCCGACAATCTTCAGTCTGCTAGGCCCGCGGAGTGAGTTTAAAATGCTTGGCATAAGCCGCTCGGCAGACATGGATCGGATGCGAAAGCAGCAGCAACAACAACACCGGAGCGCACAATTCATGCTCAGCCCGTCCCCCGCATCCGCAGGCGGCTCTGACGCTTCGATTCCCATATTCAACGACCCCAACATCACGCTGGTCGATGCGGCCGCCAGCAGGCGCAAGGGCGCGGTTCGCAGTACGTCCTGTGCTGGGATTCATTTGCGCGTCGATACGGAATATACCAGTGCGTCGTCATCGATCCGGTACTGGATGGCGACGCCTTGCAGCGGCAACACCAATGGCAACGCCAGCGGTTCCTAGCGACTTTGACTTTGACATGGATGTTGATCCTAGCAGCAAGCCACCAAATGCAGGCAGCCTTGGAATAGGCCACTTTTCGGCCCCTCGCAATGGGTCCGGTCGCCAGGCATCGCTGTCCGTGCAGCGGCGATCCTCAGCAGCAGTATCGGCAGTGGCAATTGCCGCGGCGGCGTCCAGGCGCAAGAGCGGGTACAGCTCAGTGGTGAAGAACGACCGGCGCAGCTCGATCCTCGGACGGGTGTCCTTCAACGACTCCCCAGGGCCTAACTTTGCAGTTGACATATTCCGCGAGCAGCGACAGATGCGAGCCGAGGCGGTGCTGCACCCATGCTGGAAGGAGCGGCGGCAGCGCAGTGACGTTCGAAGTGCAACTGCGCCAAAGGCGCAGATTTGTGTGATCCAATCGTATTCGGGCTCTGACATCATCTGCATCCTCATTGCTGAGCGGGGCAGGTTATTGGGCTCGACGCATGTGATTTTGGCGAGGTGTTCCGGCACGCGGCACAATCTATTGCGCCAATGCGCTCGACACGGCGTGAGCTTGATGATCTGCTTATCCTGACCCGACAGGTCGCTTGGGCTGGCCCTTGGCAGTGGTGGCAACAGCGATCCAGTGCCGCTGGATCACCTGGCGCACCAGGGCAACATTGCCACCATTGAATACACGGTGGCAACCAAGTGATGATCTGCTGGATGCACAACAGGACGCGCCCACACTGCTGTTGTTTCCGCGCACGTGCGTCTCTCTCTCTTTCGACAGCGACGATGGACGCTTTGTCGGCTGTTCTGTCCAAGCACTCCGGTCTGCAGCTCCGCCGGAACATTATTGCATCGTGCCTGGGAGCCAAAACCGCCCAGGAGGAGATGTGTCGCCTGACAGCACTGCTAATTTATGGCAGCGACGGGTGCCACCCCGCCGTATCTCTCCCGCAGCGTGTGAAAACTGAGATAAGCGACCGGTCGGCAGCCGTTTTGTTTGCGCTGCACCTGGTCTATGAAGATGCGGCGCTGCACAAGGCCGAGGCGCAGCCACGCCTGGCAGCCGTTTCAAGTCTGCTGTTGCAGTTTGCTCGGCAACACGCGCTTGCCAGCCAGTATCATGCGTATCTTTGTGAGGGCTTTGCGCCCGGCGAATCCGCTGCAGCGGATCTGACCCAAGATCAGCAGAAAACACACAATGCCCTCAGCGTCATCCCATCATTCTTCAAGTGGGTGATATCGATAACAAGTGGCAATAACGACTTGCCAATTGCCCCGTTTCCAATGCTCAACGCTGTAGGCCAGCTTTTTGGGATAGCCGACGCAGAACCAGTGAGCGCTGGCTGCGACTCGCTGAAGCTGTTGCGCACGGTTGCCGGAATCTTCTTCCATTTGGCTACGCTCCGGAGGCCCACTGCAGCCGTCCTGGAGCAGCTCGCGAGCGAAGAAGCCCCCCTTCAGCTGCTGCTCCAGCTGACTCCCGAGATGCAATGGCTGCTGCGCGCACGATCGAGCAGACGCGCGAGGTATGTGCACTTTCCTGGCCGCAAAGCGTCTTGAAGCTCCTGGGGCGGGAGGATCTGATCGCCAACGCGGCAGCTGATTTTGAGCCGAGCAGCGCACCGTTTCTTCTCAAGCAAAGGTTACCTTCGGGAGAAGCGGTTGTCAGCGACGTCAGCGACGGAGGCGGGACCCATGGCGTGGTCGAACTGAGCGAGGAAGCAGTTGGCCACTCGGCTAAACAGCCTCTGGGCACAAGCACTGGCGCTGCGCACGAGTTCAGCCAAATTGCATTTAGCGGCGACTTGCGCGTCGATGAGGCTGAGCGCATGCTCGACATCTTTGCCACAGTGCACGCGCATCACCCGGCCGCCGAGTCGACGTTCCCCGAGGCGATCGACGCTGCCAAGGCACAATTTATGGACCTGCTCGCCCGTCGCGTGCATGCATTGCCGCTTGGCCGCGCCGCATTCAGCTACAGCTCGCTCGGACTCAACTCGCAAGATGCGCTGCAAATCGACCCTCCGCGCGTGGCTGCTCGTTTTTACGGAAACAAGTTGGAGACTGCGTGGACTGCACCCGCAGACACCGACACGAGCTGGCCGCTGTTCCACAGCGGCGTTCTGGCAGCCCTGTCGATAGAGCGCGGCCAACTCAAAGGCGCACACCCGTCGTGGGTGCTGCTGAATTGGCCGACGGAGCAGCCGACCGATGCGGACCCTGCCGCTGTAGGGGAATCGCAGCGGAAGTACAAGGACGCGCTTGCATTGCACGCGGGGTTTTTGTTCGGGATTGGGCTTTTGCCTGATAACGCCGCGTCTAGCGCGAGCGGCTCTCGGGTGCGACAGCACAAGGCAAACGGCCCTCTGTGCGGTGTCCCGCCCTGGCAGGCATTCAAGTACCTTAGCATTCGCCATGGCCTGACTTCTATCGCCCTGCTGATGGGCTGCGCTTGCGCGCAACGGGGCACAATGAACGCGTCGGTGAGCAAGATACTGTCACTGCATATCCCCACGCTGTTGCCACCAGGCTCCTCAGAGCTCATGCTGCTGTCGCACGGCACGCAGGCGGCGGCGATGCTTGGCCTGGGCCTGCTGTACATGAACTCGCAGCACCGCCGCATGTCTGAGGTCATGCTTGGTGAGCTGTTTGCCATCAAGAATGCCACGCCGTCCACGATGACGACCCGGCTTGACGGCGCCGATCCGGCCGAAAGCGCTGCCGAGTGCTACTCGCTGGCTGCTGGATTCGCATTGGGGCTGGTGGCTCTTGGACAGGGCACGTCATCCCGGTCGCTGTCTGATCTGCACCTGCTGGACGCGCTCACAGAGACCATGCATGCCAGCGATGGCAGCAAAGCCGCTAACCACGAGTCGCCAATGGATATGCTTGGCCGTCTGAACATTGCGCCGAGAAGCAGCAGAAGCCTGGGCAGCGGCGGAAACATGGGCAATGTATCTGATCTCGGCGCGATCGCAGCACTTGGTCTCATCTTCCTCGGCACAAACTACCATCCAGCTGCACAGCGATTGGCGCTGCCAACGACAACATATGAGATCCGGTCAATCGACCCGTTTTTATTGCTCTGGAAGACACTCATGCGCTCTTTAATTATGCTCGACTCGATCTCCCCGACGCCAGCCTGGGTCGAGACCAATGTTCCGCAATGGATGCCTGCCCAGCTGCCAGCTGATCTGTGCCGCGCACGACTGCATGTTGTGACTGCAGCGTGCTTTGCAATCGGGCTCAAGTACGCTGGCACCGAGGACTACAGCGCGCACACGACGATACTGACCTATTTTGACGAAGTGGAAGCGGCAGCCAACAGGCCAGCGTTGGGATACGAGCCTAGCCTGACTCGTGCATCAGCACAGGCCTGCCTCGACATCATGTGCATCTCCACTGCGCTGGTCATGGCCGGGAGCGGAGACGTGGCGACGATGCAGCGCTTGCGCGTCTTTCATGGTGTGAGCGCATCGCGCACCTATGGCACGCATATGGCGTCGAACTTGGCACTTGGAATTCTATTTATTGGTGGCGGCGCTCGCTTCACCCTGTCCAACTCTGTGGAATCCATTGCGTTGCTGCTCATTGCATTTTTTCCGAGATTTCCTCAGCACTACTCTGACAACCGCGAGCATCTGCAAGCGTGGCGGCATCTGTGGGCCTCTGCGTCAAGCCGCGATGCCTGGTGGCCCGGACGTTACAAGCGGGCGCATGTGTCTGGAGGCGACAATTTCGCTGGTCAGCCGAGATACAAGCGGCGAATCTCGCACATTGAGCCTCGTCCTCCCGTACTATTCCCATCGCTGGATCGGGTCGCATCTGTCCATGTGTGGGCGCCAGGATACCTGCCAATAACTCTCGACCTGGAGATAAATCCTGACGTTGGCCACTTGCTTTCTAGGAGGCGCATTATATACATGCAGCCCAGCGAGCATTTCCCAAGCCTGGGCACTACGCTAGGCGGAATGGGCCTCACATCGCTCTCCAAGTACCACGCGTGGTTGGCAAATGTCCAGTGCTTGGTCATCGGGGCGTGCGAGCAACTGGAGGCAGTAGTGGGTACAAGGCCGGAATCTGGAGAGCACTCGCAAACACCTGCATTCTCTGCCATCCAGGCCATACAGCGGCTGCGCATTTGTGCTCGGTATTCGCACAGCTATCTGACCAGCCGCAACTCATATTCGGGCGACAGTGCTGCGCGAAATTGGGCCGAGGCGACATATCTGGCATGGCTGGCCACGCGAGACACCGTTCTGAGGCTGGGCCGCTTGGACGCGTGCAGACAGATGATTGCTGTGCATTGGGCTGCGGGCCAAATCTCGCCCGACGCTTCGAGATCCAGTCGTTTGTTTGCTGTGGTTGGCCTGATGAACGCTGCGCTGGACATCCCGAGACCCGCAGATGCAATGGAGCTGGCAAAGGTGGTGCCAGCGTCTTCACTTGTGGACCACTTTTTGGGGGTTAAATAATAGCTCATGTAATCCGGCCACTTAAACAAATAAGCAAGTTGATTTACTTTTTTAATTGTGTGTAAAGTGTAATAAAAGAGACAGACACATCTTTTATTGGAATTTGAAGCATCGTTGGAAGCGTCCCAAAAACTCATAAAGCTACTATTCTCTTTAGATGACGTCCTTGATGATGGTGCTCTTCTCCGAAACGTAGATACCATCGAGGAACTTACGGATATCCTTGTTGCGGACACGGGTAGCCTGCTGGATCGAGGCAGCGGACTGCGAAACGTTGGCAAGATCGTTACCGGTCAGGACCAGCTCGTCCTTGGTACCGATGGTCTGAACAATATCAACACCGGGGAGCAGGAAGACCTTGCGGACGTACTTCTCACCCAGGAAGTTACGGATCTCAACCGAGTTATCCTCCTTGTTGATGTTGACACTGATGGGGAAATGCGCGTACACGAAACGCATCTTGTACTCGTAACCCTTGGTGACACCCTTGATCAGGTTGTTGATGTGCGAGCACACGGTGCGGATGCAGGCAATGTGCTTGCGGCCACCCTGCCAGACAATAATGCGGATGGTGTTCTTGGTGGGGCGCTGGATGTCCATCTGGATGTGACGCATATCGCGCGTCAGGGTACCACGGGGACCGGTAACGGTAATGTTACGGGCCTTGATGGCAACGGTAACACCCTCGGGGATGGTGACAATGTCTTCCTTCTGAATGTGCTTCATCGTAAAGGTTCCTACAAAAGTCGAAACGTGTATGTGCAGACAAGCTGGTAAACAATTATTTAGTTCAATACCGTTCAATATACGCCGCGCTGTGCGCGCCAGTCCGAATTGAAGCCATTCATAAAAAAATGTTTGAACAGTTGTGTGCTCTCGCTCTCCAAGCTCGCATAGCCCAACCACTCTAGACGCCAATGACAAACAGCTCATGCTAATATCTGGCGCACCAGTAATAAGCGCGCGTCTATGCAGCTTTGTTGCTGCCGTTTTCTGCGACAGACGCGCGTATACTGGACATCGCCAGATCGATCGCCATCACATAAACAGAGCACACAACTCTGCAAAAGCGCAGTCACGCAAAACCCAGATAGCCAGCACTGTAGAGGGTTAAGCAACCAATTGCCTTTGTCTAATTCTCTGGCAGGCGTGTTGCTACCAGCAGCCAGCAGCAATTAGTCGCTTAAAGGCCAAATTAAAAGGCTGACGCTGAAAAATAAGGGGATGGGGACAGTCTGAAAGCCGCGTATTCCATATTTCGGTGGAAGTTAGAGTGCAAGAAAATGTAGGCCTCACAAATTCCATTTGCAAATGGTAATTTGCAGTTCTGTCGAATTTCAATCAGAATCTGCAAATCGCCGCAAAATAAAATGGGTGTGTCAACCATGGCTTTCGCATCCATTCTGCGTCGCTGTATCCGCTGCACAAATAGCTACCACCAAATCCATTTAAAACATCCATTATGGCGCTGTTGGGATCTGGCAATGGATTCTCTTTGTGCGCATCCATCACGTAGAACGTGTCTCCGCGTACTGTTGAATCCATGTCTCCATCCCTCGTTGATATTGTCTGTGGCTGGGTTCTGCGTGTCTTATAAAATACAAAATAAATACGCACCTGAATATTATCAGCGCTGACAGTGGTGAAAAAGGCTGAACTCTCCTTGCGAGCAATCTTGCCAGCCATTTTGTCAAAGTCGCCTTTTCGACCAACTATGCCTTCCTCTCTCAAGCCTGTGGGAGGTGCGAAAAGCCAGCCTGTGGTGGCTGTAAAGTCCTGCTGCGCCAGTCAGAATGGGCTAGAGACAGATCGACGGACAGCGAGCCGCACTGTGCCCAAAACGATATTGAAAATGCTAATTTAATCACGAAATCGCGTACTTTAACGTATTTTTTATTGGACCACGCACTATTTTATCAGATATACGCTAGTCGGTGTGGTTTGTACTCTAATCAGTGTGGGGCTTTGCGAGCCGCAAAAAGCAAGCGGGAGATAATCTCGCGCTGTGGCATGTTCAAAGTTGAATTTGACTGCTAATTTTTTTCTTGAATGAGCATTGAAATTCAGATTATTCATTTGTTTTTTACACACCTTTAATTTTGCAATTCCATTTCACCACTCTAAAATGTTTGCTCGCAAGCTAGTTCAATTGTCAACCCGCACAGCCGTTGCGCCCAGCAGACTCGTCCGCGGTGGGCACGGCGCACCTCAGTTCAATGAGCCCGGAGGCTACCTCTTTGGTCGCAAGGTAACAATGGGCGGCAGGAATTTTTGACATTCTAGACTAATCATAAGGGCACAATTCAATATCAAGACTGCTAATTCCATTGCTGAAAGACATCATTTACACTTGTAGCCCGGAGAGAAGTACGAAAGCGAGGGTTGGGAGGTTATCTGGATCGGCGGCTTTGCCATTGCCTTTGGCATGATTGCGGCCGGCGTATACTACAAGCCAGACACCAGGTAACGTAGAAATAATGTCAATATATGTGAGAATAGGCCACTGTGCTGATATACCTTGTGCGTAAATAATACGGTATTTTGTACTGATACTTTCGTATTTGTTTTCCGGTTGGTCATATAGGATCCGCACCTGGGCCAGGCAGGAGGCCGAGAGACAGATGCTCGAGGAGGGTGATCTGCTGGAGTATAAGACAACAGCGTACAAGGCCTAGGTTTTGTTATCTGTATGTCCTCTACTTTTTCATATATACTCATCAATACATTAAACTCTGACCGATTTATGAATTATTGTGAGCGGCACATGTGCAAAACCGAGTGTGTTGACATGGAACTGGTATATTTATTGGGCCGGGTTGCTAGCCACCGCATATGAAAAGCATGCTGCGCTATTATCCTATAAAATCGGGACCATTTTATTGAATGCCAGGAAATATCAAAACAGAAGGTGGCATGGCTATTGTGACCACCATATTAAATTTACACGTTACGATAATACCTGTGTGTGAACATACCCAACCCTTTGTTCGAGCAGCAAGCATGACACCAACATGTGTTTCTTGGTTTATTTGCAAGTTGAGAAATCAGATGACTGCAAATGACGATTTGATATTGGGGCGATGCAAAAAGACATGTAGCGCAAAGTACCTCTATCAATTTAGTTATTGAGGAGTGCCCACTGTCAGAATTAACGATGCGAGCTGTGGAGTGTGATGGGATGTGTATAAAATAAGGCCTGGGTACTCTCCTCTTTTTTTGTTGCATTATTTTTGACGCCCTCGGCCAAAATAAAATATAAATAGTGTGCTTTCTTCACTCTAATTTATTGATATTTATTTGTATTATATTATTATTGTTAGCTTACCCTCGACACATCCATTTGTTCGACACACCATGATACACCAGACCAGCAGCCCGATATCAAGTCACATATCGACGGCATCAGCGAACATGCAGCAGCGACCGCTACAAAATGACACCAACAAGGACATATCGCCGGAGGCAGCAGCGGGTATTTCAGGACATGCTGGCATGCCTGGATACGCTTCGTATACATACTCGCCGGTCTCTGTCCCCCGTGAAATACATATAGTAGCACCACCACCACAGTTTCGGCGGTTCGGCAATGCCGCTGCCCTCGGCCTAGTCACTTTTAGCCTGTGCACAATCCAGGAGGCAATGATGCAAGCCGGTATGTCTGTCGGCTACGGCTATGGATACCGCAGCATGGCAGTCCAATCAATCGCCGTCGCTGGCATCACCCAGCTGTTTGCCGGCCTGTGGCAGATTGCCAACGGAGATACATTCGAAGGCGCCGCGTTTACTTCATTCGGCGCCGCGTGGCTGGCCAAAGGCCTGGCTGATGTCCCCGGTTTGGGCATACTTGACTACCAGGCCAACGAGTCCCCCGACGTTGTCCGCAAGCAGAAGGGTATCATTTCCCTAACATGGTCAATCTGGGTCCTGGTTCTGCTTGCGGGCAATGTGAAATCACACATTGCCAATATCATTCTATTTGGGACCTTGAATCTACAGCTATCCTTCACCTGCGCTGGCATCTGGCTGGGCCACGAGCCCATCATCAAGGCCGGCGGCTGGTTTGGATTTTTCTGCGGCCTTGCCGCCATGTACAATGCCGCAGCCATCTTGCTAAATGAGGAGAACTTTTGGTTCAACCTGCCTGTAGGCAACTGGTATACATCAAGGACCCCTGCAGTGCACCACAACGAACAGATGTATGATAATGTCTGAACGCTCAAATCCAAACTACATGCATTTGTTCATATTAAATAAAAAATATTAAACCAAGTAGGCAGACAGACAATTGGGGTGTATGTTAAATAATGTTGATATAATTTCAATGTCAGTGTTGGTTGGGACGGCAATTGATATATTAAATATTTTGCAAACTACATCGTGGTCGTCATCCCTTGCGTGCTCTGACATATCACAATTAATCGGCCTTGAGGATGTCCAGGAACTTCTTCGAGGCAGACTTCTTGTGGTTAACCTTGGCGGTCTTGGCAGCCTTCTTGTTCTTGCCCAAAAGCTCGGCGCGACGGAGGACCTGAGCGTAGGGGTTGAGGCGGACAAGAACTTGGGTGTTGCGCAGGGGGTTCTTCTTCTGGGTGAAGGGGCGCTTGGTGACACGGGGGCCGGCGGGGCGGACAACAGCCTGAACCTCGCTCGAGGCAATGATGCGGGACACATCGGGGTTGTTGATGAGGGGAGCGGGGAGGGTGTAGCCCTTCTTCTGCTGGGAGACCTCAGTCTGGGTGCCGAAGACCTTGTTAAGGGCCTCAAAGGCGGGCTGAGTCCAGATGACAAAGCGGCCGAGGTGACCACCGGGGGCAAGCTGGAGCAGGTTCAGGCGAGTAACATCAACCAGCTCAACACCAGGCAGGTTGCGGAAGGCGCGGCTGATACCCTTGTCCTGGGCAAAGACAACCAGGGGACCACGACGCTGACGGTGGCGACGGTTTCTCATCTTACCGCGACCCGCACGGATCGAGCGGGTGTTGCTGACCTTGGCGACATCAGCGTAGGCCTTGAGGGCCTTGAGGAGCTCGACGGCCTCCTTGGTCTTGGTGAGGGACTCGGCCTCAGCGGCAATGACAAGGGGAACCTCCTCAATGTTGCTAATGCGGTGACCGCGACCCGAAACCAGGGACGAAACACCAGTGGCGGCAACAGCCGAAGCAGTAGCGTAACGCTTCTGGTTCGAGTTGGTGCGGATGTGCCACTTGCGCCAGACCTTGTTAGGGGCGAACATGCGACCACCACGGGTCATGTTACCGAAGGCGGCCTGACCAGCACGGTGGGTACCCGAACCGCTGACACGGGGGATACGGGCGACAGCACGACCGGTACCCCACGACTCGGCGGAGGTCTCCTCACCAGCCTGCTGCTTGGGGGCATAGGCCTGGCGACGGTTCTTGGCCATGTTCTTGTGAACAAACTGGACCAGATCCGGGCGGATGGGGGCGGTGAAGACAGCGGGCAGGGGCACGGTAGCCTCGAGCTTGGAGCCGTTAAGGCCAAAGACGGAAACAACGGGACGAGCAGCCTAGATTTATGAATTAAGAATTTTCAAAAATTTAAAATGTTAGTTTAATGTCGAATTTAAGCGAATCTCAGATTTTGTCGTTGGATTCGATGTGCGAATCTATCCAAAACAGCTGTTATAGTGGGATGCATCCGCACTCATTTCGACGATGGATACGCACCATTTTAAATTTTAAAGTGTATGATTCAACAAAGTAGAAATCAAATAGGAGAGAGATTGAACCCCATGTGTAATTGGGCTGGTGCACTGCGATGTGGATATCGCGACAAGCAACTTAATTTTTTTCGTTTTTGCCCAACAAAAAATTGCAATTTTCCTGCTGTTGTATGCTGATTTTCGAACAATGCGGATTCATGATCACGCCACAGAAAATACGCACACTTTTGCGTGTGCAAGGCCTACGCGCTTTTTTGATTCTTTCTTCATTCTTTCCGCATTTGCAATTTGCTTTTATTTGTGTGCCCAATTTTATTCTGCTGCTATCACGATGAGCTTTTGCTGTTCGAGTAAGTATAGTGACTACATGATAAACACGACCCGCCAACGGTAGCTTGTAAAAAATGAAAGCGACATCGTGTCCATAGCGATTCAATCGCGATTCATGTCAATGAGGGCAGCAAAATTTAAGAAAAATAATTCACAAGCTCTCTAATCGCTCGCTATTTTACCAACTCTTATCAATTGTAGTATCCGGTGAGACGCCCCAGGAGCCTGTTATTTCTTCCAAAACAGGACGCGTATACGAAAAGCGGCTGCTCCAAAAGTATTTGAATGATAATGGCAGGGAACCGCAGTCCGACCATGGCCTTTCAGACGAGGACATAATTGATGTGCACGCAGATCCACCAGCAGTCAGGCCACGGCCTCCGACGCTGACTTCGATTCCAGCGCTTCTGTCGACATTCCAGAACGAATGGGATGCGCTCGTTTTGGAAACATTCACTCTCAAGCAGCAGTACCAGCAGGTGCGCCAGGAGCTGTCTCAGGCGCTGTATCAAAACGATGCTGCGTGTAGGGTGGTTGCGCGGCTGGTGAAGGAGCGCGACGAGGCCCGGCAGGCGCTAGCGACGCTTCAAGCCCAGGCCGGCACAGTTGAGGCAAACTCTACCGGTGGTTTCGCAGCAGCTGACACGTCCAAGGCTATGGATGTTGATGTTGATGAGGTCAATATTGAGACCAGATCTGTGGCTGCAACTGCGAATGAGGATCTGGATCCGGACACAGAGGATGCATACTATGCAAAAGCTGCCGAGACGGCCAAGATTCTGTCCAAGTCGCGCATGAAGCGCGAGACGCCTGCGGGTCTAGCTTCTCCTGAGGCTTGGAAGACTGCGACCCAGACTGCACTTGTGGAGTCTCTGCATACGTCAACAAAGCCTGGCATCCTGACACTTTGCCTGGACAATGCCGGTGTGCTTGCACTGACAGGCGGCATGGACAACCACGCAGAGGTTTACTCGCGTGAGGCTGACCAAACGCTGGCTACCCTCAAGGGACACACAAAGAAGGTTACAGCTGCACTTTGGGTTAACGGTGGCGGCCTCGACAAGCCCATTATCACTGCGTCGTCCGACAAGACCATTCGAATTTGGGCACCAAAGCCTAACAACACCGACGAGGGTGTTGCTGTCCGCTCGATGGGATGGACAAAGACCCACATTATTAAGGCGCATTCCGCCGAGATTGTAGGGCTCTCGACCCATCCGTGCGGCCAGTACTTTGTCAGCGCGGCAGCTGATGGCTCGTGGGCTATCCACTCGATGGGTGGCCAGACTATCATCAACGGAACAATCGACTCTCCAATTTCGCAGGTCGCATTCCACCCTGATGGGATGTTCATGGGAGTTGGTACTGCTGACGGCTACGCTAAAATTGTTGACATTAAACAGAAGCAGGTGCTAGCAGTCCTGGACGTTGCAAGCGCCGAGGATTTCAAATCGGTTACTGGTCTGCACTTTAGCGAAAATGGCTACTACTTTGCCACAACGAACTCCCACGGAGTTGCTGTCTGGGATCTGCGCAAGCAGAAGAAGGCTCATTCGTGGACTCTCTCAGACCTCGCGCAAGAGGGCGAGGGTGAATGCCCCGAATCCATTGTGTTTGCTGATGCCCGCTTTGACAACTCTGGCAAATACCTTGCTCTCGCTGTTGACAAAATACACGTGTTCAAGGTCAAGGGATGGCATACCATAGCCGTCTTGTCTGGAGGTGACTGTGTCAAGACCATTGCCTGGGTTGGCGAAAACTCAGCCGAGATTATCGCTGCTTCTTTAGACAACTCGTTGCGCACGTTTGCACCAGTGCAGGAATAATCTTATTTGTTCAATATATACAAGTATCAAAATGGACATGCAGCAAAAACAATTGCAAAATCCAAAGTCACAACTTCTCTTTAGGTCAATCAATTTTATATGTTTCAAATAATTTTTATTTATGGTAAACATTAGGAAGTGCTTAATAGTTTATCTAAAAGCGCTTAAAATTACTAGACACTTTGGCCGAGTGGTTAAGGCGGTGCCCTGCTAAGGCATTATCTTCTGGATGCGCAGGTTCGAATCCTGCAGGTGTCGGTTACTTTTTGCTATTTTTGGATTGAGTGCTTATTAGTATTAGGCACAATGTTTTCTAGTTGATTGTATTTTTAGTGTTATCTTTGCCTGTTGTAAAACCAATAATTGCTTTGTTTTGTATGCAACGTTATATACCCATCCATCTAACGATCGGATGTTTTTGTCTGTATCGAATGCTCAATACAGGATGGTAAACGCTTGTTTTCAAATGTCGGTTTCTTTATAAACATGGCTGGTCGTTCGCTCGCCTATTTTTGTATTTGTAGTACCCCGCATACTCGCCGATAAGAATGATACGGTATTTGGTTGGGGATGTTATGTGTATTGTTTATAATCCAAGCCATTTTGTACACCCAAAAATAAATGGCGGCACCAAAGCTGCTAAAATCAACAGTGTTGGTGTTTGGCAACTCTTATCCCATTGTGAAATCAACATTTTTTCAGCGCACAACCAGCGAGCAACAAAAGAACAACTTTGACTGTGAAATGAAGCAGTGTTATCAACACTCTGTTTTTGCTCAATTGTGCACCACACCAACATTCCCGCTGACATTTCCTTTCAATATACACATACACCTGTAGTCCTATGCCCTGTGCGGATAACAATTTGTTTTTAATTGCACATCACTAGCCATTTTAAAGCCAAGTAAAAAAACAAGAGCATGGAATACAGGATATGGCTGCATATTTTGTCTGTCTTTATTTGTTGTGCGTTAGATTGTGCAAAATGGTACCCAGAAGGTTGCACATGCTGATTTTTCCCTCGGCATTGAAACTGCACAAGCACCCACTAATATATAATGCATTAAATTTTGTGGGCGAGCGAGTGTAATAAAAAAGGTAATTGTGGATCGCGTTCCTGCATGAAATTTAAAAGAGCTTTTATCGATTAAAATACAATTTTGTATGTATAGTTATTGGATATAATCGACGTTAAACTCATATTATACTTAATGACTAATAAATTGGAAACCTTTATTATAAATAAAAATTTTATAATTAAAGTTGTAAATGACATTGTCAATTTCAAAGGTTTTCGCTATTTTATTATGATTGATATAATTATAAAACATTTCGCCTATAGAATGCGCCTGGCCTTTGCTGCTTCGTCAATTGTATCCGCCGAGTTGACTGAAGAATTGTCAAATTCACGCATGTTGCGGTTTCGAGGAGTGCGTGAAGTAGTAGCTGACATGCCTTCAGTTGGTAAATAGCCTGAGTTTACTCCCGCTGAATCGCCATTATCAATGGGATGACCAAAACCATGGATGCCAAATAATGAATCATCGTTGATATTATCTTCTGACATGGCTTTTTCCATTTGGTTAGGGATCGAGGCGGACATTCGCGAATAATGGAGGGGGCCTTCAGCACGCAGATTGAGGTTAGCTTCGTACATGTCCTGCAGACCATCGGTTCTGAGTCTCAGCAGCCACTCGCGCTCATACTCCCTGGGCCGGATGATGCTCATGACTACCGGGTAACCAATGATGAGCAGAATAATGCCGTTGATAATGATGACATCGCCTATAGTCTCAGCCACGCGATATCCAATGACATAAGGATACTTTTTGTGTGTGTAGTGTACAACATTGGTCTTGACCATGGCCGCGATTCCAAAGAAACTGATGCACAAAAACTCGTAAAACTCGTTGAATGTCGACTGAATGTTGCGCAGACGGTACATCATGGCAATGATGATAAGCCAGTTGGCCCACAGCATGGTGAGCGTGACAATCACGTATCCATCGGTCGTTGTGCATAACTCGTAATCCTCCCGATATCCAATCGTCAGCTTGTCAGGCATGGCCTGAGTTACTATCGAGTAAATAATTATAAACGCAAACAGCAGAACGCTAGGTGCATAGTACGCCCAGCCACTGGTTGGTTTGTTCTGGTTGAACACGCGATCAAGAGCATAGCACCGACTGAACAGCACCATCGTGTAGATGAAGCAGAAAAGCACTCGTACCCAAACGTTCCAAAACTTGCACAGGCGCCAAGGCCCTTCGAGAAGAACATGGCCGTTCATTGGAATGTCCCCGACGAACCACATTATGCCGGAGAAGAACATACATGTTGTCAATGGTAAATTCTTAGCGCGGATGGGACGGTATTTGTACTTAGACCAGGCGATAACCATAAAGATAAAGGTAACCCCAAAAATTGCGCTGCTCAGACCAATTACGAGCGTGTCAATTTTGCCGACAGGGTGCACATGCATTTTAAATATCTTTTCAAGCGCTGCTATCCGTTCCTCCTGGCTGTTGAATATGCCCACAGCATTTCTGAGTGTTGCTTTGAGCTCGAACATCAAACTGTTTAGCGCTGTGTTTAATGATGATGGAACCGTGTACTGTTTACTGCTGTGCAGGCTAGTGATTGTCAAATAGTTAGCAAGGGTAGCTGATGTAGGATAAAAGATAAGTGGTATGTAAAGTATATAACAAATAAAAATAAGCGAATATCGTCAGAAATCCAAATTGTAAAAGTGGCAGTATAAGATACAAAGATGAGAGAGAAAGAAAAGAAAAAGTGAAAGTGAAGTGCACAAACGATAATAATACTATCGGTCAAACTGATTAATAGCGTGATTCAGACATTCGCCTGTTGTTTCTAAAATAAGCAAGCTCTAACTTGAAAAAAGATCCCCTCACATCTCTAAAATGGCGAGTGCGGGAGGGGGTAAGTCAAAAACGGGCAAAGACAGAGTAAACGACACCCAGATATCCCGAGAGTAATAAATATTGGGTGCCAGAAAAAAGCGCCCAAAAAAATTGATCACTGTTCCATACAGTAAAAAAATGAAAATAGCAGCGATCGTTATCTCAACGGAGACTATTTATTCCACTATTGGCCAAAACCGGTTGCAACTCGCAAAAAGGTTGATACAGCTAACAGAAAGTCGAGAGAATAAAGTTTAGAAAATTCTGGGTTGTAGGTACTGGGCAGCCTACAGCCCCACTAACAAATACCGATGTATCGACTTTGTAAAAAATCTACTGTATTATCCACTTGTAATTGCCCTCTCCGGCGATCTGTACATTTGAAGCACACAAAGAAGGCCTGTCACTCCTTTCTATAGCAATGGATATTCGTAAGACTGCCTATATAAAGCACATGTGCTTGCACGATCGGGAAAAATAACATGCAGCTTAAAGAATAGGAGTAACATTTTGAAAGGAGTGCCCAGAAAAGATTGCCGCCGCTATCGTTCTGGGAGAGCAACCAAATAGTAAATACCACTAATACGAAATAAGAAATGTGATGTAGAGAGCCAATACCTATTCACTCCTTTTTCCAGGCGGAAAAATAATTGTGTGGCCTGATGTAACGCAAGCCAGGGCAAACAATATAATTAATTAGCCTGAACCCGAAAAGGGAACCCCCGGGATGTACGCTCGCAATTGCGCGCCGAGTAGCACTGCATAATTCAAAAATAAAAAATAAAAATATGTTTGAGTGATGCAAACCAAAAAAACCGGATACACAGCATATGTGATTGTTAATGTTCCAAATTTGCTGGTTGTCATTCTAAGTGATTAGTATCTGCTTTTGACAAAGTGAACCCACACCATACAGACTGAACAATTGACGGGGTCTGCAAATATGATCGCCAGTATATGCAGGATGTTAGGCAGATATAACGTATTTTTGTTACCAGAACTGTCGAAGCATTGCTGATTGCGTCATATGGCGGCAGTCATTTGCACTTGCAGACAGGTCGTCATTTGTGTTTGGGAAAAGTACAATGTGTAAAATCAAATGGAAGTATCGACGTTTCCAGCGCAGGTCACTTGGGTATATCGCACGCGTTTTCACCTTGCATCCGGTTGAACTTTTGCCTTTTACACTCAACGCGCGCAGATTAACCGACAAGCAACAAGAATGCCACCCCACAAAAATATACACTGCATCTCAACGCAACAGCTAGATATGCTCAAGAGTTTTGGTGTGCCAAAAGACTAATGACCAGAACCAATCAGATTAGTCTGATTGATAAGCCTTCTTGGCTCAGATGGCAGAGCGTCTGCCTAGTAAGCAGAAGGTCACCAGTTCGATTCTGGTAGAAGGCATATCTTTTGCCAAACAAAGACTTACTTTTATTTTTATAAAAGTAAACCGTTTTGCAAAAAGTAATGGGCTCAGCCGGGACTTGAACCCGGGACCTCTCGCACCCTAAGCGAGAATCATACCGCTAGACCACTGAACCCTATTGTCAACTAATTGGCTGTTTTTACGAGCTACTAACTGACTTTCTGATCAAGCTACCTTGGCACACTATACATCAATATTAGTTTGGCCAATGCTTTTGAAATTTTTTAGTCTTTTTGCTGTATATTGTTGTGAGCAATACCGCCCGTATTGCTCGTTTTTATCTTCTTCAAACAGATAGTATAGCCTTTTTCCACACTTGTTTTTATCTTTTTCAAACAAATAGTATAGCCTTTCTCCACACTCGTTTTTATCTTCTTCAAACAGATAGTATAGCCTTTCTCCACACTCGTTATTGTTTTGACCAAACCATTAATAATATTCCGATTCACGAGTTATCACAATAATGCTATTGTTTTTAAATACCCGCGACTCGAACAAGACTTTGTGGCTGCAGCGTATTTTGGCGCGATTTGTCTGAAACATCAAATTCCATAGTTTTTGGATGTTTCTCCACCCATTGTGACTGGCATTCTGTTTACTCATTCCTTTTTGTTTTAATTCTCACATCTCTCAATTTTTGTGCTATGCTCCAGATTCCTTTTTTTGTTTTTGTTTTTGTTTTTTTGTGGTTCATTTTGTGTCGATTGTATTCAATCCATTTACTGTTCCTCTTTTCCCCCGCGCTTATTTTAAGCACAGGCATGCTATTTTGTTGAATTTTTATTGACTTCGTGTGCGTATCAGTCAGACCAGTTGGTTGATGTTAGCAAGCGCCCTGAGGATAAATGATGTCTGCCTGCTTTGGTATCTATCTCGGGCCATGCCTAGTGCTCGCTCTCGACGTTTAAATTGTTTTGTGAGCTTACATATTGTGTGGCTGTATGTGTGGTGCCCAACACACATTTCAAACCACTGTCTTCCCTTTTCAAGAATCAAGATCGCCCTCATGGCCACTATACACATTTCTGTTATTGCTGGCTGACATCAAGGAACACCATGATGTTTACAGCGCTGCCCCCTTTTTCAGTTAAGTAAGCAATTTTTAAGACTTGAATATATCGATTTAGACCCACATTTTTATAGAGCACGACAGTATGGTCGACTGTGATAATATACAGGTCTGATTAAGTAAAAAAGACACGGAAAAATAGTGGATGCCTGTCTGTACGCATCGTTTTTGGTATATTAAATAGTTAGAGATGTGGTTTGATGTGGTCATATAAGTCTCAATCGGGTTGAGGAAATAGAAAAGTATGCAATGCGGGGCATCGGTGACAACAATGGCGAAGGGTGCAAAAGTTAACGTCAGCTACAGGATTTGAACCTGTGCGGGCAACGCCCAACAGATTTCGAGTCTGTCGCCTTAACCACTCGGCCAAACTGACTAGTAATTATTACCAAGCTACTGCTCTGGTTTCTAAACGGGTTATCTTGGAGACCATCCCACATTGATCTATTATGTTTGCTGCTTGCAGTTTGTAAAGCGGTTTTTTGACACCTGGCTTGGTTATAAAAATACTGCGAGCGCCACGTCATAATTTGTTTGACAAGTTGATTTTACGATCAATCAATTGGTGAAAGGTTACAATACACCGCCTCGCGCAGTGATCTGGTGGTATGAAAGTTTTAAAGTTTTCAAAATATAGGTTCAATTATTCATGTACAAATTTAGCATAGTTGTCTTTAGACCGAGCCTCAAAAACCTCCTGTATAGATTCAGGTAGGTGCGAGACAACCTTTGCAGGGGGGCCGGCGGCAACGACACTGAATGGCGGAACAACAGTATTAGGGGCAACAATGGCGCCGTCTTCGATCAAGCAGCAGTCCTTTATGATAGCAAAGCGTCCGATGATGCAGTTTTTGCCAATAACAACATAGGAACCGATAGACGCAGCTTCGATAATGGAGTTTTCGCCGATATCCACGTGGTCTCCAATTTTCAACGGGTAGTAGCTGAAGACACCCTTGTAGGATTTATGGGGCGGGCGTAGGACGGAATAGGGGCCGAGAGAGCAGAAGCGGCCGATGAGTACGGATGCCTGGTGTGTGGGGCCGGCGCGGCGGAGGTCGCCGCGGATTGTGCATTTCGGGTGGACAATTGTTTTGCCGCCCAAGACTATGTTTTGAGAGCCCGAGATTAGTGAGCGACGGCTGACTTTGTTGCCTGTGTCTGTTTCGATAAACTCTGCCTTTATGTAGGTGGAGTAGGGGGTCTCCATTATTATTATAATTGTTGCTATATGTAGAATGAGTATTAAAATGGAAAAAAAGAAAATAAATGTGGGGTTGCGAAATTTATGCTGGCGAGAGAGGAGGCAGCGGGCGGCGAATGTCAACAATACGCAAATACACACACTCTAGCAATGGGGGATCCGCAGGTAAGCAGCAGCAATACAACAGCCCTTTGGAGTTTGAAATAAGGCGTAGGTATCTCTGGCTCAGAGTCGAACCGAGCCGCCGATTATGAAATTTATGCAGGCATAAAATGGTTGAATTTCAAAGAGAGGGCCGACTCTGGTTCAAAAAGAGCAAATAAAAAATTTATTATTTTTTCTTCTTTTTTCTAAGCGCGAATAAAAGAGCAAAAGACAAGGAATTAAAGCAAAATTGATTGAGGTCAAGAGTTTGGTGGGATGGATTCAAATTGATTGGAGGCAAATTTCCTTTCCTTCTTTTTTCTTCACTCTTGCTCTTTGTTATTGGCGAAAAATAAAAATCAGCAACACAGAAACTAAAGTTTTATATTATATAAATTAAAATGACCACTACTTCGTTCGTTCGCCCCAGCACCAGACCCGACGAGATTCACGCGTTGCTTACAGGAGTGGAGCGGTACAATCCGCAAAAGGCTGGACAGCTTGAGGATTACCTCCTGCGCCAATGCGCCAACCCGGACCACACGACCAACCACGACCTTATGGCCAACTTGGCACTTCTCAAGATGTACCAGTTCAACCCTGACTTGGTTGACCTGGACGTCATCCGGCGCATCCTCGCCAAGGCGTTGATTTCAGCCAACAGCGGAGACTTCAACCTTTGCCTCTACCTGCTTTCGGAGGAAATCTGCAAAGACCAGTCGATCAGCAAGCTGCTCAGCCTTCGGGACTACCTGGAGCGGGCGCAGTTTATCAAGTTCTGGAAGGAGATTTACGGTAACGATGACGACGAGGAGGAGTCCGTGGTTGACGGGATTGCTGGGTTCGACAACGGTCTGCGCAAGCTGATTGTCGGCGACATCACGGGCACGTACCAGACGATCCCGGCAAAGTCCATTGAGGCTATGGTCAACCTGGACGAGGAGGCGGTGCTGCGCCTGGCCAAGGAGAACTCGTGGGCGGTCGACGCGCAGGGCGTCGTGTCGCTGCCGCTGAAGACGGCCACCGAGGCCAAGACGACGGTCATCAAGGAGAACGTCAAGTTTGAGCAGCTGACCAAGATCCTCAGCGCGTCGAACGACATTTAGAGAGGGTATTTTGATTCGTGTTTTAATAAAATAGCAATATTCAAGGCATCATTCGGGGGGTGGGTTTTAGCCTGGGTCTCCCTCAAAGCTCTCCAGCGTGGTATCATTCGGGCGCAGTATTCGACTGGGCCTCCTCGAAGCTCTGCAGCGTGACGGTGGCCATGAAGGCAGGGATGCTGCCACGCTCCTGGAGCCAGAAGCGGATGTCGTTGGCCAGGCTCTTGAGGTACAGCTTGCTGCCGCCGCCCGACAGGTGCATGATGCCCTGGTCGGCGTCGCCGCTGGTGAAAACAAAGCTCTGGTCGACGTCGGCGGCGTACATGGAAGTCAGGCGCACGCTGCCGTTGGGCAAAAAGTCGATGCGGTAGCCGAGGATCGAGTAGATGGCGTCGCGCAGCTCGCTGGCCTTGCGCTTCCACTCCTTCTTGAGGCGGCTGATCATTTTGGCCGAGACGTCCAGCTGCTCGGCCAGCCGCTGGTTCTCAGAGCGTAGGTTGTCGATGGAGTGGAAGAAGGGGGCGGCTGTGGCGTTGTCCGCAGAGGCGGCTGCGGCGTCGTCCACAGAGGCGGCTGCGGCGTCGTCCGCAGGGTCTGCTCCCGCCCCCTTCTCCAGCCCCCGCAGCCGCTCCAGCAGCGCGGCGTTCTCGGCGGCCAGCGCCTTCAGCCTGGCCGAGCGGATGGCAAAGTCGCGGGCCGCGGGGTTGTCGACCAGCTGCAGGATGCGCGTGGTGCGCGGGTCGCAGCCCAGCCCGGCGCCGACCTGGAGCTCGAGCCTGGCGGCCTCGCGCTCCAGCGCCTCAAAGCGCTCCAGCAGCCGGCGGTGGTCATCGCGCGCGCTCTCGGCGTCCTCGCGGTAGCCGCGCAAAAGCTCAGCCGACGCCGCATCGACAGCGCCGATCCTAGCGCCATCGGCATCGGCGCCGGAGTCGGCCGCAGCGACCCAGGCGCGCAGCTCGTCGACGAACATCTCGAGCTGGCGGATGCGCAGCGCCTTGTGCGCGTCGTAGTTGCCGGGCATCATGCTGGCCTCCTCGCGGTCGTACGAGTGCAGCTGCGCGCGCGCAAACTCCGCCTCGCGCACCGCATGCAGCCGCGCGCCATCAAGCCGCGCCGCGCGCTGCGCCTCGGCGTCGGCCTGCGCCCGGAGGCGCGCGCACTCGGCGGCAAGCCCCTCGCAGCGCGTCTCAGCGCTGACGCGGTGCTGCTCGGCTTCGGCGCAGGCGGCCTGAAGCGCGGCAGCGCGCGTCTCCAGCGCGCGCAGCGCGTGGCGCTGGTCGGCCACAGTGCGCGCCACGGCGAATGGCGAGCCGGCATTGGGCGCGTCGGGGGCTTCGAAGACGCGCTGCCATTGCGCGCGCTCTTGCTGCAGTGCGCTGAGCTGCGCTGCGGTTTCGGCGTGTGCGCGCTGGGCGTCCTCGAGCCGCTGCACTTTGGCGCGCAGTGCCTGTGCGGCCTCGCGCTCCTGCTCTTGCGCTGCGGCGGCCTGTGCCAGCCGCTTGGCCTCGGCGCGCAGGTGGCGGTTCTGCTGCTCGACAGCCTTGATGTACGCGCACTGCTCGGCGAGGTCGCGCTCGAGCTGCGCGATGAGGCTGGGCGGGTCCCGTTTGCTCTCACGTATCGGCATGGCGTCCCCCCCGGCTGCTTGGCTCTGCATTAGGCTCTGCTCCCCGGCTGCTTGGCTCTGCATTAAGCTCTGCTCCCTGGCTGCTTGGCTCTGCATTAAGCTCTCCTCCCTGGCTGCTTGCTTCTGCATTAGGCTCTCCTTCTCGCGCTCCGCCCGCGTTGCGCGCAGCAGCAGCGCCTCCTTCTCGGACGCGTGCTCGGCAGCCTGGCGGCGCATGGCGCGCGCCACGTCGTCCAAGCGGCGGTCAGCGTCGCGCACCGCAGCGTCCATCTGGTCAATGCGCGCCTCATAGGCAGCACGCTGGCGGGCCAGCGCCGCCTCCGCCCCCCTGCGCGCACAGGTCAGCTTCTCCTCCTGCTCGAACAGCCACCGGCGGTCGCGCTCCAGCGCCTCCACGCGCTTCGCCTGCGCAGCCACCTCGGCCTCCAGCGCCTGCCGCAGCTGCACAGCCTCAGACCGCTCGCGCTCGCGCTCCAGCGCCGCCTGCTGCGCGTCGAACCGCGCGTCCTCTGCCGCCCGCCGCAGCGCATTTGCCTGGCTGGCCGCGGAGCTGTCGCGCTGCACAGATGCCAGGATGCTGCGCGACGGCGATTGCAGGAGACTGTCGAGGAGCGACGCGGTGCCCTGGGCTGGCCGCGCGCGCACTGGCGTGTCGGGCCCGGCCCCGAGCCCGGGCCCGAACCCGAGCATCCAGGGCGCTGGCGAGCGGATTCCGGGGCTGCTGCCTGTGCTGGCTGCGTCCAGCCGCCGCTTTGTGCCGCGCGCCGCTGGCTGCTCGGTGATTGTCAGGAACCGCGACCGAATCGCCGTCGATGGCGGCACTGCACTCTGGAGCTGCGTGGCCTGCAGCTGCTGCCTTCGCTTGGCCAAGGGCGTCTCGCTCGTCTGCATTGGTCTTTAATGTGAAAGTGGAAGTGAATTTGAATTTGAATTTGAATTTGAATTTGAATTTGAATTTGAATTTGAATTTGAATTTGAATTTGAATTTGAATTTGAATTTGAATTTGAATTTGAATTTGAATTTGAATTTGAATGTGAATGTGACTGTAAATGTGAATGTGAATGTGAATGTGCTTGCTTGTGTTTTGTACAAGGGGGTAATCGAAAGCAATAAAAAGGTAAAGGACCCGCGACTAATGCGGGCGATTGAAGGCTTTCGAAATCGCAACAAAAAAAACAGCAATATAAAAGCATGGAAGCTGTCGATTTTGTTGGTCGGCGGTTGTTTTTTCAAAGGAACTTCCGACTTGTCTCAACCCCTTTTTCCTCCCCCAATCTGGCCGATTACGTTAATTGAGACAGCTGCTTTCGGCACCCAGGCCGACCTCACAGCTTTGCTTCCCCTTTCAAACAACTTGAACTTGTACAAAAAACTATTATTTATCCAGGAAAATGCCAAAGAAATTCCCCGGCGAAAACAGCAAAGGTAACTAAACACACCCACGCCTCTCATAGCCACCACACTTTAAACCACTACCAGCTGGTCCAGCCAGCCAGTCAGCCCAAATGAACTAACTTTTTTCTTTCTTCTTCGCCAATAGTCTCTGCTGCAAAGGAGAAGAAGGCTGCGGCCCAGGCCGAGAAGGACAACCAGAAGCGCTTAGACAAGGAAGCCAAGGATTCGGCCGAGTGGAACAAGGGCGCCAAGCAGGGCGGCAAGAAAGAGGACCAGGAGGCCAAGCGGCTCGAGAGGCTGGCCAAGAAGCAGGAGGCCGACGCCCTGCTGCGCGCCGAAGAGCGGGAGATCGCAAAGTCAGCCGCTGCAAAGACCGGGCCCGCCAAGCTCGCCCCCGTCCAGCCCAAGAAGCAGCCGGTGCTGCGCGGCGCCGAGAAGAAGGCCGCTGCAAAGGAGGCTGCCATCGAGGTGATCGAGCACGTGCACCGGCCTATGGAGACCTTTGCTGCGAGCAACATCGATGATGCGCTGGACCTGTTCGACAATATCCACACCAGCACCAACGGCGATGAGGCTACGGCTGCCGTCGATGGCGCGCAGGCAAGGAAGTCCGGCATGGGTGCCGTCATCGACCGCCACCCCGAGCGGCGCGCCAAGGCCGCGTACCCGGCCTACCTGGAGCGCGAGCTCGAGATTATGAAGGTCGAGCACCCAGGGCTGCGGCAGCTGCAGATGCGCGAGCTCATCTGGAAGACCTGGCTCAAGTCGCCCGAGAACCCAATGAACCAGGCCCATGTCGCATACAACGCCACTGGCGAGGAGATGGCTGCCGCCGTTGAGGAGCAGCGCCGGACCATCCAGGACCGCCTGCGCATATAGTTTTTTTAAATTATTTTTATTGTCAATATTTCTTGCGCTTCGCATACTCCATGACGTCCAGCAGTTGCCGGATCTCCTGCACCTGCTTCGACATGGCCTGGACGCCGCGCATCGACCGGTCCAGGTGCTGGCACTTGGCCACCAGCTGCCGCTTCTGCTCGACCGACTGCATCACCGCTGCCTCCAGGCCCTTGATGCTGGTCAGTGCCACCGCCTCGGCCCCCGCCTCAATCTCTATGCGCTGCTCCAGCCGCTCCTGCAGCCGATCCGTGTACGTCGTCAGCATCCGCGATAGCCCCATCGCCTGCTGCTCTAGCGCGTCCAGCACGCGGATGCGCTCCATGTAATCCTCCATGCTCTTGGTCTCCATTTTGCTGTCTCAGTAGGAGCGATGCCGTTGTGCTGTGAGGATAAATGCAACGTAAATCGTGGAATTCAACTTGAATGAAACAAAAAAGGATAGCAGCAGCAGCAGCAGCAACAAGCGAAACAAGGCCATTTCTGCAGCTTGTCCTTTTCATTTCGTTTTCTTTTTTTACGGGATTGCAAAGGTCTGCGGCCACGTGAATCATCCCCGACGCCGAGCCATACACACAGCTTCCGCAGCTGGTCGAAAAATACGCTTTGTCTCGGCTGGCCTCAACTGGCAAGCAAAAAAAAACGGCCGCCTCTTTGCTTTCTAAATAAACTCACTACAAATATTATATTTTTCACCAACCGGCCCACACAATGGCTCCTGCTCCGTTGCTCCCGTTCCAGCGACAGATCCTGGACGGCTTGCTTGACGAAAACGCCCTGTGCGTCGTTGCGCGCGGCCTGGGCCTCGAGCGCATTCTCGGCGAGCTCGGCCGGGCATGCGCAACCCCACAGGCGCTAGTCTTTCTCCTGAACGCCAGCGACCAGGATGAGGACAGCCTAAAGCAGCTTTTCATGCAGATGCGCTCAGGCGACGGCACCAACGAGTCCACGCAGCTGCAAGTGATCAAAAATGAGACCAACTCAGCAGCACGCGCACACCTCTACCGCAAGGGCGGTCTGGTTTCTGTAACCTCGCGCATCCTCGTCGTCGACCTACTAAACAAGCTGGTCCCCGTGGAGCTCACCACGGGCATTATTGTCTGCAACGCCAGCAGGGTGTCGGCCGAGTCCATCGAGGCCTTCATTCTGCGCCTTGTACGCCAACAAAACCCATGCGCCTTTGTCAAGGCTCTATCGGACGCGCCCGAGGCATTCACCATGGGCTTTGCACCGCTGGAAAAGACTCTGCGGGTACTAGGCCTGCGCCACGTGCACCTGTGGCCTAGGTTCCACGTGGCTGTGCAGCACGATCTCTCCAAGGCCTCGGCGCCTGTCGTGGAGCTGCGCCAGCCGCAAACGCGCGCCATGGTGGAGCTGCAGCAGGCCGCATTGGACTGCGTCGCGGCAATGATCTCAGAGCTATGCTCGTCTGCCAAGGTGCTAGACTCGGCCGAGATCAACGTTGAGGCCAGCCTTTTTCGCTACTTCGACGCCATGGTTAAGCGGCAACTTGCGCCATACTGGCACCGGCTCAGCGGCCGTGTCCGCGGGATGGTCGCTGATCTGGCCAGCCTGCGCCGCGTCGCCGAGCTCATTACTGCATACGACTGCGTGTCGCTGCAAAGGTATCTCGACACCTTGCTGATTTCCAACAAGCCCGGCCCTGGATCCTCATCTGCCCCTGCCACATGGCTGGCCAGCGACTCGGCTAATATCCTGTTTGCCGTGGCCAGGGCACGCTTATTCCACAGGGTGCCCGCTGACCAAGTGCCCGAGGAGACCAAGGTGCGGCTGCGCGATCTGGGCTTGCCTGAGAACATTGCGCCAGTGCTCGAGGTGCCGCCAAAGCTGCAGCTGCTGGCGCAGATACTGGATGAAATCGGCGCAATCAACCATGGCGCCTCTAAGCAAGGCAAGGATGCCGGTCCCGTGCTCATAATGGCCGGGTCGTCGCGAGAATGCCGTTTGATCCGCAGTCACCTCGTCACCCTAAATGACAGCGTTCGCCTTGACGTGCCCGGCAAAGAGGGCAGCGGCAGCGAGCACCCGCGCATGATGGTTAATCTGCTGCGCGGCTTCTTCAAGTGGAAGGCCCAAATGGCCAGACCCGAGAAACCGGCAGTTACCGGCTTTTCTGCACAGGCACAGGCGAGATCAACGCCGCAGACAGCACGGCCAGCGCAACCACATTCTAATAACGGTCAGGGCGCTGGCCAGCTGCGCAGATTGGCGCCACCGACTAAACGACGCCGCACACGAGGTGCCTCGACAGCCTCATCGGGGGTCCTGCGCGCACCAGCGGACGAGCTTGAACAAGAGTCCGCCGAGCTTGCAGCCACTATCAATTCCAGGGACGCGGCGGCAGATAATGGCAACAGTAGCGGCGGCGATTTACTAGGTTTCGGGATGCATGAGTCGCAGGCCGCCCAGGATCCAGCGGCGGTCGAATCTGGATCCGAATACCTGGACGACGACGCAGACGAATGGGCTGAAACCCTGGGCGCCTTTGACGAGAACTTTGGAATTCTGCCTGGCTCTGAGACCCTGATTGTTCAGTCGTACTCTGACAGCTTGGGCCGACTGGAGACACTACGGCCGACCCACATAGTCATGTACGACCCAGACCCCGCCTTCATCCGCGAAATTGAGCTGTACCAGGCCCACGGGGGCCCACTAAAGCAGGTATACTTTATGGTCTATGACAACAGCATTGAAGAGCAGCGGTACTTGAGCTCGATTCGTCGCGAGCGCGAGGCCTTTGAGAAAATGATCCGCGACAAGGCTACAATGGTCATCCCAATTGGCGCCAATGCAGTGCCCGGAATTTCGGCTTTGGTGGGCGGGGGGTCGCCGGGCAGCACGCTCCTCCGCGCCATTGTCAACCGCAGCCATCGCGACGCATCGACCTCCGAAGAAGACTCGGTGCGAAAACCAATAGTGGTCGTCGATGTGCGTGAGTTCCGCTCGCCGCTGCCCTCGTTTCTTCATGCGGCCGGCTTTGACGTTGTGCCGCGCACGATTGATATTGGCGACTACATTTTGCACGATAATCTCGTTGTTGAGCGCAAGTCACTGCCCGATCTCATTGGGTCTTTGCGCAGCGGCCGCCTGTACAACCAAGCCGAGGCTATGACCAACCACTATACTTATGCCGCTCTGCTTATTGAGTTTGAAGTCAACACGTCTTTCTCGCTTCAGGCCATGGGCGGGCTCACGGCGGATATTCAGTTCGGTTCCATCAATAGTCAACTGACCATGCTTGTATTGGCATTCCCCCGCCTGCGCATTCTCTGGAGCTGCAGCCCGTACGAGACCGTCAATATTTTTGTCGAGTTGAAGAGAAACTCCCAGGAGCCGGATATTGATCGTGCTGTGATGATGGGTCAGGACGATAGTGCGGTTGAGCGCGAGTCTATTTACTCGCAGTCCGCCATTACACTGCTGCAGTCTCTGCCTGGCGTTACCTTAAGGAACTACCAGGCTCTGGCGAAAAAGTACAAAAATATTAGGGAGATGTGTGCTGCCAAAAAGGAGGATTTAGACCAGCTTCTCGGCAACGAATCAGCCAAACAACTTTACCAGTTTTTACACGCAAATGCGACAACACAATAGACATTGTCCATTTTTGTTTTTCTAATTTTTCGTTTATTGTTTTTTAAAGGGTGTAAAATATATAGATAGTCGATATGGTTAGAGCTCCTTGGGCTGCACCTTTTTGACCCTTTTGACATTTGCGGATGGTCCGCGCAGTATTTGGATCAACAGCACCAAATGAGTCGCAAGTAGCACCAGGGACGAGATGCTAGTGGACGGGTAAACGTTCCACGCGTACTCGACAACCACCCAAGCGACAAACTGCGCAACCAGCGGCAGGCAAGAGATATGCAGCAAGTACGGTAGCATATGGAAATACCAAGAGTAAAATTGGTAATGCAGGGACCGCGCGCAAACCACGCCGACAAAGTTAGCAGTAAACATCACGGCGATAACCTCGTCCGCGCTCACGCTGCTGCCCCTGTCATTGCGGGCACCAGTGTGGCGCCGAAAACCGCTCTTAATCACCGCATAGGCGGTGCTCCCCGACATTTGCGGCCACACGGATAGTCCTAGTATTGCCAAAAATACAGCGTGAGCAAGAAGAAGTGTGGTTGACCAGTCAGTTGACAAAAATACGTCCTTGCTTATGAACCGCCAATTGACCGTCCACGTGTAGTCAAACTGCCGCCCAAAGTCAAACGCTCTGGCCATGTACTCCTTGGGATATACAGACAAAAATGGCGCGGCCAGCACAGCCTGGATAGCAACAATAACTGCCAACTGTGCCCCAACTGCTACCACCCCACCCCTCCGCCACCATATGTACGCCGCACCCGGAAGCATCAGTTGAACATTCATCTTCACTGAAATTCCCAGGCTCAAAAACACACCCGAGTACCACATCCATCTCCTTGAACCAGTCAAAGCCGCTATGCCCACGTAAGCAAACAGCATGGCAATAGTGTCGTTGAACAGGCGAAGCACAAATATCGAATGCAGTCTTTTGGACACAACCAGCAAGGGCAGCAGTATTGGAGGAATGCGCGTGTGCTTGTAAATCACCAGGACAACGGCCAGGGTGGCCAAGTATACACCCATGAAGATGTACTGCGCCAGCCGCAGGTTAATCCCGCCGCTGGTAATCTGGAAGAGCAGCTGGTAGACCCAGACAAATCCTGCCGGATACACGAGTGGCCCAGTGTCGCCTTTGAGATTCAAATAGTTGCGCTCGCCATTAATTACGCCATCTACCTCCTGCATATACGCCTTCCAGTCGATCTCTGTGTACTGAACCCGCTGGATGATCTGATAGTTTATTATGAATTCGAATGATAACAGAAGAACCGCGATGCCTGAGTAAAACCGGTGCGTGAATAGCACTTCTCTCAACAGTGACAATGTCATTTGTCAGATTGGTATATAATACTTTACACAAATAACAGATATTAATAAGACAATTGATATTACTATTTGTTAACGCACATGTAAAATCGAAATTTGGAAATATACTTGATTATATTCACATTGACTTATTTATGGTACTGTTGCTTTTCATCGATACGCCGCACAAATAGGGTAAATTATGCACAAAAGTTATCTTGGCCACAATTAACGCACTAGTTGGTAAGAACAAGTGCAAGCTGCATAACTTATTAACACCGCCAGACAAAACAACTTATACTGATAGTTAATTAAACACAGGTCGGCACCATGATTGGCAAGATTTTGCAGCTCATATTCAATTTTATTTTATTAATGGCATGTAACATATTTCGCTAAATTTTTGATAGACTAAAATAATTTTTTTTATCATTTGGTGTCAATTGAATCAAAATAAAAAAGTGAGACCAACTAGCACATTTTGTGCAGTTAATTACGCCCTGTGTGGGGGTCGAACCCACGACATTTCGGTTAAAAGCCGAACGCTCTAAACCAACTGAGCTAACAAGGCAATTGTTTCTGAGCTAGTCGGTTTCGTTGAAAAGAAAACAATAGTAGGGAGGTTGGTCGTACGCTTGGTCTTTTCGACAAACAACAAAAATATATTGGCACCTTTAAATCGCTTTTTGCTTTTCAAAAAGCCAAGCGTTAAATAAGAAATATACTATGGTGTTGTTACGATTTGAGTGGAGCACTAGTCGCCTAGTGTTAAAAGTATTTTTGGGTTTTGTTATAGTTTTTATTATCAAGGGAATCAAAAGTAGAACTAGGGCCGGTCTCGTATTATATATGTATCTCGTTGCCTTTGTTGTGCACTTCGCCAGTTGTGCACTCCGTTGGCGAGAACTGATTCTTCTGCGAGCAGCTCGGTATCTTGGCAAGTCAATGTTGTGGTTTTCATATATGTGCGCTCGTACATGTACATTGCAAAATAGGGAGCATATCTGGGTATCACTATTATGCCTCCCTAATTTACCCATGTATAATCCAATTAATACCCTATCAATCGGCATGCAAATGGAAACTTGTTTCACGATGCTCAACCTCGATATCCACTTTCATATCTTCGGGCTGCGCAACAGTGTTATTCCTTTATAATAATAATAATAATAATAATGTAAAAACGTGCAATAGCACCAAAATCTGTGTACATTTTTTGTTTTGGCGCACAATTTAGTGTCCATCAAATAGAATTATGTGTATTCAAAATTAATAAACACCATTATTTATTTATTATTATTAATCTTGAGCGTTTTCTTAAGCCGTCGTAATATTCAAATAGTTTCAAATTTGACAACCAGCTGCTATATATTTCTTATGTGCAATAGAGGGTGTGAATTCTGCTGACATTCAGCATGGTTAAATTACTAATGTACTATTGTACTGGGTACCAAGAAGATGACTTAAGCATATTGCCCAAACAGTTTCACAAAGACGAAATTAGTTGGAATACCAATGAATGGGTGTTAAATATAAACAATTGATATTTATAATTTAATACATCAAATTAATTGAAATGTAAAAAAAAATGCAAACATGTTAAAAAAATAGTAGAGAATCATACAGACTGGCATTTATTATAAATACAATCGTTATCGTCGCCAAAACTAAAACAATATTTTTTACTACAACCATACTGTCTAGAGCACTTATTACACATTATTACAGCTTTGTTCAACTAAAACCCCAAGCAACTTCCTTCTTATCTTCAACTGTGGCAAGCAAAACAATTTGCGTCAAGTTTACTAATGATAATAATGATTATAGTATCAGCAAATTTGAAAGTAATCTAAATGATAGTACAAAGTGAGAAGTTGTATTTGACCACATTAAGCAGAACAAAAATGCATGGACAGTAACGTGGCGTTAACTTTGAGTAGCGGCAAGGCAATATCTAAAAATGAAATGCATTTGGATATTAAAGTCTCGTTAAAGAAAAATGAGGCAAAATTAATTGGTACATATAATATCAAAAGAACAATTAGTGTTAATTACGATGGTAAAATATTAATATTTAGAGGACCGAAAATTTCAAAAGTAGAATCATTTGCGCTGGAAGCTATTTCTGATGTTAAAACATTTAAAGACCTTAAACAACTTTACAATTGATAATGATAGGGGTACTAAAAACAAAATATCCCAAAATCAATATAATATATTAGGAAATGGTTTGGTGATAATTCTATAGCATATCTCAAGTTTGATCCAAACGTTGAAAATAATTAAATATCAGCCTGCATATTTTGCAAAAACATGTAACGCGCAGTATAGCTTATTGTATAAACATTATTTTATACGTTTACTATGTGGCCTATAAACATAACAATTAAAACAATATACATTACATAATATACTACAATCCACAAAACCATAAAAACCTTAAAAATAGCTTGTGCTGTTTTGTCTATACCCATCAAAACAATTTTTCCGGTAAACATGTCCACAACGGGAGCACGAAACTCTGATGCGAGAGGACTTCCACTGGGATCTTTGGGACCCAGCCGCAGATCTCATGGCTGAGATGATCAACAGACTCCAGCTGTACCCAGGACCGACATATGACATATTAGAGGAACTCAAGAAGCGTGTGGACGCCCACTACCAGGAAAAGAAACTGGGCTTGGGTATGAGGCGCGGCTGGCAGGAGCTGACAGAGGCTAGGTACACCATACTGGTCAAGAAACTCCAAGGGGATTGCACAAAATGAGCAATGGTGTTTGTAAACGAGATCATAGGTAGACAGAACGACTGGTGCAAGGGCAAGTGTAAGCTGCAGATTGAACAGGAGGTGAGGAGATATTTGACCCCTGAGAAACGCCAATTGTTGATGGGACTCTAATCTCAACAAACATCCCGAATACCAAATCCGTGACAAAACGATGACCATGGCCTGCTGAAGTAGCCGCGGGCAAACAGCAATGAGGACAGTAGATATGCACATCAGCTATCTGGCGACGATTGGTGCTCTAGCTGGGAGATCGAGTGCTTGGGTTTAATTTTACTAACATCCTGGCGGACAAACTTCCACCGCCAAGCAATTAGGCCCAGGTATGCAATAGAACCAGGATGATGGGCATGGTGGGGCGGTTTACATCTCATTTTTATAGCATTGGTTTTAATAGCTTGTTCCCATAGAAATTGGAAACATGGCAATTTGTTTGTAATCGAAATAGAGGTTGAACAAACCTGAATGTTTATAAAAATCACTTTTATATGCCAAAGCTGGAAATAAAGAAAATAAAGAAATGATATCTACCTGGATCTTACTCGCTGCCTTGCAGGGCCTGGGCCATGAACATCTTGGTAAGGGCCGGTCCGCGAGACTGGGTGACACCCTTAGTCAGAAGGTTAAGGTTGGCAGTGTTGAGCAGGGCATCAAGGCGAGAGGGCTCCGGCAGGGTCTTGAACATCCGGTCGAGCTCCTTCTCGGAAAGCTCGGGTTCGGGCTGCTCCCCGCGGGCCACGCGGGCAGCGTTGGAGGTGGCCTTGCGCTGCACAAACTGCTGCCTACGGTTGTTCTCCTTGGCCTCGCCGCGCTTCCAGTACATCCACTGGTTAGCATCGTGAATATGGTCATCAATGAGCTCGCTGATAGCTTCAAGCTGGCGCGAGAGCGAGCCTGAGCCGTTCAGGCTCTGGCTGAGGTCGAGGGCGTTTGTGCACATGGGGCGCGACAGGTAGGCGGTCGGGCGCGTGGGCAGAAGACCTGAAAGGTTGTTGTCAAGCGCGTCGGACGACTCTGTGTCGTCGCTAATTGCCGAACGGTCGGCCATCCGCTTGGCACGAAGCTTGGAGTTAAACGAAGACGGGCGCTGGAGGCTCTCGAGTAGCTCCTGCTCAGCATTGGTGGGCCATTGAAGCTCGCTCAGCAAAACTTTGGACAGCGCCGAGGTCTCGACTTGAATGGGCAGCTCCTCCAGGATATTGCCGTAGGTGAGGCCCTTGTCGGCCAGCTCCTTGGTGGTGAACTTGCCGTTCTTGGCCAGATCCTGGTAGACCTGAGACAGGCGGAAGGCGCGCAGTGACAGGTTTCCGGCTTGCTCAGACTTGGAAGTATCATGAATAAGCACAACCGACGAGTTGTTGGGCGAGATCTGGTAGCTAGCCTGCACGTCCAAAAGCGGCTGCTGCATGAAATCGCCCAAGCGGGTCGACTGGTACCAGCCGACAGAGCTGCTGTCGACGTTGACTTCGCGCAGGCACTGAATCATCTCAATCTGGTAGTTGGTCATGTCCTCCTCGGAGCCTGGCTGCGTGGGCACAGCGAATGCGTTAGTGACCTCCAGGACGCCATCAACCTCCAGACCTAGGAGCTGGCCGTTGACCGAAGTCGGGTAGCTCTCGCGCGCGTGCTTGACAATCTTCAGGATGGCCAGAGGGTCGACCTTGACCAATGTCAGGGTCGACACCTTCTCAACATCCAGAACCGAGCGCAGCTGCTTGGGAATTGCGCTAGCGTCGAACGCTGAAAGCTCACTCTGCTCATTGAGTAGCGCCGTCATGGGCTTTGACTGCTTGGTTGTTCCTGCCATTATAATTTATGGTTTCTTTTGGTGTGTAAATGTGAATGATTATCCGCGTCCTTCCTGAAATTCGATGCTGAAATTTATAGATTAAGCACACTTTTGTTCGACTGAATGTGAACGTTCGATTAGGAGTAAAAATATGTGAAATCAAAAACTATGCCAATGGCGAAATCAAGTGTGAAAGAGAGCAAGAAAAAAAGAAAAGAAATTCGAAGGGGCAAATCGGATTGAAAATTTCATGCCTTTTTCCTGCACCCAACTTTTCTTTGGGTTCTTTTTTGCTTTTATTACCACCTTTGACTGCAGTGGCCATTAATCTGGCGTGGAAAAAAATCTGCCTCCACCCATCCATTCATTCATTCATCATTTGCAAATTAAATTAAATTAAATCACTGTGAAGCCAAGCCAAGCGGTAGTAAAAGGGTTGTCATTTTGGAGGTTTTGCAGAAAACCTGTGACTCGATTTTAAGGTGTTCGTATTTAATTTTACTAACACCCTGGCGGACACTTCCACAACCAGGCAATTAGACTCAGGTGTGGATAACTCCCAACCTCATCACCCCTAGAATAATTTTTGTTATAGGGGCATGTAGCCAGGTCTGCAGTAGAACCTATGACGGGCAAGGTGGCCCAGTAGACAGTCTTATTCATCAACTTTAGTTTTTGGGGGTTTTACTTGCTTTATATCTCGCTCAATGTATTATTTAATATGATGGCTCGATTTTGAGAATGCTCAATCAATATGCTACTAATAGCTGTATCAAAATTGATTTTCAGTTTTCAACACTATTTCGTAAAAAAAGCTTGTGTAATTTGCGATAATCATATATTCGCTTGTAACTGGCAATATGAGGAAATGTAGAGAATTTTTTGATTATATACGAAGAAAAAATGAAAATTACGCGTGGTGTTAATATAATAATAATATAATAGAAAATGTTGACACTGTAGAATCAAATTGGTCATTATATTACCTGCCTTCCATCAATAGAAGGTTTTGCAAAGGTGCCAGTGAGCATTGTCGGCGTGTTGAGTCTTGGTCGCTGGATATGCAAATTGCCGCGCAAGGCAATGGGTATGCCTTCCTGGTTGCTATAGACTCTTAGTGGGTTGCGTAGCGTGTCGTCTTCCTCAAATGTGCTTTCGTCGCAGTGGTCGTCTCGATAATAGTCCAGGTTGGTGCTATCGACAGTGTCAAAATTGAGCTGGGTCCCCTGGTAGGTTGTATTGTTTACCTTTGTATAAGGGGTGGTCATGCCAAATAGCCCCGAGCTGACATTGTATTCCTTCTTGTGGCCATCCTTGGTCAGCTTTTTCAGCCAGGCAGTTTCGTACTCGCACCGATAGAACAAGCACATAAAAATTGGATGTCCGATGATGAGCCAAATCATAATATTTGCTGCAAGCACATCAATAAATGTCTTTTCAACACGGCGTGAAAGGATGAGTGGATATTTGGGGAACACCATATTTGTAACGGTTGACTCAACAAGCGCAATCATGGCAACGGCGAAAATAGCCAGCGACTCACGGAACTCATTAAAACTCGACTGTATATTGCGTAGACGGAAAATCAGCGCCGCGACACATGACCAAAGAACCCATTGAATTGAAATGGCAACAATGCGGAATCCCTGGGTTACGTTGCACGCCTCCATCATGTCGATTTGCTGTACTGTGAGCTCGGTTTTTATGAGCTGAATAACTAGGCAGTATATGACATTTACCAACACCACAACAGTGAGGTAAATAAAAACTGTAAGCCCGCGGAAGGGTTTGCCCTGATTGAACACTCGGTCGAGAGCAAAAAAGCGGACAATGTGCATTGATGCGTATACATAACAGAACAAGACTCGAAACCAAATGATCCACAATTTGCAATGGGCAAATGGGCCTTTTATGCGGACGTGTCCGTTGGAAACAACGTCTCCAAGAAACCAAAGAAACCCAGATACGTGTATGCATGTGGTCCAGGACAAGTTTTTTGCACGAATTGGCCGATACTTTTTGTTAAACCACGCGTAGACCACCATTATTGTTGTCAAGCCGAATAGCCCGCTGCAAACAACTATTACGACCATGTCTGTGCTGCCGACAGGGGTAACATTGATACCATACATGTTGCTTAGCATCTACAAATTAATAAAGCGCATAAGGTTAAAAAGTAACACAATTTCAGTATCGCACGTGGCTGACAATTAGAAAAGACATATTGTAAATGTGGCCTGTGCACTAGTACTTTTTACGTGATTAAGTTGGCTAAAATGCACGCTGCATAGAACAGGTTTGGTAGTACCTACGTTTGCTCGTGTGTCTGGATCCAGACTTTGTTGGGGCAAGAAACCAGTCATTATTGCCGGCGTAGTCTGTCAGACAATGTAATGTTGAATATATGTTTGTGTGGTGTCGTGAAAGTAAAATATGAATAGCCCAAGAACGCGTATTGAACGTAGCAAATAATATAAAAGTTTTTTTTTAAAAAAAATTACAGTACAATATCAAAAAAACAATGAAAAATATTTCAGTGCGCACACAAAAAGAAGAGGGCACTCAGTATACAGACCGTCTGCTGGTGAGTATGCTGCCATGTAGCCGCAATTCATCCATATAGGAACAAACAATTCCCTTTTATAAACCCACAGGTTTACCCCTTGTCAATGCACCAAAAACCAGAAGCCACGCAAATCGTGACAAACCGCAGACGCAAATTGAAAGAGGTGTAAAAAACAATTGGGCAGACACGATGGAATTAATGGCATGCATGTGCTTCGGATGCAAATCGCGCACATTGTCCCCTTGTCGATTACTCTGATCTTTGTCCATTTTTGGAACACTTGTTGAAAAATCAATATTCTTCTCACAAAGACACTTTGAGCTATTGAGATTTTCCGAGTAAATGTACATTATTCACATAGCCCATGTGTGCTTTCCAATGTTTTGTAATGTCTAAATAATAATTATAACACGCCTATGACGTGAGGCTTTCTTTCCAGTTTTATTTACAAGTGTGTATTTTTAAACATACGTCATTGTTGAACTTTCACTTGCCATGTTGGATGTGCTGAAAATTTACTATTTTGCATGCAGCGCTTACTGATCAAGCAAACTGGTATTTTTGTGGTGAAAACGGGTGCACTATTCTTTAAAAACATTGTATTTTTAGTTGACCAGCAGGTGCATAACAGGAATTTCGCGTGTGACCACCGCAATGCTTAATTGCCTTCCTTTAAACTGGGTGAGATTTGCTTGGTGGCGTCATGAAAGGACACTGGCTACTTTTATAACAATTAGTAGTTGAAAACTTTCTGTCTACAAGGCAAAAATAAAAATATTCGTATGCAATCGGATACGCTTGACATTCCTTCCCCACGAGAACAAGGCCAATAAAGAGATTCGCTGGTATTTTAATGGAGCGAATGACACCGTACATCCAGTCGATCTTGTTTGTTTGATTTATGAGTGTTTGTGTGCATTTGCGCAAGCAAGTACTTTCAAATTAGAACACACCTATAACAGTATTTTGTACGCTCTTTACTTGCCTTGATTGATGTGTTTGCTTGTTTTCAGTTGTAATCGAACAACGTATTGTTGCTGGAAAGGAAGGCGTCAATACTATTGCCAAGACGAGCGCAGAAGATAGTATAAAAATCCGAAAACAAAAACGAAAAGGTTGGATTGGATAAAAGTCTGCGTTTTCGTTTTTTATTTGGAAAATCGCTGGCTTTGCTGTGGTTGCATGAAGCAGAGCAAAGTAGAGCAGAGATTCTCAAAGTTTAGCGGCAATAACAAAAGGTCACTTTATCCAGAAATGAATGCATGAGCGCGTGATTGAACCCCACAAGCAGATACTGACTTGCAGCGATGATCTGGCTGCGGCTCACTGTGCACCACGCTGTCACGCTATTATTGACACCCGATCTGCATATCTCAAGTCTGTATACTGATAAACCTTTATTTTTTGTTTCTGAAATGCAAACCAACAATATGAGCTCAACTAGCGACGATGATATCTGGGATCTCGACCAGGACGACATATCCAGCGAGCGAGCAATCGCTGCCCAATCCCTGAGAAAACTTGAAAACGAGTTCAACAACGCTGGCTACAAGTACGGTGTGGATGCCAGCAAAACTGATCATATGCAGGAGGGCTTTGACCAAGGGCTAGAGCTCGGCATGCAGCGCGGACGAGCACTGGGTGCCCTTCTGGGTGCACTGGTCTCTCAGCGCGAGCTGTGCAAAAAGCTTGAGCTGCCCGCAGAAAATGTTGACAAGCTGGTGATGCGAATACGCGCAATGAACCACAAAGGTGCCATCAAGGAGGCATATTCACAGACTGTCGATATTGCCAAGGGGGCCAGCGAGCCCACAGAAAAGTATCTTATCCTTGCCAAAGAGGCCGAGGAGGCGATTCAGCGACTAGATGCGGTGATTTCAAGCAATAAGTGATCAATTGACTAAAAAAACATATTTGTATTAAAAAATGGAATCAATTCTAGCACATTTTTACTTTGCGCATGAAGTGGAGGCGATAGGTGCCGGGGCAGGCACTGGCACCGAAGGAGCAACTGTGGGCACCGAAGGCACCTGTATGTTTGTAACAGAGATCGGCAGCACAGTGATGGGATAGGCTGGCACGAGAGCTCCCGGGGAAGATGTCACAGGAGAAATAACAGAGGGAATAGTCACAGTTATGGGAGCAGCTGTGGGAGTGGGCGTGGAATTGGGCTTGCTTGTCGGCAAAGTGAACTTGGGGTTGGGCCTGGGGTTGGGTCTGGGCCTAGGCTTGACTGCCGAGGAAATGGGCACGGGAGCCGGCGCGGGCACAGGCACTGACGGTGCTGGGACCGCGGGCGGCTGACCGTTGTTGTACCCTGGGACCTTGGCAGTGGCAGTGGGGGCGGCGGTGGCGGCGGGCGCTGTGGCAGTGGCGGTAGGGAAAGCTGAGATAATAATTGACTTGCCGCTGCCGGGCTGGGCGCTGCAGCCTTCAATGGTGGTGTTGATTCCGACATCTGGGCATGCGGAGACAGTCAACTTAACATTTCCAAGCAGGTTGGGCAACAGGGCGCGCTTCTGGGCACCATTCTCAACGGGGGCAGCGACAGCCAGTGTTGCGGCAACGAGAGAGATAGCGACAAATCTGTAGATTCCGACCATTGTGTGAAGCAACAGGTAATTAAAGGGTGTTGATTGGGAGGAAAGGATTGGGAGGAAAAGATGGAATGGCTGGGAGTAGAGTGAAGCGCGAATGCGAATGCGAGTTGCTAGGCGACGAGAGTGGAAGTGAACTTGGAAGCAGGTAAGCTTGTAATATGTGAATGAATGTCGAAAGATAAAAATTGTAAGCCGGCCCGTCTGCTTTTAAGTCTACCGAAAAGAATCAAAGATGCACCCCACATCTTTGAGTACACCCGGCGGGAATGAATATTACAACAACGCTTTTGCATTTAATTTGAAAATACAAATAGTGTATTGTATTGTGTTGTTATTTGTGATCTTGGAATCTTGCATGCACACTTGGTCTGTTTGGCAACATTTCCGGCCATTTTATTCAACGTTGCAAGTCGTTTAATGCAAAAACGCTTTGCATTTTAAAGGTTAACAGGGGCTTTTCCCGATCATGAAGAGAACGTTGGGAATGACGAAAAACTCCCGGTTACTATAATTTTGCAAAATATGCCGCGTCCAGGTTCAAGTGTTACTGCTTAAAAATATAATCGTATTATCCTGTAAACATAGTTTATTGGCTCGGGGCAGCCAGGATTCTTCGAATCTGGCTTTAATAATATAATGAAGAAAATAATGAGACTACAAAAATTTAAAAAATCAAATATCCTGCAAATCGACATCTTTCCCATCCAGATTACATAGCAACCTGTCGTTGTAGACTCAAGATCAGCCGACTCGAACGGTATCTTTTTGCGCAAAAAAAATTGGGGAGACCGCTTGCCTGTAAGCAGGGCTTTAAGGATAATTCGGAAGGTCAGCACTGCGGCCATATCGCGATTCCACTTCCATTTACCTGATGAAACTTTTTTGCCACCCTTAATCAGCGATGACAAAAATACTGGGAAACAGCTGCAGCACAAAAAATAGTTGCTCGGTTAGAGAGTAATCTACTGCTAAATTCTTATGAATATTTCACATGTTTGTACTGCCTTTTTTCTACCTCTGGCGAAAAGTGTTAACGCACTGTTAACTTACCCTTTAACGAAATCTAAAGGTAAGTGCATAAACATAATTTCAAATTTTTCTCAATGGTTAGGGATTTGTTATAGCGTAGTGTCCTCAAGCAATTGTATTTTAATTTTAGAACTATATTACTGACATTTACATGTTTGAAGGTGTGTATCCAATGTGTATCGATTATATTTAGTTACCAATTAAAAGTATTGCGAAAAATGAACTTTGATAGTAAATTTGTAAGATCTCACATTCCACGCTGCCCGAACAATGCCAGATGGTCATCCCAAAATGTTTACTGGCGCGACCGCGCTAAACTGCTGCGCAAAATAGTGACCGACTGGAGTAGAATTACCAGGTGTGACAACGATTTCAGGCACCGGGTCATTAACATCAGCCGAAAAAGTAAACTGTGCCATGGTGATGGGAATAGACTTGGCCAATGGCCAATCCGAGGAGTTTACGGGAGTTTCTAGCGTCTGAGAAAACTCCGTACATTGGGTTGTCGGCAAATTCACTGAATTTATTGGCGCGGGTGCATGCGGGTTGCTTGTGCTGAAAGAGATAATGGCAATTTGTGTGGCCAAATATTTTGTAACCTCAAGCGCTTTCAAGTTCGGGGCTGATGAGAACTGCTGAGAGGCAGGTTTCTCTCCTGTTGTTGGCAAAGATTTAAATTCCAACGTCAGAAACCGTGGAGGAGATATTGGCAATGGGGTTGGCAGCAACGAAATTGGAAATTTAGACTGAGACTGCGACTGTGTTTGCATCTGAGGTGTCAACAGAGGCAACGATGATTTCTGCGTCGACGACAAAATTGTTTGTGAGGGTGGCAGTGTTGCAGTTGCAGTTGCAGTTGCCGAAGAAATCGATAGTAGAGGTGGCAGCATTGCAGTTGACGATAGAATTGGCGGTGGAGGTGGTGGCGTTGTAGTCGATGACAAAACCAGAAGTGGGGGTGGCGGCATTGAAATTGACTGCTGTGGTTGTGTTGATGGTTTTAGTTCCTGAGTTGGTGTGATGTAAATTGAAGTGCTTGGCGACACATTCTTGTACTCTGCCAAATGCAACTTGATGCTGGATTGAGATATCGATGCGGTGCTGGGATTTGATGCAGACGCTGGATTATTCACTAGAGGCTGTGCTGGGGGTACATACTTTGGGCATGCCGGGTTACTGGACTGTGATGCAGGCTTGGTGCCCGCACTGCCTTTTCTCGAAAAACTCAGATCAAGCTGAGGGCAAATAGCAATCTCCAAATCAACCTTGCCCAGCAGGCTTCCCAACAGAGAGCCTTGCCCAGGCATTGCTAAAACGCAAGTAGCAATGGTGATAATAGTTGTAAGGCGCATGATAGTTGCTCGATAATAAAGATAATAAAATTGATGCAAAGACTAAAGTGATATTCGCAAGTTAAACAGTTTAGAAAATTATTTGCCGTATTTGAAATCATGTCAACACGCGGATCTTTATATAAACTTTTGAAGACAAAGTGAGGCTGCTAACAACATCCTACCACCCCCACGATATACTTTGATGTGATTGTCAAACGTTGGCCTGCAATGTATGTTTACACGTAAACATAATTATTTTTTATATAAGCAGTAGACTGATTTAAAAAGTCAACGTTTTCACTATAAAAACTCCTGGTGGCCAACTGTCAACCCATACATTATGTGTATTAATTAAAAAGCCTGTGTCTGTAGAGGTGTCCAGCAACATTAGGAATAGAATAAAGACATTACTGCTACCAATTGTTATTTTTACACTTGCTATTCGTATCGATGCCACCACTTCGTAGATCCGCGCGTATTAACTCTACATCAGCGATGGGGTCACCAAAACCAAAGCCACCCTCCGCAAATGTAAACAATATTCTGATTGGCCAGACATGAAAATATACACAAAATCATCATCTAAAACCCCGAAAACTGCGCGTTTTAATAATACTACTACAATGTCATATTTTATATTTTGTAGAAAAGGCAATATTGGCTAATGAAAGCCGAACCAGAGACTCGAATTGTCAAGGGCGTTGATGTAAAATTCAGCATAGATAATTTGCGTCAAATGCCAAACTCTATCTCGGAGTGGGACGGCGTGAGGAACTTTGAGGCGCGTAACATTATGCGAGATCAGATGAAGATTGGCGACAAAATACTTTTTTACCACTCCAATTGCAAGGCTCCGGGAGTTGCCGGTGTAGCAACTATTGTTCGCGAGGGATATCCTGATTACACAGCATTTGACCCAGATCACCCCTATTTTGACACCAAGTCTAATAAAGAGGAGCCCAAGTGGTATATGGTATGTTTATTTTAATACACTACCTAAAAACAGTAATAATTTGTTTTCGCGGTTAACTAATACTACTAAATCGTATGCTATAGGTTGACGTTCAGTTTGAGTGCAAGTTTAGCCAAGTTTTGACTCTAAATAGTCTTAAACAGGCCGATGAGCTTAAGGAGATGGTTCTGATAAAACGAGGGCGTCTGTCAGTGCAACCGGTGCGTAAGAGCGAGTACGATTTTATTTTATCAAATGCTGAAATTGAAGGCTAATACAATAATATATTGTCAAGTTCAAACAAAGCCTGCCAAAACAATAGTGCAGTGACACTCGCAGTATTTTTATAACCAAGCCAGGTGTCAAAAAACCGCTTTACAAACTGCAAGCAGCAAACATAATAGATCAATGTGGGATGGTCTCCAAGATAACCCGTTTAGAAACCAGAGCAGTAGCTTGGTAATAATTACTAGTCAGTTTGGCCGAGTGGTTAAGGCGACAGACTCGAAATCTGTTGGGCGTTGCCCGCACAGGTTCAAATCCTGTAGCTGACGTTAACTTTTGCACCCTTCGCCATTGTTGTCACCGATGCCCCGCATTGCATACTTTTCTATTTCCTCAACCCGATTGAGACTTATATGACCACATCAAACCACATCTCTAACTATTTAATATACCAAAAACGATGCGTACAGACAGGCATCCACTATTTTTCCGTGTCTTTTTTACTTAATCAGACCTGTATATTATCACAGTCGACCATACTGTCGTGCTCTATAAAAATGTGGGTCTAAATCGATATATTCAAGTCTTAAAAATTGCTTACTTAACTGAAAAAGGGGGCAGCGCTGTAAACATCATGGTGTTCCTTGATGTCAGCCAGCAATAACAGAAATGTGTATAGTGGCCATGAGGGCGATCTTGATTCTTGAAAAGGGAAGACAGTGGTTTGAAATGTGTGTTGGGCACCACACATACAGCCACACAATATGTAAGCTCACAAAACAATTTAAACGTCGAGAGCGAGCACTAGGCATGGCCCGAGATAGATACCAAAGCAGGCAGACATCATTTATCCTCAGGGCGCTTGCTAACATCAACCAACTGGTCTGACTGATACGCACACGAAGTCAATAAAAATTCAACAAAATAGCATGCCTGTGCTTAAAATAAGCGCGGGGGAAAAGAGGAACAGTAAATGGATTGAATACAATCGACACAAAATGAACCACAAAAAAACAAAAACAAAAACAAAAAAAGGAATCTGGAGCATAGCACAAAAATTGAGAGATGTGAGAATTAAAACAAAAAGGAATGAGTAAACAGAATGCCAGTCACAATGGGTGGAGAAACATCCAAAAACTATGGAATTTGATGTTTCAGACAAATCGCGCCAAAATACGCCGCAGCCACAAAGTCTTGTTCGAGTCGCGGGTATTTAAAAACAATAGCATTATTGTGATAACTCGTGAATCGGAATATTATTAATGGTTTGGTCAAAACAATAACGAGTGTGGAGAAAGGCTATACTATCTGTTTGAAGAAGATAAAAACGAGTGTGAAGAAAGGCTATACTATTTGTTTGAAAAAGATAAAAACAAGTGTGGAGAAAGGCTATACTATCTGTTTGAAGAAGATAAAAACGAGCAATACGGGCGGTATTGCTCACAACAATATACAGCAAAAAGACTAAAAAATTTCAAAAGCATTGGCCAAACTAATATCGATGTATAGTGTGCCAAGGTAGCTTGATCAGAAAGTCAGTTAGTAGCTCGTAAAAACAGCCAATTAGTTGACAATAGGGTTCAGTGGTCTAGCGGTATGATTCTCGCTTAGGGTGCGAGAGGTCCCGGGTTCAAGTCCCGGCTGAGCCCATTACTTTTTGCAAAACGGTTTACTTTTATTTTTATAAAAGTAAGTCTTTGTTTGGCAAAAGATATGCCTTCTACCAGAATCGAACTGGTGACCTTCTGCTTACTAGGCAGACGCTCTGCCATCTGAGCCAAGAAGGCTTATCAATCAGACTAATCTGATTGGTTCTGGTCATTAGTCTTTTGGCACACCAAAACTCTTGAGCATATCTAGCTGTTGCGTTGAGATGCAGTGTATATTTTTGTGGGGTGGCATTCTTGTTGCTTGTCGGTTAATCTGCGCGCGTTGAGTGTAAAAGGCAAAAGTTCAACCGGATGCAAGGTGAAAACGCGTGCGATATACCCAAGTGACCTGCGCTGGAAACGTCGATACTTCCATTTGATTTTACACATTGTACTTTTCCCAAACACAAATGACGACCTGTCTGCAAGTGCAAATGACTGCCGCCATATGACGCAATCAGCAATGCTTCGACAGTTCTGGTAACAAAAATACGTTATATCTGCCTAACATCCTGCATATACTGGCGATCATATTTGCAGACCCCGTCAATTGTTCAGTCTGTATGGTGTGGGTTCACTTTGTCAAAAGCAGATACTAATCACTTAGAATGACAACCAGCAAATTTGGAACATTAACAATCACATATGCTGTGTATCCGGTTTTTTTTGGTTTGCATTACTCAAACTCATTTTTTATTTTTGGATTATGCAATGGTGCTCGGTGCGCAATTGGGAGCGCACATCTCAAGGGTTTTTTTTGGCTCTTTGGGAACGGGCAATTTAATTATATTGTTTGCCCTGGCAATCACTGCATCTGGCCACTCGTTATGCCTGTTTGATCCATATCAGCGTTAATAAATCCCCTATTGAGATTTTAGATTAGCGACTAAAGTGAAAACCTGATTAACTTATAAAATGCAATTTGTATCTGTTAATGCGATTGCTGCATTGTCGGCAGCAATCCCTTCAGAACATTCATGCTCTTGTTTGCGTGCTTGCATGAAACTTGTTGGCAATATTGCTCCTACTTGTTTGCATTGAGTGAGGTTGGATTGCTATTTTTATTACAAAGGAAAAGGCCACTCTTCGCGAAAGTATAAATATTGAATCGGCCTTTTTCGCTACAAATTTGCAGATCGCTGGCGGGTGAGAATGTGGACTGACTTGTTTTCGCGCTTATAAATTTACATAAATCCACATATTTAAAGTCCACGGGAGTTTATGCACTAGCATGAGTTTTCAAGGCAGTCTGCCTATTGCGGATTTATAAAAGGAACACAAATGAGCAAACGGGAAATAGCAAGTTTTAAGCGGGTGTGCGACATGCGAAGATCATTCCTTATTTTTATTTTTCACTTGGTGCTATCAAGTATATCGGCATAGTATATATAATGTTTTTTTCGGCGCGGTGTTATATATTTTGGCTCCAAAGTCAAACATCCATTTTTGGTAAATAAAAAACAAATATTCAGAAATGGCAGGTGTGATGAACGGATTGAATATTTTTTGGAGGTATAATATGTGACACCCCTTAGGCTTCAGTAATCAGTTTGGCAAGCACGCCTCTCCTTTTTTCTCTTTTTCTCTTTTTTTGCTTATTCGTCACCTTTTTACGTTTACGTTTATTTTTACATTAATGATACTTCTTATATTTTCCTTACTCGATATTTAATACCTCATTCATCATTATTTTATACGCTTCCTTTATTAAATTTATTACTATTTTATTTGTTTGTTTGTACGCGCTAGTTTCAGCCAGCATCAATTAACGACCCATCGATAAAGCCGCAAACGCCTGAGAAAAAATAAAACAGTCCACGGCTACATCAGCAAATTTTACACAGCGCTAACCAGTTTGATGTCCGAACTCAGAGCAACACCCAGAAATGCTGTGGGCATATTCAACAGCCAGGAGGAACGGATAGCAACGCTTGAAAAAATATTTAAAATGCGCGTGTACCCTGTCGGTAAAACTGACACGCTCGTAATTGGTTTGAGCAGCGCAATTTTTGGGGTTACCTTTATCTTTATGGTTATTGCCTGGTCTAAGTACAAATACCGTCCCATCCGCGCTAAGAATATGCTATTGACAACGTGTATGTTCTTCTCCGGCATAATGTGGTTCGTCGGGGACATTCCAATGAACGGCCATGTTCTTCTCGAAGGGCCTTGGCGCCTGTGCAAGTTTTGGAACGTTTGGGTACGAGTGCTTTTCTGCTTCATTTACACAACGGTGCTGTTCAGTCGGTGCTATGCTCTTGATCGCGTGTTCAATCAGAACAAACCAACCAGTGGCTGGGCGTACTATGCACCTAGCGTTCTGCTGTTTGCGTTTATAATTATTTACTCGATAGTAACTCAGGCCATGCCTGACAAGCTGACGATTGGATATCGGGAGGATTACGAGTTATGCACAACGACCGATGGATACGTGATTGTCACGCTCACCATGCTGTGGGCCAACTGGCTTATCATCATTGCCATGATGTACCGTCTGCGCAACATTCAGTCGACATTCAACGAGTTTTACGAGTTTTTGTGCATCAGTTTCTTTGGAATCGCGGCCATGGTCAAGACCAATGTTGTACACTACACACATGCAAAGTATCCTTACACTCTCGGATATCGCGTGGCTGAGACTATAGGCGATGTCATCATTATCAACGGCATTATTCTGCTCATCATTGGTTACCCGGTAGTCATGAGCATCATCCGGCCCAGGGAGTATGAGCGCGAGTGGCTGCTGAGACTCAGAACCGATGGTCTGCAGGACATGTACGAGGGCAATTTTAATGTGCGCACCGATGGCCCCCTGCATTACTTAAGAATGAGTAGTTCGGTTTCAAACCAAGCAGATAAGGCACTCGATGAGAGTGCAGCCAATGGTGATCAATCATTTGTTATTCAAGGTTTTGGTCATCCCATTGATAATGGCGATTCAGCAGGAGTAAACTCAGGCTATTTCCCAATTAAAGGCATGTCAGCCGCCACTCCACATACTTCTCACAACCACATTATGCGTGGGTTTGACAACTCATCAGTCAAGTCGGTGGAGACAATCAATGGCGTAGCAAAGGACAGACATATTCTATAATTTTCTGGCTAGCTTGTTTGGACACCAAATACACCAAAAATTTAATTGTTTTATAATAAAAATATTGTATACTATAATGCATGCCAAAATTATGAGAATACATGTGCAACATAAAAAATTTGAGTGGCCGTCTTTGTAAAAAGCAGGCGTGTTTCTTAAAAATTTGTATTTTTACAAAACAAGCAAGTTGGCAACCGAAATTTTAATTTTTAAAGATAATTAATCCAAATTGCTTACAGTATGTGTAAAATTCAGGTTTCTGTATTTGCAATGTGCAGAAGTATAACATTATCTAAAGCAACTATTATTATTATTTCAAAAGTAGAGATATATTTTACATGCCTGAAATCTCGGTTAATACACACGGATGCATACCGAATCAAACAAATTATTAGTTTAACAGATAATTTAGCTATTAAACACAGTTTATTTTTAAATCAATATTTACTTAAATAATTATGATTCTACTTTTCAAACTTTTATTTTTATCTTGGCAATGATCAATTAGTTTATTGACCAATCCTAGAGCTGTAACAATTTTTTTAAACAATTATGTTAGACCTATCAACAGATCCCTTGCATGGGTCTATAATTTTGTTTCCTTGAATTACCTCCCCGTTCTTTTGGCGATATATTATAAATTCGTCTAGACCTTCAAACCTGTACGTATTCTCATTTTTATCTTCAGAATAGCATTGTATTTGCGAAACAAAACAATAAAAAACAACAAGAACGACATACAATATGCTGCAGCCAAACACTGGTAATAAACAAGGAAAAAGAAAGTGTGTAATTGCTGAAATCACCAGCTGTGTTGTTATCACTGCTGTTTGTCATTGTAAGTATGTGTATGTGTAAGTGTGTCGTCAGCGGTCTCAATGCTCCTGTCAAATGCATTGGTATTAATAGCCATTGCCAGCCCAGTACTAATATGGCCATTATCTACATTGACAGGCAAGCAAACAACGCAAACAAACAGAAAGTATTATAATCACACTTGTAAGAAAAATAGTAAGCTTCATAGTGATGATTAATATTTTTAACGAGAGAAAGTCAGAATAGGAACTTATTTTGGTAAGGAAATACAGATAAACAGCGGGAACAAGATTATTTTATATTATATACTAAATTTTTCTTTAGATCCCCTATTCTATTCTATTCGAACTAAAACTTTGGCATTGCAATTATTGCCAACAACAGTGGGTGTTTGAGATGCATTAAATTCCGTTTTTTTGCTATGCCAACTGTCATAAATATTAGGCTTGCTTTTTTCTCACTCAGGGAGTGCAATTCATGCAATTATATTGCAACAGTCGTATTTCCAAGCCAACTCAAAAATACAAACATGAAAAAGAAATTGCGTGATTGCAGGCAAAAAACACTTTGGCAGCTGGTATCAGAACAATCATGTATAATTTTCTTTTTGGAAAATACAAACCAATTTTAACTGGCTGTAGAGCGTTTATGCAGAAATAACTTAAATTTCATGCAGGAACACAATCCACAATTACCTTCTTTTTATTGCACACTTGCTCGCCCACAAAATTTAATGCATTATATATCAGTGGGTGCTTGTGCAGTTTCAGTACCGAGGGAAAAATCAGCATGTGCAACCTTCTGGGTACCATTTTGCACAATCTAACGCACAACAAACAAAGACAGACAAAATATGCAGTCATATCCTGTATTCCATGCTCTTGTTTTTTTACTTTGCTCTAAAATGGCTAATGGTGTGTAATTGAAAACAAATTGTTATCCGCACAGGCCATATGCCGCCTACAGCTATATGTGTATATTGAAAGGAAATGTCAGCGGGAATGTTGGTGTGGTGCACAATTGAGCAAAAACAGAGTGTTGATAACACTGCTTCATTTCACAGTCAAATTTGTTCTTTTGTTGCTCGCTGGTTGTGCGCTGAAAAAATGTTGATTTCACAATGGGATAAGAGTTGCCAAACACCAACACTGTTGATTTTAGCAGCTTTGGTGCCGCCATTTATTTTTGGGTGTACAAAATGGCTTGGATTATAAACAATACACATAACATCCCCAACCAAATACCGTATCATTCTTATCGGCGAGTATGCGGGGTACTACAAATACAAAAATAGGCGAGCGAACGACCAGCCATGTTTATAAAGAAACCGACATTTGAAAACAAGCGTTTACCATGCTGTATTGAGCATTCGATACAGACAAAAACATCCGATCGTTAGATGGATGGGTATATAACGTTGCATACAAAACAAAGCAATTATTGGTTTTACAACAGGCAAAGATAACACTAAAAATACAATCAACTAGAAAACATTGTGCCTAATACTAATAAGCACTCAATCCAAAAATAGCAAAAAGTAACCGACACCTGCAGGATTCGAACCTGCGCATCCAGAAGATAATGCCTTAGCAGGGCACCGCCTTAACCACTCGGCCAAAGTGTCTAGTAATTTTAAGCGCTTTTAGATAAACTATTAAGCACTCGCTGAGTTTTAATTTATATAAAGCTATTTTCATACAATTAAATTCAATAAGCACTGTCATTTGCTGAGTTTTTTGTTGTAACTATTAACTGAATGCAAAAATAAGTGTGCTGCACACAAAAGGAGCCTCTGTACAGGTTATAAACGCGTTTGGCCAAATATTAAAAAAGGAGAAATCGATGTGTATTGGAAAATGACGCTTCACTCGTCCTTGGTCTTCTTGACATCCCTGCTGTTTCTGGCAGCCTCCTTGCGGGCCTTGATTACACGCTTGATAGCTGTTAGCAGAGGAAGAGCCACTGGAAGAAAAAACGGCAAGTATATGGCATACTTGTGCTGGTCAGGGAAATACAGCATGGATACCATGGACGGGTCAAAAAAGGCGCTCTCAGCGAGCGTCGATGCCATCGCGGCATTCTGACAGGCCTTCAAATGATCAGTAACGGGTGCGTTTGAGGGATCAAATGCGTTAAGTGCACCTTCAATGGCGCCAAGTTTAAACAGCGACTGATCGACCTTTGTCTTGATTTCATCCATGACGACCATATTCTGCATGGAGTCAACAAGGCGCGTGAGCGACTGTAATGTGGTGATGGCGGTCTCTCGGTTGTCTACCAGCCACTGGCGCAGCAGCGCATCTAGCTCCCAGTCGCTAATGCCCGTGGCGGTGGCCTGGCGAACGCGAATGTTCTTAATCAACAGAGTACCCTTGGGGGCCAGAGGAACGTCCCTGCGGATTCCAATATGCTCACGAAGCTGGGCAATAAACGCGCCCATGTATTCCTGCATTTGCGCTTGTGAAAACACAATGTGGGATCCGGGGATTGTATCCTTGGGCAAATTGGCTATGGTGATGCCGCCCCATTGCGATACCAAGAATGCATTGGTCCTCAGCTGCTTGTGCGCGTCGCCCTGGATTATGTGCATGGGCTGAGATTCCAGGCTAGGTACGTACAGCATAAAGTTGAGCATCGGCGAAATGGGGTCGGTCGACGCGAGGTTCCACGATGGCGAGTTGACAAAGTGCGTCAGCATATCGGAGCTCAAATATGTGTAGTTGTTGGCCCGCTGTGGTTTGATGGGCGGCGAGCCCGCATGGTGCAAAACCTGCGAGGTGATAGTCAACTTAGTCAGGGGCCGCAGGGCATCTACAAAGGGCTGAATGTACTGACTCACGGCTTGCTCGATATCCCAATCAACAGACACACCGTCTACAGGATCCTCGTTGAGAAGCGTAAATGTAACTGCATATTCTGCTGAGTACTTGAGCGCGCGATCCGAGTGCTTCTGAGCTGCTTTTCCCAAGCTTTTTCGCGATCCAGGTCTCCTGCGCCGCGCCTCTTGCTCCTCTTTGGCCACCATTGTAGATATCAGCTGGGCAAGAACAGGTTCTATCGCGGCCGTCTTTGGCACAAACACTGTAGCCATGCGCCCAACGGCAATGTCTACCGACACCGATGCATCAGAGGCCTCGTGGATGCTCAGCGTGTAGTGGCCGGGGATTTTGGGCGCGGCTCCCTGGCAGACGCTCGCCTGATATCGTACGGACCACTCGTTGGGCGCATACAGCGCCCGCTGCTTGTCAATCAGAAACCCAGCACTCTTTTCAATTTTTTTATTGAATCGACCGTTATCGACATATTTGTGTCAATGTAGAACACAAAGGGTATGTGTAGCGGGTCGATGGGCTTGAACTTTGCAATGTCCTCGGCGGGCAGCTCGGCGCGATATACGCGCGTGGTTGACCACCACAAAGGCAAACCCAGGAGCAGGACAAGCAGGATGCTAACGAGTACCACGATGCGCTCACTGTGGACTGATATCACCGTTTTGGGCTCGTTTCGCCTTTTGAAAAATACGCGGAGCTTTGCGGGCAACGGCATTCGGATGTGTATGGTGTGCTGTGGATTGTGCTGAAGAGAGAGGGAATTGAGGGGAGGCGAAAGTAAATGTTTATGAGCGGAAGTGGACGAGAAATGCAAAACAAACCAAGCTGAAGCAAACAAATTCGGGACACACAGCCGCGCTGTGTCGCAGGCGTGTTGCATTCTCGAGCTAATCTTAATGGCGCTCGCACGCAATCAAGAATGTGATTACATCACGGGACGGCACGGGTTGGGCGCTGGCTCGAGCCGAGTCACGGATCGGAAACCAAGGCTGGACAATGCACGGGAAAATAAAAGGACAAGCTGGGCTGCAGGTGATGCGATGAGAAGATATTTTCAAGCTCAGAGAAGGTCCAAAAAAACTCAAAAAAACAGGCGTAAGGACACCCGATTGGGCAGCGGGCGGTTGAAAGAGTGTGTACGTTTAAAAAAACCTTGTGCGAACCCAGCATGGGGCGACACTATACCTTGGGAGAATGCGAGTTATCCCAAGCAAAATGAGTGAGCCCTAGATTTTTCTGTGCTTTCTATACAAAGAAAAATAGAAAACGCACAGCGCAAGTGGAATGGCGCGGACAGATAAAAATAAACAAAATGGAGAAAATATACGAGGAGAGGGATTTGCGCAGCTTATTTTTTTTGCGCAGAAGGGTCGAAAACGAGGCAAGGTGCACACATTATTAGTGCGTGGGGTTTGTGTGCTGCGACAAGAACTAACCCTGCACACTATACACCCGATTGCAAAGAGAGTGCTGATGTTTTTTGATTGCTTTTACACGCTTGTTCATTTGCGAGGCGGCGTTATAAAATAAGGAAATGGCTGCCAAAGTTTTTTTCGGGACGACCAACTCTTTCTTTTCTGTTATTCATTTTTCTCCTCATCTTTGCCTTTACTTTCACATTTTATCTTATCGACGCACAACCTTTTTACACTTTCTTGTGCCTTTTTTATTAACGGTCATTATCAATCAGCGCCAGGGTCTTTTGTACTTTTCTTTTTACACTTTAAGCATACAAAACACCACCGAGGCTATTATCACATTAGCATCATAACCAATACGGGAGCACACATTCACACACACAAAGGTAACCGGATTTCATTACTGCCGTAAACAGCATATTAAAATTTCTTTCGTTTGGTACTGCTAAACACGCAAAACGGAGAGTCGATTGTATCGGAGAAAAATACATGCACATAAACAGAGTCCTTGGAACAGGTCTCTTGTTCTTTTGCTTTTATATTTTTTGTCGTCATAACTATTTATTTGTTCTGTTCCACGCACACCACTGGCCTCTATTTGTCCGTTTATTTATTGCATCATTGGCACAGCACCACACGCTATTTACTTTAATTTTACGCGGTTTCGTCTGGACCGTTTATTTTATTAGCCCACCACACATATCATCTTCCTCTAGTTCAACTCTTGTTTATTTTTACGCCAACTTTATCATCCGCTGCGCTCAATATCGAGTTTATAATTTTTGCAATACACAGCACGAGTCTAATTCCTTCACTTTGCCTTTATTTTGCTTTCCCGTTATTTTCTAGCAGCTTCGCCAGATTAGTTTTTAAATATCACCAACCATGCCTCAGATGCTTGTTTTGGTCGGCTTGCCCGGCTGTGGTAAGACCGCTTTCGCCAGGAGACTTGCATCGCACGCGCCGTCGTGGGAGCGCATCAACCAGGACGAGATGGGCTCGCGGTCGCTGTGCGAGCAACACGCGGCAAAGTGCCTGAAGGAGGGAAAGAATGTTGTCATCGACCGATGCAACTTTGACGAGGACCAGCGTAAGATCTGGGTCAAGATAGCCGAGGACGCATTTGCGCCCGTCGACGCACTGTTCTTTGATGTCGACGTGAAAGTGTGCAAGGAGCGGGTGAAGGCGCGGAACGGGCACCCGACCGGCGTCGAGGGCAAGTTCGGAGCCGAGTTGTTGCACGGTTTGACCGCCTTCTGACGCGACCGACTATCTACGAGGGCTTCCGTTACATCCACAACATTGCCGCGCATCTGCCGGCACCCAAGAAGGGCATGACCGAGGACGAGGTCTTCTGCGTTGGTACCATTTCGAGCATTATGCTGATGTTCCCGCCGAGCAAGGGCCAGGCCCCCTGCGATGCCCCGCCCCCACCTCCCCCCGCCCCTGCCCCTGCGCCATGCCCGCCCGTGCAGGTGTGCCAGCCATGCCCTCCACCACCGTGCCAGCCGTGCCCCCCGGCGCCCTGCCACAAGGATGATGTTAAGGTCACAGTGAAGGTCGAGGAGAAGCAGCAGTGCACCGCGGTCAAGGAGGAAGTCAAGGTCACAGTGAAGGTCGAGGAGGAGGCGAAAAAGGAGAGCAAGGCTGTTGACTTCTGTGCGGCTGACTTTGCAGGCACACCCCCTGTCGGCACAATAACCAAGCCCAACGAGGGTTACGGTACGTACAAGGAGACAAAGGCAATGTGGGAGGACGAGAACCACACTCAGCACTTTAACCACTCGCTGTACAATGAGCAGGCTGACCGCGAGCTGGCCGCTGGCCGCGAGGCCGACCGGCGCACAAGGCACGTGCAGCACTCCGACCACATGGTCAACCCGTCGGCTGGTCTTGCGCGCGCCTTTGACCACCTGTCGCTGGACCGCGACCAGGAGGGCCACGAGGTGGACTGCGACGGAAAGAGGCGCCATTTCCACGACCGCTCCCACTACTACCACCAGCACGAGCACCAGGAGAACGCCAAGGCGGGCACTGCGCGCACATACGAGCACAAGCACATGAACAGCTTCCGCCACGTGCACGCCGACAAGCCCGATAAGGCACGGACAGAGGCCTTTGAGCACCGGTCGTTCAACTACGCGTACAAGGGCGGCGCCGGCTTTGACCCTGAGCAGGTCATGATGAGCTCGTCAAAGAACAAGCTCAAGTTCGAGGACGACATCAAGGCGTCGTTCCACAACCTGCCCGCCAACGACCACTTCTCGTTTGCCCAGAACGTCAAGTGGGAGACTGAGTTCCCGACAAAGCCCAACTGGAGCGTCTTTGGCGGCAAGTAATCATTTGTATTGCAAAACAAAAAACACTCCCATTGCTGCTCTCTATCATATAATTTTATTCCAACCTTCTTTTTTCCATCATTTTACTCTCAACCTGACATTATATCTTTTCCACACTCATATACCATGTGTACATTGACTATTCTACTGTTCGCACACTATTTTTAAGCGAGAAATAGTGCATTTTATTTGGACAATTTATCAAATAAAAAATGCAATTAAACATTGCATGCATGCATTGCGTGCGGATAAGCGTCCTCGAAATGCCGATTTTAAATATTGTCCTGGTGGCCGTGGCTATGGCCAAGCACTGGGTGGTGATGCTGGTGCGGGCAGGCGTCCCGGAGCTGCTCAAAGCTCTCTGCCGGATGCCACATGAAGCGCCTGACCTCATGCAAAACGCCCTCCGCATACTTGCCATCGGGAGCATCTGAGGCAAAGTCGCTCTCATCGGCGGGGTTGCACTTGACCAGTTCGACCCACTTGGTGTCCTTGGCCAGGCCCTCGCGCACGGCCTGCCGGATAAATGCAGCGGCGAGCTGGGCGGACACCTCGCGAATGCGCTCGATGCGCGGGTACAGCTCACCCTTGCCCTTCTCCTCGGCATTGAGGGACTCAGCCAGGGCCTTGGACACAGCGTATATCATTGTGTCGGTAATACAGATGGGCTTGCAAAGGACGGCGCCAAGCCCGATGGCTGGAAACACGTACATGTTGTTTCCTTGGCCCGGCACGCGAACGTCGTCAGTGCCCGGGATGGTGTACTCAGGGAATGCCGTACCAGACGCAAACAGCACGCGGTTGTCGGTGCAGCGCATGGCCTCCTCAAACGTGCACTCAGCCTTGGTCTCAGGGTTGGACAGTGGGAAGACGATAGGGCGCGACTGCGCGTTGATCTCGTTCATGCGGCGGAGAATCTTCTCACTGAAGGCCTTGTAGATGGTCGACAGGCCAATAAGTGCTGTCGGTCTGACATATTCCAGGGTCTCCTCAATACTCTTGCACTGAATGGTTCCATTGTCTGTGCGCGCAAAGTATACCTTGTGCTGGGCAAGCTTGTCGCCGCGGTTGGCCGTGATCATGCCACGCGAGTCAACAAACCAGAACATGGCCTTGGCCTCACTCTCAGGGATGCCATATTCAATGATAAAGTAGTCAATCAGCTGCTTGGCAACGCCAACGCCGGCAGAGCCCGCGCCAACAAACATGATGCGCTGGTGCTGCGGCGGGATGCCCGCCTGCTCGACGGCAGAGATGAAGCCGCCGAGGATGACACATCCGGTGCCCTGGATGTCGTCGTTGAAGCACAGGGCCTTGCGGCGCCAGTGCTCGAGCAGGCCAAAGCGTGCTCGGTGCTAAAGTCCTCGAACTGGATAAACATGTTGGGAAAAGCCTCGTGCAGGGCAGTGACGACGCGGTTGGCAGAGTCGTAAAAGAGGCGTCGTCCGGACGGTGTGACGGATGCCCAGATACAGCGGGTCCTCAAGGTACTTTTCCGTATCCGTTCCAAAATCTAGCACAATGGGCAGGCAGCGGTTGGGGTTGAGTCCGGCGGCGGCCACGTACAGCTGAAGCTTGCCAACGGGGATGCCCATGCCGTTCATGCCGAGGTCGCCCAGGCCAAGAATCCGCGAGCCGTCCGTAATCACGGTAATCTCTGGCTCGTCGCCCTTGGAAATGGACTCACGGTAGTTGGCAATAATCTCGGCAATGTTTCCACCTCGTTCAGCGAAATGTACAGCCCGTCGACGGCGTTGGGCGGCGCGAGGAACGGGTAGATGTGCGAGTACTCTTGGCACGCTGGCCCACTGTCGGCGTGTAGATGACGGGTGCAATCTGCTTGAGGTTGTGCAGCACCAGGCGGTAGAACAGGTTGATGTTGGTCGAGCGCAGCCACGAGAGGAAAATGTACTTTTCCAAATTTGTGCTTTTTATGTTTAACTGCTCGAGGGCGCGCTGCTCCTGCATGACAAAGTTCTCGACACCCGATGGAACCAGGCCCTTGAGATGGAGGGCCGAGCGTGTGGCGTAAGGAAGAGCTGTACCGGCATTCGAGGCCAGCGGGTCGGGCGAGCTGCTGCGCGAGCGGCGGTCAGAGCAGATTTCAGAGTCAACGCCGTAAGGAGACATGTTGAAGAGCGTTTTAATATATATGAGGGCTTGAAGGAATACAGTTGTTGTTGATGGTGGTAGTGTTTGCTGTGCAGTTAGTGTATAGGAACGACAAATATGTGAGAGAAAAATAAAAAAACGGGAGAGTGAGAGCAAGAAGAGATAATTTCTGTAAAAAAATATATTGCAAAAAGTGCTTCGAGCCGCCTATATATATGTGAACATATGTGATCAAACTGACAGACAGCAACGATACATTTCTGCAATGCTTGGAGGAAATGATTAAAAAAGGAAAAGAAAAAGTACAGGCCTGCGTGGTACATGGCGGTATCCAAAAAATATTTTTTCTTTGGTTGAGAAATTCCAACTCGGGAAAAGTGGGCGTTTGTGACGGACAGGGAAACTGGAGGAGGCCGCCAGCGCCAGACTGCTGTCACAATGGTGCTAAAAGCGAGTGCATTTGTTATTTTCGTGATATATTTTTGTGGCTGGTGGGTCATGCGCGAGTTTTTCTTAATGTAGGAAATATATGTGCGTCAATTGCAAGCCTCTCCCTCAAATACTGCTACTATTTTTCTTTTTATTTCTCCTTCCTTGGCGTTTGGCGATTACGATCATTTCTGGAGGATAATGTAACCGCCATTTTATTCGTCTGTGCTGGCCTGCTTTCTCTCTCCTTTGTTGTCTCACTTCTTTTGTCGTTCAATGGCAGTTAACGCCAACACCTCGCCTCGCATTGTGTGCATGTTCTTTTCCAGGGGTAAATCAATGGCCTGAAACTTTGTGAGAGGGAGCAAACGGCATTGTGTTGCTCGTTCATTGAGCGCATTTTTTACCCCCTGGATTCTTGAAAGAAATGATAGTAATTGTTTACGCCACGATACTCAAGTTACTTTGCGGCCGCACAGACCACCTTTGAGCAAGAGCGAAGCACGTATTGCAGTCAACGCGATCATAATCAAGTTGATTTTCAAACGATCATATGAAAATCAATTTTTGGTGGCTGTTTTTTTCTTCCTCCCAGCTTATTATTTGAAGATTTTCAATTCGAAATTATTATTATTTACACTTTTTATTCGAGAAATGGGCCCGAAAGGTAATGCGAAAAGAAAGCCAACGACGCAGCCCAAGGTCACGCTAGATACGTATTTCAGAGGCAAAAAAGAAGCGCGGCAAGAACTTCAGCCCACAGAAAGGATACAGCAGTCAGGCGACGGTGTGCGAAATACACGCAAGGCTGTTATAGTAGAGCTACCTGACAGCGACAGTGACGTCGAGCTCGTCGACGCCGACAGTCTGCTCGGAGGACCGCTGGTGGCGCCAGTGACGCCACTCAGGGCAAATCCTGTGCCTTTTATGGATAGAGGCGACGGGACGCCATACCGGAATTCACTGAAGAGCCTGGTGCAGGCCAGCGCGCAGTCGCGGCACAACCAGGCGTTTTTGGACCAGCACTTGCAGCGAGACAGCAGGAGCGACAGCGAGGGAGAGGATGAAGAGACACGGAAAGAGGAGGAGGAAGAGGCGCTAGTGAGCGACATAGCGTTGGTACGGGGGCGGGCGATGATGGGTGCCCCGCGGCTGGTGCCCCGGCTAATTGCGTTCAGCCGGGTAGTGCGGCGTTTGATCACGCCAAACGAAAACAATGGACGGACAGAGGACAGAAAAATGCTTCGGCTGGTGTCGATGCAGGCGTACAGTGGCCGGCGCCTCGACCAATCTACAGGCGACACGCTGGTCGAGCAAATGTGCCGCTCCGAGGACAGCCTTGTGGCCATACAGAGCTACCGCGTCCTAAACGTATACTTGGACTGCCATACAGCCACCTGGCGGCTGGCGCCTGCGCTCATGCACCAGCTGCTCGCTGAGCTTTTAGGCGAGCTGACTGAGCAAGCCGTCGTAGTGCCGCCGACCGATGATCGCGGGATGACGCCGCCAGTTTATGTGGAAATTGTAACCCGTAGGCCCAGCTTCACAGAGCTGGCCAGACGCAGCGCAGATCGTGTGCTTGGCTGTTGGAAATTGCCAGCCGCGCTTCCGTGCCTCTGCAGGGCGTTACGGGATCAAAAGCGATCGCTGCCTACATCGCCGTCCTGGCTGACCACCGGTGCACTGGAATCGCATCCTCAGTGCAAAGTAGCCTGGCGCGTTTAGTTGAGGACATTGGGCCATCCAGTTGCTGGAACGTTATCATACCGGAGGCTGTCCATCGCTCTGTGCGGCTTGTTGGAAGTGTGCCTCTGGGCGCGCAGCTGCGGCTGGTGGAGGCCATGCCAGCGCGCAGCGCGCGGGGCTGCGAGCTGAGGAGAGCCCTAGCCATGTCTTTTTTGCTCCATGCCTGTGGCGATGATAGTGATGTGTCTGGAAAAGTCGGCCCCGAGGAGGCCGCGCAGCTGGTGGATCCCGAGGTGGGCCTGTTTGTGGTCACACCCGCTGCTTCCGAAGAATCACCCGATTTTGCGCGCCTCGAGGCATGCGTGTGTCTGTTGGGCTGCCTGCTGGACAGTGTGGCCGAGATGCGCAGGGCTCCGGTGGCGATGGGCATTATCCGCGACCGTCTGGCGCAGCTGAATTCCCGCATCAGCGACAGGATGGCCGAGAACATCTCCAAGACTCTGGCCAAGGATGCTTTGCAGATATTGCTCGTGCGTATCGTCATGACTGCCGTCACTTCCGACCACTCTGCGCGTCTCCATCCCGTCTACGGAGCCAATAATCTAGATAATTGGTTGGCAAAGGCAAACACATAGCAAGGCAAATAAACTCTGCATTTTGTTTTGGAAAGTACAATTGAAAATATGGAAAAACAAAAGCTATGAAAAGCTATTTAAGCGGTGCGAAGCGCGCCATCACGCTTCATCCTGAAGTCCTTGATTGCAGACTTTATGGCATCTTCGGCCAGCATCGAACAATGAAGCTTGACGGGAGGCAGGCACAGCTCCTTGGCAATGTCTGTATTTTTAATCTTCAGCGCATCATCAATGTTCATGCCGCGCACGCGTTCCGTGATATATGAAGACGATGCTATCGCCGACCCACAGCCAAATGTCTTGAATTTGACGTCGACAATCTCACCATTATCGTCCACCTTGATCTGAAGACGCATCACGTCACCGCATGCCGGCGCGCCCACGAGTCCGGTACCCACAGTGGGGTCATGCTTATCGAGTGATCCCATGTTGCGTGGATTCTCGTAGTGGTCGATTACCTTCTCGTGGTAGAAGCGAGATTGGACGAATGCTGCGACGGGCTTTGTGAATGTAGCGCTGGGCAGGCGGCGGGGTGCAAGTTGCTTTACGATTGAAAACATTATATAATTTTTTATGAAAAATATTAAATTCGTGAGATAGAAATTTTAGATTCAATAAAAAATAGATATAAAAAGAAAGAAGAAAGAGAAAAAAAATACAGAAAATACAGAAAATACGAAAGGGCTCAAAAAAATAATCAGATAAATTTTTTTTGGTGAGAATTTGGTATCTTTGCCCAGCACCAATCATTTTGCTCAGCTTAATTGGTCACAAGCCCTCATCGCGGAAATTATTTATTTCTAACCTGGCATCTGATTGGGACAGGGTTTGATGGCCTTATTTTTGCTGCTGGATTTATCTCGGAACTATTATTGGTTCAGTCTTTGTTACGCTGCAGGATTGGTCATGTCGTGCTCTATAAAAATGTGGGTCTAAATTAATATATTCAAGTCTTAAAAATTACATACTAAACTGAAAAAAGGGGGCAGCGCTGTAAACATCATGGTGTTCCCTGATGTCAGCCAGCAATAACAGAAATGTGTATAGTGGCCATGAGGGCGATCTTGATTCTTGAAAAGAGAAGACAGTGGTTTGAAATGTGTGTTGGGCGCCACAGGTCATCGGTGTCACTGATCCCTATTACATGCTGATTGACATTAAAGGCCGTTTATATTGTACCTCGCATTAATAGGTTGATTATCCACAACTAGCAACACGACCACGCTCACTTGCCTTGAAATGGCTTAAGTACCAAGCCGGCAGACCAATAATTGTGAATAAAAAGGTATTCAGTTGGAGTTTTCACCATCTTATAAACGATGATATTGAATGTTTATTAATAACACCAACCCTACGCCGTTTTAATATATTCGTTGCATTTGTCCAAATCGCAAAACATATACGAGATATCTGAGGAAGTTATCAGTGTCTTTCCAGGTTGTAAGCCTTGTACCTTTGTCAATAATATATTGCCATAGTGAGAACTTGAAGAGACAAACTTTTGACCTGCTGCATCTCTTAAATGTCACTTTGGGCAAAACGATTCGAACTGTTTCCTCATTATAATTATAATGGCACCCGAATTTATAATTATCGATTGTTTTATTAAGCTTGCCGGTATGGCGGTGTACTCTGGTACTCCTAAATCCTTTACTTTAATGCCATTATTCGGGTTTCAAGCTTCTTTTAAAAGTATATTTAAAACACACCCATCACACCGTCCTGTCCACATAGTCATTGGGTGTACGATCCCATTATACTCCAGTGCATATGCGTGCTTTTCACCACCGCAATAATTCGCAATAATATGGTCAAAATCGACTAAATATAGACACATTGAAAACTGTTCTGTATGCTCGCAGCCTTGGAGGTCGGTAATAAGTTTTAATAATACATATCGACATCACTTGCTCACCAACCATTATAAATTCGTTGCAAAGGCGGTACTAGGCAAATAAAAAATTCGCAGACTTTGCCTTCCAAGCTTTCATCTTCACGCCCGCACCTGCGCGAATATAGCGTGTTGTCTGTCTTTGAGTGCGTGAGCGGGAGAGCGAAAAGGCTGGGACAACAAAATAGACTCGGATCTACAGTTACAGTTATCCTTAAATTTAATCGTTTGTTTGCTGTAACAGATGATGTATACAATTAAAATATAAGCATGCTTTGAAGCCAAGATAAATATCGATTGCTGTAGCATATGAATGGGTCGAACCAAACGTTCTCGTGTGCTTGGCGGTGACGGTCACAAAAAATGAGAGAGAAAAATGGATTTTGGCTATCTGGATCTTCTGCTTCACCCTTTTTTCAATTTGTCGATTTTCTCAGTCCGATTTTGCGACCCCCGCTTTTACTGCACGCGCTTTCGCATTCCCGAGTTTTTTTTGCAGGCTACTGATATTTGTCTCCTCCACAATCAAAAGGCAAGGTGAATAAATCAACAAAGAAACGGCTAGTTTTTCCTCCAACTATTTTATATTTACTTATTTACTTATTTGTATTTCTTTCCCGTTATTCGAAATGGTTTCTTACACTGACTTGTCGCCACTCAAGCAGCCGGATGCACCAGTCGCAATTCACTTGAATGACCCACTTCCAGAGCAAATTGCCAACACATTGCCCCCAGCTGACGAGTGGCATGAGGATTGGAGCCAAATGCACTCGAAAATTTTGTACTTTGGCGGCGTCACCGAGGACGCTCTGCCCGAGCTGCAGAAGCTGTTCAAGTCGTGTCGCGGAATTAGGCTAAATGTCGACCCCCACGAGTCTGCACAAATAACTGGAAACGTAGAGTTCCGCAACGTTTATGACAGTAAGTACTCACCAAGAGAATGCTATTTATGTTTTTGACAAGGCTGGCTGGCCAACATTGAAGCCGAAGCCGAAACCAACAAGCGGATATCTACTGACTTTGTGTGTCTGCTTTCTTTCATTTGTAGCCGAAAAGGCCATGGTCGTGCTGAATAATAAAAAACTGAACAGCGCCAACAACACGCTCAAAATGACACCACTGGCGGGTAACCGTGAGCTGGCGCCGCCTCCCTTGGGGGGATTTATTTGGATTAAGCACATTCCCGAAGACGCGACCGAAGCGACGCTGTATGATTTCCTGCGGCCCTCCGGACCCCTCTACGCGTGCTCCTTTCCCACTTTGCCTAACGGCCAGCGCAAGGGCATTGCGTACGCCTGCTTTACCGACGAGTCCTACGCGCAGATCGCCATTGAGCAGTTGAACTATGCAGAATATCTGGGGAACAACGTTTCTATTCAGATTAGTTCCCCGCCGCGCCAATCGCGCTCGTCCAATGCGAGCGCCGGCCGGAGGAACTCGGGAAAGGCGCAAACGACAAAACTGATGGTGCCGCAGTCGGAGTCTCGGCGTGAGTCTGATCCTGTGTCGCCGACTTTGACACCGCAGTCTGCTGCGCTTCTACCGCCGCCGTCCCGCCAGTCGTCGCTGCCACGGCCATCCACCAGTCTTTCCATAGAGCAGCCCATTAGCGGATCTGGGAACGGTCTTGGTGGGGTCATTGTTCCCGGCAAGCTCTTTGTGACCAACTTGCACCCGACCGTGTCGCACAAGGAACTATTTGCGCTGTTTAAAAAGTACGGGTACATTCAGTCTGCGCGGGTCAGTATTGATCCTGGAACAAAAAAATCGCGCGGCCATGGGATTGTTCAGTTCAGCGACCCCACTGCCGCCCTGGACGCCCTGCGTGAGTGCCAGGGCGCCGACATTAAGGGTCGCAAGATTACCATGTACCAGTACGAGCATGTCAATAAGCAGGCTGGCGGTACGTCTTTGCATCAGAATCAGCAGGAGCCTGAGCACGAGCAGGATCAGCAAGCGGCTGTTGGCAAGCCTTTGGTCGATGACTCTGCGACCGGCCAGCAAAAACAGCCTCAGCAGCCTCAGCGACAGCAGAAGCGGGAGGAGGGTGATGTACCGCCTGTGCGCGTGGACCAGCTGGCAAGCCAGCAGAACACTGTTCCGTTTCCGCGGCCGGCCTCCGTGGCCAGCACCATGGCCCCAGCCCAGGATCCGCTTATTGAGCCAATTATGCTGCGCAACCTATCCGAATCCTCGCGGAACGAGATCCTGACGCAGAAGCTGGCCGCCGAAATTGCCGCCAACCCTGCCATCGACGTCGGCGACGCCTCACGAATAGTCTCCAGCTTTATTAAGCGGCCCCTTGAGGACATCCTTGCGCTTCTCAGTGACCCCAGTTTGCTGGCCTCCGAGTGGGACCTGGAGGAAAAGGCTGCTCTTCACATGCCCGCCTATCCGACCATGGGCGTGCCAAGTAGCCCGAAGCTCGCAAACGGCACAACCCAGAAGCCCGAGGGCGTTCATTTGCAAGACTACGACAGCGAAGTCGAGGAGTATATTGAGATGTTGCTGTCCAAGCCAGAAAACGAGAGGAAGAAGAAGCTGGGCTCGAAGCTGTTCCCGCTCATCAAGGGCATGGGTCACAAGGAGTCCACCAAGCTGACTGTGTGGATTCTGGATCATATGAGCCACGATGTTCGCTCGCTGGCATACACTCTGAATGACCCAACAAAGCTCTACGAGATTGTCGAGGAGGCGCAGAAATCTATTGGCAGCGTATGCAAATGATTTTATTTTATTTTTAAACGTGTTTTAACCTTTTTCTAAAAAAGTAGTTTTCTACTTTGAATCAAATTGGCTGCGCAAAAGTAAAGCCGAAATGTTCCGATACTTTCGTTCTTGTTTATACTTTTATTTTTCTTATATTTTCTTTATCATGTTGCTTGGGTTCTGCTCGGTTGTTTGTTTGTGTACATGTTTGATCAATTGTTTACATCCTTTGTATGTGTTTTTGAGCAAATATTCTATTTATATTTTTTGCAGCACCGATCACTCTGTATCTCTTTACATCTTGCGCGCATCCTGGAGTCCCGAAATACCAGAATATGCATGAAGAATTAAGTGCTCAGCACAAAGTAAAGATTTCCTAATGTTACTTTGAAAACAGCGTTTAAATTAAAAGAAAATGGCGTGGTGCAGTTTATTGTTATTCAGAAATATATGGCAATCGTCAGTGCTCATCAATGCACCCATCCCAATTTCCATCTGCTTTCATTTTTAAAGAAGCGACAAACCAACCCAACCAACCCAGTGCAGTGTTTTATACTAGCGTTTCCCCGGGTACGTAGACAAGTTCAGTCGTTCAGACAATGCTTTGTGCTTGGTCCCCGTATGTATTCCAATGGCATTTTGCATCGATACGCCAATGCAGTGTCCAATCTGTGGTTGAACCTAGCACAGGTACCTGCTGCGTCAAGGCCCGCTATGCACTGTGCACTCATTTCAATTGTATACTCCACATATGTGACTCGCTTTCCTGAGGCTGCCAACTAAAAATGTTATTTGAATTGGTGACACTGCATCGAAACTCCAATGCCAAATTGTATTGCGCATGCGCACATTGTGTCCGTTTTATCGAAATGGCATCCATATCCATTATCTTCGGCCAATTTCTCCTAAAGCAGGTTGAAATAGTGACAATAAATGGGCAGTGCATTAAGATTTGCATTTAAGAATGAATTGGGCCAGTGGGGTCATGGACAAATGGACGATCCTTTTATTGCTCTTCTGGTTTGCACATCCCTCCTTTCTCCCTGAATAGAAATTGATTGGGTGTTTTGCAAAAAAAAATTCACTACCCTTTTTTAGCAGGGGGAAATGGCACTCTTGCCATGCTGTACTTTTGGCGCTGCTTCGCCTGTGCATCGGAATGCCTGTTCGCTTGGCTCAACATTTCGAGATGATCGTGAGTCGGACGAATCACGCACGCTGGTGTTGAGAAATGCCTATATTTCTTGTACTCTGCCCCTCTATCATCGGCCAATTTCCCTGCCCATTTTCCTTTCTGAATTGCCAAAAATAAAACCCCAAGGAAACACTTTTTGCACACTGCATGATGAACTGGGTAAGTAACGGAACGAATTACAAAGGCAGCGGAACTGCAGATTCATCATGTTTTGTGAAATCGCTTGTTTAAGATTGTAGACGTTGGTCCTGAGATGTGTTTTTTTATGATGCCTGGTGTAGCAAAGCAAAAAAGGGCATGCAGGTGGAAAATTATAGAAGGAAAACCAGACGGTCAAATTAACAACTGTCAAAATTTCTGATTTATTTTTGGCGTAAACGGATTGATGGACCGCCGGAAGAAGAGGAAGGAAAAAAGTAAATACATTGGCACTCTCCGCTCCTGTCTTTCAAACCTTTTTTCTGGGAAACTGCTCGTATGAATTTTTTTCCTGTTTGTCGCTAAAAAAGGAACGCGACCAGTCCTTTTTTTGCTTTAAAGACCTGCCCGTCCGTCTTTTATTCGCCTTTTATTCTTGTTTTCGTTTCTATAACGTTAGTCAATTATATTTCAACTCCACATTCCCTTTGTTATCGCTCTCTTTTTTCAATTACATTCGCTTTTCTATTATCTAATTTCCCGAAAAATATTTTTTGACTATTTTTGTTTTTTTAGTTCGGCCCGCAACCTACAAGCCACCTTCGGGCATCTGACACATTTTTGTTTACTCTCACTCTGGCCAGAGGCAAGCGACCTACAAACTACAGTGCACTATAAACTCAACACAAACAATAGCTTTCTCCACGCCTCTCTTTTTTCATTCTTTTATTGGTTTTTTTGCCGTGTGGAAAATAGAAATATACAACTTTGGGGCTTGTCAATAACTGGTATAATTTCCCCTTATTTTCTCCAACAGGAAATAGGACCACCACATTAGACTAAAATACTGCCGATAATTCCGGTCTCTTACCTGCTCTCTTTTGATTTTTAAACTCCTCTTTTTCCTAATTTCCTTTAACCAACAACGCACGACTGCTTACTCTAATAAAACAACTACGCTACTAACCCTGTGTCCGACTCGATACCCTCTTTTTATTTTCTTCCTTCTTTTTTAAAACTAAAACTATTGTCACTTTTAAACTCCTCCTTTTTACACGTATATTCGCACTCTTTTTAATTTCGCATTTCTTTATTCTACTGAAGGGAACGCACAGTCCTTATTTACGTTCTTTGATTGAGTTGGTTTTTTGCTAATAATTGAACAACAAACCGGATACCCGTATACGATAATACTTTTATTTTTATTTTTTCTTGTTTATTTAACGGTTTCGGCAAATATCATTTCCCTTTTCTTTTTCCTTTCCTTTCCGCGTTTAGTTTTCATTGTTTTATATATATTAGATTTTCCTCGTGCTTCACACGACATACCGGAACCATTAAAACATTTTCTATTTGTCCGACAGCGCCAGCTTTAATATTTTATTTTTCCTTTTTCCCTTTTCTTCACACCTTTGCTATTTTATCTTGCGTATTTCTCATATTTTCCTTACTCGTTATCTAAACACCTGATATCAAAGTCGAAACATCCTGTTTAAAATGGCTTATTCTTACGACAACAGGTAAGTTGTGTACCGGATTGCACCCAGAGCTGAGCGTACATGTATTGTCACAGGTCATGTATATTGTGCAAGTGATTTAAACTGCCATGACATTGACCTGACTGTTCAATACATGTTGCATGTCACAAGTGGGGATAGCTATTGTATGGTTTGGTTTTTTGTTTGTTTGTTTACATTAGACAAACATCATAAGGACGCAGTAACTCATGCACGTACTAAATAAATACTATCCGCAATTATTGCTTTACTGTAGTCATATATCGGGCGTTCATATGGGATCCATCCCGGCAGATGCGGCTTCGTACTATGCCACGTACAACTTGGGCGGGCCTGAACGGAGAGACAATGCTGGTAACGTGATTACCAGCGCGGCCGGAGGTCAACAACTAGCTGCGCATGGGTTCTTTCACCACCCGACCGCCCAGCAACAGCAGCAACAACACACGCAGCACACTAGCTCGCAGCAACAGCAGCAGCAACATTCTGGCCATCAGCAGCAGCAGCACCACCAGTCGCCTCTGTTGCATACCAATGTCTCTCAGTACCACGTCCAGCAACAGCAGCACCAGCAGCACCACCACCACCAATCCCAGGCCGGGCACACGTCGATGGCCCAGTACCACGCCCAGCACCAGCATCAGCACCAGCAACAAGTCGGCCCTATTACCACCTCGGCCCACCATGCAGGGTCAGTAGCTGCGGTTAGTGGCGACGCTGCTGGCGCATACCAGGCAAGTGGATTTTCGCCATATGCACACCCAGCATACCACCCACAGCACTCAGCAGCAGGATTTGACCCCAACAACGGATCATCTGTCGATTCTGCGTCAACCTCAGCTGCTCTTGCCGCCGGCACCGGCGGTGTTGATCACGAGTACAGCGTTATTGACGTTGCCGGAGCCCTGCACACGTCTACGACTCCAATTCATATCCAGCAGCAGCAGCAACATCAGCACGTTCATCCTCATATTATCAGCAACAATGGAATGCGCTTTGACTACATCCTGGAGGCACCCACGGCCGCGGCGCAAAAGGCCGACGAGCCCACTCTCACGTACCTCAACAAGGGCCAGCTGTACGGGATATCGATGATGGACAAGATGCACTCTGACACGTTCTACAGCACCACGCTGCGCATTTCGTTCCACGAGGACTCGCACCGCAAGGGTGCCGCTACGTACTGGAACTTTTGGCTCAATCAGCAAGAGAACCCACGTGTTGCACGCGCCATTGAGCTGGACAAGGCCGGCTCCATTGGTGTGGTTTCTGCGGAAACTAAGCAGTTTGACCGGGTGACGTTCCAGTGGCAGGGGAGGCGGGGCGCCAAGATCATGGTCCGCTTCAACTGCCTGTCGACTGACTTTAGCCGCATCAAGGGCGTCAAGGGAATCCCACTGCGCATCCACCTCGACACGCACTACGCGACCCCTGCTCCGATGGGCGCTAGTGACGCAGCAGACTTTGCCGCATCGATCGGCCAGATGTCGTCGCCTAACACCTCGCTCCCCTCGACCAACGCCATGGTTGTTTCGTCGGCCGAATCTCACGGCATGGCTAAGTCTCAGGTTATGGGTTCGTTCTCGACACCCGTGCCGCCCGCAACCGCGGGAAATCACCCAGCTTCACTAGACACACAGTCAGCACCCAACACTAGCACCGCAGCCACATTTTCGCCGACATCTGCCAACAGCAGCCTTGCGTCTGGCAAAATCATTGAGCGCTGCTATGCGCGCATAAAGCTGTTCCGCGACAAGGGTGCTGAGCGGAAAAATAAGGACGACCAGCGGCATCTTGACAAGCTGTGGGAAAAGCAAAAGCCAAGCTATCGCTCACCGGCAGCAACGGCGGCAGCACCACCACGATGACGCAGCAGCAAATGGCTGAGTTCACCACCACCTTTGCACCTGTACAGCAGGTCACGCCCTTTGTCGAGTACACGCTGACCGGCGATGACTGCGATGCTGAAGAGCCCGTGATAATTGAGGATCTGTGGGCTGCCAACAGTTCGGCGATTTCAGTCGCAGTGGCTGCAGCAGCGTCGGCCGACCTCGAGTCGGCGGGATCATCGCTGTCGACCCCAATCACTGGCATCTCGTCCTTGAACCTCGGGATGCCGGGTATGCACCTTGGCGGGCTTAGCTCACCGCTGACTCCTGCGGCTGCAGTGGCCTACATGCGCAAGCGCTCTGCCGACGACCTCGACCTCCTGTCGCCCAACAAGCGGCAGTTCTCGCCTGCTTCTTTGCCGTCTGGGATCAACAGCGGCACATTCATTGGGCCAAACGACACTGAGCTGATTGGCGTTGACCCGACATACGTGCCCATGACGCGCAAGAGGAAATCGGTAATGTCCATTTACATCAAGTTTCAGGGCGAAAAGTTTACCGCGCGGTGTATCTTGAGCGCCTGACCGTGGACGACCTGTTATCCAAACTGGCGCAGCGCCTGGAGATTCAGACCACACCCGATGTCGAAATCATTCGCAAGACCAGAAAGGGCTTGACCGTCAAGGTCGACAACAATGTCATTTCGCAGTTGGAAGATCAGCAGGACATGGAAGTCGAGTGCTCATTTGCCGAAGACACAGGCAACCTGACCATTTATCTCCACTATTAAATATAAAAAATCATTTTTAAAGTCGTTCAATTTGTCAATGCGCATTATTTTCACCAAAATTATTTCTCCCAGCTTTTCCCTCTTTCTTTTATCTCTACTGTTACGTGTAACAGATACTAATTTACAACATTTCTTATACGCACCGACTGGTTTTGTACGTGATGCAAACTAAATGCCATCGACATTTACCCTGCCGGTCGGATACACAGATGACTTGTGCAGCTCAATGCAGCGCCCGCTTCCAGAGTTGCTGATTGACAAGTGGTTGGACGATATGCGACTCCAGACATCGCCATCTATCGGCAAACACTTGGAATGTGGCGCTGCGCATGGCCAGTATCCGACGACTTTGCCTGGCTGACCAAAATTACCTACATAAAAAATAAAAGAAAAATAATAATTAATTGCAAGCAACAATAGAAATTCAGAACAAAGCCTTGTAATGACTCTGATATACAGCCCGAAAGTTACAAATATAATAATTAAATATAATACTTGCCGCTATCTGGTGTTTGGCAGCGATCTGTGATAATGTACGCGCAACCTCTGCCTGCAATGTTTGCCGCCGCGAGAGGTTCTCTGGAAACGACGCCAAAAACGGCCAGCTCACGGTGTTGACGACCAGCAATCCGACCTACATAATAAAAATTTAATAAAAACACATGGTCTGTAAAATACCTTTGAGCACAAAAATTTTTTTTAAATTTTTTTGGAAACCTTCACCCGATACCAGCGGCTTACATTAGAGAGCTCACGGCAAACATCATCAAACGACTCTAGCAATGCAACCAGTTCATGCGCCTCGTACACCGGAAAACACCAATCCATCGAGCAGCATGCCTGGCTCAGGCAGCTGCAGTGATAAATCGTTTTTGCGCGCCGCTACCAGCTGCTCCCGCAACCCTGTGCCGCCCGCTCTGCACCCACGTGGTAAAATGACCCCGTTGTGTCCACATACACCGCCCGCATCCCCGCACCGCCCAACGACTCAGGCAGCTGCACAGCCATGCACAGCCGCAGACACAGCTCGGTCTGGCCACTCCCTGGCTGGCCCACAACCTCATTTACACTGCCGCCACCAAGCGCAATGCCCTTGCCGCCAAGCAGCGAATCGAGCCCGCACAACTGCGTCAAAAAGCTCCTTTGTCTGCGCGTATTCTGTCCGAGCGCCCACGCCGACACCGCCACCGGCTGCTTGCGCGCAAGATCGGCAACCGCTTGCACCTCGGCCTCTGAGAGAAACTGCAGCAGGTCCTCTGCCCCCGCCCTTCATCAAAATCGGCGGCGGCCAGGTACCCGTTCTGCACGAGCAGAGTCTTTAAATGAGCAGGAAGATTCAGCGAGAGCACTGGGCGCGACATGCTAATTCAAATAAAATAATAAAAAATAAATTGAAGTTAGGAGAGAGGCCGTATTTTTTAGGTTTGTTTGTTTGAATACAACCACATCCGCAGCAGCCACAGCCGTTTTTATTTGCACCAGCTAAAAAAATTGCTCGGGGTTTAACAAAACTCCAAAAAAGCCGAATGCGGGGGTCGAACCCGCAGCCTTAAGATTAAGAGTCTTACGCTCTACCGATTGAGCTAACCCGGCCAAGGTCATTTTTAAGACTATTTAGTGAACTAATCGCTCACTTTTTCTGTTAATGTGTTAGTAATTTATGCATCTCATTCGGGAGCCAGAAAGCACAGAGATTGGCAGCAAAAAACATTGTTTGAAACAAAATACAGGCATCTAACACCGTCTCCAAATTCTTTGGCAGTGTGTGCCTGCATTTTGTATCAATCAAAGTAGCAGTGCCCAGATGAGCAAATAATGCTGAGCAAAAGAAAAGCCCAGAACATGAGTCTATTTTCTTTATTTTGCCATTTTGCCATTTTGTTACTGCTCATGTGCACATGTGCCTTGTCAGACCATTTTGTTTATTTATTTGTCATATATTTTTATCTTGTAATTTTACTTTAATACCACTAAACAGTGATGCCAACGAGAGTCTGGTTAAAATATTTACTGTGCCAAATCGACCTACAATGATTTATGCAAATTAGGCAGTGGACAAGTTAATTGCCTTGATACACCAGAAGTAATTATATATTCAGGCCCGTTATTTGATGGCTCATCAATAATACAAAAACCCAACAATGTTCAATTGCTTTTGCATCTGATAAAGGGGGTAGTCGAGTATATTATTTAATTAATTTCAAAAGCAAACGCAAGGGGAAGAAGGAATCACAGGAATATTTGTTGTGATTTCATGCCTTAAATAATCAAATCTGTAAACAATCAAATACAGCTGAAATTGGTAATAATCGCGCATGTCATATGCAGAGTACAACAACCTTTAGGTTTTGTCGGTGTATCTAGTTACAAACTGTGAGAGGCAACTTTTTTGCTTGTAATTTGGGAACTTGTAGAACCTCAGCTCATATATGCTACTGTTGCTATTGTGTGAATGTAAGTTGCCATTTTTAATCATCCTCAAATAAAATATCTTAATGCATGGAGCTGTGTGCTCATATAGCCCTATAAATTGAGCTATTTTATTCGAACCATCAAAATGTCATTGTATGTCCACAAAATGGTACCATAGTATATACATGTAGAGAAGGCACCTCTTATAGTTTGTAACTAGATACACCGAAATAACCTATAATTTGTTTGTATTCTACAACACCTATGCCAAGGTGGTTAACATCCCGATAAAATATAGAAGAAAACCCGCAACAATGCTAAGCCAAATGGTATTACACCTCAATGTGGTTGTTACAGAATAAACTGTATTCAGAGCAATAGTGGTGTGCACAATAATAGGAGATTTCTGCAAAGCACTCTAGTACAGGCGGCTGCCACATTGTCACTACTGACGGCGACTCTGCTGCTACTGCGGTACTATTACAAAGAAACAACATACTGTCCAGTGTTTTCACTGTGGGCTACCCCGTTACAAGAAAAGGACCAGCTACGCCGATGCAAAGACAAAGGCCGAGATATATTTAAAAGATTGAGCCGCGATGGTTTAAACATACAGCGATCAGGCCCTTGTAATTCATAGTTGCTAATAATAAAGTTAAATGCCTGCATGTCCAACAACTATACTGGCATTACCAGATAAAATAACTGCTTTCCAATGCACGCTCAAGAAACAAAGACATGCTGACATTTAAAAAAGAAAATGAATAGAACAAAAAGTTGAATTGAATTGAAAGTGTAAAATAACAAACAAATGAGAAGAAAAAAGTACAACAGACAACGTGTGGTGCCCAACACATTCCAAGCCACTATTTTCCCTTTTCAAGAATAAAGATTTCCCTCATGGCCGCTATACACATTTCTGGTATTTCTGGCTGACATCAAGGAACACCATGATGTTTACAGCGTGCCCCCTTTTTTAAATTCCTTAAGTAATTTTTGATACTTGAATATAATAATTTAGACCCATATTTTTATAGAGTATGACACAACGCACAGAAATACTCTACATTGAAGGCGCTGGCAGGCTGCAAAAATAATTGCAAGAAAAAATAAAATTTTTATTTATTACAAAAATTATGTTTGTTTCATCAGGCATGAAAAAAATGCAATGCACATACAGTTTATCACCGTGTGATGTCATAGCATGGCAGGAAACCTCGATTCATTTTAAAAATCTCGTTGTTTAAAGGTTGTCCACAGCTCATCAAATTTTATTTATCTACAACTAATTTCTTTGTTTTCAATCAGTTGTTTCAATAATCAATTAGCAATGTCAAAGAACGTGTACACCGACGGTTCAAGCATTAATAACGGCAAAAGTAACGCAAAAGGAGGCCATGGCGTATATTTTAGAAATAGTGATGCGCGCAACATTTCGGCAAAAATGTGAGAAAAAACCAGACCGTACCACGCATCGAGGTCAAGGGCATTGGGCATGCAGTTATTGCCTCCAAGAAGGGAAATGCCAGGTTTTCATATTGTATTAAAACTGATTTGCAGTATGCAATTCGTGCCATGACAAAAAACACGGGTCCAAATCATCCGCACAAGGACATAATAAATGACACAAAGGCACAAATCCAGCAAGGTGATTACAACGTATCCTTCAGTCACGTCAAAAGCAACAGCAGTAGTGTTGCGCAGACTGAAGATATGGAAGTGGATGTTGAGGTCGAGAATCGCGAAACAGGTTTCCACCTGCGTGCCGATTGATAGGACGCTAATTGGATAATGCAGGCGTAAATTAGGGAGCATTACATTGATGCCCAAACATGCTCCCCATTTGCAATGCACACGCATGAGCGTACACGCACGAAAACCACAACATTGACTTGCCAAGATACCGGTCTGCTCGCAGAAGATCCAGTTCTCACCAACGGAGCGCACAATTGACAATGTGCACAACAAAGGCGACAAGGCACATATATAAGATGAGGCTGGCCCTAGTAGTACTTTAGAAACATCAGTAATAAAACCTTTTATAAAATCACCCCTAACTTTTAACACTAGACAACTAGTGCTCCTCACACCTCCCTTTTACTATAACAGTAGTACTAGCAACAAGGCCGCCTACTCTCTTGCCAAAGGTACTGCTCGCAAGTAATACTTTTGCAACTGATTTTCTTAGCTATCAATTCAAATAAAATTTTCTTAACGTATACTTAATTGTGGAAAAAAGTGCGACTCGAAACATTACAAGCACCATTTTATAATAAAAATGTAGAAAGCACAAATAGTTAAAGCATAAAGCTGCCATTAGTTGGCTTTTGGTTCAATTGCCTGTTCTCTTGGCGCAAATCCGCAAACGATAATTTAAAAAGAAAAAAGAAAAAGCTTGATTACTCCTTTATACAAGGCAAATAAGAAGCCGAATTGTTCAATGCCTCAAATTTTCTTTAGCTTTTTTAGCGGTATAAATAAAAGTAGAATGTAAATCATAATGGCAACGGTATAGTGGGTTAAGTTGTGAATAAAACATTATCCGTGGCAAATTGGAAGCCGTTGCGCCTTCATTTTTCTTCTGTTCTTAATTTTATTACTTTTTCATATTTTTGTTTCATCAAATGTCGATAACCACAAAAAACTGGGAGAGGCCACTTATGTACGTAGTGTGGGGGTTACAAATGGTAGCTGTAGGATTGTCATGCGTGTTTGCTTTCCTCGTTGAAAAACAAGGTCAAAAAGCCGATAGCAATGCATTAGCGCCATACAAGCTTCACAACGGCGCTCGGCTTGGGGTGCTCATTTCTTTATTTTTTGGTTACATGCTTATTCTTATTGAAGCCAGAAAGACTGTAGAAGCATCACCCAACTATAATAATAGGGGAATTACAGCATTATTCGGGTGCATGTCCTTTTTTGTAGTGTTGAACGACTCGGTGGCAGGAGATGCTCTTAGTGGAGACATTAGCGGGAGTAATGCCAGTGCGTTAAGATATATGGTTTGGGCGACAATGGCTTTAACTACACTTAACTTTTTTTTATGTGTTTTTGTTGGCCCACAAAAAAAGACAGCATAAGACAAACTACTGCCCGCTTTGCTTTTGATAATTGTTCAACGTATCACTGGTCAAACATTTGTTTGAGAATAATGATGGCATTGCACGCCTGGTATAAATAACAGTGGCTAATATAGTTTACATTTCTTCTCAGCTATTGTTTAGTTGTAAATAAATAAATTTACTATCGTTCAAAAACAATAAGCGCAAAAAGCCTAACCACATGCAATACTTACTTTTTCTTTATCGCTCAAGGCAACCCATGTGAACAAATGTGCATTATAAAATAATTAAAGCATCCGTTAAGCACCTCAATCGATGTGACAAAAAAGGGCACGTGTTTTTCAACGCACATAAACATTGTTCAGTATTTTGTGGACTAATAAATTGTTGCAAAAAACAAACCAGACCGGGGTACTTAAACAATAGAGCCATTTTCTCATTTTCATTTTCTCATTATATTTCTCTTCTATTCATTTAACAAATTTATTATTGTACTTTAATATCCGTCAATATTTTTAATCATGTCAAATAAAAAAAAATACACTATGATTGGTGCCACCGTTTTGCACGTAGTGTCTATACTCGTGTTAGGAGTCCTTGGCTTTTTAGTGGAAAGCGACAACAGCAAAGCTGGTAATGGTACTTTCGACCCAGCAAAGTTCACACCGGTGGTCGCATTGTTACTGCCTTTGTGTTTATTATTGGTATGATATGCATTATAACAGAAGGTATGAAAACCAGCAAATCCGAATCTCATTTATATAATAGGCTTATAATAGCATTGTTTGGTTGTATGTCATTTATTGCACTACTCAACGACTCGATGACGGCCCTTGTTCTTAACGGAGATCTTACTGGTGGAAAGACTGCGGCGTTCAAGGGCGCATTCTGGGCAACTGCAATTGTAACGGTGTTTCACGCAGTATTAGTTTGTTCTATTGGGCTACACAGTACGGAGGAATTGGCAACTGAGTAGTACTTTGTTTTGGGTATCTGTTTTAATCAAATATTATCAATATATGTATTTATATTCACAGTTTTAAATCAAGTGAGAACATGCAATTTTGGAATTACTTAGTATGCAAAATATGCATATGCAACCGTTAGGGTCAATGAGCGACCGTTCCGCCAGCAGCACCGGGAAAACTAGACAAATTGCGGCATGTATTGCCAATCAAGCTCATAGATACACACAAACTAAGGATAATAAACAAAATCAGTAGGTTGTGTTGTATTACCAATACATTCGCTTGAAAGCCTTATTTTTATTAATTGTCCATCCAACGTTTAAGCAACATCCAATTGCTTGTTTTTTACTATAAAATGGGAGGTTGTGTTTTTAAAACTATATAAAAATGCATTACAGCATACTCCTTTGTATTATCTGTACAAACGCTTGCAGTCATGCTGGCACCATACACATGCCAAATGTTTTTTATTAAAAGAAGGCATGACCCAGCACGTTGTAAAAATATAGCTGCTGTTTTTATTTTAGAAAGGCAAAATGTCTGTCAAAAGAGAGCGTAAAGAAAAATAAAAATGACACGTGCTTTTCATCTTGCCTGCTCTCATGTCACTTTTTTGTTTAATTATTTTTGTCTGATACAAGGGGGTAATTGAGGATATGAAGACCAGACCAGTCATTTTAAACCATGTTCTATCCACTCATTCATTTTTCATCCATATATTTATTTTTAAATCTACTTTAACTTATTAATAATTTTTGCACCTGCTATATCGAAAAATACCTGAAACAATATCGGAATGGGAAAGAAAAGGCACGATTGTTTTGATAGGCTTATACACGTTTGTCATGGTGGTTGCATACGTGATCAACATAATTATCGGTATGGATAGGTCTGGTAGCAGTGGCTCAAGATTGCCATTCTACTATGTAATTATTGGTCGAATCCTTGCCATTATCGCCGTCCCCTATTCTCAATATTGCTTTTACGTGGATACAAATTATTTCTGGAGCAAGCAGTATATCTGGATGAATGCAGTTGCGGCAACTGCCTTTGCAGTAGTGGGTTATTTTGTATTGCTGAACGACTTGGTATCGATTGGTTTTTAAAGAGTACTGTTGAGAACCCCTCAGGGGGCCGCGACCCAGGCCAGCGGCCCGGGATGAGACTCCTTTGCGAGCACATATGCATCGGACAAATGTAGGACGTCATCCGATGTCCTGATCCAATGATATTGATTGTGAAGGCACGCGGTGTTCATGATTGAACCTGTTTTTTTCCAGATAATATATCAATAGAAATTGATTCAAATTCAAGGTGCATCAAAAATAACATTTGTTTTGCTATTGTCGTTTGTTTGATGCTTGTGTACATGTGTGCGGTGCAGGAAATGCCGTGCACTTATTATAGTTTAGTTTTGATAAATACCAAGATATTCTGCATGAGGATAAGGATACCTTAGTTTTCTAATAAATGTTTTACTCCCATTTGGCAGCATTCCTTGTGGCTGCTCAGTTCACATCTACTGGCCTTCCCTTTGGCCACTCTCATAACAGTACTATCACCGGGCCGTTCGCCATTATTTCAAAAGGTATGTTTATTGCCAGTGCGATTGTTTGAGGCACCTATGCTGTGTTTTTCATGATATTCACGCCATTCGACAACGAAGGCGCCAATTATGGAATATAATTGCTGCAACAGAACTCTTTTGGTTTCCTTTTTATTATTATTTTTTGTTACAGATATATTTATTATATGCAAAAGAAGTAAAAATACAAGTGCATAAGCAGCCAAAAAATATCAATAAAAATTTGGCCATTATTTTTTAAAATTACATGTTCATTTGTTTGTACAGGTATAACCTTTTATAGAATTCATATTTTACTTAAAATTACTATATGCTATTTGGATCAAGACTAGCCGATGTAGAGTTCCAGCGACTAGAGCAGGACATGGGTAGCGTATGTGAGCTTTCCGATGGGTCACAGTAGCACCTCATCTGCCGAGTACTGCCTGCGGACAATTGTTCAGCAGATCATGCACGTACCCAACATCCTCAAACCAATGCACCTGGTCGGGCCTCAAAAACATTGCAGCTGCCAGCGACCTCACAGTGGCATCAGTCCACCGCTCATAATAGATTCCACCGCGCTGATCCAAAAAGGCAAACAAGGCACGGTACTTTGCAGACCGGACAAAATTCAAGTCGACAATTTCAAAGTTTGTCAGAAACTGGCACCGATTAAACTCTGGCCCAAACAGCCAGCCCAGCGAGTTTTCTCTGGCAGAAACAAGAACTGGGTTTTCCAAAACAAATGCTCTGGCAGCTGTCAGCAGCGAAGGGACAGCATCGGGCATTTCCTCCAGAGATATGGCAAATCCATAGGACAGGTGGTTCCGCTGAATGTGCACAAACGGATCATACTCAAAGTCGCAAGTATAATGGGATCCAGGCTCCAATCGCCACATGTATTGGTACTTTTGCAGCAAAGAGTGATCGGCGAATGGTCCCGACCAGTAGCGCACCATGTGGCGCCATTCAACGCGGTCTGCATACATCTTATTGGAATTGGCCCAGTCATCTGCCACTTTCTCTGCCCTATGCGGATTAATCCACTCCGGATACACCCATTCTCCGCTATCAATGAGCCCGAATTCCACGCTGTTGTTGGGGCCTGCCATGTACCGGACCCCCTGCATAAATCCTTCAGAAAATGGCTCATCGCTGAGAAAAACATATGGGTAGTTGAAACGGTCATTGAAGCGTCTTTGTACATCAAACATTGTGCGGCGCACCTTGGTCATCGATGAGTGCATGTAATGAAAACGAAACAGCCGTTGGCCAGATGATTGTCCAAATGTTGATCTAGCGGTGCTGGCAGGTAGGTGCTGTATCTGACTGTGGGTCTATATCTGCAGATTTTCTGGGCTTCAACATTAGCCTGTGCGTGGCGACGCATATGAATGTGGATAGGAGCGCTATCAGCAATATATTGCGCCATCCTCGGCGTCGGTTGGCTAGCACAGCCATGGCTGAGAGTTTTTTGTGGTTGACGATATAAAAGAGAGATAGAGAAGATGAGAAATAAAAAATAAAATAAAATTGTAAGTGAAGATTAATGACCAAAATGAACAAATATGTTGACAGAAAAGTCTAAAAACTGATCAAATAAATAATAAACTTAGAAAAGGCATTACTGCCAAGCGAAATAAGGGACCGTTTTACAAAGTTAATGGCACCCTGGCCAAAGAACCTCGATTCTACAAGGAGTGATTTTTTCTCCGAGTTGTCTGTAAAATTTTTTTTGTGAATTAAGTGGCGCGTATTCTCAATGTTAGTTTTGTTCTCTGGTTTCTCAGTTCGTCAGACATTAAAAAATAATTGTTAATTTCTCCCTAATTCAATCAACTGGCAACTGTGCTTTCATATTCCAACGATATGTACAAATTGAAAGTTCAGGCCAAGGTGTTCGAGGTTATAGACACCACTCCCAAAGACCCTGCACCAACCAAAAATTCTCAGCAAACATTCCTTCCACTAACCCTCGACCAAAAGCTCTTCTACCCGCAAGGCGGTGGCCAGCCAACCGACATAGGCATAATCACCAGCCCAACGGCAAGTTCAAAGCCCACAACATCCTCCTCCACAATGAAACCGTATGCCAATGGGCGACTTTACAGCGGGTGGCAGAATCAGACAAACGACATAGTTATGCCGAATGTGAATGAGGAAACCAGACTGAGGAACGCCGGTGTCATTCCGGTGGCCACGTCGTGTCTAGCATGCTCAAGCCACATTATGCCGATGGGGCGTATGTAAGTTTACTGGATCATGCCTGAAGGCGAGAGCGCGAACAGGTTCCAGGAACTCGTTGATCGGGTCATTGAAGATGATCTGCTTATTCCATCATATCAATGTAACAAACCCCAACGATTGAGACAACCTTTGAGATTATGTTTACGCACCTACCTTTACATTTTGTTAAAAGGTATTGTGTTGACAGTGCGTTAACACCTTTCGCCAGAGGTAGGAAATTAAGTGCAATCATTTGGCAGAGACTCAGCGGCAGAAGCAGCCGGTTGCGAAACCAAGGAGGTACCCTCTTCTGCGGCTACTCATCCCCACAGGCAGCACACGGATTGATTTATCGACATATCATTCCAGTTATAGCCGTCAGATTGTTTATCACAGGACAGGTCTTCATCAAATGAGCAAGTGGATCAACATACCTATTTTCTCTGGGCGAAGTGTGGACGTTATCCTCTAGCTCATGAAATTCTAGTTGCTTGCTTATCAGGCATCATTTTTTGTACTTGTATTTTTGTTGCTGTAATATGATGGAGTCTGATGGGAGAAGGTACATTTGCGTGAGCGAATATGAGGAAAACACCTGTGGCAGCACCCATGTGGGGAGCACTCAAGAGCTGGGTCGTATTGCCATCAAGAAGATCGCCAGGCGCAAAGCGCAGAACCTAACAAAATTCCGTATGCCATTGAGGCAGCCGCCTAGAAAAAGCTTTAGAGATTAACATTTTTATTGTTTTGTTTGTTCAATCAAAAAATATTTTGGTTTCTTCTAAGGGGGGATATATACGCAACTCCACGACGTTCACTCGTTGCGCCTGCCATCTCGCCGAGCGATCATCCACTTGAAGTACTCGTATGTGGTCCAGCTAATAGCAGTAGCGGGCATATTGGCGATAACTCTCGGCTTGACACCGCGCCAGAAGCCCTTAAGCCCTGGTTTCTATAGATAATCCTCGCCGACGTCGCCATAGAGCTCGCCGCACGCACTTCGGGATCCGAGGAGGCGCCCCTAGTCTGCAGCAGCGTTTTGCAGCAATCGATCGGCGTAGTCAGCGCAGCCGCCATGGCGCCGGCCAGACCACCGGCCATAACGTGGGTGGTCGGTGAGTATGTGCCCGATGGGTTGAGCGTCCGGCGGAACAGGTCGTAGCATCCGAATTGTATCGTCTGGAACGGCATGTTCATCATCAGAGTCGTCGGGTATGAGACATAGAAGGCCCGCAGACCCTCATTGTGGAATACTTTTGTTGTGCAGTCGATAATGTTTTTGTACCCTGTGCCCGCCAGCTGCATGCGCTGCTTGATCACGTCGAATGGGTTCATCAGCGCGTCGCTGATGATCGTTGCCACACCACCGGCCGCACCTACAAAATAAATATAAAAGAAATTCGACAGCAAGCAGATCGAATGCACGTGAGCGGACAAAAAGAAAAGAAGAAAAAAAGCCGTTAGCAAAAAATGAAAAGCACACCAGTTTGGACAAGTTTCAAACAGAGATTGGCACAGAAAGTAGCGCATGCTGGGTGCAATAAAAAAGAGAAAAGAAAGCGTGCCTTAAGCATAAGCATAAGCACAAGCGTGCGAATCCTAGTATCGTGGCTTACCTGCTGCCAATGCATTGGCGTTGCCTCCAGCTGCCGTAGTGAATGCCTTTTTGGTATGCTCATACGTGGCAAAGTAGACGGCATGGGCAGGGCCAGCGCCCAACACCACCGACATAACGCCCCGCCACAGCGACCGCACTCCTTCGGTCGTTGTGATAACCTTGAACGCATGTGTGATACCGCTATACACCATCGACGACGGAGATCCGACCACCTGCATCCGAGTCTACAACAAATATAACAAAAAAGAGGGTTCAGAAGAGCGATATAAAGTCGGTTAGCTTATTTATCGCTAAACAGTTTCACAGATAAATACGGAACGATGGCGCTGCACTTGCAACCCTTATCTCTCTTTGAATTCACGCAATAATTTACCTTGACAATGTCAAACGGGTACATGACAGAGTGCTCCATTATTCCGGCGGCGGCTCCAGCAATCAAGTGCATGGTCAGTGGCGATGTCTCTGGCAACTCCTCGTAGTCGTACTCCATATCCACAACAGGCGCCGAGCTATACTGTGTTGTCGCCGAAATAGCGGCCTCCTTGGTCTGTGTGAGTGGCATATTTACAGTTGAAGATACAGAGGTAGAAGAGGAAGCAACTGAGGCCATATGTATGTTATGAAAGAAAAGAAAGAAAAAGTTAAATTCAGTTGTTCCTTTGAAAAGAGCAGGGAAAAAAGAAGGTGTGGGGGATGGTTTTAGAGAAACAAGGGTGAGTATTTTAAGACCTGAATGAGAAGAAGAGGGGGGAAAGCGAACTAGTTGAAAGTGAAATTTTTTCCTCACTAGCAAAAAAAAGTAGCCTTTATCTGTTCGAGAAAAGGAATAATAATATTCCGGTATTTAAAACGAGCTATGGTTGATGACAAAAAAATCCGCCGTCTCCGTTTATCGCCAAGGCTATATATATTCAACTATGAAATCGCTTTTTTGAGTGAAAATCCTTTTTGCACAACCCCGCCCGCTGCTGAATAAAAAGCTCAACAAAAAAATGTTAAATATTAATGGCTCATATCTGATGCTTCCAAAAACAAAGTTTTTATGTTATCTGTTGCGTTGACATAAAACAGAAAAGCCTCGTGCCATTGGGCAGAAAAGGCCCAATAATCCCGGGTTCTCCGAACTGATCCATGGTGGCCCGACCGCTCGTTTGTTGGTCTAACAGCTTCATCGAAAAAACTAATTGGAAATAAGGATCTGGGATCTCAGCATAGGCAAGAAAATATGAAAATAGTCACTGGCGAATTTTTTTCTGCTTTGCGGGGTGAAATTTCGCGTAAATTTAATACTGCTGCGGTAATCGATCAAACGCGTAAGAATATGATGATCAGGTGGCTCACACCTCATCCACTGCACATAGCCGCAGCGAAAAAAAGGGAGGAAACAAAGGGCCTGTGTGCCATGTATGCTACAAAGCAATTTCTCGTCCGTACCCCTTTTGCTCTTTTTGTCCCCTTTCCCTTTAAAAATTTACTCGCAAAATTTTCATTATTTCTAAATTAATCAAAAACTTAAACAAAAACATCAAATCGCACAATGAGTTCTGGAATTCGCATGCCAGGGAAAAAGAGCTCTGGCTCGTCGGGTATGCGCACGATGGGCGCGCGGCCTGTTCCCGCCAAGCCCAGCATCCGGCGCCAGCCACCACCACCAGCATCACTGACACAGAGACCGGGCGGCCCGGGGCAGGGCAACTGGGGCAAAGGTGAAGGCGACGGCGACATCCCTCTGGCAGCGGCCACAGGGGTTGCGCCTCCACAGCCCGAGGTTCGCAACTCGGTCGAGTACACGCTCGTATCTTCGCGGCTGCCGCGCACACATAACGTCATGCGGCTGCTATCGCCCAAGCAGGTCGATTTTGATGCATTCACAGGGCCTGTGAAGCTGCGGCGGCGCAACAAGGAGTACTATCGGCTGAAAAATAAGAAGCGCAATGAGGAGCGCGCGGCAGCACTGGAGCAGGAGATGCAGAAGAACAGGGCTGAGGGATTGGACACTGGCGCCAAAGAGGAGGTCAAGGAGCGGCCAAAGGCTGATATGAATCTGATTGCAGACGTTGGCGGGGCGCGTAGCAACAAAAAGAACTTGTTCAAGAAGCGCACGAAGCAGGTGTACATGGCTGACGAGGACAAGCGGCGGCTGGACATTGAAGAGGCGCGGCCCTGGGTGCTTGAAGATGATGACGAAAAGGAGGTGTGGACAGGATCGCTGGAGGGTGGCCAGAGCTCCTCGTACGTGCTTTTCGTGCTGACTGAGGACGGCTTCAAGGTCGTGCCTGTAGATCGCTGGTACAAATTCACGCCCAAACTCAAGTTTAAAACGCTTACGCTCGACGAGGCCGAGGAGGAGATAAGGCGCGCTCAGAAGAACGAAGTCCACGACCGCTGGATGATGCGTAACCGCCTGCAGGCCATGGACAAGGACCAGAGAAGAAGGACGACGACGACGAGGGCTCCTCAAAAGCAAAGAAACCCAAAGTGTCGCTTGTCGAGTATGAGGTCGACGACGATATTTTTGGCGATGACGATGAGGACGAAGATGCGCCCAGAAGCAAGCGCGCCAAGAAGGGTGACGGCAGCAACAAGCACGCCGGCATCGACGAGTATGACTTTGAGATGGAGTTTGATGACGATGAGGAGCTCGGCGATGTTCAGTTCGAGTACAACCAAGAGGAAACCAACGAGAAGAAAGAGCAGAAGCGCATGGCCAACAAGTCTGGCTACGAGTCGGAGGAGGAAGGGGACGGCGAGGCCGATGTGGAGAAGGATCTGTTGGCTCCCGATGGCCAAAGCTTGAAGAAGCTCCTTCGCAAGCGCGAGGGCAACGACGGATTCCAATCCGAGGAGGAGGAAAATCCGTACCTGTCAATCTCCGAAGTGGACAGCGACGAGTCTGATGAAGAGCCCGAGACAAAGCCCGAGGGGGTTGAGAAGGAAGACAAGCCCGCAGACCCTGCCGCCGACACCAAGAGCCCGGATGGCAGTGCGCGCAGTCCCGACAAATCAGCAGCTTTGTCGCCGTCTTCTTCAGCTGCTGCTGCGGCTGCTGCCACCGCAGCCAAGAAGCGCAAGCGTGTGTCTACTGCGCCAACCTCTTCTTCCTCTGCGTCCAAGTCGCATCCAAAGTCAGACTCTGCCGGCGCAAGGCCGCCTGGCCAGCCGGGGTCGTCGAGGCCCTCTGGTGGATCCGACCTTATCACGAAGCAGGAGATCATTGACCTGATCAAGAGCGGAGTCAACACCACCAAAGAGCTCATCGGATGCGTGCGCAGGAAGCTCAAGGCCAATCCTGCCAACAAGAATCTCATCCAGTCCATTGTCAAGGAGGTGGCCACCCTCAAGGATAGCATCCTGACTCTGAAGAAGGTCTGAATGCCACCTCACCTCCTTTTCACCTATCTTTCCATACCTATCCCCTACACATCCATATTTTCTACCATTGATGAGCACATTGAGGTTGGCATTGCCACTCTTCTTTTCTATGCGTGATAATTGAATATTATTTTGGAACGAACTAAATGAAAAATTAGAAAGCACCAAATGAGTACCAAACAACACCCCTTGTGGGGACCAATTATGGACACCGTTCCTCTATTCTATTATCACCATTCATATTTTAATTGTGTAAAATGGTGTGTCCTCCTTTATACAGTTGAGCAGCGTGGCTTTAGCACTTTTTTTCCAGTGTTTCACTCGGCGCCCACAAAAAATTGAAAAAAAAAAGAAGTGCCCAGAACGCAACACATATTTTTCTCCATTGTCTGTCATTTTCGTCATTCTCATCGTGTACAGTATTTCGACAATTTTTAGCTTTTCTTCTGGATTTATCCGTTTTTTTCATCACTGTCTCAAACTCTAAAAAAATTAAATATTTTTTACCGCTATATCTCATATTTGTATTCCAAGTGCACTTTTCAACTTACCATGGACTCAGATCATACTCGACCAACGACCAGCCCAACATGCCCAAGCGGAAAAAGTCGAGTCTTTGTGTACCCGAAAACTCTGAGCCCAGTTTCAAAAACAGCTCCACGGTCTCGAGACAGGATCTCCCACCGAGAGGCTACTCGCCCGGTCGTCTAACTACACACAGGACTGCGAGCTGTACCCGCGAGCAATGCGCGATACCATCAACCAGCACACAGAGGAGGTTGTAATCGGCCAGCGGACCCGAATGTCATCCGCAAGGCTGAGAGAACCCATGAAGAGGAGCTACAGCACGAGATGCAGCAGCTGCAGGCGAATCCAAAGGAGCTCTCAGCGTTTACCCTGCAGCTGCCCGTTCCGGATCATCGCTCAAGTAGACGATTTCCAAACAAAAATATAAATAGTGAGCATATGGATTAGCAGATTAGATCACAATGACAGGCGGCAAAGAACCGTTCACGGTTGTGATGAAGTTGGGTTTTCTCCGATTTCTGGACATTTCCCCAACTTTATAGGCGGAAGGAAAAAGTGGAGATTTAGCATACTATTTCGATATGGAAAAGTTGGGAGCTATGGAGCTATTATACAAACAAATCTGACTAGACCAAGGTTCTGTGAGGTTTCGCTTTTTAATATGAGCTGGATCCTTTTTTCATCGCGTTCGTTTTATTAGAAATTTAATATATTTGAATAAATACAAAATACCAAAGAAATATTGTGCCGCCGCTCAGCCTGCTGTCAAAGCAAGCACACCCCAAGAAAACCAAATGGATCTGGAAGAGTACTGACGTTGGGACGGCTGCTAATGTCGAGAAGGGTGTTAAAAACGAAAACGAAGAAGCGGGGTGGTCGGTTCCCTTGCATTGACCGCCTGGTGTGTGACGACATTCGCAGCTGGATCAAATCTGCTGTGTTCATTGCCCCCGGCAGGCGCGAGATGTTGCTGCGACATGGCCCGAAAAAGCCCCAGGGATCAATAATTAAGCTCATAATCTCCGCTAATCTTAATTTCCAGGCAGCCGATTAAAAAGTTTTACTTATGCACGGAGGTTTTTGATAGGCTTCCATCACAGCCGTGTTATCTTTTGGTACATCTCCAATCTGGGCGCAGGCTCACCAATATCAAAGCCCAGCATCTTTTCCCACTGGTTCGTTGGCTCGCGCATGTAACACAAGAAAACTGAACTGCAAGTAGAAGAGAGTATGCAGGCTTCAGTGCTTTTTTGCTCGAGTAAATTTCAATTTATTATTTTAGCTTCTTTCCTTAAATCCAAGTGTTTACACTTCCCCGCTTTACCATTTTTATTGACTGTATTTCTTCTTTTTCAATATAAACCCCAAGGCAGATTCACTTGTGACGACAAGCTACAGACAAATTCAAAACACAAAATGTACCAGCGTGCCGCCCTTACTCGTGTCGCTGGCTCGATCGCCCGCGCCTCACCTTTGGCTACTCGTAAGTATACGCAATTCTATTCTATTCAGCTCAATTCATTTCAAGTTGACAAAAACAAAGGTGTTTTTTAGTTGCCCAAAATGTGGTAATTAGCAAACATTTACTAAATCCAAATCCACACTATTTTAAAACTATATACATATACATAGCTGCCCAGCGCTATGTTGGAGCCATGATTATCGCTCGCAGCTACGCCTCGCAAAAGGCCCGACAAACCTCCAGGAGCAGCGCATAACCGAAAACAAGGACTTTAAGATTCCTTTTCAAACATGGGGTGAGCGTGACGCAACACAGTCGTCTGGGACTTTTCAGCCAAAACCTTCTTTATGACCGAACTCGCGCGCGGTTTTTATACCGTTCTCATGCAGTACCTGCGCGAGCCCTACACGCTGCACTACCCGAATGAGAAGGGCCCTCTGTCGCCTCGTTTCCGCGGCGAGCACGCCTTGCGCCGGTATCCGTCGGCGAAGAGCGTTGCATTGCGTGCAAGCTGTGCGAGGCCATTTGCCCCGCCCAGGCTATTACTATTGAGGCCGAGCCTAGAGAGGACGATAGCCGTCGCACTGTGCGCTACGATATTGACATGACAAAGTGCATCTATTGCGGTCTTTGCCAGGAGGCCTGCCCCGTGGATGCGATTGTCGAGGGTCCCAACTTTGAGTACACGACGGAGACCCGTGAGGAGTTGCTGTATAACAAGGAGAAGTTGCTGGCGAATGGTGATCGCTGGGAGTCTGAACTTGCCCAGAACTTGCGGTCTGAGCAGATGTACCGTTAGAGAAAAATTCACAAATGCCAACATGCTTTATTGGTGTTGCGGACCTCGTTATCGATGTACACAATGATTGGTCGGGTATGGCAGCTTTTACAAGTAGCTTTTTATTTTTCAACTTTTTATTTTTACAATATTTCTTTGCTCTTCGCATATTCAGCAAGATTTTTTGCGACGGCGTGTTTTGAAAATAAAAAAATCGGGTCAGAGATTGCGAAAATAGCCGATTTTATATATTTTTATTTTACATCTGCATCTCAGATGCAGGATGGAGATAACCGCCAAATCGATATTTTTCGTGCCCTATCATTTTTTCTTTTTCATTTAGCCTTAGTTTTTTGTGCCCAATCGACATTTTTATTTTATTTCACATTTGGAAACCAACAAAAATGATGCGTCCGGCATTTACAAAGGGTAAGATTCAGCTCATTCGATAAGCGAGCATTTCGCGGGTTCGCTCTATCGTGCCCGCTTGTTTTGAATTCCCACTCGAAAAACATCAGCAGCAGCAACTTGCTAAACCCTACATGGTATTGCTGTGAATATTTTACACTTGTAGTTGCCAAGCAGCTCGGCAGCCGCAAAGCTGCTGCAGTAACAGCCACACGCACATACACGGCCGAAGCGAGCACCGCCTCGCGGCAGTACGGCGGGCTGAAGGACCAGGACCGCATATTCACCAACTTGTACGGACAGCACGACTTTGGACTTAAGGGAGCGTTGAAGCGTGGCGACTGGCACAAGACAAAGGAGATTGTCTCAAGGGCGAGGACTGGATCATCAATGAGATGAAGGCCAGCGGGATGCGCGGTCGCGGTGGAGCTGGGTTCCCGTCGGGACTCAAGTGGAGCTTTATGGGAAAGTCGTCGCCTGGCCGCCCGCGGTACCTGGTTATCAACGCTGATGAGGGCGAGCCCGGCACTTGTAAGGACCGTGAGATCCTGCGCCATGACCCGCACAAGCTGATCGAGGGCTGCCTGATTGCCGGCCGCGCAATGTTTGCCAACGCGGCGTACATCTACATCCGCGGCGAGTTCTACAACGAGGCGTCCAACCTGCAGCAGGCCATCGACGAGGCATACAAGGCTGGTCTGATCGGCAAGAACGCCTGCGGCTCCGGCTATGACTTTGATGTCTACGTGCACCGCGGTGCCGGTGCGTACATTTGCGGCGAGGAGACGGCGCTGATCGAGTCGCTGGAGGGCAAGCAGGGCAAGCCGCGCCTGAAGCCGCCATTCCCCGCTGACACTGGGCTGTTTGGCTGCCCGACCACTGTTACCAACGTCGAGACTGTGGCCGCTGCGCCCACCATTCTGCGCCGCGGGGCTCGTGGTTCGCCGGCTTTGGCGCACCGCGTAACTCAGGCACCAAGCTGTTTGCCATTTCGGGCCACGTCAACAACCCGTGCACTGTCGAGGAGGAGATGTCGATTCCTCTGCGCGAGCTGATCGAGCGGCACTGCGGCGGCGTGCGTGGCGGGTGGGACAACCTGCTGGCCATTATCCCGGGCGGGTCATCCGTGCCTCTTTTGCCCAAGAGCCTGTGCGACACAGCGCTGATGGACTTTGACAGCCTGCGCGATCTGCAGTCGGGCTTGGGCACGGCCGCAGTCATTGTCATGGACAAGAGCACCGATGTCGTACAGGCCATCGCCCGCCTGGCCTCGTTCTACCGCCACGAGTCCTGCGGCCAGTGTACGCCCTGCCGCGAGGGATCCAGGTGGCTGGATCTGATGATGGCGCGCTTCGTGAGAGGTGACGCCACTTGCGCCGAGATTGACCAGATTCTCGAGATCACAAAGGAGATGGAAGGCCACACCATTTGTGCTCTGGCTGATGCCGCCGCATGGCCTGTGCAGGGCCTTATGCGCCACTTCCGCCCAGAGGTCGAGCGGCGCATGAAGGACTATGTCGTTGGGTCGCAGATCAAGTCCAACGCGAGCTACCGCCCTGATCAGACCATTGCCACGGCATAGTGGTCTTCTCGGTTTTAAGCCAAATGAAATGATGCTGCTTGAAAAATATTGACAAGTGTCTTGTTTTTTTTACTTGCATCCTATTACTTTTAGTTGTTCTATTTTTCTCTTCTTTCGTTTCTTCTATATACACTTGTTTTTTCTCCTTTGGCTGTTTGAGCAACGTAAACGCAATTGTCAATACAAACCTAAATACAAATCGGCATGTAACTTTTATTCTGTCCAAGATCAACCTTGATTAGATCCTGGCATTCGGATTTCTCATCACCATCAGCAAGTCAGTTAAAAAAGATTGTGTGAATCCGAGATATCTGGTGTGTTTCTAATCTCATAATCTTCTTTTTTCCCTTTTCTTTTTGTATCTGTATTCACATTATTATTTCTTTTATATATCATCTTTTTTTACAACAACAGCAACAAGATAGAAAATGTCTGACTCTAACTCTCCGACCTCTAGCCGCGGAGCAGGCGTATGTCCTGTGACCACGACAAAGTCAACTCATCCTCCACTTCTTCCTCTTCCTCTTCTCCCAGCGGTGCCGCGTCTTGCCCAGTCGATCATACGCAGAGAACACCTTCATTTGCGCAATCACTTTTCGGCACCAAATCCACTTCCAACAGCAGCAGCAGCAGCAGCACCAATAATGACGAAATAAACCCCCTTAACATGATGCCAATCTTACTCAAGAAAAACACTCCTTGCAGTCCGAATCCCTCTCAACCGACCGCGAGCTTTCCTCGATTCCACGCGCCACCCCATCAATCACCCCGGAGGAGGTCTGGGAATACCCATCTCCACAGCAGTTCTACAACGCACTTGCGCGCAAAAACATGCCGGCGCCTGAAAAGTATATGGACGTTATGGTGGATATTCATAATTTCCTGAATGAGGGAGCATGGAATGAGGTATTGAAGTGGGAGGGGAGGCATAGGGGGGAGTGTTTGGAGCCGAGGCTTTTGAGGCTTCAGGGGAGGCCGAGGGATCTGAGTCCGTTGGCGAGGATCTCTGGTTGGTTCCATGGGGTTAAGCCATTTGATAGACATGATTGGTATGTTGATCGCTGTGGGAAACAGGTCCGGTATGTTATTGATTATTATGAGGGCACTCCTGAGAACGATATGCCGGTGTTTAATCTGGTCGTAAGGCCGGCGATCGATGACTTTGGCAGTTTGACTGACCGCGCTAAGCAACTGTGGGACAACGCAAAGGCGAAATACCTTCCTGAGACCAAGTAAAAAAACTGTAAAAATGATCCTTCCTTCCATTCTATCCCTTTAAGTATAGTTATAATTATGATCAAAGTAACATAAGAAAAAAGACATGTATTGTAAACGAAGAAATAGGAGGAAAAAGCTGAGATCTGTTGATTAGACAAAGAGCTCGGGGCGGTCTGGCTCATCTTCTGCGCAGTCTGTGTGACGCGCGTCTCCCACTGCGACAGTCTGTCGACCAGGCTGCGGATCTGGTCCTTGCCAGATAGCGCGGCTGCACCCACTGAATGGTGATGATCTGCTCACCTGGTCGATGCTCCCGCGGATCAACCCCAGCGACAGAGCTTTCATGACCAAGTGCTCAATATCTGCGACCGGCAATTTAGTCTCGGCAGAGATATCACCAAAGGCAACTGTGCGCGCACCCGCACCCTGTCTCTTAAACATAGACTCGATCAGGGCCATCAGCCGGATCTTCTGCTGCAAAAAGGCCTCCTGCTGCACCAACAGAGGCTGGCCATGCATCTTGCCCAACAGGGACTCGAAATTGCCAATACTGCCGGCGTTGAAGGCCAAAAGAAGCTCCAACATCCACTCGTGCTCAGTGCCGCGCAGCGACTCGACAATCTGGTGCGACAACAAGTCGCCAAAATTGTAAATGGTGTCGCTAAGCAAGGCAGCAATGGACAAATCATACGCGCGTTGCACACGATCCTCCACGCCCAGCTCCTTGACATCAATGCAAGCGAGCAACAAAAGGGCATTCTTATAGTACTGGCCAAAGGCCGCCTTGGCCTTATAGTAATCAGCGCAGACGCGGTAAAAACTGGCATAAATCACAGGCTCAACGTGATTAAAGTCTTCAATCATCTTTTGGCACTTCTCCAGCGTCTCGCGCGTCGAGTCCAGGTCATTAAGCAACAAACGGAAATGTGCGCTCTCCAGAGACGCCAATGCAAAGGCATCTGGGTATCGGCTTGTTGACGTCCTCAGCGATCTCAGACATGAACTCGGACGCCGCCGGGATGCTGTCGAACTGACGCGCGGCCGCGAGCGCAAAAAGCACAAGTTTGACCTTGTTCATGTGCTTCTGCCAGTCGCGCACAAATTCATTGTACAGGCTGATGCGGTATGGCGCGGCCTCAGGGATGTTGATAAACTTTTCCACCTGGTTTGTCAGTTGGTGCCAAATCCTAGTTTTTTAAAGTGGATTTGTAAAAATAAAAAAGATTTAGTTGGTTGGAAAGAACAAGGGTGGTAATGGCTTTGTATTTAAAAACAGAAAAATCCAATACTTACTTGCGCTCGTACAGGTCCTCAAACTCGCTAAAGTATGAAGAAAGCTGGCTGGGAGCCTCCCGCTGCTGCTTCTGCAGGTAGGTGTATACTGAATTGTCAACGTCCATTTGTGAATTTGGTATGTAGCAAAAAGAGAGTGAGGAGCGATTTGAAAATAAAGAAAAAAGAAGAGAAAAGTGGGTGTAGGAGGAGAAAAGGGGGGAGGAGAGAGAGGGTTGGGATTCAAATTGTTGCGCATCCCAGCCCAGCCATTTTGCACACGCAAGCTTGCTTGTATAGGGGGTTGATGTAGAAAATTGGGCTGCATCATCATGTCCCTTTGACTCAAAGGGACGTATGAAAAAATTAAATCAAGATTATTGACTGTTCAATTCTGGCTTGCATTTTTCTCTTTGGGATTCCAATTTTTATTTATATTTTGCAATTTCCACTTTCACCCTCAAATAAAAATTCAAAAAACCCACACGCAATGGACAACAGCAACAGCAGCGACACTAACACGAGGCTGTTGAAGCCACCCACGGGTTCTTCCAGTTCGCCGACTACTCTGACAGCGACGGCGGACTTTTTGGCAAAACACGCGACCGGCGAGTCACCTTCGACAGCAGCCAGATCAACTACCACCCAAAGATCGACGAAGATAACTGGTTCGACAAAACGCCCACACAAATCACGCAGTGGATATCCGCGCACGGCGGCCTGGACGAAGTAACATTCACAGCGCAGCGGCTCTATTTCACAAAACAGTACGCGCGCGCTGCTGATTTATGCCAGCAGGCGACTTTGGCGTTTGTAGCGAGGTTTGAGAGGAATTTGCGCGTGGCGACGATTCGCGAGCTGCTGGAGATCGGCGGGCTGGCGGCCGTGAGGGAGAGAGACTGTCAAAGGGTCGGGTTTTTCCTCGAATGGTATGAGCGGTGTGGTGGGATGAACCCGGGGTATAATCGGTTTCTGATGGAGTTACTCGGGTGTTTGGGCAGGTGGGAGGATGTGCTGACGCAGTGCGTCTTGTACTTGGAGCAGCGCAAGCAGGACGCCAAGATATGGGAGACTATTGGCCGGGCGCTCATCAATGTATCGAAGGACAAAAACCGCAATGGAGGGAAGCAGCAGCAGCAGCTGGTGCGTTTGGCATTGGGCTCTTTTACAAGTCGCATCTGGTTATGCGCGAGTGCAAGAACTGGAAGACGATGGACGAGGCTCTGCGGCAACGCCGTATTCAAGAAGACGAGCTGCGCGAGGGCGCTGTGCAGGCATTGCGAGTGCTTGGGCGGGAGGCTGAGTGCGCGGCTGCCAGTGGTGATAGGGATGAACGAGAGGGTGAGGTGAGGGTGAGCTGGATGGTGAGGTGTTGTGGGGCATGTGCAGGGAGATGGGCGCACAGGCAGAGCTGGCGCTTGCTGGTGGGTGCTCGGGGTCGCTGGACAGGTCGCTGGAGTGGATCTTGGCGCATATGAAGCCGAGCGCTGGCGCTGGCGCGGATGCGGATGCAGGTGCTGACGCGGACGGGTCTGATGAGGACAACGATGTTGAGGAGCTTTAGCACGAAAAATCTTGTTTTATATTTGCCAATTGAAGTAATACACATGCGTGAACTGTTTGGGTTAACCCAGGAGTGGTCCGAAATGAAAGCGGTCCACCCACGCACATGATGCCAACCCATTCAACCAACGATGGGCTATTTTTCGATCCGTATAAACTGAAAATTAAACAGAAGTATATATTTTCTTATTTAAACCCGTTTTTAGTACGTTTTATTATAAATACTTTTTATTATTTATTTTTCATGCTGAGGATATTCTCGGCACTCTTTAAACGGCGACTCACCCAACCAGCACGAATCATGAACCACGCAGCATCTGAGCCCAAGGCCGATCAGCCCGAGCACATCAACATCAGCGATCCGACCGACGAGCCATCAGCTAAGCGCATCAAGGAGGATGGCATCAGCACCGGGCCCACTGCGAGCAGTCTCCAGCAACCGCAGCCGCAACTGCGACACCGGCGACTTCCTGAGGGAAACCGACGTCGGCATAACCGAGTTCATAACCCCCGGCTGGGCGGGCTTTGACGGGATAATCAAGCACCGATTCTCGGACTTTTTTGTCAACGAAATCGACCCACAGGGAAAGTGATCCACCTAACCTCCTACACGGACGCCAATGACCCAACTCCCGAACCCACCGCGGAGGAAAAAGCCATCGAAGCCATGCAAGTGCCAGAGGACGCCCAGGAGGCATTTGACCAAGCGTTCCCGCGACTGGCCGAGATCATTGGGGAGACGGACGCGCAGGCGATTCGCACCCACCTGGAAGCCAACCCGGAGGGTCGCACGCTCGAGGAGCGCACGCTGAAGCTGGATCGTGATCTGGAAAAAGCGCAGCGCGCCGGAGTGTACCTTGTAACCAAGAACTTCTTAGCCACGCAGTTGACCGTCGAGACAGTCGACGGGCGGCTGCTCTTTATCCAGCGAGTTTCGGGCCCAGAAGGCGGGCGGAAGGAGTGGAAGAAGGCGCAGCGGGCGCAGCGGCCGCGCGGCTGGGGTGCGCAATGGAAGCATGTGGGGGACCACTGCTATTTTGTCTTGCAGAAGGAAAACGCTGACACTATGGATGTACTGAGCCAAATTGCCCGGCAGCTGCACGTCAGCCCGCGGTCTTTCGGGATGGCTGGGACCAAAGACAAGCGCGGAATCACCGTGCAGCGCTGCTCGGCGTTCAAGGTCGAACACACCCGGTTGATCTGGGCCTCCAAGAAACTGCGCGGCGCGCGCTTGGGGAACTTCAGCTATGCGCAGGCGGAGCTCAAGCTGGGCGACCTCAAGGGCAACCGGTTCTGCATTGTCCTGCGGCATGTGCGCGGCGCCGACGAGCAGTCGCTGGCGCCGGTGCTGGAGGGGATCAGGCAAACGGGGTTTGTCAATTACTATGGGATGCAGCGTTTTGGTACGCAGAGCGTGGCATCGCATACGGTTGGACTGGCGATGCTGAAGAGCCAGTGGAAGCAGGCTGTTGAGCTTGTGTTGTGCCCGCGCGCTGGTGATGCTAAGGATATGGCTGGGGCGCGCGCGCTCTGGGCCGACGGCCAGATTTCCGAGGCTCTTGCAGCGTTGCCCAACAGGGGCGCACTGGCCGAGCGCAGCATCCTACAGGACCTTGTCCAGCAGCAGCAGAAGGCCGGTGTGAGTAATTGGGCGGCTGGGTTTGCGTGTATTCCGCGCAATCTGCGTCTGATGTACGTGCACGCGTACCAGTCATATGTGTGGAACACGGCGGCGAGCCGGCGACTGCAGCTGTACGGTGTTGCAGGGGCGGTTCCGGGCGACCTTGTGGTGGAGGCCGGCGATCTGGCGCCGGACGCAGGACGGGTGCAACCGGTGGTGGTGACAGCAGAGACAGCACACCAGTACTCGATCTACGACGTCGTCCTGCCGCTGCCCGGCTGGGACGTTCGGTACCCGGAGAACCAGGTGGCGGCAGTGTACAATGACATTATGGGCAAGGACGGAATGTCCCCTGAGCGCATGGCGGAGCACCCGATGAAGGAATACAGGCTGGCTGGGGCTTACCGCCATGTGGTTATTCGGCCTAGGGACTTTAGCCACCAGTGGATGCGCTATCGCGACGATAAGCTGCCCCTGGCGAGATCCGATTCGGACCGCATTGAGGGAAAGCATGAGCCTGAGTCGATTGAGTTTGGCGAGCTGGTGGCGCTAAAACTTGAGTTTGATTTGCCCTCTAGCGCCTATGCCACAATGCTACTGCGTGAGCTGATGCGCCAGGAGACTGCCGCCGGGCATCAGACGACGCTGAGCAATGGGACAAACGAGAACGAATAAATAAAAAAAAACAAGGTGTTTTTCTTCTTTTTTGTTATGTATATTTTTGAATTGGTTAAAAAACTTTCTATATAATATATACATGCTTAATATTACTAATGCAATGAGGCAGCGGCGGCAGCAGCGGCAGCAGAGGCCGGCCAATGAGTCCATGGCGGAGGAAAAGGCGTTCGTGATGTCGGAGCCGCCCACATCGAGCTACGACCTGCAGCAATGGGCCGAAAAGGAGGAGGAAAAGGAAGAGGGTGAGGGCAACGAGGAAGAACACAAAGTACGGAAAAGCGCCAACATAGCATTGGCGCCCGTAGCAGCAGCAGCAGCAGCAGCATGCGACGACACAGACACGCTGCTCAAGCGAGTGTCCTCGATGCCGGGCAACCTGTCACTGTTCCGCGCACACCTAACAAACCCATTGCAGCGGCCAGAGTTTCGCGCAGCGCCGCCATATACCCGGCGGCAGGCGGCGCAGCTTCCAGCTAACGAGCCCGACTCAACGCCGGTCTATGGCGCCGTGCTGCTGGGCGTCACCAGCGTAATGTTCGTTCTGCTTATGTATGCGCTGGTGGTGGCCAAATTCATGCCCAAGACTGGGTTTTGGCTGCTGGACGCGGTGAAAAAAGATGATTACTTTTGCTTGCTCGTGCCGATCACTGGGCTGTCGTTTACATTTGCAGTGTTTTGGAACTGGCTTGGGATGAAGTTCTTTCGGCACAATTAAACAGGGGAAATAGCGATAGGCTTTTTCGCAGGCTTTGGGGCAGGGGGTTGGATCAAGAAGTGGTGGTTGGGTTGATTTTATCTGCTGCTTTGGGTGTGTGGATTGAGTGAACTGGACCGGGGGATCAAGAGCGGGAGGAGAGAGATAACCGACTTTTTCTATTAATTAATTTTTTGTTTGCATTGGCATTCGATTTCTTTCTCATTCTCATTCTCATTCTATTTTTTCTTTTAATTGATTATTCGTTTATTTGTTTATCTATTTATTTATAAGCACAGCACATCAAAATGAAGCTCCTCTTTACCAAGGCCAACACAGCGACACCAGGCGGTGGCCGGCTGCTGCTGCTGCAAACCCTCCGCACAAGCACAAGCACAAGCACAAGCACAAGCGCAGGCACAAGCGCAAGCACACCGGCGCGACCCCAGGCTCAGGTTCAGCTTCAGCCCTTGCGGGCGCCCTCCTCGCCACCACCCACGACCTTTGAGCTTCTCGCGCGGCTGGACCGCAGCGTCCACTGCCAGAACATCCAAGAGACCTGGTACTGGTACCGGCGGCTCCTCAACCGACGCAAACGCGAGCCCACGTTCCCGCCCATCAGAAGCACCAGCAGCGGCGGGATCGTCCCGCGCGCACAGGCCAACAGCACGCAGCCCGTGGATATCCACAGCAAAGTGCTCTCGATCCTCAGCACGCGGAAAATGCACGGGTACACGGAGCGGCACCTGACGGAACTAACAGAAATGATCAAAGCCGTTCTGGGCCACCTGGCGGCCGAGCACCGGCAGCTAACGCCGAACCAGCTCACCCAGCTTCTGGGAGTTTTTGCCACTGCTAAGCGCGGTGAGGCTGCGGATCACCTGTGGCAGTATGCGGCATTGAGCGGGATGGCGCGGGATATCGCCTGTTATAACGCGTATGTCAATGCGAAGATTGAGGCGGGGCAGTATGAGCGGGCATTTGAGGTGCTAAGGGAGGTACGCGAGGGCCACGGTGGCGTCCAGCCCAACACTTATACGCGCACCTGCCTGATCCGCCTTTATGGGCTGACGGGTGATCTGGCAGCGGCCCAGCGCACCTTTGCCTTTGTCCTCGGACAGTCCACCGGCCCAGCAGCAGCAGCAGCCAACGGGGCAGACTACGTGGCGGCGGTGGATGATCGCGGGATGTGCGCGGCCAACACGCACGTGTACACGGCGATGCTGCACGTGCTGGGGATGAACGGGCAGCTGGCGGAAATGCAGCGGCTGTTCCTGCAGATGACCGGGCTGCCCGAGACGCAGAACCTCGGCGAGCTCACCCGCCGCACGGCTGGGCTGGCGCAGCGCACGCAGGGCTCGCTGTGGCCGCGGCGCCAGACGTTGCATGCGCTGGTGCAGTGGCACGCGCGGTACTGGGATCTGCGTGGGGCGCTGCAGTGGGTTGCGGTGATGCACGAGGTGTTCGGAATCAGGCCGGTGCCGAAGACATTCAAGCTGGTGCTGACGCCCGAGAACTGCCTGAGGGACCTCGAGACGTGCGCCGAGGTGGTGCTGGAGATGGAGCACAGGTGGGGCGTGAGGCCGCCAAGGTCCGTGGTGGAGGCCGTGGAGAGGGCCGCAGGGAAGGTCGAGGAGATGAAGGAGATGATCCGGTCGGCAGAGGCGCAGAGCTCGACGCTGTTCCCCGGATCCGCTGTCTGATCTAGCCGATCTAGCCGATCTAGCCGATTTAGCCGATCTAGCTGATCTAGCTGATCTAGCTGGTCTATCTGGTCTATCTGGTCTATATGCGAATTTGACCAGGCGCCTTCAATGTGAAGTGGACTTTCTTTAGGAGACTTTTGACTTCTGGTGGATTGTTATTTTGGCTTGCGAAAGAATGCCTGCTGTTTAGATTTGATTTCCCCCTCCTCCTTTATTTCCTGTTACTCTTTGTATGCATTCTTTTAGGGGGGAATGGAGCGCATGGGCTCACTTGTCTGCAAGGCTGCATGTATCTCCGCTCTCTCCCTCTCTCTTTTGGCTTGAATCTCTTTTAAACACGTTAATTCAATACACTTCTACCTGTTTCACAAATGCTGGTGCTTCCGCGGCGTTACGTCCGCGGCATGCTGCCTCTCAGCGGGCTCTCGCTCCTTCTGCTTATCCTATACTCCAACCAAGCGGTCCTGCCTTTCAATAAGCCGGCGTGGATGCCGCTTTTCGGCGAGCCGACACCGCCGACGTCGCGCGACCTGCCTCGCCATCACGCACCATTGCCGCGCAATCTCACCCTGCACCTGGTGGCGCACAGCCACTCGGACATTGGGTGGAACTTCAGTTTCCAGGAGTACTACGACCGGTCGGTGCACAGCGTTATGCGCCAGGTGGTTGTGCAGTTGTGGAAGAACGCGCGGCGGCGCTTCACGTGGGGCGACCTGGCGTTCCTCGACCTGTGGATGGACCACGAGGGCGACCAGCCCAACAACGTTCTGCGCGGGCCGGCTGCCCGCTTGACTTGGCGGCAGCTGGTGCGGCGGCTGATAGAGCTGGGCCGGCTGGACGTCGTCGGCGGCACGTATGTCAGCCCGGACGAGGGCCTGGTGTCGTGGTGGGCGAACACAGCCATCGTCGACATCGGCCACCGCACCCTCGCAAAGCACTTCAACGCAACAACGGGCGTGGGCTGGCAAGTGGACAACTTTGGCCACTTTGGGGCCACCCCGCATTTGCTGGCAAGCTCCGGGTACTCCCGAATGGTCCTCGGCCGCATGGCATTCCGCGACCTCTACGAGTTCCGATCACGAGCGCAGCTGCAGTTCCTGTGGCAGTCCGCTGCTGCTGGGCACCAGAAGGCCCGGCTGCTGACGCATTTCCTCTCGACACACTATGGGTATTTCAGCAAGGCGTTCTACTTTGACCGCACGGACAAATGCGACGCCGATGCGCTGCGGCAGGAGCTTGTGCGGTATGGGCGGCGCCAGGTTGCGCAGTACCCGGGGCATGGCCATGTGATGGTGATGATGGGCGATGACTTTGCGTATGTGCACGCTGCGCGGTCGTTTGCGTGCCTGGACCGGCTCGTGGGCGATGACGCGGCAATGGGCGTGAGTGTCCGGTACTCGACGCCGTCCGAGTACTTCGACGCCGTGCAGCCGTTCCTCAGGGCGATGGATGCAAGAGCCGGCGGGGGCAAGGGCGGGCTGCGGCTGCACTCCGGCGACTTTTACCCGTACCAGGACCGGCCCTACGAGCAGTACTGGAGCGGCATCCTGGCCACGCGCCCGTACCTCAAGTGGCTCGTCCGCCACACCGAGCACGCAGTGCAGCATGCCGAGCAGCTGCTGGCCGCCTGGAATTTCAACCATCCGCCGGGTGGCCTGGCTGGTGGGCTTGAGGACCACTTGGAGTTTGCGCGCAAGCAGGTGGCCATCGGCTACCACCACGACGCCATCACCGGCACTTGCACCGAGCAGACCTTCCACGACTACGCACGCCGCCTACGCGCCGCCTCGCGCATCGCCCTGCGGCTCTCCCACCACCTGCTCAGCCACGGCGCAGCCAACGAAACCCTCGTCCACAAGCAGCTTCTCAGCGACCGCACAGCCGAGGACAGCGGGGTTTCCCGTGCTGGCTGGGGCGCGTACAGCACAGCGGCGCAGCCCGAGGACGAGCAGCGGATTGGCGCCCTCGACGGCGTGCACATCCATCCGCGCGACCATTTGGAGGTGCCCCCGGAGCTGTGCTCCTCCTCTCCCCCCTCTGGGCTGCAGCAGGCGTGTGTGGGCGCGCGAATTGTTGTGTCCAACGCCGGGCTGTTGTCTGCTCAGGACCAGGTTGTGCGCATGCGCCTGCATACCCTGGACGCTGCCCTGGTGGACACCGAGTCCGGACAAAGGCTTGTGCCTGCTGACGTTGATGTGGTTGAGGATGGGCAGGGGTTTAGTGTGGCGTTTTTGGCGCGTCAGTTGCCGCCGCTTGGATCCCGCGCCTACCACCTTGTCGGCACCGCCGCCGATAGCTCTGCTGCCGGTAGCCCTGCTGCCGGTAGCCCTGCTGCCGATAGCTCTGCTGCTGCCGGCAATTCCAACGATACGCTGCGCAGTTGCCTGCGGCCCCCCACCGCCAATGCTGCTGCCGGTGGAGTCTCGGGTGTGTTGCTGCAAAAGAACGGCACCCGCGTGCACCTCTCAATCATCAGCAACCGCGTACGCATTGCCGTCCGCCATCAGAGCGGCGTGGAGCGCGTGGTTTGGCATGAGTTGCGCCAGTACTTTGCCAACCCGCAGGTGCAGGCATCTGGCGCCTACATTATGCACTCATTCATGCTGATGTACGGCATTGTCTTTTATGTGTTTGCCTGTGCGCTGTGCGCTGGGCTTGGCTGCGCCCAGGCTGCTCGGAAGTATCCAAAGCTTGCGTGGCTGCAGGGTCCGGACGTGGCAGGTGCGCTGCGGCGGGGCTGCCGGGGTGGGGAGCGAGCGGGTAAGGGGTGTTGGTTGGAGCTGGACAGACTGGGCGCAGGGCCGGGGCTGAGGGGCGACTCGGAGGACAGCGGTCGCTCGCTGGTTGGCGTTGCTGAGGAGGAGGAGGAAAAGGCAAAAGAGAGGCCTCGCGACCGTAGCAGCAGCATTGGCAGCAACGGGATCAGCGCTCTTGCCCTGGGGCTTGCGACCGGGCTCCTGTTTACCTACGCGGTGGCACAAAAGGCCAGCATCGACCTGCTAACAGAATGGACCACAGGGGCGCCTAGCCTCGTTTGGCTGGCAATCCCGGCCTTCCTCTACGCACACACGCTCTCTAGCGCGTTGCGGTGGCCCCCAGGCACCGCCTCCTTGTTCATCGCCGCCGCCGCATTGGCCACCGCCCTGGCGCTCTTCCGCTTCCCCACGTGGCAGTCGCGGCCGCTGCACCGCGCAGCCGACCCACCGATGCGCTTTACTGTGGACCACGGCGTGCTCTGCGACACCGCGCGCGTGGCCATTGGGCCCATCGGGACCATCGGCACCGTTGCGTATGCTTTGTGCATGGACCACGCGCCGCTGCTGCGCGTCACCGCCCTGGTGTCTGCTGGGCGCAACCGCGAGCTCGTCGGCCAGTTCCGCCTCGAAACTACGCCTACCAGCCTCGGCAGCGCCCTGGGCAACGTCCTGGCCAGCGGGTGTCGCTTCAGTATTTTTGACGGTATTGCTGTGACCCACCGCCAGTACAGTCGGTGGACGCCGGTGCCCGGAAACTACTACCCGGTGGTGTCGCACGTGGCGCTGCGGGACATGCCGCTGACCCTGCATGCGCGCCAGCCAATGGGGGTTACGTGCGTTGCCCCAAACACTCTGGAGCTCATGATGCACCGGAGCATGGAGGGGAACGACTTTCGTGGCTTGGTCCGGCCCTTGGTCGACGATGTGCCGGTGGCCGTGACACATTTTGTTGATTTTGGGGCTGATCCCACCGAGGTGCTGCCGAGAAATGAGCGGATCAACTCGCCGCCGCTGGCCTTTGTTATGCCAATGGGGGCGGCGGTGGATTCCTCAGAGCCTGCATCTTCTGATTTATCAGCGACAACATCCCCCTCTTCCTTCTCGTCCTCGGGGCTGTTGCGGCATTTGCGCTTTGTTGGCGCATACGCTGTCGATTCGCAGTCCGACAATATTGCCCCAGGGCTTTCCGGCAATACAGCCACCCTGCTACCACCACTGCAGGGTGTGGCTATGTACGTGCGCATCCAGGCTTTGCCTTCGGCACCGCCCGGTGGGGTCGCCGTTCTCGCTGTGGATTTGCTCCGTGAGCTTGGTTTGCTGGGAAACTCTGACGCTAAGTATTTGTCCACGTATGTGGTTGTTGGCGGTGATTGGTCGATTGCTCCATTGAGTACAAGGAAGAGAACGGAGACTAAGGTGAATCATGTTATGTTGATGCCTGGGGAACAGAAACTGTTCAAATTTACCAAAACTTTTATGTAATAAAAAATGTTCTATTTTGCTTATTGCTTGATGGTCTTTATCTAATTTGTTTATTGTGAGCAAGATCCACGATCTTCGACACGACCCAAATAAAAAATAACAACAGCAACAATATTAAAAAGAAGTTGATCCGCAGTGACGATTTTTAGTCCGATACCCAATCAATTTCAAGTGAATGGAATCATCAGAGTATAATTTTTTTAAAATAAACATAAACTAAATATTGGATCCGTAAACATATTACACGCATATCCCCCTTTTTTAAAATAGAAACCAATTATTCTCTTACAAGAATAAAATAAATAAAAACTTTTTACTCTCCACATGTGAATTTTCATGCATCAATTGGTTTATTCGCTTTTATAATATGCGGCGCACTGAAGAAGAAGAAAAAAGGGCGCACTGTGCAGACTGAACCTAAAAAAAACAAAAAACATGGAATTTTTAGAATATGCAGCCGCTATGTCATTTGCTGCAGCTTGTGCATTCTCTGCATTCTCTGCATTCTCTGCATTTTCTGCATTTTGGCAAAAATAAAAAACAATTACTTTTTTGCCCACACAAAAAACTCTGATGTTTCTATTCGTTAAGTGGCGGTCACTGAATTGAGAAGAAGCCAACTACAAGTCTGTGGTGTCCTTGCATAACCTTTTTACTGTCATTTCCCTGATGTGAATGGTATTCCTCACAGGTTTTATAAAGAGTGGAGAGACTGGGTTTTTCTTTTTTTAAATCTGCATTCAGCCAACGACTCAACCCCAAAAACTATGCATGAATTAAAGAAAAGCGGAATATAAAAAATAAATAAAAAATATTGGTCGTACAAGCTCAATGCTCCGCTCTGCACATCTTTTTTTTATTCTCCTTTGAAAGTTGGATTTTCCCCCCTTATTTAAAAACCTTCCCTCCCCTCCCCCAAAAACCCGTCCAATTCTTTTTTAGGAAAATCTAATAAAAAAAAGATATTTTTCTTCTTTTTTCAATCAACTATAACGCTATAACACTAACATTAATCCGAATATTTTCTTTTCAGCATCATCATTATCAAACAACAAAAACAACAAAAACAACAACAAAAAGGAAACAATATAAATATTATATCTTTTTTCTCTTTCCCCTTTTTCAACTTTCAATCGCTTCTTTTTTTTATCTATACATTCTTTCTATTTTCTCTCCCCTCTCCCTCCCTCCACCTCTCTTCCCTCTTTTTTATTCTTATTATTTCATTCCTTTTCTTTCACGCCCCCCTCTCCCCTTCTTCTTTTTTAGACATATCCTCCTCCATTTACGCATACCGTCACGCTACACTATAAATTAAACTTCATTCATTCATTCTACTTTTATACTCATACGCTCTTTTCTTCCATTTTTCTTCCTTTCTTTCAAAAAAACCCCCTCTCTCTATTTCTATCGCTTTACCTCTTTCCACACAAACATTCGAGTTCACAGACCAAAATTCAGGCAATGTTGGTTAACACTTCCGAACAACAGGCGCATCACCACGCGACAGCAAAATGCCTACGCGCCACAGCCTCAGAACCGCCACAGTTATCATCTAGACCGCCGCCACCAGCACACCTGTTCTGCTCCACAATGACAGTGATGATGATCAACAGCAGCATATTCACACGCTTCCTCCTGCCCACCCGGCTATTCGCATCCGCAATACTCCCACTGTCACTGTCGCCAGAATCCACAGCAACAACAACAGCAACAGCTTCATCCTTGACGTCCATCACTAAATATCTCTGGGCATCCCTGTGTTCTGCATGCAAATGGGCTTCGACAGCTGCCACAACCAGCCAGATCAACGACAGCAATAGCAGCAGCAGCAGCATACTCGGCAGTGAATTACACACTTCTCCACCAGAATACTCCTCCGACCTTAAATACGGCTTCCTACAGGGAACATTCGGGCTCCCCTATGGCGGGTACATAGTGAGGCCGGCTTACGGACTGCGCACAACACTAACATTGACGGACTCCGCCAGCATGTTCAGCGTCTTCGGCACTAAGCAGGAGATAATATCCTACCTGCGGTCCATGCAAACCATGGTGTTTACAAAAATGACTGCGCGCACATACACCAGCGACATTGTCGTCGAACTGTACCGCACAACTGAGCATAATCAAATGACCCTTTTGCGCAGACTGTTGGATTTCTCACCGCAGAGGCAGTTAGTTATACGGGCGGGGAGATCATTTACGCCGTCGGATTTTAAACCCTTGGTCAGAATCCAGGCACCGCAAGGCTTGAGACTGTGCGAGATTGCGGGAATTCTAGAGGATACCGCTGGGGGAGCGGCTGCGGCTGCGGTGGCTCCGTTGGGTGGGAAAAAATTTGCTGTTAATTTGACCAGGGATAAGGAGCTGAATATTAGAGTCATGGGAAGATTGCGATCTGCTTCTTCTTCTGTTGCGCTTCTGGGTGGTCGAGATGAAGGATCGCTTGCATGCTTTGATGCTTCTTCTTCTGACTGTGCTGCGCTTTTGCCGCCTTATGAAATATGCCTAAATGGATTACCACCTGCTTATTCTTTGTGAATAAAAAAATAGGATGTGTTGTGTTTTCTTGGTTTCTTTATTTGTCTTTACCTTTGTTTTATTTGTCTAATTTAACAAACAATTATATTATTGCTTTTTAATTACAAAAGAGTACTTTAAAAATGTTTGGTTTTTTTATATTTTTTTTACAGAATTACTTTTTCTTTGGTGGAGTATAGTTTACTATTTTTAATTCCGTATTGATAAAGTAATAAAACTTGCAATTCGGGTTAGTACTAAACTCAACCAGTTTTCTACTTTTTATCTGCTCTAGTTCCTCACGTTTCTTTTCAATACTTTTGAAATTTCCCGGTCTGATTTCAAAAGTATGTGTTAACGTTTTTATCTTTTCAGCTTTTTCATTTGCCGATATAATGCCCAACGACTTGATCCATTGGTCTGTAAGCTTGTCCACTTGTTTGAGCATCCATTCGATAGTATGCCTGCTGTTGTTGATAGTGTGAGTGACTTTGGGGAGTCCCTCGAATGAAATATTCAGTTTCATTGATGTACAGAATTAATTGATGCAAAAAAAGATGGAGGGGTTATTTTCTTGTTGGAACTATATTTTTTTTAATTCTTGTCCAATATATTCATTTCGCTCTCGTTTTTATACTAAAAAACAGAATTTTTTTTGCAGGTGCTATGCTTCTTGTTATTGTTGCGCAGACTGAAGATATGGAAGCAGATGTTGAGGTCGAGAACCGCGAAACAAGTTCCCACCTGCGCGCTGATCGATAGGACGCTAATTGGATAATGCAGGTGTAAATCAGGGAGGCATCACACTGATGCCCAAACATGCCCCCCATCCTGTAATGCACACGCATAAGCGTACACGCACGAAAACCACAACATCGACTTGCCAAGATACCGGTCTACTCGCAGAAGATCCAGTTCTCACCAACGGAGCGCACAATGGACAATGTGCACGACAAAGGCGACTGGGAACATATATAAGATGAGGCTGGCCCCTAGTAGTACTTTAGAAACATCAGTAATAAAACCTTTTATAAAATCACCCCTAACTTTTAACACTAGACAACTAGTGCTCCTCACACCCCCCTCTTACTATAACAAAATTTATTACTCGCTTACATACATAAAACAAAACAAAAACACAACAATGTCCGTCAGGTCAGACGTGACAATGCAGACTGCAATTCACCCCATACCTCCTGCCACTGCCCCTACTGCCCCTACTGCCCAGCTGACTACCACCTCCTCTGCCCAGACCCCAGCCAAGGCTGCCAAAGAGGAGCTGGACCTGCTCCGAGACTATGCCAAGCGGTTCAATGGCGAAGATATCGGAAATCCAACCAAGCAGTGGATTGCAGGGATCCAAGAGACAATCAACTTCATCTTTACCCGCACTCCTGCAGTAATGATTGTCACAGCACTCCAAAAGCTGCTTGACGGACAAGCTGCCAGACGCATGGGCACCCTAGACGTGAACACACCAGAAGAGTTCTTTGAGAAGCTCCTTGAATGCATCCCGCAAGCAGACTTTGTGGCCAAGGCACACAGCATCGCTGCTGGAGGCCCAGCCAAGGCCTTCAAGAACATCCCTGCAGTGGACAGGGTCAACTATGCGCGCAGGCTCTACAAGGCCATGGGTGGTGGCGACTATGCTGCAGTCACTATCTCACGCCTAGTACATGGCCTTGACACCCGCTCCTGGGCATGTACAGGAAGTGCGCCCAATGATGTCACTGCTGAGACCCTCCTGGACCGACTCAAGGCATTCGAGACAGTCCACAAGATAACCCTACTTTCATATGGCAACAATGACCCAAAAGCCTGAGCGGCTTGGGTATCAGTTACACTATTGGGACAATAAATATGTTTAACTCTACTCAGGCCGCCCTGTGCCATTTTACGAAAATACCCGGTTTCCGCGCACATAATAAGCCAGCAATGGCTGTAGCCGACAATGGCGCTGCTGTCAGCCTGGTCACCATGGCTGCTGCCAAGCGGTTGAAGCTGCGTATCCGCACCAACTCGAGGCCAGACCTGTTCCCCATCTGGTCAGACAAGGCATACCAGAGCATTGGGCGGGCCACCGTCTGCCTGCAGGTCGAGGGTGGCCCAAAGTTCTGGGACGATGCAGTCGTTGTCGACATGAAGGTGCCATGGGAGCTGCTGGTGTCAAACCATGCCCAAGAGGGCCTGGGCATCCGCCTCATGACCCCAGCAATGCGCCGACGCCTTAAGGGCACAGAACGCACCCCTGACCACCCAGACAAACTTCCCGATGGTCCCCGTGCTGTACGCGACTCGGATTATGACACTATGCCAGACCCCACAGTGGCACAAGACCCGCAGATGTTCCCACTAATGGACGGCCCGCCTGATGCGCCCCCGATCAAGGAACCAGTTGTCTCACGCCCAATGCGGGCACGACTAGGCCTACCAACTGGCTATTTTGTTGAAGCGCGCGATGCCGACTTCCACAAGTGGGATGCACTGTATCCAGCAGTGACGACGGAAAATGTTGCTAGCCGCACAACGGATCAGTGCACCACGGACGAGCTCCACAAATCCCTGCTAAAGACCCTTATGACTGCTGCTGGCGCCCTACGTGAGTACCCGAGTGGCTGCCCGCCGCCAGCAGCCTATGCGCCCATCCGACCCCCAATGCGCACAAACGCGTGCCCCCTGTACACCGTCCAACACACACTCAGCGAGCCTGCTCACAAGGCCCGAAACTCTTTCGTTGCCAACCGGCTCAAGTATGGAATAGACGGTCCATCGGTTGCATTCGCCCAGGTCCCTGTGTTCTCCAAAGTTAAGCCGAACTCGACGGACAGGCGTGTGCTGTTCGACGACTCAGCAAACAACTCGTTACATATGCTGAGCGTTGGAATGCAGCTGCCGACGCCAGTCGAGCGCATTATGTTCCTGCGTGATGCCAAGCTGATCTCGTCAGTTGACATGGCATCGTTCTTTACGCAGCTGCGCCTGGCAGAGGACGTCGCAGACTTCTGGACCTATGACGGGGGCAGCGCAGGCAAGGTACGCAACCTACGCATGGTGCAGGGAAACTCCGAATCCCCTGCCATTGCCCAGGCCTTCCTGACCCATGTTCTGTCCGGCGTGCCAGAGCTGCGGCCACGTCTGATGGTCTACATTGATAATGTTTACCTAAAGTCGACCACCGGCAATGAGACTGATCACATCCACGATATAGGGCTGTTTGCTCGGTGTCTGGCCCGTGCGAATGTCACGATTAACATGTCCAAATCACTGTGGTGCGCGACTACAGGCGTAGAGATCTTGGGGCGTCGGTGGTCCGCCGACCGGACATGGCAGGCCTTTGACCACCGAGTGGAAACAATGCGAGCACTGGAGATGCCGACGACGGTCGCAGGCATCCGGCGTCTGTGCGGCGGCATTAACGCAATTGCAGAGCATATGGAATGGATCCAGATCATCCTAGCTCCCTTCTACCAGATGGTGGGCAAGACGCGGTTGACGAAAGACGACATCAGATCACTACAGGAGCCCTGGCATGCGCTTAAGCAGGCACTGCTCGACGTTCGACACCTCTACATACCCCCGCCTGGAGCACCGCTGGTACTGCGCACTGATGCTGCGGGCGCCGGTGTGGGTGCCGTGCTACTGGCCCAGCGCTCTGACGACCCTGAGGACCTGGCGCCGGTATGCTACTTCTCACGGGCATTTGGAGGCATGCAAGGGAGGAAACACTCAACCTGGCGCGAGGCGTGCGCTGTGTACGAAGCTGTGAAGCACTTCTATGCGTACCTTGATGGGTGTGCAAACTTGAGGATCGAAACGGACTGCGGCACGGTGGTCTCGCTGTTCGCGCACAAGACCACCAACGACGCCGACCCCCTGGCGCAATTCAAGCTTGGCCTCAGCGAGCTTGGCATAAAGAAGCACATGATCGTCCACCGCCCTGGAGAACTGCAGCAGACCGCCGACTGGCTATCACGCGCAAAAGAGTTCCTGCGCCCGCAAAAGAAAAAGACACTGGGCAATGTAGATGATGATGAGGTAAACACCCTTGTCAACCCAGCGACCGAGACAGTTGGGGGCGAGTATGTCTACACAATTGGCGCCATGGATTTCGAGGGCGACCAATTCACACGCGAATCAAATGGCGAGAGGGTGGCCTATTGCATCGGGGCCTTTGCAGCAGTAACCCCAATCGTCTATGCCAATGGCGACGAGCCCGACGCACTTCCCAACGGCGGCACCATGAGGAACAACCCCATGACCGCCGCTGCCCCCATGCAAACTATAGCGGCCCGTACACGCTCAGCCAACCGAGCGCAGACCATCCAGCAGACCAAGCCCCAGCGCAAGGCAAGCAACCCCGTCCTCGGCCAGGCCACAATGCCGCAGACGGCCCATACAACGCCCCCTGTGAGCGGGGCTCGTAAGCGCGGCAGGCCACGGCGTGAGGGACAGACCATCACTGCATCAACTTCACCCACACCCCCAGCAGACCTGCCTCGCAAGCGTGGCCGTCCCAGGCGTAAGCCAGTGGAGGCGCCAGCAGCAGCTACGGTGACTCCAGACGTACCACAGGCCAAATCCCCGGCAGCAGAGCCCCCAGTGGCGACGCGGCGTGGGCGCGGTAGACCCAGACGCAGTGCACAGACAACAGACATGGCACCCGAGCAGGAGCCGGCATTGCCGGTGGCGCTCAACACACCCGTCCGGCACAAGCGCGGCAGACTGAGGCATGCCGTACAGGGGGCAACAGTTACCCCCACCCCTGCGCCCGAGCCGACCCCTATGCCTGCACCTGACCCAGCTACTACCCTGCCCGTGGCGCCGACACCGGCATCCATGAGCCAGCAGTTCGCAAGAATCGCGTCTGCGCTAGAGGACTTACCGAATGTCGCGGACTTTCTGCACTGCCAGGATGACGATGCTGAGATCCAGTCCTGGATCAAGCTGTGCAAACAACGCGAGGCACTCAACGGTCCGACAACTCCCGAATACAATGTCGTCAGCAAGAAGGCCTTGCGTGACGGGCGATTGTACGCCCTGGCCCCCAGTGACACGCCCGGGCCAGTAGGCATGTGGGTGCCCATACTGACGCGTGAGGCGGCGCGAGACTTTGTACGCAAGGCACACCAGGCCCTGGCACACGCTGGGTACAAGCGGACCCTCGACTTCGTGCGCGAGCTGATTACATGTCCGGGCCTGGGCACAGTGGTAGAAAGTCTGACAAAGTGCTGTCACACCTGCCAGATGACAGCGATCCAGAAAAAGTCACACACACCCAAGATCATGTCGTACATTGCAAAGCCGCTCGAACATGTCTACATCGACTTGCTACACATTGGGGACAGAGGAGAAGCACCTCAGGATGCGTTAGTAGCAGTTGACAGTGCGAGCGGGTTCATGCAGATCTATGCAGTGGACGACACAACAACAGCAACACTCACCGATGTCCTTGAGAGCGAGTGGTTTGGCACCTACGGAAAGCCAAAATATCTCACGTCGGACAACGGCCCGCAGCTCGTGTCCCATGACTTTGAGGACTTCCTGAGCAGGGAGGGCGTGACGCACATCACAACCGCCCAGTACCATGCTCAGTCTGACTTGGCTGAGGCCGCAGTCAAGAAATTCAAGCAGTCATTGCGATGCTGTTTCACCGATCAGCCGGACGAGGAGGGCTGGACGCAGCACATCCCGCGCATTGTAGCTGCACACGCCTGTACGCGCTCGGAGGCCATCGCCAACACCCCGGCGGCAGTTTTCTTCGGCGAGCCTGCGGTGCGTGTAGCGACAGCATACGCCCAGTTCCCTGAGGGTGAGAGCCCCCCAGTGAGGAGGAGATCACCGAGATGATACGTGAGCAAGCAGCTGAGCACCGCAAAATGGTCCGCCAGCGTGCCAACGCCAGGGACAACAGAGGCATCGACCCCATCTGGTTTGAGCCGGGTGAGTGGGTGACCTGCCGTGCACTCCCCAAGGCCAGCTCAGTGGCAGATCAGTTTGCACGCCGCCTGGGTCCGTTCCGAGTCGTGTCGCGGCACAAGACCTCCTACCACCTGGCCTATGCTGACGGCAAGCCCTTCCATCGCATTGTACCAGGCGACGCGATCACGCGGTACCACCATGGAGCCTCAGAACGGATCGCGGAGATCGCCCGCAGATCAGAGCCATCAGGCTCAGAGTGGACGGACTCAGAGTGGGCGACCAGCGAGTACGGGGACGGCGGCACGGGCCTCGGCGGGGGCAGCCCAGGGCCGTCGGCACCGCGCCCAAGAGCATACGCTCAAATGCCCGAAGCTAGGGCCCAAATGCTGATATCCCTCCCGTCGGACCCGGGCTACTCATGGCCGGAGACGCCGGCGGTTGGTTCCCCGCCCGAGTCACATGTACAGTTCATGGGCCAGGCCCACCCCAGGATATTCGCGCCCTGGCACCCAACCACACTCGAAGAGGAAGAGGAGGATGCCCCTCAAGTCGCTTTGGAGCCCGCACACATTAGGGTGGGACCATTCACACCACCCCCACAGTCGCCGGGCTCGCCGGACAGCATGGACAACAGCGAAGCAAGATCCTTCCTGACAGAGATCCGCCACCAGCCAGCAGGCAGACTAGAGGTCCCAACAGCCCAAGTGGTCGCTGAGGACGTATCCGAAATGGAGGATGATGGCGACGGCGACAGTACCGGGCCCTACGAGGGACTGCTTGCAAGAGCCGCTGAAGAGCCATATGTGGATGAGCATGACACTGAGAGTGAAGAAGAGGAAGAAGAAGAATACGTGAACGACAGCCGAGACGATAGTGAAGATGTGGCTGGCGGGGCTCTCGTTTCCGACGAGGACGGCAGCACAGCCCCAGAAGGCGAGGACGCTCAAGTCATGGGACACACGCGGGCCTACGATCAGGTGATTGTGACACGGCCCGCGGGTGCACTGCTGACCAGGAAACCGGCTCTGCCGACAGCTGAGATCGTGCCCGGCCGGCCGGTCAAGAGAAGTCGAGCGCTCACGGAGGCAGGCTCGGAGGGCGTGCAGCACCACCCGGATGGCCGGGAGGCACTGCCCATATATGACCAGTCACCCTCCCCCCGAGCCGAGCCAGGCGGCTAAGGTCCGACGTATTCCACGAGCAGAATGAGACCGCCGCTGGCGACACTGGTCTTGACGTTTTTGTTGCGCAGACTGAAGATATGGAAGCAGATGTTGAGGTCGAGAACCGCGAAACAAGTTCCCACCTGCGCGCTGATCGATAGGACGCTAATTGGATAATGCAGGTGTAAATCAGGGAGGCATCACACTGATGCCCAAACATGCCCCCCATCCTGTAATGCACACGCATAAGCGTACACGCACGAAAACCACAACATCGACTTGCCAAGATACCGGTCTACTCGCAGAAGATCCAGTTCTCACCAACGGAGCGCACAATGGACAATGTGCACGACAAAGGCGACTGGGAACATATATAAGATGAGGCTGGCCCCTAGTAGTACTTTAGAAACATCAGTAATAAAACCTTTTATAAAATCACCCCTAACTTTTAACACTAGACAACTAGTGCTCCTCACACCCCCCTCTTACTATAACATTATAATTTCTATTAGTGCTTTATTTTGTTCTTGCCATAGTAAATTGTGGAATAAATTGAAAATACTTCTTATTTCTTTGTGGCTGTAAATATTTTCTTTCAACCTATTTTCTTTTTTCTTTTCCTTTTCTTTAACTCGCTGCACAGCCCGAGGACATGGGAGTAGATGATGAGGTTGGGAATTGTGAAACAATTTTCTCTCTGTATCCCGACTGATATAGGGTACTAATTGGATTATGTAGGATCAAATCAGGTGCCAATATTGTCATCTGGATATGCTTCCTGTTTTATAGCGCACGCGCACGAGTGCGCATAACGTAAAGACCACAACATTGACATATCAGAGACTTGGGATACTTGCAGAAGAACCGGTTCTCGCCAACAGAGTGTACAACTGGCAAATTTCTCAACGAGGGCAACAAGACACATATATAAGACGAGGCTGGCACCGGTAGCACTTTTGTAGTGGTGTTAGAAAAGTAGTGTTTTTATAAATGGCGTTTTAATATTAATATTTCTATAATGCACCTTTACCCCCCTTCTCATAAAAAAATTAAATGCAACTCAATTGCAAATCCCCCTCTTTTACCCAGTTTTATGGAGTATTTTTGCTAATTGCCAAAAAAAAATTGCTTCTCGCAGGTGCAAAAAATACATATACGTGTGTGCGTATGTGCAATTCCATATATAAACTTATTTTAAGAAAAGCCGCCAATACTTGAAACCTTTTAATTCGGCATTTGTTATAATTCTAAGGACATACACACACATATATATATATATATTTAACATTAAAGGAATTCATCGTTATATAAGTTTATTAAGTATTTAAAGCTATAAAAATAAAAATATCATTATTAAACAATTAAACAATGAACGGATTTCTATATTATAAAACTCATACATTGTTATGATAAGCAAACTCCCCGCTTCAGTATATCGTTGGTTATAAGTATATGTCATAGGAAACTTGAAACAAATCTAAAATTGGTGATGATGTTGCACAGACCGAAGATATGGAAGTGGATGTTGAGGTCGAGAATCGCGAAACAGGTTTCCACCTGCGTACCGATTGATAGGAAGCTAATTGGATCATGCAGGCGTAAATTAGGGAAGCATTACATTGATGCCCAAACATGCTCCCCACTTTGCAATGCACACGCACGAAAACCACAATATTGACTTGCCAAGATACCGGTTTGCTCACAAAAGCTCCAGTTCTCATCAACGGAGCGCACAAATGACAATGTGCACAACAAAGGCGACGAGGCACATATATAAGATGAGGCCGGCCCTAGTAGTGTTTTAGAAACATTAGTAATAAAACCTTTTATAAAATCACCCCCACCTTTTAACACTAGACAACTAGTGCTCCTCCCACCCCCCTCTTACTATAACAGTAATAATATTAAATGTATATTTAACATACATACTGTAGTTTATAAATGCGTTTGCTTCTGTATCTCAATATTAATACAAATTAATTTGCGTACAAAAATAGTATATAATTGTAAAACTAAAATTGTAATAAAAATAATGACAGTACACGATACTTAGGATTTATACTTTTCTTTTATAAATATTATGATATAGTAGATTGGTAAATTTATAGCTAGATATATTTTAAAAAATGGGGATTCATATGTATTGGCAAACAAAATTCAAAATTCATCAATACATATTCTCGTACAATTTACTTAAAGCCAGCACATTTGTTTTCCCCCCGTGTAATGCTTCTCTATTTCAATTTATTTGCACTCTTATTATTTTTATATTTACAACGCTTGCCATTTTGTCCTACTCTACAAATTAATGTACTACTTTTAGCTCAGTAAAACGCTTGGTAACTTTGGCCGCCGGGTGAGTAGTTTTACTTTTTACCATTTGTCTAGCTTGTGGCATCTTCAAGCTAAGCTAGCATGTTCAACTCATAGCAAAATTAAATTTTTAGCTGTCAATTTGTGCGGCTCTTGGTATTGTAAATATATTGCACCAGCAAGTGGACGAAGAATACAAAATATAAAATATGTGCACATGTTTTATTTATTACACTTATTGTGATTCCAAACAATTTTTTGTTTTCTAATGAGCTGAGCAAATGGACAGATGGACAAATTAGCCAAATAAAAAATAAATTTTGCGTTTGTTGTGATTTGAGGGAAATATTAGTCACCTAATGTTACAAGTATACTTTTTATTATCAAGAGAATCAAAAGTAGAACTAGGGCCAGACTTGTCTTATATATGTATCTTTTTGCCTTTGTTTTGCACTTCTTCAGTTGTGCACTCCATTGGCGAGAACTGGTTCTTCTGCAAGCAGACCAATATATTGGCATGTCAATGTTATGATCTTCACGTAAGCGCGTTAATGGGTGTATATTGTAGAATGGGGAGCATATCCGTGTGCCATTATTATGTCCCCTGACTTGCTCCCACATGGTACCATCTGCACCCTATCAATCGGCATGCGGATAGAGGCTCAATTCACGATTCTCAACCTCGACATCCACTTCCATGTCCTCAGGCTGCCCAACAGCTGTAGCCATTGTTTTCTCTAATATATAGTTTATCGCATTTACTATTAAATATTTTATATTTCATGTGCACGTTTCAATTTAGCATTAATATTTGAATGCAAACAGTTCATGATTAATATGTAAAAAATATATTTCAAAATTAACTTCCCTAAAAATAAACAAATTAACTAGTTCGTCGCGTTTGGCTCGCTGCTCTCAGTTCCTGTCTTGTTCAATAATTCTCGGCAACACTCAGCAGCATCCTCCAACATGGCCAACAGCTCTTTGGCTATAGTTGGTGCCATGTCAGCACGCACCTTAAACGGATCGATCATAGGAGTGTTCATAGCTTCTTGCCATTCAACCAACAATGCAAATATGGATAACGAAGAAAGTGAACTGGGCGTGACTTTTGAGGCGGATGATTCACAGTTGCCATGGTTAAAAGGCTGTTTCATATTTGCACCCCTGCCATTCTCACTGCATCCCGCATTGTCGATTAGAATATTGCGCATCATGCTCAACAACCCTGCAAGAACATTGATACGATCCACCCTAATATCAAACTGGTTGAGGATAGATTTGAAACTGGAACTGCTGTCCAAATCGCCGCGCTTGTAGCTGGCAATGTCCTTCAATGTTGTGCCGTCAACCCAATACTTGATTTTAGCAGCTCGGCCATTTGCGCCTTTAAAGCCATATGTCTCAATCCAAATTAAGACATAAATCAGCGTCTCCCAGTCGTCGAGCTCGGTGCGCGGGAGCTGGCTTCTCTCTAAGGCATGGATGCACATAAACGGGAGAGTACCTGTGCGCTCATCATGTGGAGTATGAGGGCCCTTTGAAGAATTGACGCGTGATCAAAGTCGACCAGCATACCCTTGATGGTTCCATCATTCATGCGCTGGAACAGAATGTTTCCTGGCATAACATCGCGGTGCAGGATGTGGCAATGCTCGACAATAGCGCGGTGAGCACACATGGCGTCGGCAACGACAATGATGAGTTCTGGGACAGACTTGAGCATATTGAGCGGCTTTCCAATTGGCGACATGGCAACACGCCTGTGTACACGGAGTTGTGGCTTGTGCTCCTGCTCTTTTTTGTTGCCAACCACTAAATTGGCAAAAAGATCGCCAAGAATACTGAGGGTGTGTCCTCAGTAAATGTGTTGTCGCTGTCCGCTGAAGGCGCACTAGACCGCCACATTTGAGTTCTGGGTATGTGCCTGCAAGCTCCTGATAATGTTTCAGCGTTGGGTGATGTCGTGCAGATGAGCAACCTCATTGCGCGGATCCACACCTCCAACCCCCACAGACTCTAGCCATGCATCCTTAATTAGGGTGTTGCAATCCTCCATCTTGATGCAACTCCTTTCAGTCGGCTTAACCTCTGTTGCTATAAAGCACCGTGTGTGCCGCCAAACATCCGATCAGCAGTCAAAAGGATGGTGCTGCTGTAAAACACCTCCCCAGTAGACCCCAGTGAAACAGTGTCGATGCTGCTGCTGCTGCTGCTGTTATCTGTGTCGCCTATAAAACGCCAGGCACTGTTATCTCCCAGCAGCCAAGGTTATTTAAATACCTCACTGAGAATCATATCCGAGCTGATCCTCGCTGCAGAAAGACCAGTTGACGATCAACCCAATGAATGCACCATGGCCTGCCTCTGTGTGTGCATCCATTTCTGGAGATGTCACTACGAAATTTGGGCCGAAAAAATGAGCCTGCACAAAACTGCCACAAATTGTCAGCCCCCAAGCAAAACGACGATTGTGCTGGGTGCGAAAAAGGTTGCGGGTGTAGCGGAATAATTGCTGTACAGCATCAACCTTGTCGCCTTTCGTGCTCCCCGCTTCACTTCGATAACTAAGAATAGTTTTGAGTACCATATTACTATGGCCTCATCGAGAGTGGCAACCTTTTCCTTCTGCCAACTGAAAGTGCGGCCAACAGATGCACTGCCTATGCTCTTCGTCTCCAAGCCAATGTCGATCCTTTCGTCCGACTGTGAATCCTCGCACATTTTGTCTGTCGAGTGACAAGGCAAAATCTTTCTGAGTGGTACTGGCCGTGCCTTCTCCCCAAGAGAGCAGGTATCCAGTGCGTGGCTGACCAACCCGACAAACACAAAAAAGGCGATAATTGGTGGATAGAATTGTCTTTCGGTGGACAACCTATCTGCCGAGTTGTGTGTGCTGGTCCACAATGAGAACTCGTTGCTGGCCGAGCGCAGTTTGATGCAAGGTTTTTGATAGCTGTTTTCTTTGAGCGTGTCAGCGGCTGGAATGGACTGAGTCGGCCATGATAATCTGTTCAAGCATAGCTACATCATCAGGTGGTATGTGGTTGGAGCTGGACGCAAACATCTCGACGCCCTTGTGGATAACCTTTGAAACATTGGCCGCGCGCTCCCTGCGATCCGCAGCCTTGGGCTCAGCCAGCTCAAGCACGCCTGCTTGTGGTTTGCTAATGTAGTGTTCCCACTCGCGTGCGGCCTCGTCCTTTACCGAATCGCTATGCTCTTTGGGCGTTTGTATCCATGTGGAAATGTGCATGCAGAGGCAACACTGGGCTGTATCAGAGTATTTGTGCGTGCTCTGCCAGTGGGTGGGCTGCTCCCTCTGCTGAGTCTACATAACGCTCAACATTTTTATGTAATAATTTATAATTTTATTTGAGTGTAAATATAGAGTAATTAAATATTATAAAATAAACTTTCAAAATTATTATTATAGTATTATTGGTAAATACTTACATGGCGATGCAGGTTTTACACTTTTTTCTTTAGATGATCTCGCATCTCTTTGTGACACCAGTGCAAGTTGGTGGTGACGATTTGGGCGTCCTCGGAGGCCCAGTGGCCTTTCTCTTTCGTCTGGATTCAGGCATAACCAAAGGGGTGAAAAATGAAGTAGAGAACAAATAAAAATATGGCAATATAAAATATGAATAAACGGCTGAAGAAAATTAGCAAATTGAAAACTATAAGCTGTGAACAGCTTCTCTTCGTAGCAAAAATGCTAATGTATAGTGTTAGACATTGTTTACATTGTACTGTCATAAATAATAGACAAATTTACCAAGTTTCCGGATAAAAACAATGTGAATTATCGATATTCAAATTCAAATTTTGTCTGTCATTGGTAAGTCAGGAGAGCGTGGTTTCCAGACAAACATAAAGTAAAAAAAGCTGGATGCACAATGTGATATAGTATGCGAGCTTTATCCGCACTACTTGGTAAGTAATTTTACATTGACCGGGTTGGCAACATTATTTGGAACCCATTTCGAATCAGGGCATACCAATGTTATGTATGTGCAGTTGGTTATAACTAATTACAAATAATTAATATAACCGTTTCAACACCATTTTCAAGTAACCCTGAATATGAGATGTAATATTGTCTATGAAAGAATGACACAACATATCCATATGTAAACTAAATCTACCCACATCATGTGTTAAAAGCAATATAATGTCCGTATATTTGCGTATAATGTAGTGAAAATATTATTATCAAAAATCCCTAATTATGTAGCGCCTGGGTGTTTATGTACTGAGTAATTGAACTGTTGAATAGTGTAAAAATAAGGAGGGTTTGAGGGGGGAATGTCTGGTGTGGAACTGAAAAACAGCCCGTGTGGGTGGCGCTGTAAAGTATTTGTTGACATTTGATGTGAGCAAGCAATATCAGAAATGACACTGCGCCAGCGCTAACACTATTGCAGTGTTGTCACATGAAGACGGCAAGAGAAATCCAAATATGGCTTGGGCACCACAGTTACGTATCTAGTTATTCGAAACTTAAAACATGACAGATAACCACAAATTTCAACATTATTACAGTTGTGTTGTGCTTTGAGGGGAGAATTAGTCATTATTGTTAAAATTATGTTTAGGTTTTGTTATAGTTTTATAATCAAGGGAATCAAAAGTAGAACTAGGGCCGGCCTTGTCCTATATATGTATCTTGTTGCCTTTGTTATACACTTCTCCAATCGTGCACTCCATTGGCAAGAACTGGTTCTTCTGCGAGCAGATCAGTATATTGGCATGCCAATGTTGTGATCTTCACGTAAGCGCGTTAACGTATGTACATTTATAATGGGGAGCACATCCGTGTGCCATTATTATGTCCCCTGACTTGCCCCACATCGTACCATCTGCACCCTATCAATCGGCATGCGGAAAGACTCAATTCACGATTCTCAACCTGACATCCACTTCCATGTCCTCGGCTGTGAAACACATTGAACGGCAAATTAACACAAGGAATACTTTAAAAGCAGAGCAAATAAGAGTGCAATTCAAATAAATTTTTTTGCCAAGGTAGCCACTACAACAACAGCTGTAAATTTTAACATGAAGGCGTCATTTTCGGATGAGTAATTTAATTTAATTAATGGATAGGTTGGCAGAGGTTAACTATCAAGATAGTGGGGTTAAACAGCATTATCAACAGACCACTTGTTCAACGACGATTAACTAATCGCTCCACTATTAATAGTAAGTTTAGGGTCCTTTTCGGCCACCTGATCTATTATCTTATTCAAAAAAATTAAATATAAATTCCAACCGGATTTCTCTTTATCCCCTTTCAATCATCTGAATTTAGATATTATGAACCTATTTTAAAATTTTAGCGATCAATATTTAAAGTTTCAAATATGTTTTAATTTCTCAATCGTTTAACAAATGTAAAAATTTATCAGGCGTTATTTACCAACCATTTGACAAGCTGGTGCAGTTAGTTACCCAGATGCAAGCAGTTCCTCATATACCAAGCCAGTAGTGGTGAGCAGCCTGGTGCCCAGCCAGCGACGCAGTCAGGGATCCAACCTGGTGACCAGGAGGAAAATAAATCGGAGATGGTCGTCGACCAAACCAATGGAGGCGAGAGTGGGCCGACGATGGTAGCAAAGGTGACGATGGAGGCGCTGACCAAGAAGGTGGCGCAGCTGGACACCACAAGGGGGTTATTGTAACATCAATTAGGGCGTTATCACGTGATGACTGCGATTACTATTAATCGCTGTTATATTTACTGCTCACGGTTCTCGATTGATAATCAGAAAACTTTAAAGCTTTTTTGGATGACCTTGTGCATTTGAGCTGCACCTTATATATATAATATATATTTAATTATTAGACAGTGGTATTATTACAGCACCAATTTAAACAAAAAACCATGCCACCACACTATTGACTTTATTTTATTTTGCTTTGCTTTGCATCCAAATTCCAAGCAAATGAGAATTACCAATCATGTACATTTTTCCACAAAAATACAAATTTTTTATATTGCTATAAAATTCTATAAAAAATAAAAAAAGTTACATATTAGCCAAACAATGGAGTTGCGAAACCTGAAAATGCACCAACAACTGTATAGGTCTGCACACTCTATTCTTATCACACTCTCCGAGCTCCACAAACCTGTACCCCTCCTTCAGTGCATCGACAGAAATATAAGTCGACGCCAACTCTGTGTCATCTTCAAAAATAGTCATACGCATAAATGAAATATCAGGATCATTAATGACCCTGAAAGACTAGCGTTCCGCCACCGCACTTCCCCTCCGGAAACAATACCCTGTCCAGTAAGGCACCGGCTCTTCGTCGATGTTTGGTCAAAAGATACGGCATTCGCAAGTGGTGTCGGTGCGGCGCCAGTATTGGCCCAGTGACTGGTGTGCCCGCCATACTGCTCTGACCAGTCGAGCTGAAGAACGGAAACGACGTGGCAGTGGCACCAGTACCAGGCGGCTGTGCGTAGAAGATACCTGGCGAATTAGGCAATGTGTCGTAAAGAGAGTTAGCACGGGTGTGCGAAATTGGCGGCGGGTGTCCTATTGTGGACGAGCTTAGCGCGGTTATGTCCTCGACGGAGCTGCTGGACGAGGACGATCCGTTGAGACCACTCGGCTCCGGGATCCACTCGATTTCCACCCGGATCCTGCTGTTACTGCTGCTGTTACTGATACCACCGATGCCAATGCTGCTGTTGCTCGTTGTCTGCTGGCCTGCATAAGCCGCCGCCGAAGCCAAGGCCGCGGCGGCGGCAGCGGCAGCAGCTGCGTTCAAAGTCGAGTTTGTCGGCATTTGCATCATTGTCAGTGGCGGTGGCGTTGTCGGTAATCCACCATTCCCAGTATTGAGCGCACTGAATCCCAGAGTGTCGCTTGAGAACATAGCTACGCCTGAGGGTGGCCTTGACATACTTTGTATGCAGGCTGGGTATTAACAGCCATTGACTGCCGGCGGCTCGGACATCCGGGCAATGCGCCATGTGCCGAGATAATATTGATGTGCACGGTGGTGCGCCGCGCAAACGAGGGACTCGCCACCCGCCATTGCTGCTGATGCCAACTCCGCCTCCACTATTGTTCAAGGCGCGCACATGGGGTCTTATCGACGTGGGCGGCAGTGGGGTGAACGATAGAGAGGTGGAAAGGGGGTTTCAGACTCCGCAATGGTCTCCAGCCTCGCTCTCTCAGCCACCGTGGCCGTCATCAGGGAAGGGATACCCTCACGCAAATGCCTGGGCTTCAGCACATACCCCAGCCCACCAGTGCGGCGGAACATGGCCTCGTAGATCTGCATATGCCTGTCACAAGTCTGGAAATTCATCGCCACTAGCTGGCTGCCCGCCGCCCAATGCGAAATGGGATTATAGTTGGTCGACGTAAAGCGCGAGAAAGACGGGTACACGCGGGTCATCTGCATAGCATTGTAGTGTGTGTATTGCCGGGGATACTGCCGCATGAGCTGGATGGCCGCGGACTCGGATACAGAGGTCACTTGGTCGAACACAGGCTCCGGGCTGCCCTCCTCGAAGCCCTCGAAATGGACAGCCTTGCAGTACACTATGAGCTGCGACAGCTCCGGGGCCACCTTGCGCTTCAGCTGCGCGACCGATGAGCGCGGCGACACTGTCTTGGTGCTGCTCTGCGCGGCAGCAATGGTGGCTGAGGCAGGAGCAGCCGTCGTAGCAGCCGCCATCACTGCGGCAATGGGTTGGGAGCTGGCCAGAGATGGCGACCGGCTATTGGGCGACTCAAGCACCTTGTTCTTGATAATGATCCGGTACTTGAGCTGGTTAGGCGACGGCAAAACGCACTCGTTTTCGCCGTTAATCGGCGCTTGCACGAGCATCTCGCCGAGATGTTTTTTGAGTATCGTCGCCATACGGGCCTGCTGCGGCAGCGAGCAGTGGGTCTCGAGGGACAGGATGACTGGATATGGCGACACAGCAAAGGCGTAATGTGAGATCGCAATGACCACGTCCTCGAACAATATGCGTGTCGTCAGGGTGTGTCCGTGGCACACGACGGGTTCTCCGCCGCGGCCATCCCAGGAGTCCAGCTCGATGCATCTGCACCCGCGCAGTAACGCGTGCACGTATCCCTCGACGGTCGACTCGCCCACAAGCTGGTCGCTGGCCAGGTAGGTGTTGTGGGAGGTCGAGATGTAGTACTGGTTCAGCGGCAGATCCATGTCCATGCACTCCTTGTCCATGCACTCACTGTCCTCGGTCATCAAATTGCCGTCAACCGAGTTGTAGGCGGATAGCAGATAGGCCTCAAACTCGTATGCCGTCATGACCTCCTGATCGGAGCCCTGCGTAAACTCGCGAAACCTCTTGTGGACCCCGGCATCGGAGACCAGTTCCTTCTGCACGTCGCGCAAAAAGCGGCCGAATACAGCCTGCGTGATACCAAAGGGCTCGCTATCATCCAAACCCACCCCCATTCCCAGGTCCAAGTTCAAACGCATGGGCAAAGAATTCGACTGACGCACGCGGGGTTTGCCCGGACTCATCTTCAGCTCATCATACTCTCCATCAGCAGCACTGCTGCTGCTGCTGCTGCTGCCGCTTTCATCGCCGCCCGAGTGGATAAACAAGGGCTTCCGCTCGCAATCTGCTTTGGTTGCTGAAGACAGAATCGCTGGTAGCATGTTGACATATGACAGCGAGATGTCGTGGTACACAGTGTCAATGCTGGGGTGCGCGTGCTCCATGCGCAGCGTGTCTGCAACATCGAGCATAATGCCATCGCTGCATATCCGCTGCTGCTGCTGTTGCTGTTGTTGCTGCTGCTGCTGCCCTTGTTGCAAATTGCCGTCAGCGCGTCCCAGAGCCGTAGGCTGGATCAGCGAGGTCGACGAGGGGCTGCGAGACGTGGCGCCAGGGAACCACTTGCGTGCGGCGCCCTTGGCCTGCGGAGACGAGGACAAGGCCGAGACAGCTAACTCGTTAGCCAGGTCCAATGCTGACTGTGATCTCAGATTATCCGACATGCGTGATTCGATGAACTGCAGCGCTTCAGTTGCTGATTCACCCGAGGTATCGGACTCCCACCATCGTCGGTTGATCGTAATTAGGCGCCATCGCTGTGAATGCGCTAGGCTGGTGATGGGCTGGCGGTTGGATACGAGGTGGGTTAGGGTGTCGAGCCAGTCACGGAAGGAGTCGTCGGTCAGGGCGACCAGGCAGATGGTCTTGATGACTGTCTTTTGGTGGTAGACGATGGCGAACAGGCGCTGGGAGCCGTGTGGCAGGCAACTCTCGTCGCCAACCGCCCACAGTGCTTCGTCGCCAACCCGGATTTCAACGATGCGCTCGAGGTCAACTACAAATGGAACATAATTTTAATTTTTTAGTTTGGCTGTGTCTTGGAATGGAAATGCGCAATGAACCGGAGAAATAAACTAATTTTTATTATCCATCCATCGATGATGAAATTGTATTTGCGATATGAACACGATAGCGCACAAATAAGGGAAATAAAATGTTACAAATTGGGAAATTTGCGGGATACGAAAAAGGGAATTATAAAAGACAAACACCCCCACCCCTTTGTTTCAAGATGACCAAAAAAGAAAATATAGCTCGGTGCCATGAGCAACTCAACAGAAAAAAAGCAGCGCGGTGGAAAATGTACCAGTTGCATTGGCTCCAAAATGCAACAAATAATTATGATGATGTATCAGCAGCATGATACATGTGTGCACAAACACCAAATTGCGAGAGACATTATTTTATATAATAACGGAAATGTGTGGGAACAAATAATAAAAAAGTAGCGAAAAAAACCGAGATTTTATATTTTTGGACACTACTCTTGTGTCTTCACTTATGCCTGCGTATGCATGGGGTACAGCAATACAATCAAAACAGACGTGAAGCAAAAAGACAAGACAGAAAGTGAACGCGGCATTGGTTGAATCGTGGGACAGCCAATGCAAAAACGCATCCACAAAATGCAAGCAATCTCTCTCTTCAATAAAGGTAAATAAACGTGCAGTTTAATAATCATGCTGCATCGTCTATTCGGCGCCCAAAAGCAAAATACAAGTGTAGGTTTGAGCACGAGACTTTATATTTATGTATTTATTTTGACTGCGCATTTTTGTTGAAAAATTGGATTAAAAATGCTGGGAAAGCACAAAAGGCACGTGAGTGGTGGTGGGGGAGGAAGTTAATGGCATGAAGTTAATGGCATTTGGTATCATGTGTAAAAATAGCCCAGCAGCTATAGCGGCATGTGCAAACAAAACAAAACAAAACAAAACAAAACAACAAAAAAGACACAGTAATCGATGAGGAATGATAAGAAAAGATAGTAGCGCACCCACAATGAGGTGGGGGCGGAGGGGACACGATAGGACAACACAGGCATGGCGCAGAGGAGTGCGAGTGCGAGTGCGAGAATGACACGGAAAAGAGAACAATCCAGAAAACGGGTATGCGGCGGCAGGCAAATAAAAGAAAAATAGCAAGGATGTATGCTGCATGCGCCAAGGCGAGATGCATCGCATCGTGCAGAGTGTTATTAAAAAGAGAGGATTTCGGACAGCACAGACGGCAACCGCACCTGCACAACAAACAACCAGCCAGGGCAGGCTAGGGCACCACGGGTGGCAAAGCCGCCTCCCAAAAGCAACAATGCAACAGCAGAGCCACACACGCACAAGCCAAAAATAAAGAAAAAACAGAGCTGAACTTACTGTGTGCGAGCTTCTTCTTTTTACGCGAGTCCCACGTGACGCGTTGCTGAGCAACATCCAAGCGAAAGTTGCGCACATGCGCGCTCCTCGACGTCGTCTTCAGCAGCGAGCACCCCTTCGCCATATGCTCGGGAACCACCGGCAGCCCAAACCCGCCTCGCCCACCGCGCCAAGGCACAGCGCCGCCCTGCGCCCACACGACGGATAGGCCCTGGAGGCCGGCACCGAATCCGCATCAATGCCTGCGCTGGTTGGGCGCGGATCCAAGGGACAAACTGACGTTTGCTGCTGCGGTTGCTGCTGAGCTGAGCTGCTGCTGCCGCGGTACAGAGAGGACAGAAGGCGTGTGGATACCTTGCGGAAGCGAGGGAATACGGAGATGACGTTGCGGCGCGTACAGGATAGACAGGAGCTGGGGTCGTGGTCGGCCTCGGCCTCGGGCTCGGGCCCGGCCTTGCGCTGGACAAGCTGGTGCGCCATCGACAGCGGATCCGGCTGTGGATCGGTATTGTGGCTGTGTGTGCTGGTGCTGCTTTCGAAGCTGCTGCTGTGGCTGGAATGCCGTCTGATGTGATGGTGGTCCATTTTACCCTGTAATGTGGTGGCCATGGTGCCCTTTTTCCCCTATAGAGACAACGCTTTTGCTTGTTGGTGTTGTTTATATTTTGTGTGTTGTGTTGGTGCTGGTGCTGCGTTAAGTTCAGTTCAGTTCAGTTCGGTTCAGTTCAGCTAAGCTCAGCTCAGCTCAGGGGGGAATGGGTTTTGGTGCAGCAATAAAAAATAATAATAAGGAAACAATGAAAAATAGGAAAAGAAAATTGTGTTTGTGGCTATAAAAAGTGACTATTTATACAGAATTGACAAAACTCCCACGGACCAAAAAGACAAAAAGGATGAGAAGGAGAGAGGAGGGGGCAATAAAAAAGCACACCCAAATAGCAACACGCAGACGCAACAACACCTGCCGGAGAACAAAAACAATCACACTGACAAAATATTAACAAAAAAGTGAAGAAAAATATGTATTAAAGAGACAAGAGACAAGAAAAAAGCGATCAAGTTGGGGATTGTAATCTTTGCAGTTGATGTGTGACGATTATGCACAGGTGGAATGAACAGAATAGTGGGAAAAAGAATAATAAAAAGGTTGGAACAATGCAATAATGATGAATAACACGCAGACAAGAAGTACACAATGATTTCACTAAAGGCAAAATATGAATATAAATATGTAAAGTACAGGGGAAAAAGCTGCTATTTAAAAAAAACCCAAAGTTGGAAAGAAAGAAGAGTTGAGCTTCTTATTAGGAAATACAATAAAGGGCTCTGGCTGGGTGGATGGTTGGATGGGTGATTGGTTGCGCTGCTCTGCTCCGCTCTGCTCTGGTCTGCTCTGCTCTGCCCTGTGCTGGGCTTTACAAAGGTGTGTGATTGGACATTCGGGAAGAAAAAATCTTTCTCATCTAACAACCTCCCCCCTCCCCTCTTTTTTTTGTCCCTCTCCCTCTCCACAAATACCACTCCCCACCTCACCCCCTTCCCTTGTTCTTTTTCTTAAGAAAAAGGTTGCAATATATATGTATATATATATTATCATTATTTGGTTTTATTTTCTGGATTCCCGATTCAACAGGAAAATCCAAGGAAAGCAAAAAAATTAGAAAAACGGATAGGCGACCATTATACTTAAATTCATATTCACACATGTGTCGCTTGTATTCAGATTTGCATATACATATTCTTTTTTTTGGTTTTGGTTTTGGTTTTGAAAATCTCGATAACAATTTTTGTTTGTCAGATCCGATATTGTTACAAAGTCAATAAAAAATTTCTTCGGATTTCAGCGGCTTTCTAAAAGGCAATAGAAAACAAAAAAACATCAACGAATACAAGTATTATACTTGAAAGTCAGGGGAGGGGGGAATGGATGGGTGTGTGGGTAGGAGGTCATATCGAGTGACCAGTGCGTTTTTAAAAGCGTGGGACAATTGCAAAAAAAATATTATAACATTTTTTGACCCTATCAGAATGCCATTGATTTCTTACTATTTTTTTAAAGAGTGAATATTTATCGGAAGCAAAATTAATTTATATATATAAATTGTGTGGTTGCATTTAAGGAGTAAGCAGGTGACTCTAATAAAATTTTTTGATGTTTTTCGGTTTTGTTCACTATTTTTTGTTTCAGGGATCATTTTCATTTTCATTTTTTCAGCAGCTAGAAATTAAAGTAAAAAGGGAGAGGCGTTTTAAAGGGAGCAAAATAAAAAATTAAATCCAATGCAAGGCTTTATTATACAATGTTTTTTTCCATGTATATGGTTTATTTAAAGTGTTACAAAAAAATTTTACATTGTTGTTTCTCAGCCTTCTCCCTCGCCCTTCCATTTTTGTTGTCTCGTAAAAAAGTAAAACAAAAAAGATTGATTGCAAAGAGATAACAAATTGTAAACGCCTTTTCTTAGTTCTTTTTAATTTGCTATTTAAAAGAATAAATCGTGGCGAGAGGTTTTGTAGCTTTTAATTGATTACTTTTATTGTAGATTTTGTTGAGTTTGACAGTCACAAAATATAATTTTTGCTGTTCTCACGCAACAAGTGATCGAGTGTTAGTTGGAGGAGGGGTTTTTTTTGGTGGGAATAATGATAATCAGCCAAGATTAAATTATAATTTGCCAACACATAATACAAAAAAATAGAAAACAACCCACATCCACATCCGCATCCGCAGTCGTACTGTTCACAGAAGCGAGATAGAGATGAGAATCGAGACCCGCCGCACCTTTTAAAAATATCTCTTCTTGTTATTGATCTTATCTTGGGTTAGTTGATTTATTATATTTTTCTTGATAACATAAGCTGAGTTAGCGGATAGACGGTTCGATGGACACCTCGATGCACAAGCGATATGCCAGCGATGCAGAAAACAACAACAGCAGTAACTCTGCAAACGGCAAAACACACACACATCCTCAGCCGATACCGACGACGACGATGACGACCAGTTTGAGGACGTGAGCATTCCAATCGACGACCCATCCTCCGACAGCATGCCAGAGCTCGGCACCATTGAGCTCACATTCAGCAACACGGCAACAGATGAGCCCTTGGCTGCGCACAAGCGAGCGACGCTCAGCAAACAGGCGCGCATGCATCGGCGATGCCACCACAAAGCCGAGCTGCTCTGCCACCTGGCAGCGGCACGCTGGCACAGCTACCGCAGTGCCTCTGACGAATGGCGGGCGCTACAGCTCTCGCTGCTGCCGATGTCGCTAGTGGACCGCGTCTGGGCGCATCTTGCCATCGACGGCCGAGTGCGCCGCGAGTGGGTCGAGCGTGATCTGGCCGCGGCCATGCGGCTACTGCGTGGGCGGCATTGTAGGGATGGTGCAGCGAGCACAGCGGACACAGCGGGCGCCCTGGTGGCTGCTCTGGGCGCCCTGGGGTTCGACGCGCGCCTGTGCGTAGGCATCACGCCTGTGCCGCTGAAGATGACCGTGCGCGAGGGCGCAGCCATCGACGCAGCCCTCCGAGGCTCCAGCGCAGCAAGCTGTACGGCGCCAGTGCCCGGCCGATCGCCGCCCGTGGCGTACTGGGCTGAGGCGCACGATCCAGCGAGCCAGCGGTGGATCGCCCTGGCCGCGCCGCCGCGCCACGCCCAGCACCCATACATCCTCTCGCTTCCTCGCACTGCGTCTGCGACGTCACGCAGCGCTATGCCGCGGACTTCCACCACATGGCACTGCCGCTGCGGCTGGAGTCCCTCGTGCGGCCGCCGGACACTTGGTGGGCGCACGCGCTGCAGCCCTACGCCGACGAAGCCGCTGAGGCACCAGCATTGCCGCTGCCGCCGCCACCGCCGATGCCCCGGCGGCTGGCGGACTTTGCACGCAGCAGGCACTTTGTGCTGAGCGGCACCTAAGGCAGACCGAAGTGCTGCGGCCGCGGCTGCCCATCGTTGGGTACTTCCGCGGCACGCCGGTGTTTCTGCGCGAAAACGTGCGCGTTCTGCGCTCGCGCATGGCCTGGCACCGCCGCGGCCAGCAGGTGCACGGCGACCCGGCGCGCACCCTTGGCGGCTCTGGCTCTTCGGCGCCTGGCAGACTAGCGCTGTGCCGGTGCCGCCGGTGGTCAATGGCCAGGTGCCGCGGAACACGTTCGGGCGCCTAGACGTGTTTGTCCCTGGGATGGTGCCCCGAGGCGCCGTGCATGTGCGTGGCGAGGCGGCGCTGCGCGTGTGCCGCGTGCTGCAGGTCGACGCGGTGGTGGCGGTGGTTGGCTTTGCTTTTGGCCGCGGCCGCGTGGCGTCGCCGGTGATCGATGGCGTTGTGGTGGTCGAGCGCGATGCCGGCCTGGTGCGCGACGCTGTGCGCGACGACAAGCGCGCTGCGGAGATCCGCAAGGCTGAAGCGGCCGAGGCGGCCGCCGTGAAGCGCTGGGCCCGCCTGGTGCGCGCGCTGAGGGTGCGCGCCGACGTCGACGCGGCCTTTGCGAGGCGGCCGGCGGATGGGCTGACGTTTGCGCCCAGGGCCAGCGAAAACAGCCACGACAGCCACGACAGCCACGACAGCGAAGGCGGCACAAGTGACAGAGGCAGCGGCAATGAAGGTGACAAAAGTGCCCAACCTGACTCTGGCGGTGGGTTTCTCGTCTAAAAGCAACAGGCGTGTATTGATCATCAAACTCCAAAATAAAAAACAGACCCTACTTTTTCTTGCCGAGCGCTGCGTCCACATCCTGCTCGATTTCCCACACGTGGGCCTTGAGCTCGAGATGGTCGCGGGCCAAAACATCGTTCTGCTTGCGCCAGTCAGCCTTCAGCTGCGCAACCTGCTGCGTGGTGGCTCCGGTTTCGCGCAGTTTCTGCAGTTCACGCTCGACCGCTTCGATCTTCTTCACGTACTGCTTGACTTTCGCCGACGACTGCTCCAGCTCCTCCACGGAGCTCAGAACAAGCCCTGTGGCCTTCTGGTACTCCTCAATCAGATACACAAACCCGAACGCTCCGGCTGTCGTTACACCCAGCAAAAACCCAACAACACTACAATATACCAATAAAAAAGATTCGGGCATTTTTTAAATCCATATTTTTTGTCGTTTTATCTCATTCTTTTTATTTATCTGGTAGCTTACCCTCCGCGGAACCCTCCAATGGCGCGCTTCTTCTTGGGTGCAGATGCCAGAGGGCGGGCTGCAAGTGCTGAGGCTGCGGCCGATGCTGCTGCCTCGCCGACCTTAACCGTCGTCGATTCAAATCGCCGTCCCACCACGAGAGAATTGCTTGTCCGTGTGACCTGCTTGCTGACTATGCTAGAAACCCGAGAAAACATATTTATTTTAAAATAAAGAATGAGGAGTTTTAATGAAATTGAAGAAAAGGAAAATTGGTTTGGATTGAGCTGTCTATGAGCTAAAATAAGTGTATAAATGAGAGAGAAAATTGAATTTTTTTATAAAGATAACCGGCATAGCGATTAAAAAAATCGGACCATTTGTGCTTGGTTTTTCCCCTTTTTTTCTCGTGGCTTCAATCAATCGAATCAATGGGCATATAGATCTTTACGCTAAAAATTTTTGTTCCTTTTTTTTCTTCCTTTTATCCTACATCCAAAAAATAATAATACTTTTTAGCTCTTTTACATGTTTGCCCGTCGCCTGCTTCAGATCCAGATCCGGCTCAGGGTTCAGGCCCGGGTTCAGCTCCAGCCCCAGCCCCAGCCCCAGCTTCAGATCCAGCTCCGCCGCGGCCTCCTGACCAGCCCACCCCTCGTCCACCAGCCACCGTGCCCACACACGCAGCTCCGCCGACAGCTCCTGCACACTTTGCCCTCACAGCCAAAGGCCTCCTCGCCCTACCTCCACCCGGATCCATCCCCACGGCCACCACACCCGCTCACGCTCGACCATCCATACCCGACGCCGCCTCCGGCCGACAACTACCACACCCTATCCTTCTACAGCTTCTTCCCGATCCCTGCCACCGAAACCACAAAGCTGCGTGACGAGCTGCAAAAAGAATGGACCGGCAAGCTGCGCATTCTCGGCCGCATCTACGTATGCGAGCAAGGAATCAATGCGCAAATCAGCGTGCCGGTGGAAAATACCGCGGCATTGCGCCAGTGGCTGGAAAACCACCAACTGCTGTGCGGCCGCATTCCGAGATTCAACTGGGCTATTGAGCAACGCAGAGCGTTTAGTGCTTTGCACGTGCGCGTGCGCCCATTGGTCGCCACCGGGTGCCCAGTGACCCTGGATGAGCTAGGCCACGAGCCGGAATATCTGGACCCGGCGCAATGGGACCGCGAACTTCAACAGAACGAGGGCACGCAGCAGCAGCAGCCATTGCTTATTGATATGCGCAATTCGTACGAGTTTCGCATTGGTAAATTTACCGGCGCCATTTGCCCCGATGTCGACACATTCAGGGAGGAGATGGACGCTGTGCGCGAGATATGCACGGACAAGGAAAAACCCATTTACATGTACTGCACCGGCGGAATCCGCTGCTCTGTGGCCGGCGCCCTGCTCAAGGCTGAGGGATATAAGAGTGTCAAGACACTGCGTGGCGGCGTCATCGCCTACGGCCACCACGTGAGGCAGCCCGCTGAGCAGAGTAATGCAAAGCATTCGCTGTTCCGTGGCAAAAACTTTACATTCGATAAGCGCCTGGGCGAAGAAGTCACGGAGGAAGTCCTCGCGCACTGCGACCAATGTGGGTCGCCCTGCGATACATTCACAAACTGTGCCAATCGCTCCTGCAACTTGCTCTTCATCCAATGCCCGGCCTGCGCGCTTAAGCACCAGAACACCTGCGGCACATCCTTGTGTTTGGAGAGATCAAAGATGACCCACGAGGAGCTGATTAAAAATAGAATGCCGGCTATGTGGGATTATCATTTGCGCATAAGACCAAGAAAAGTTTTTAAAGATGGCATCGCTCAGCCGCTTACTCGTCCCCAGCTGGAACCTGTTCGTCCAGTACGCGAATCAGCCTGACTCTGATCTCCGACACGTCATCCCCACGCAGCACATCCCTGACAAACCACACCTCCACCTGCATCTGCATCATCTCCAGTGCGCCCCGAATAACCCCGCACAATACATTGCTGTACCACAGCCCGTCCTTTATTGCCCTCGGCGGCAGCTCACAGAAATCATTCAATGGGTTATCCTCTAGGATAAGCGAAAACTCTTTGGTGTCCGCGGACCACCCTGAAACCACTGGCGAGATGTTGAGGAACACGCGGAACCCGACTTTGGATATCACCTCGGCTGTCGTCTGTAGGTCGGCGCAGCGGTCGATGGAGGTGCGAGCAAGAATATCGTCGATGAGCCGGACTCCGATGTTGTACCCCATTTTGTCCAGCTGCTTGTTCACTGCTCCATAGTCCTCGTAGTCCTTGACTAGTTGCACAACGAGCGATCCGTACGTGAATATGAAGAGCTCGGCGTTGACCTTTTCCACGTTGCTCTTCCACGCTTCTTCGCCTATTGTCTTGTACTGTTTGGCCATTATTTATTTAATTTTTAATGGAGAAAAAAAGGAATTGCAATGAAAGTAAAGTAAACAATAGATAAATTGCTAGATTTATTTTGAATATTTATAGGTGTAATGTAGTTGATGTGGTGTATGGGTTTTTGCATATGATTCTCTGCAAATGCTATTCAAAAATTAATAATATGATTTTATTATGCAAATGTACTTGTTAAAATACCCAATATGTATTGCATTTACTTTAACATATATGTTATATTGTGAGAGGGGGGATAGAGGCATTACTGTAATGGTCTTAGAAAAGTAGGGGGTGATTTTATAATTGGTTTTTAATACTAATGTTTCTAAGTGTTACCAGCGCTGGCCTCGTCTTATATATGTCTCGTTGCCCTTGTTATACACTCCAGCAGTTGTGCACTCCGTTGGCAAAAAAAACTATTCTTCTGCAAGTAGCCTGGGTTTTTTAACATGTCAATGTTGTAGTATTCGCGTATCCACTTTCGTGCGCATGCGTTATAAAACAGGGTGCATTTCCAGATGTCAATATTGGCACCTAATTCGATCACCTATGATCTAGTCCATATTTGATCTATCAGCATGCAGATGGGAGGCTGTTTCACGATTCTCGACCTTAACATCCACTTCCATGTCCTCGGGCTGCGCAACGAAACCCATGCATTTATTAATCCTGCAAGTTGACAGTTTAAAATCCGAAACAACAAATCAACCAAGGGGTCCATTTAAAAATATTATATCGTATACAGAATAAAGGAAAATGATGAGCAAGCTATAGCTACATTAAAGGCTTATGAGCCAACCAACCCATACAAGTAATCTGATACTACTTTAAAGGACAGAAAGACATTTGTATGCTTCGAAGCAATAAGCCCGTGTGGTTTATTTTTTTAAAAAAAAATCATTTTTTACTTGGCACTATGTGAGTGAACATGTTTCCTCTAGTTCCTATTATTTTTTGTGCCCTTCTCTTCCATTGTCCATTTAAATTATTTAAAAAATTATTTACATCAAGCTACTTAGTTTAACACTTTTATTAAACCATGAGTAAGGCCAACGCTAGCCGTCTAACAGATATTATAATCCAGAGAATATCAGCTTACATTGCTGATTGCTTATCGGACGTGCTAGACTGGAAGGACTATCTGTCAATTCTGCTGTTTGCCACAGATGATGAGAGGTCGGGCAACCAGTCGCATACCGCACTGCGTACATTGAGTATACAGGATACCACCAGTGCACCTCCTGGGGGTCAGAAAGTCAGTGCATTACCAGGACTTGGCTCAGAAATATTCGATTGGCGTCAACGACTGATAATTTGAAGTACGCAAAAAGCTTACATGTTGGCTTGTACAAAAATACAGCAATACCCTGTTTTATTGCAAATAGCCAGGAACTAATGCAAATGTAAAAGCACGATTGGTCCAAAGTTACATATTTTTATTACAAAGGTATATCAGAAATAAATTGAATGATGTATCCAAAAAATTGAACACGTTATAAATCAAATTACGCAGTACGTGCCTCATGTTGCACATTTAAATATTGATTTACTTGACACAACTTCTAGAAAACCTAAAGTTCAAAAATGTTTGGTTGGTAAGTACGCACATTAACTACTAACACTAAGAAGCAACACTGTAGTCAAAGTTCCCAATTGCAAGTTCTCAGATAGACTGACAGTCCTGGATATCGAGCTACATCGCTCTGATATAAATTTGTACTCAGAAATAAACACTGAATGTCTGACAAAACTGTGCCTGTCCAATTTTTTTTTCCAATTTTACTTGGATACGTACCGACAGCCAAAATAAAACTCATCTTCCAGTGTCTCCCAGTTTGGTTAGCCTGGGGCTTCACTTTATTATTGACGATAGCGATGAAAGTATCACAAATGATAGCCATTCATTTTTTAAAAACAAAAGTCATTATTTACAATTTCCAAGGCTGGAAAATCTGGTTTTAAAAAACATAGTCGTCACCCTGGGTAATTTCCTTGAAGGCAATCTTTTAAATATGCTGCCAAATTCAAAAATCTGCAGTCTCTCCAAGACGTCAAATGGATAAATAAAAGCAATATTGAAAATACTTGGATGTACTTTAGCAAATCGCATGGCTCCAAGTGGACAATTAAAAGATTTGTTAATAATGACTTTCGCGATAGCGATTATATATATGAAACCAACATGGCTTTAAACAAAGAATTGTTGCATTATATGCGTAATACGTTTGCCGAAACACCATATAAAATTGATTGCACGAGCTTGTGCAAGCTTTATTTAAATTGAAACCTTCATGTTAGCGAGATAACTGAAATCCTTTATTGTTTACCAAATATTATGGAACTGAAAATCAGATTTAAGCCCCAGCCTCACAGAAATCCATATTTACTTTCCATATATGAATCATTGGAAAAACAGTGCCATTTCTTTGTACTAGACTCAAAGCGCTACAGATATCTAGATACAAGGGATTTGGAAAAAAGTATGTGGGAAGAGAGCTGAATATTTTGCTTGTGCAGATTTGCTCATTGAAAACTGTAATAAAACTTGTTTGTACTAAATATACATAATTCGAAAATTCACAATAGGGGAGCTTAAAGAGTTCCGCCTATCTATTCAAAGCTATCGACAGTGAAAATAGAAATCGCGATTGTCACATGGCATAGTAGTAATTGATGTCACAATCAGCTCGGATATGATTCTTCAGTGAGGTATTTAAATAACCTTGGCTGCTGGGAGATAACAGTGCCTGGCGATATTATAGGCGACACATATAACAGCAGCAGCAGCAGCAGCATCGACACTGTTTCACTGGAGTCTACTGGGGAGGTGTTTTACAGCAGCACCATCCTTTTGACTGCTGATCGGATGTTTGGACGGCACACACGGTGCTTTATAGCAACAGAGGTTAAGCCGACTGAAAGGAGTTGCATCAAGATGGAGGATTGCGACACCCTAATTAAGGATGCATGGCTAGAGTCTGTGGGGGATGGAGGTGTGGATCCACGCAATGAGGTTGCTCATCTGCACAACATCACCCAGACGCTGAAACATTATCAGGAGCTTGCAGGCACATACCCAGAACTCAAATGTGGCGGTCTAGTGCGCCTTCAGCAGGACAGCAACAATACATTTACTGAGG